TAGATTGTATGATATTGTTTTGTTAGAGATACCTTGAATATCTGTACCCTTGGGTAGTTATATCCAGGATGGATTGGGTTGGATGGATTGACCTATGGTCGATAGATAGATAGATAAAGACCATTCCTCTCTAGTCCGGAACATTATCACCCACAGAGCGACTCAATCGATCCCAGAGTATCAACAGTGCTGTGACTCATCCAGAACAGATGTATATGTCAAGACAACGCTATCATCGACCACCCATGTCAGCAGCAGCAGCAGCCCTTCTATAATCCCATCATTCACTCATACACACATATAAATTGTTATCAAACCTTTCAACCTTGACGAAAGAACAATTTCATAGTAATATTCATCGTCAGAAATAAATTATCCATCGTGAGTTGTTCAAAATCTAGTATATTGGTATTCCCCTCGTGCGGAGACAGGGCTGCCAGCCTGTCAGTTCAGTGGAGTCGCTGTCACGATGCACTTGAGTAAGGGGCTATGTCTGGTGGGGTTTACTGTTTGATTTTAGTATCATGGATATTCCCCGTAGCTTATATTCAATATTCCATATGGGTATGTGAAGTGACATTTTGATGCTGGTGATCCTTTTCATACACTATTTAATCATTGAGGGTGAAGTTGGTGGTGGTGGTGGTGGTGGCTGGTTAGGGCACGGCGCGGGAAGGCTGCCATCATCCATTCATCCTCATCATCTTCCCAGGTACCTACCACGGCACATTTTTTAAACTGAAAGTACTCCGTACTAAGTACTGAGTACCATAATGGGTCAGCCAAAAATAGTCAATCACTTGATCAAACCCATTTAGCTAGAAACCCACGCTATCGCAGTGAAATCCCACACCAATGAGCTGACCGCCATTGGGTCCCCAAGAGGCTGGGGGAATATCGGGCAACAACCTGACTGGAACCAGCGAACAACGCCACGGACCAGGATTGGCCTTTCATTTTGATTTCTGGTGGGGATTTGCATGATCCCAGCCCCTCTCCCCTGGTTGGTTTCATTCTTCTCGGGTTAGAGAAGGGAATGGTGTCTCGCGTGAAAGGGTGCATGAAGGGCAGGTGTTTGGTTGGGTTACTCCGTAGTGGGAGTGAATTACCGCCATCTATCACTTGGCCCCTCCTGCAGCTTGTGCAGCGTACATAAGATGCTTTGCGTTTCGGGTTAATGGATTGGATGGGCCATGGTGAAAGATTCTGCCATTGCTGATCTCACTGGAATTGTCCATGCACAGGGTCACGATAAGACGAACTGGACGGGCCGTTGGCTAGCATCGCAGCAGCTGGCGGTCAATCCACCCCGAACCCCGTTAGCAATGCACACGTAGCAGACTATCTTGACTCAGTTAGTCGGTTCGCGTGCCCATGACTGCTTTGGTGTAGGGGCTACTCGGAGGGGAAATCCAGGGCGCAAAGTACGAGTGGAGAGCTCCGCGGACAGTCTGTCGCATATATTAATTGCGATCCGGGTCATCTGCCTGTCTGCCTTTTTCCTGTTCATCCTCAATTCTTGTTGTAGTTGCAGGGAAGACAATTTCGTCAATGGAGACTGATCGGGACTTTAGTAGGTGAGTGCGCGCAACCGTGTCGTGACAAGAATTGGCCATTGGCCTCGAGTGACTCACCCCATTTCGTCCGGCTTCTACGCCGTATTCATTCTTCTGTTTCATGCCAACCACCACAGTGTTGCCACTGACCACCATCTGGATGGATACAGCATCGTCCATTCACCGCCATTTACTTTCCTGGTCGGCCCCAACCACACCAAGCTGACCATTCAATCTGGCCTCGCCCGTCATGTCTCCCAACCGCTCGACCATCTCATGAACAGTGGGGAGACCCGCGAGTCGAAACACCACATTGCCGTTCTGGAAGAGGAGGATGTCGAGACTTTTGTCGCCTTCTGCGAGTACGCCTACACGGGCGACTACCGCGTGCCGCCTCCGGGGTCTCGTGAGGAGGACCGTGAGGAACAGGCTGTCAACAATCCCTTTCGCGGTGTCTTCTCCAACGATCCCTCCAGCCCAGCAGCCATTCCCCCGCGGGCCCCGACACCCCCACGATCGGGCGACCACCCCACCGGGGACGACAACGACAAGCCCCTTGACGATGGGTGGAGTCGTCCGGACGAAGAGCACAGGCCTGCAGAAATGGAGTCTGGGTTCCCAGGCAAGGATGATGACTGGGAGTGCGCGATCGCCGATGACGAGCCACAAGAGCCAGCACCTGTGACGAAAGAGCCCAGTGAACAGCCCCCTCCCACTCCCGCTGCTGAGCAGGCTGCTGAGCAGGCTGATGGCGATGGCTGGGATGCGATCGGAGATGATGCATCCAAGGGGAAGAAAGGTAAAAAGAACAAGAAAGACAAGAAGAAGAAGAAAGGAGGTGCAGCAGAGGAGCCGGCGCACCTGACTCCCCCATCCACGCCACCCCCGGCGACCTCGAAGCCAGAGGAGGATGTCGACATCCCTCCTGCTGAAGCCAGCGCGGTTGAAGAGGTGACTCCGGCTCCAGAGCCTGTGGAAATACCTGAAGCTTCGGGGTCGGCTGAAGGTGCCACCGAGACGTGGGAACAGGCTGCGCCCACGCCCCCAGAAGACGAGGCGGTCGCTCCTAGCAAAGAGGACGAGAAGGATCATACCCAGCAAAAAGCGAACGAGGTAGTCAACGATCACCAAGACGAGGGAGTCACCAAGCGACCGACTGGACCGATGATTGACACCTCCTTCGCCAGGCAGCCGTATTCCCGAATGCAGGAGAAAGGCACCAGTCTTTGGGACGACTTTGCAGCCATCGACTATGTCGACCCCCGTTCGGCTTTCGGTACGAGACCACCCAGCGTCATGTCATCTCGCTCTCCCTTCGAGCTGCCGTACTTGGTGTTTCACGCTAAGCTGTACGTCTTTGCGACCCGATATCTGATTCCGGCGCTGGCGCAGCTGTGTCTGCGCAAGCTTCATCGCGACCTGGTGTACCTGGGCTTCGCGGAATCTGGCCCCGAGGCAGAGGACGAGGAACAGTATGCCCTCAACCGCACCAAGTCCAGAAAGGTATTGGATCTGCTTCACTACACGTACACCAAGACCACTCGTCTGGAGCCGATCACTCCCACGTCGGCTACCCAGCTGCGGGACAACGAGCTACGGAAGCTGGTCGTTCACTTTGCTGCCTGCAAGGTGCGCGAATTGGCCGCGTACTCTCCTCCAGTGGACGGGGACCTGGGATCGTCTTCGAGCAAGTCGCTGAAGCTGGCCGCTCGGGGGTTCCGTGCCCTGTTGGACTCCACCACGGAGCTTGCCTCGGACCTGGTGTATCGGATGATGATGTGAATGTCCTTCAGCTGTTTCTGACATCTCCGCTCTTTTCCATGATTTTCCTTCTCTATTTTCCCTCTGCAACGTCAACCCAGCCCTACATGTATGAACAACGCACGACAGATGACATGAGATGCATGAGATGCCTGCCCAGGTGTACGGGATGAAAGATCAGTGTATGGCGGTTGTTTTCCAGGTTATGCGCTCATCGTTCCCACTGCCAACAACGAATTTCCTTGTGTGATTTGAGATTGAATGATTATTTGCTATGAATTCTCCGCTTGTCCAAGGCGGCACCGTACTGATAGCGTATTGTATTTCACTTCTTGGACATGTTGATCTATGATACTATGATTAGCGTTTCTGCATGATGATCCCAGCCGCGTGAAGCGAGTTCCAGATCCTTCCGTTGCCTAAGATTCGACCTGTCTTGCAGGAGCATTCGTCTTACTTTCCTATCAGGATCGGTAGGTTGTTTCCAGGCCGGGTCACTGCAGCGGTCCAGAAGCTGTCATCCCGTCTGCCGTGAAGAGTTGGGCACCTGCAGCCAACGTAGTTACCTTGGCAGAATCCTGGGCATCCTCATCGGCTTCTATCTATCGCAAGCTGTGCCAGGGGCTAACTGAGATGGCGCATGCTACTGCTTGGCGAATCGTAGGCAGTCGCATTTCTGAGTATCTGTCGGCTATCTCACAGTAGACGGGACGGGGACAGGGGTGGATGAGGGAATAATGAGCTTCGAGCGTCATGGAGAGAGGATCGCCGGCGAACGAGGATGCCGAGATAGTCTCGGCCATGCTCTATCGATTGCAAGTCCGACAGCTGAGCCCTCCTTGGCGACGATCCGGCCAAGACACGGGTATACATGGACTGTGACTGAGAAAAGGGCCAAAGACAAGTACCTCTTGGCCGGGGAGAAGAGGAAAAGCGAAGAAGCAGCGCGTCCGGGTCCTCCGGGGGAATATCGTGCCAAGGATGCCCAGCCTGGCCTTCCTCTCGACCCTCCGGCTTCCTCTGCTCGACTTTCCTCCTCCGCCTCCTAGTAGTACTGACGTCCCTCCTGCTGGCCCATACTGGCACTGCTGCTGCTTCCTCCCCATTTTCACCGGGCTCCCCAATTTAGAGTATTTGGGCCGGTTTTTCCATCCACACCATCCATGGTTCGCTGGTCTGATTTAGGATCCACTTCCGATCCCCCCAGTGTCTCCTCTGGTTGAGTCTTGCCTTTTTGCTGCCACTCCCGGCCTTCCGCACGAAACTCATCCGCAGTCTTGACAACATTGGCAAACTCTCTTGATCCTTCCCTGACGCCCATCTTCAAGGCACAGTACAGCCACCACCGGACTTGGCATTCCGCTGCCATGGCGCATTGCTGATCCCCCCTCTTGGCCCTTATCGCAATTCTGGGGGCGAAACCGGCTGGAGAGGGACTCAAGTGATGTGATGCTCGGGTTGGCGCCACGGTCGGATGCCGCTGTGATTGGACCGGGTGCTGACCATCGATTCCACCGTCAGCGATCCATTCTGTCCATTCTTTCTACCTGAACCCATTCTTCTACCCGCCCGGCTTTCCCAGCGTTGTGGTCCTACCGTCCTGGGATCTTCCTCCGTACTAGTGAGTCGTAGTCATCCTCCCATTTCTTGCCTCCCTGGCTCCCTCCCGTGCCTAATCTTCGGTCCGAACAGGGACTAGCATCGTGCCCCTCTCCGGTTGGTCGCTCCTTTTGCCGCATGCTGTGGCTCAGGTCGCAGACTCGCCATGAACCCAAGAGATCTCAACCTAGTGTTCCGAAATGGTTCCAGGGGCAAGAGTGACGAAAATTCAGAACCCAAATTACAGCTGCGTCAGAATTGAAACGAAGCTATACAAACTGGCGTTTGCTCATACCGGGCTCCTGATGTGGCATCGACTGTGAGGTGACAAATGCTGCTGGCCCTTGTCACGTCCGCGCGCTCGGAGGTTTTCCGGACCCCAACCCTTTTGAAACGGGTCAGAAGGAAAAAAAAAAAGGTGGTGATAATAATAATATGGCGCGTGGCGCATGCCATGAATAATTTCTCTGACAGACCGGATTGACTGGCAGTTGACGTTGTCTCTGCATTCCCGACCCACTGGTGCAAAACCATATCCTATGCTTCCCCTAGGCTTGGCGGAGGAGAGTCCGGAAACTCGAAAATCATGAACCACCTGTTCCCAACTTCCCCTAGCCATCAGGTTAATAATCCTTCGCCTCCTATGATGCTTCCATTGAGTGCCGTGGATCCATGGGCGTCTTGGCAAGATCATGGCGCGCCCCCCCTGATATGCTCCAGGCGAATGTTCTGCTTCTATTCCTGATCCATCCAACCTATCATGGACACGCCTGTATATCGGTCCCCGCGAGACCGAATGGCTAGACTGCGAGCTCCTTTGCCTGATAAGCCAACCGCAGTTGATATATCCGCGGAGGCCGGTTCCTATGCTCTTGGCTGTGATGCACTGTTCCTGATGGACGATCGTGGTAGCAGCCCAAGGCGAACGGCCTGATTATAGCCCCAAAGCGTAGGGGCTGATGCATCATCTTATCTGACCTGTGGACGGTCTTGCTGCTCGCCGGCAATGCGTTGCTGGTAGGATGCCGTTGGGGTCAATTGGCCCTTCCCGGAGACGGTGCATTACCTTGTCACTGTGTCTGACCAGATTTTTCCATATCCACTCCACAATCATTAATCCTCTACTCCGTATCCAGAAACGTTTTTCCGAGCTGTTTCAATGTGGGCCCCCGGTGCACATAGTAGTACGGGCCCGCTCCATATTTCGCACGCCTCGTCTTGGTCACCCCTCCCTGGATAAAAGGCTGGCTCGTTCCCTTCGTGGTACCAGACCTTGTTTGATATCTTTCTCCTCTCCCTCATCCTTCCTGTCGGTGGTCTCCAAACCCGATCCGTTGCCTTGAACCACCCTTCCTCTCTATCCCTATCTCCTCCTTTCCCCTCTATTCTATAGACCACCAACAATACCATGCACATCCACGACACCCTCCCTGGCTCATCATCCGGGTCCGACCTGGAAACCTTTAACCACGAGCCCAAGAAATTCGCCCACCAAGACCCCGAGATATGTGTCAACCACACATCGGAGATAGCCGTCAACCACGGGCTCGAGAAGCCCGGCCCGATCAGCTTTCGCGAACGGTTACGCCATTTTACCTGGGCCTGGTACACCTTGACCATGAGCTGCGGTGGGTTGGCTCTCCTGATTATCAACCAGCCCCATGACTTCAAGGGATTGAAGGATATCGGCCGGGTCGTCTACTGCCTCAACCTCTTCTTCTTCACTGTCGTCACTTCTCTCATGGTCACCCGGTTCGTCATGCACAACAACTGCCTGGACTCTCTCCGCCATGACCGTGAGGGTCTCTTCTTCCCGACCTTCTGGCTCTCCATCGCCACCATGATCACTGGTCTGTACAAGTGCTTTGGTGATGATGCGTCGGAGAAGTTCACCGTCTGTCTCGAGGTCCTCTTCTGGCTGTATACGGGCTGCACCTTGATCGCCGCCGTCGTGCAGTATTCCTTTGTCTTCCAGGCCCACCAGTACCACTTGCACAGCATGATGCCCTCCTGGATCTTGCCGGCCTTCCCGGTCATGCTTAGTGGTACTATTGCCTCGGTCATTGGATCGGGCCAGCCTCCCGCGTCCGGAATTCCCATCGTTATTGCCGGTACTACTTTCCAGGGACTCGGCTTCTCCATCAGTTTCATGATGTACGCTCACTACATTGGACGCCTGATGGAGGTCGGCTTGCCGTCTCCCGAACACCGACCCGGCATGTTCATCTGTGTCGGACCTCCTGCCTTCACTGCTCTGGCACTGGTTGGTATGGCCAAGGCGCTGCCCCATGACTTCTCCCTCAATGGTGATCCCACTGCGGTGATCGACGGCCGTGTCATGCTGTTCCTCGCTACCAGTGTGGCCGTCTTCCTCTGGGCCTTGAGTTTCTGGTTCTTCTGCATTGCCGTCGTGGCCGTCGTCCGCTCCCCGCCCACTTCGTTCCACCTCAACTGGTTCGCCATGGTGTTCCCCAACACGGGATTCACCCTCGCCACCATCACCCTGGCCAATCAGTTCGATAGCGCCGGGGTGAAGGGCGTGGCCACCGCCATGTCGCTCTGTGTCATCATCATGTTCATCTTTGTCCTGGTCAGTGCGGCCCGGGCTGTGATCCGCAAGGACATCATGTACCCGGGTAGAGATGAGGATGTGTCTGAGTGATCTACTCGCTGCCCGTTGATACTTTTCTTTCCCGTTCTAGCCTCGCCATGTTTGGCTTTCGACTATATACACTTGCATCTAGCGTTGGATTTTTGGAATGAGCATATGCATACATACACATGTTGAGCGCTTTGTGGCCGCCCGCGATGCGGTACTTTTGGATCTTTTTCTTATCTCTATTGGAGTTTGGATGGCATCATAGATATAGAATATATTTCCTCCGTTCTCAGATACCTCTCACTCTCCCTCGTGCTTGCAACTTGCCACCGCCAGGCTTGCCCAGCCTTTCCCGTCTGTGGGTTGATCATCATCGTAGCCTCACCCCACCTGGCTACCTCTACGGGCCCATTCATGCCACGACGAGGTGATGGCATTGCCTGACCGGTCTGTGGCATGATTCCGTTCACTTTTCTGACCGTTCACCACTTGGTGCCGCCGTTCACCACCTACGAGCGGCTTGGGATGGACCGATCGCGTTGAATTTGTGAATTCGGATGCGCAGCGTAACATCGCCGAGACTCTTATTCCACGGCTCTTATTCCACGGCCACTTCTGCTCTTCTTTCTTGAAGGTGAACGGAGATAGCAGTCAACTGTGAACAAGATATCTGTCAGTTGTGAACGAACCGGCAGCGATGCCCGTTCACTGAGGCCCCCAAACCGGGTATAAAGCCTCCCTTCCTCTCCAGCTGAAATCCTCTCAACTCCCATTTCCCTCCACACCCCGCGGGACCCCAACAGCGTCATGACTGAATGTACGCCCCCTTTTCCACGGAGAAACACGACTCAGGTGGTTTCCTATTACTAGATAGATTGGTCATGGACCACGATACCCTCTTTGTATCCCCTTTTCGTATTTTACTGTTTTACAGCTGACCCAACCCCGCTATGGTGGGTGACTATTGCCTCCATTGGGAATTCCCCCACCTGGGCCATTCCAGGATTTATCCGGTGGGATCGTGGAGGGCGCAGGCACTTGGCGGTCAGCAGCGATACAAGCGGGGAAGGCAACAGACCACCGGTTTCAAGGAAATGATGACATTATTTTTATCACGTCACATATGTCTGCGAGTGATTCTGATTTCCGATGATGTTTCTGTGCTGATCCTTCTCCTATCCTTTGCCCTTGGACGCCACGTGGGCAGGTCTGGGTGGTGGCTTTAGCCAAGCTTGGTGGGACAGCGCCTCACGGCGCCTTAGCCCTCGCCTCATGAGCTTGTTTAATGGCCTGAGTCTTAACTCTCCGAGCCGGCCACGGACGGGCAGGAAAAATCAGCCGAGTGTGCGGCGTGCCGTATCATCCGACTCTTCCGCCGGCACAGACGGGATGCCGAGGGAGCAGAACTGGTGACGGGTGGCAAGCTCAACAGGTCGACCTCGCCTGGTCCAGCCACGGCCTCCCTCAGCACGCCCCACTCCCGATCACCCTTTGGCTCACCGAGCCTCAAGCTTCTCACCGGCCACCTCCCACGACACAGTGCCCATTGGAACCGAGAGAAAAAAAATTGAAAGCACAGAAAAACTCAAGAGAAAACAAGCCTGATCGGCAGGAGATGCCGGCCGATCGGACCTCGACGAACCAACCACACGTATCGGATTATTATGCATAAATGGAGGCTGCTGTATGCTTATTCTATGCTTATTTACACAGGGGGGGAGGCTTGATCCTTTTATACCAACTACCCCACGTCGCCGCGGCTGATTGGTTTCGTCTCCCCATAACCCCAATCTCCGCGCGTGACCCTCGGCTCTCTTACCCGCCTGGCCACCGCACAATGTCTCTCGTAACAGAATCAGCACTGCCTTGCCCGAGACGCGCCTTACCCACTGGGTCCGCGAGGGAAGGTCCAACGAGTCCACGAGCCGTGGCCATTGCCGTGGTGTTTTTCATTACATACGGGAAACCCGCCCCGTGGAGCGACCCCGGACTGCGATGCTCACTCTGCCGGTGCAGCTCGAATAACACGCATAGCATCTACAGTCTATGCTCGTTCTTAGGCTCATTCTTAGGCTCATTCTCAGAGCCGTCTATCGTTCTATGGCTATGCAACGTCAATTAAACATATAGGATGAAAAAATTAGCGACATCCAGCATGGTCAACCATTCGACATGTGGAGTAAAATCGGTAACATATATATATATATATCGGACCCGACAACACTGAGCACCGTGGGATCAGCAGTATATCGATCATTCCCAGGACTAGGCAACCGACAAGACACTGCACATGGGGCAGAGAGACAATATATCCCCTCCTCTAGACATGTCAGCGATTATGCTACTGTGCCAAAACTCTCAGCTGGGCGATGTTCACTCCCTGTATGCCAATTTCCAACCGCACGGTATCGGTTGATAATACCGTTAAGTTATACAACAGTCTCAAAAATATCGGACTCCCACGATTATCGGCTTCAAATCTGTTTGCCGATAGGGGACCCACGTGGGTGGGTTGTCATATGTGTTTATGAACGGCATATGTTCGACCCAGTCCAGTTGCACTCGACATACGTCCTCTTCCTTATATAGCCCATCCGTTTCGCAGAACCTTCTGCAAACACAATGTGCTTTATGCGTCGAAATCTAAAACATCGTGGATACCCGCCTTTCTACCAACATCTCGTGTCACTGGTATCAGCATCTAGCATGGCGACTTAATCGAATGCGACATGGTTTCTGGCTACTACGTCGTCTTCTACGGAGTTGATGGCCGAAATTCGCCGCAGGATCTTACATGGAAAGCCAGAGACAGATTCTAGGTGCTTTACTTTATGTCTCTTTATCCGTCTGCCATCGAGTTATGATGGAACCGTGGACGTGTCTCAGGATGTAAGGCTGGGTAGGGTCACCAGCAGCTTTTCTTCTATTACCGGCGAGAAACCGTGTCTGCAGGCTAGGGTAAGGAGGTGGATCGGGTGTTACCTTCTGCACCGGTTGGTGTAGCTCCTGTCGATTCAGGCTGTCGCTGCAGAGAAAGCTCGATTGAATGTCGATTATGGAAACGAACGTGCGATGAAGACACCTACCGTGTCACAGGTTCAACATTCTTGGAACTGCAGCAAATGTCGACTCAGGCATGACGCAGCCTTTCATTGTGGCAGTCTGTTGAATTGGAAACAGCCGGTTCTGTTCTCTCGCCTCTCACATATACTCCACTTATTACTGTTAGGAAGCACCGATTATATGCCGTGAACGGCGAATATTCGGGTCTTCAAATGTAATGAAGACTCCATGGCAAGCACACTGCTGCTTGCTGTTGGCTAGACGGAGATTATGTTCAGTACATGGGTCCGGCTCGACATACGGTCAACGGCACTTCATCGCGAACGCCACCCAGTCTCTCAAACATCGACAATGGAATCCACCGCTTATTCCTCTGCTTCATCTTCTTTCTCTGCGCATGTTGCGACTCGGAAACTGGTTTTTCAAGCTATACAGCCGAGAATCACGCCCAGTCGTCCGATGGATGTTCTCATTTCGATGGAAAAGATCACATCTATCGTCCTGGTCAGACCGTTCAAGCTGCTTGGTCGAATTCTCTGTCACGTCGACGTTCATTAACATCAGCCCATCCGAATGGTGCACCCTTGCAGATGTCCAAGTGAGCTACAGATCAAACTCCAGCTGCTTAAATATAGGGGTCTTTATACTGGGATATGGCACATTCTGGACCCATACTATGTCATCACGAGTGCCGCATCTGGGCACTTGGATGAGACGGTTAGTGGCTGGGCTCTGATATAACCGACGGTCATTGACCTGCGTTCTATGGTACATAGGCTGATTGAGTACTTCGATCTCTTGTCGTCCGTTCAACGCAGCTACGGCTGCCATGCATATACCTTTCTGACGTGAGATCGCAAAGATGTGTCGATATCAGCAGGTTTGAGATAAAGAAAGCTGCACTAGCGGATTTATACATCTCAGCGTCGGGAGGTAGCAATGCCACCACTGCAAAGCTCGGACTTGCCGCGCAGTCGAGCCATCCCGCTTATTTGATTACACAACCTCACGCAACATATTGGGGTATTTGGATCGGCACATAGACAGAAGGGTCCACCACACACCTCTGTGCTCTATGTTCGATCTGAACCGGGGTTCAAACTCCTATCGAAGCAAACGAGAATGAAGGATGGATAGTCGACGAGACGGCGCACGCTGCTGTGAACGACATCATATGCCCCATATCTCATGGAAATACAATAATAGTATATTTAAAGATATATGGGCCAATTTGAAGAGAACTAATGACACAGTGTGTCAGTCTCTACTCTACTCCCATCAAGCGAAGCAGGACGAGCAGCAACGGATGTTACCACTGCACCAACACATGTCGCTGCTAAACAGCGTTGGAAATCGAGGCGATGGGTCTAATTTATCGCAACTACCTGCAATGTGTTTGGAACTATCATTAACGGTCTTCACATCACGAAGCACTACGGAAGAGGCATATATCAGCCGCTTTCTATACCCACAGCGGACAGCTGCTTGACTCGGATTGAATCAAAGCAGGAAACAGAAAGCGCGCACTGCTTTGAGCCTAACAACCAGAGCGGATTCACACGGTGAAACTTCCCAATAGCTACTGGCTGATCGATCTACCAATGCGAAGATCCTTTCATTGGTATCTTCATTAGCAATCAGCGAATATGTATAGCCTGTTTGCTGCGTACCTACTCTGCTATTATACTCCACTTCAATCCTACACTGAGTGTTCAGCCAGCAGGATATAAACAGCAGCGCGAACGCTATGTTATACCGGCGTCGCAATGTATGTTCTCGGGGTGGATCTATTGCCAATGCTATTGCATTGCTATGGGCGTGGGTGCATCTCAAAAGCCACAAGCGACAATCGGCTGCAGGTTTCTGGCCACGATAGAATATTGAGGCTAGCCTGTTTACATACTAATGTCAAACCCGACAAAGGCAACATGGAAACAGCCCTTCAACGACAAAAGTCCAACATGGATCGGATACTTGTCTGTATCCAAATCCGCAACAAGGACTTACAATGATGGAGACAACGAATCCCGAGCAGAACAATGGTGGGTCGATTCAAAAAATCGGCCCTGTCAAATGTGGAAGATGGGCATAATGATGCTTGAACCGTTTGATGTTTCTACCTTTGGGTATATCCCAACATCGGCTTCAGCAGGTTGAGACATCTTGAGCTGGTTCATGAAGATGACAACTAAGCTCAAGCAACTCGGTCTTGCTGGCCACCGCTGAAGAAGAATCCACGGCAGGGTGCAAGCACTCTATCATTGGTATCTCCCACGTTTTGCATCTTATTCGACTGGAGCACGTCAGGATAGACACAATTGGTTCCAATGAATCATTCAGCTGGCTGCCAAATTGCCATGGTGGGGAAAGATACGTTAATGTCAGCAGTAAGCAGAGGCACTGTCCACGGATTAGACCTGTCGTGAGCTGGCGAACAACAGAAACGGCGACAAGGCATTCAACCTCAGCCGCTACTGGCTAAGCGTTGACATACCAGGACTGACCATTGCCCAACTGGTATTGGTCTACTGCAATTCATGCGATTGCCTAGATGATGTGGTGTCGAATATATATGACGGTCGAGGACCAAGCGAACTTATTCCGTCCGCGTCGCGCTTGATCCAAGAATTACCCATTGCGGGGATCGATCGTGTCAGATCATCGGTGGAGTTCCTGAACAATTGGCAGGCCTCAAAGGCATTATATGCAGCGCTGTCTCCGTACACGACGCCTAATACATGATGAGGATAAATCGTCCTATATCTTCTTCAACCCGTCCCTGGTATAAATGCAAGCAATATGGGAGACTCTGATGCCAGTTGTTCAACAACCGGATGTGAAGAGTCATCTAGGGCTAGAAACAATGTTCTCACTGGTTACGAACAATGCTACAACCAGTCAAAGCTCCATTGCGTCTCTTGAAGATAACCGACGCAGGGTTGCGTCTACGACAGTCTAGAAGGACCTACTGATATATGCAGCGGGCAGTGAATGAGGAGTGTGCACGGTGGAGGTACACTGTACTTCCTTACTAAAGGGAGTCTTGATACCCGGGATATTTACACGATGAACGCACCATGCGGGTATCATCACTATATCCCTCACTATATCAGACTGCGACATCAGCCAATGCACTTTATAATCAGGGTGTCAGAAGAGTGACTCGAGATCGGGTCTGTTTCTATTCTCTACAGAGCTCGAAAGGCCGAGAAAATCGAACGAACAAAGATATCTCTCTACGAAAGAAATGGGTCCAATCCTAAACGCATCATCCAGCTCATCCGGTGGGACAAACCCAAATAAATCCAAATGAATCAGACTACAAACTACTGAGCACGCAATCACCCACAGAGGAGAAATCATCATACATGATATCATCCATCCTCCAATTTCCCACCTTCGCCCGTGGCAGCATCCATACAACCATTCAACGATTTGATCTCTCCCTACCAGATCCCAAGACCAAATTCAGGCTCCTCATCAACTCTAGTTGAAAATCAGCTGGATTGAAAGGTGTTATGGTTGGATACATTCCCCCTTTCTATATTACCTACACCCGTGGAAGACTCTACTGGGGCTTTCTATCAACCCTCTATTGATCTGATTTGAAGCCACATTTTATGTATCTCCTATCAGGTATCTAATATACCGCTTGATGATCGATGGATATACCCTGAACCAATCAGAATATCAAGGAATATGAGGGGTTCTTCGAGGGAGATACCTTCATGAGTCTAGCAACCTTGTTGAAGTATATCTGCTGGTTAATTGATCGGTGGGCAGTCCGTTGAATGGGATATGAGATGAAATCAGGGATATGGAGTGTTACGAGAAGGAACCAGATGTATTCGATATCTATCACGAACAGGAGAAAAGAAAGGGGGGAGAAGGTATCTTAACCACGCGAATCCAGTCGGAATTACTCACCTACTCTACTTAGAAACTCAGTTCATACCATTTAGTTCCTAGCATAGAAAAAAAGCAAAGGTAATCCGAATCAATCAAGTATCCTAAAACACACTACTCGACTCCACTACAATGATATAGCATATAGACAGATATCCACCCCCCCCCACGAAATCCAATTCGTAGAAAGGAAGTACTATCCATCCCATCTTAGTCTTATGAGAGTAATTCCACTGCCAGGAATAAATTCCATTCACGTAGAGCTTCACGTCAGAGAAAGCATGAAAAATACCTAGTAAAAGAAACCAACCAACCTGTCTCCAACTCAATCCATAGACATACTTAGAGGAATCCCATCACTAAGAATCCCTCCACGATCAACTCACTCACCCGAGACAGACATGTCCGATATTCAACCAGACTTACACGAGGCTCAGGTGCCAATACACTCCATCTGGGCCGAGAACTATCATTGATAATCGAATTGAGGAGATATTTCCTCCGACCGTGGTATTGAGCTTCGCTGGGTCGGTGATGGGAATACGATGTTGATGGGATAGAATGTATAGGAGTGAGATGGACAAAATATGACATTATTTTGAGCTGTAAAGGTTACTGGCAGAGATGGATAATTCCACTTTGGTTTTCTAGTGGTGGTATTTCATGGTCACGTCGAGTAACTTCTGATTGATATTGAAGAGGTCGTCCGTGCTCCATCCATTGGAGTCTAGCTGGCCAGCTGCAGATCGGAGATCATGGGACAGAAGCGCGTCGTCACTGAGATCCAGGGGGAGACACGTGAGGGAATAGGCCTGGCTGAGAAGGGGTGGCGGCCGGTGGAGGTGGCAATGGCTTTGTCAACGCTATAGACAGCAGTGGGAGCTTCTGCTTCAGCGCTGAGCCCTTGATAGAGTCTAATAAAGGTAGTCGCTGCGACGAGTTCCATGCTGCGTCCAACAAAAGACAAACCTATTTAGTTAGTTTGGCCACTAATTCAGCATACGACGTATTTTGATCCCCGTTCAAGATTCCTTCTAGAAGATTATGCTGGTAGCAAATACCCAAAGAGCACATTCATGCACTTGATGCTTCGGCAAAGATCAATGCACAACGACACATAATGCTTCAGATGAGCCATCAGCGATCTCGTGCCGGTGATCTCATGCTGTAGACACATTCCAAGGGATATTTCTCGCATTGTTGGCAGATGGGCTGGTTACTGTCACAGGCGAGTTCCCGTCTTCGACAGCTCGCGCAGGCCACTTTGGTGCCGTCTGGTCGCCGAAGGGTTGGCATGTATGGATGTTGTTGTTGTTGGATGGGGAGGGAAGAGGAGAAAGAGAAAGAGGATGGTCGGGAGGACACCGGTTGTGCGGCATAACTGAGGTGTATCTACACTGTCGAGTTGGTTTCATCTCTGCTCGGATAGATGTTGTCGCTATGCTCAGCTTCCTTTTTCACATCTCTCAGTTGGGCTATCCTCTTGTGAAGATAGTGTGTCTGTTGGCCATTGTATAAAGAATACTAGCCCCCTAATGAGTAAGCATCATTGTACACTAAACAATCCAATCCATACATTCCTCAGGTAACAGCTAATCACGGTTCATGAAGGTCTCAGGTAAAGGGTAGAAGAAGAGCCACAACTGAGGAGTCGGGATCTAAATGAGATGAAATGCAAGGATCGCGTCATGTCTAGATCCTCCATCCCACTACTTACAGCATCGGGTTCACTTGAATATATAGGGGCGCAGACTCTTCCTGAAGTCTACTTCCTTCTACAGTACACCTCCTCGACAATTACCTCCATCCCACAATCTCAGCCCGATCACTAACTTCTAACATCAAGACCAAAAGCCAGCATTCCGGTACGCCAACTAGACCTGTGACATCAAATAATTCTAACAGCCCAGATTCGTGCCAAGATGTGCACTGCCATCGACATCTGTTACTCCTGCGGATGCACCAAGGAAATGGACTTTGTTCAATGCAAAGGACGCCAGGGCACGAACGTGCGGTGCAAGCCAGTCAAGAAGGAGCTGGGGAAGCTTTCTACCAACTACTGCCGACGCCATCTCGTCCCTCCGGAGGCTTCGAAGACTTATGTTGAGGAGGATGAGGATGAGATCGAGGATGATGAAGCCCGAGATGACCCCGAGGTGGCCACTGAGTGATGGCTTCTTAGGTGTATTTTTCTTCCCTTGAGAGTGTTTATCATAAAATATTCACTGGCTATTGTGCAGTTGAGTTATCGGTTGTGCCCTGCTATTAGATCCGGAGCATGAACTTAGGGCAGATGAGGAACTTGTGATAGGGATCAAATCTATGAATAGCCCAAGCCGTCCGGCGAAGTTGGCACTAGGAGGTGATTTATGTACCCTGCTTGCTGCGGAAGTGATTTCTATCAACTAGGCGTTGTAGTCTCCACTAAAAAGGGATATGAGAGACAGCTTGCACGGGGTTTCATCGTCTCAAATTATGAAACGTCAGGATAACATCCCTTTTCTTAAAGTACCCTCGCCGCCGCACAAACTCCGAAAGATTAGCGGCACTGGTGCCCTCTTGACTCAGTCTCATTAATTCCTGCGCCTTCTGACATTGTCGAAAGTGTATCAGGAACTCATCATCGGAGTAAACCTTGTCACGTAGATCAACCGCATCGCCAGGCAACGTTGATGTCATAAGAGCGTCTTCCAAGAAAAGCTGGCAGCCACTGCAGCAAACTCCATTCTGGATACTACCACTGGCTACATCAAGATACGGCAAGGCGGTGGTAACCATGAATGGCAGGAGTGGAGATTCTCTCGGCCTAGTCCCTTGGGCTCTGTCATTGTCAGATCGGGCTTCAGATATCCGGATAACATCATCCACGGCCACGAGCTGCATCTTCTTCTTTCGTGCTCTCTCCCCCATTGAATACATGCCCGGAATGGTCTGTAGAGCCGGAATCGAACGGAGGGCGGGTGACATCAACCGGAACCGCTTTTTCGCGTCAGTAACGGATATCACTAAGGGTAGATCTCCGTTTCGGATACAGGAAAAGCAGCATCTGAGGAGGGACGGAAGGAAGATAAAGCCACCAAAGGCACCGCAGAGGAGACAGTCCCGCGTGCAGAGCACTTTCAATAGCTCGGAGAGTGTGAAGTGAGATGCTATCTTGGTCCGCAGAATCACACAGAGCGCGTCTAGGGCATGTGTGGTTGTCTGTTGATAGCCGCGAGTGGTGCTGACGATCTGTTGCGTACGGCGGCTGACTTGGCGGAGTTGGAACAGAGATTGAATGTCTAGATGGAGGCAGATCTCATGGACGGTCTCTAGAGGCAAGCGTCCAAGCCGTCTCAGACTGGTAAAGGGAGCACCGAATGGTTGACATATTGAGCTGCGGACTTGCTTGTGGTCGCTTGGGTTGATTCGAATGACGGCCAGGGTATAGTCACGTCGATGATAGGAAGCGATGCGGATGATGTCCTCTGGTGTATTCTCGAACTGGGCCGTATTGGTCTGTATCTTCTTAGAGCTCATTCGGACGTGTTATGTGATGATGGGAGTCAGGGAGAATAGGAGAGGGGGAAGGAAGGCGCACTGCACGTGATTGATGCTGAGTACTGTAATAAACGCTACGACCCTTTAGAACTGCATACCCAATAGCTGCATTTCCTACCCATAGAGGCAGCTTGTGGTGGCAGAATATTACTTCGTTACCTTTCCTGGCCAGGTAAGAAACCACCCTTTCCCATCCAGGCAGGTGATAAGTAGAAACCAGTGTAGACTTCACCTTTCAACCGAGTCACGCCTGAAGCCTTGCAAGAAGTCAAAGAGAAGATGACCTTGAATCGAATCTGACTCCCAGGGTGAGACTCAGCTAACCGAACCGGCCCTCTCCATACATCAGCATCCTCCAGCCTCCTCCAGCGCGCGTCAAGATCCGCCTTCACGTCTGGACATCCACTCCAACACTCAACCAAATACCCTAGTACATCATCGCATAGATACGGTTCGATTGCTACATGTACATGACCAGCATATTCCCGGAAGTTCTAGCGGAATGATAAGGATACCTCCCTCAAGCGAGACAAACATCCCTCCCTGATAAATTTACACAATACCTTTCGCCAGACCAAAGACCAGGAACCATCTAAACTCCAATGATAATCGTGGGCCCAGACACTTTTTCCCCGGGACCTCAAATAACGGCCCAGGAACTGTTGAAGTACCGTGGTGAGATGAAATTGAGTATTGAATCCTGTTGATTTACGTTTGGCTGTGATGATGTGGGGTATAGGATTGCAGTCTACCCGCCAACCCTAAGCTAGGTTGCCCTAGTATTGACTGTGTTCAGTTGCAAGGTACTTACTAGTGGTGAAGCAACAAACTAATATTAAACTAGCATTAATGAATGATACAATACATGAAGTGCGATTTCTGATGGTCCTACCTCTAACTGTCGCCTTTGCATCCTCCGTGGTGAATGCCAGGCGTATTCCCGGAAACGGGGATCAATATCTCACCGACACGGAGAGAATAGATGACCATAATCGAACCCTAGTTGCTATGCGCCTCAACCACATTAGTGACGTACTTATTGCCCTTGAACGTATCATCCGAAAAGAGTGATCCTTTTGTAATGTGGTCCTGCGTCGTGAAATATAAGTGGTGGTTTGTGGAGGGTTGGCAAGATGGCTGCGGAGGAATAGATAGATGGGGTCTGTGTATGGGGCCTGAGGTTTGTTCTGCACCCTTGTCATTGCCGCTTTGGCTTGAGTGCCTTCCGCAACCTTGCCAATCCTTCCTACTCCCATTCTCTTATTCTAGTTAGTCTGCTAGGCAGTCTTCTATTAGGTCTTGGAGCCATTGTGAACATGATTACGCGGTGGATTTTATAGTAGACCCTACAATGCTGATTAAACCGACAGACCTATTCCCACCGAGTACATCCAAGACCATGCTATGTTGAGACATGCCATATTTCTACCTTCTACGCCCGAGGCTAAGAAGGGATATATTCCTTTTGGTCTACGTGGTTCTTGACATACTACGAAGGTGGCACGCTGAATCTTGATAATTGGTTTGATTGTTTATCCCCCCATTTGGGTGACAGCCAAGGGAAAACCAGTGGCGAAAACCTTGACCAGGATGTACAGAACTGCCGATACATGCATGACAAAGGAAATCTATAGACAGTAAAGCTATATACATGACCAAGTTCCAACTCTCCCAAGACGTCCCTAAGACATGTCAGTACTCTGCACCATGCGTAAAAGAGCCAACTTACCTCTCCCATATCCAACCCTCGCTTCACCGCAGTGTGACCAGTGTTTTTAGCCAGCCTGCACAACCATTAGTATCATTCATCTTTGAGCACATGGTTACTTACAAACTCTGTCGCTTACTGGGCCTGCCACGATGCGGCTACCATGTACCCCCTTTCTGCTGTTGTCGTATATGGTTGTTGTGTGGTTGTTGTTGTTGTTGTGTGGTTGTTTTGTTGTGTGGTTGTTTTGTTGTGTGGTTGTTTTGTTGTGTGGTTGTTTGTTGTTTGTTGTTGTGTGGTGGTGGTTGTTGTGGTATATGCAGCCTGCAGCGCGGACGATTGTTTTTAACCAGCCTGCAACGTCAGTATTGAACGCCACCTTGGACCAGTGTGCTTACAAGCTCTGTCACTTGCTAGACCTGCCCGCGGTGCCAGGCAGCAGGTGGACAATGAGTTGTGGAAGGTGAAGTGGAAAGAGAGAGGAGTATAAGTGGAAAAGCACTAACTTGATGTTAGAACTGCACATCTATCAGCAGGAAGACTTACCAGAGCATTTCCCTTGTGGGAGCTGGCCTGCGTGTGAACGGCTGTTTTTAGCCAGCCTGCTATCGTCAGTATTCAAAAGCAGCACACGAAGAGTCGATACTCACAAGCACTGTCACTTACTGGGCCTGTCCACGATGCGGCTGATGCTCAGAAAGGAGGTGGTAGGCACGATCCCTGTGTGTATGGTTAGTAGCTAACAACCCTACCTTCACACAGGTGCCGCCAGAGGAGCTCTGATGGACCCATGCTAGGCAAGGCATCCGTCGTGCCCACCAGTAAGCCTAGACGGTAGTTAGCCAAACTAGAGGAGAACGAAGACTTACCCAGGTAGCATATTGTGATGAGTTTGAAGTAGAGGCAGTAAGAGAAACGATGGTAGAACGACCTGTGGATGGAAGGTGAACAGTTGATTAGCAGGGGAGGAGGGGAAGAAGAGAAACGAGGAGAGACAGAAAAGAAGACGAGGGAACGAAGGAGGAGGGGCAGGGCCTTTCGTAGACGGGCGTACAGGCACCGGCAGGGAAGGTGCGTGCCGGACTGCGACTTCCTAATCGGGAAGGAAGCCTGCATCGTGACGAAGAACATTGTATGGGATGACGCCGAGTTATCTCCATTTCGACTTAGAAGATGAGTTAATATTCATAATGTAGTCATGTCGGACAGTCGATCGCTTCAGCCAATGGGGATCTCGTAGCAGGGTGAAAGTCGTAGTAGCATCGGGCATCGCAAGCCATGGCGAGTCGGTCACGGGCACATCGGCAGTCGATCTTGCCTTGAAAACATGATATCAAACCCTCCGAGTTGCTGCCTGATTTTCGGGTTTCGGGGCAACATTTTCAGTAGCAGAGCATGAAAGACATGGCAAATCTAAGCCGGGAACAGGACAAGCCGAGCTTCTTATATTCAGACTATCTATGTACAGAACGACGATCCATTCTCGTCTCAGAAACTTAAACTAGCTGCAGGCATGTCGGTTAGGCCGCAGCCAGCAAACCCTACTCCGAACTGCCGATCCGATTTGATCATCCAGGGCTCCCGGGTGAGGTGGAAGCTTCACACACCAAACAACAGAGGGTATCACAGAATTACGAACAACAGACTGCCTCACGATAGCACCATCTCCCCATCAGGGGCACCCGATCGCCCCAGGAGATGGACATCCAAAGTGACAGAATCCGGGCTGCGGTGTGCGGCCGACAGCTGTCGGCTGGGCGCCATCTCAGCCACGTGGCACATGACCAGGTGAGCGGCGCAACTTGGCGACAAGAAAACGTGAAAGTCGGAGGGCGACGACGAAATGCAGCTTTTATTAGAAATGACGTGGTCGGCAGTCGTCCTCGGTGGATATGAAACCTTGCCTCCCCTTGCGCCTACGTGATACACCGCTGTCGCCAGGGGGCGGCATCCGGCGCTCACATTGGGCAATCCGATGCAAGTTGGCCTGACACTGAAACAGGACTGCGACAGAGCCTTGGAATCTCCAGTCTCCACTAGGTCGGGACTCCCTGAAACAGCCGACCGCACAGAGATTGTGAGGCTGATGTTGGGTCTCACAATCAAGCGACCTTACGGCCGACATTGCCAATGCCCCGTCCCACCACGCTGATGATCACGTCCCCATTTTCATTCTCCCCACTCGCGTCTCTCAGACCCCAACCCGGAGCGCCGAACTTGGTCAGGTCCCGGGCCAATTGGATGGTGCTCTCGTCGGCGATCACATCGCGACCGACTTGGATTCGTCCAACATCTTCGGATCCCATCGTCATCAGACCCAGCATGGTCGGAACAGCCGCAGGGGCAACGCAGCCGCCTTTCGAAACGGCCTCCAGCAGCTGGTAGGCACATTGCTTCCCAATATCCTCGGGCGCTTCGCCGCCGCCGGGAGGAGACGCCACATCGGCAGAGAACAGGCAGCCCGTAGACGACTCGGCCACCAATGAGAGTCCAAATCCAAGGCCAATCTTCTTCTTGCCGGAGGGGTTGTTCTTCTCAGGGGCAGGCACGAACGGGGCCGACGACACATCAGAGAAGACATAGGTGTCGGGGACGAGTGGATTCAGGATGCCACGGGCGGTTTCGATCATTCTCGCGTTATTGGATGCAGACACCCCGACGGAGTAAGCCACACCGCGGACCTTCTTGATCCTACCCGCGTTCATGAGGTGAAGCGTCTTCGGCAGCCGGAGCTGGTGGCCAAACACCAACTGAACTTCTCCACCACCTCCGCGGCCATTCGGTCCAGGGTTCGATCGTCGCAGGATACGCAGCTCGATATTGTTGAAGATTCCAAATTGGTTGTAGAGGGGCAGAATGGCGGTTCGCACACTGTCCACGGACATGTCACCTGTCGGAGTGGCCGAGGTGATCACACCCGGACCAGTAAAGAGGACCTTGACCGGGGCCTTGGAAAAGGGTGCCAAGAGGCACAGAGGCAGCAGATAATAACTCACGCCACGATTGCACCCGGCGGGGAGCTCGTGTCGAACCACACCACCAGTGCTGGCCGCCGTGCCTGCAGTACTACCCGTGATGAGGCCGGGCTTGTACACCAGAATCGTACCCGTGTACGAGATCTCCATCTGAGAGCCATTGGTGATGGACTCCAGGAGACGAAGGAACGAGATTTCATGCGGAGCGAGACCGGGATTCGTCGGCGACGAAGGACGGATCTGGGAGATCTGAATCGTGCGGCCGGTCAACGTAGCGAAGACGAGACGATACACGAAATTCTTGTGGGAGGTAAACCGAAGAGGAGGCTGAGATGTCGACGCCATGATCGCGAAATCTTGGAGACTACGAGATCTCCGTGGTGTATCACAATCCGAAGCTCGAAAAATATCGTCGGCGCCGAATCCTGGCCTGGCCGAAAAAGCGACTCGAGAAAATCTGCCGGCGCGGAGTTGTTCCGTTCCGCGGGCCGGTGTTAGCCTGCGGTTATCTCCGGATCTACCCTCCCTCACCGGAGAAGCGAGCATCAGTCGATAGCATTTCTAATCAGGATTCTCTATCACAGATATCTCACTAATATATCCTCTGCTTCTCAAGGTCCTCAATACATACCCATCTAACACAGATCCAGCACCACCATGCTTCCCCCCGCCCTCAACATCCCGAAATGGTACGTCCCATCCCACTCTAACTACAACCTACCCCTCCCCCGCATTACTGCTATGACACACGACACTAACACCCCCCAGGCTCGAAGCCAACTCCCACCTCCTCCAACCCCCAGTGAACAACTACTGCGTCTACCACCCCTCCTCCCCCTCGACAGCGGGCTACACCGTAATGATCGTCGGCGGCCCCAACGCCCGAACGGACTACCACATCAACCCGACCCCCGAATTCTTCTACCAATACCGAGGCTCCATGCTCCTCCGCACCGTAGACACCTCCGTCACACCCCCCATCTTCCAAGACATCCCCATCCACGAAGGCTCCCTATTCCTCCTCCCAGCGAACACACCCCACTCTCCCGTGCGGTTCAAGGATTCCGTGGGGGTGGTGATGGAGCAGCCGCGCCCGGAAAACGCGGTCGATACGATGCTGTGGTATTGTAAGAATTGCGGGGAGATTGTGTGGGAGAAACGGTTTGTGTGTACGGATTTGGGCACCCAGGTGAAAGATGTCGTGGAGGAGTTTGGGGCCGATCTAGAGAAACGGACGTGTAAGGCGTGCGGAACTGTGGCGCAGACGAAGTATGCGGAGGGGGAGTTGGTGCAGCCGCCGAGAGTTCCGGAGTGATGCCTGATGGGCTCGGTCTGGATGGAGAAGTCTTAGGAGTGGAAAGATACCCCGTGAGGATGGTTGTGTATTAGTAACTGTGGGCAGTGCTTGATGTTTTGTATCTGCGAGGCTTGATAATGAGGATCTCATTTGAACAGTGCCGTATCTGCTGGTAGACCGAACATTGATTAAAGAAGGGCTAAGGTAAATTAATAAGTGTATGCATGGCAGTGTGTTCTGATCGGGGAATATGAAGATAGATAACAAACACGTCACGAGGCCAACCAGCCAGTGACCAAATAAGGAAAAGTAAAACAATCTAAAGAATGTGACCAGGATCAACCAAGGCTAGTAATGACACAGGTTGAAGCAGCCGCTTAAACAACGGGGAACCTTGCAAAGCGCGCTATGGGGTTCGTACAACCAAGAAGGTAAAGAAAGACCAGAAATGCCGCCAAAACATGCCATGAAGGAACGGAAAGGAGAAGGATATCCTTAAACGATGCTCAGGTATACTGCGTGGGATGCCGGTGATGGTATCGATCCCAGAATGAAATGTCCAAGCCAACATATCGGACAAGCGTCTCAATCATCGGTGCGCGTAGCATCATGACGTCCATCAAGACCAATTGGTCACAACCTGCCATGGAGTCATGCATCACTATCGGTTCCATTAATCATCAAATGGACAATCGATGCTCTCGTGGCCTTCCCTCTCGCAAAGAGCACACCACTTCGACTCGTCAACCACCCCGCTTTCCTTTCCGGCAACAGAGCCCATGGTGAGGGACACACCGTTCCCATTCAGACCCTCGAGGACGTCACGGCCGGACTTGTGAGGGGGCGTATTCTCATCCACATGTGAGGAGGTAGACGGATCAGCCGTGGAAGCCTCCGGCGTTGGCTTCTCATCGATCGAGCTGTCATCAGGAGTTGGCTCCACATCCTCCGGGGCCTTGTTCTTGCTCTCGGCGCTGAACATGTTGGTGCAGGTCAAAATATCGTGCCCTCCGGTTTCACAGATCTCGCACCACAATGAGCCGTCGTCCTCGGAGCGGCCGTCCGATTCGTGCATTGTCTCTAGACGATGGTGAGATGCGTCTGAAATACCACGGTGGCGGGAGTACGCCTGGTATTGGCCCTCATGCGGAGGCGAATCTTGCCAGTCACTCGGTACGACAGTCCGATCGGACAGCCGATGCGCATGGCCGATCGTGCCACCGTTGGTAAGCTTTCCATTGGAGCTGGGCGCTTTGTGGCTGCTCGGCGACGGGGTGACACTGGAGGCGTGGGCCTGAGCGTCGCCGTTTAGCTGCAGCTGCTGGAGCTCACGTTCTAGTTCTTCGATGCGGTATGTCTTATGTTCCGTGAGGCGCTCGTATTCCTCAACACGCTGTTCCAGGTGAGCAACATGTTCAGAATCGTGATCCGGCGCGTTGGTTCCAAATCCACTCTGCTGCAAGGCATGCAAGTCGGGGTCACCCCGGCTCAAGGAGTGGATGATGGCTTTTAGACCACGGATTTCATCATCCTTCTGTTCGAGCTCTTTCGAATGGTGTGATCCATCGCCAGTTGCATGGGTATCTTTCGAATCTCGCTCTTTCTGGAGCTCAAGCTTGGTCCGCTCGACTTCCCCGCGCAAGAATTCCACCTCCGCCCTGGCCTCGGCTTCCCCGCGCCGTGCGTCCTCCAGGCCCTCCTCCAACTCGGAGACCAATTCCTCCAACTGCTTGAGCTGTCGCGCAACCACCTCGACATCTTCCCCACGGTCCTGGAGTTCCTTGTTCTGCTGCATCAACTCATCCAGCCGCTGCTCGTAGACTCGCTCCGTCTCCGATGCGGCCACCTCTAACGTGTCCAGTGTGCTTCTAAAGTCCGCCCGATGCAAGTCAAACTCAGCGGTCAGTTGGGCAATTCTCTCATTTCGTTCACGCAATTGGGCTCGAATGGACAGGGAATCCGACCCTTCCAGTTCCTCCAGGGTCCTCTGGAAATCCGAGAGGGTGGCAGCTTGTTCATCCAACTGTTTATCACGGTCCAGTAGCTGGTTCTCTAGGCTCTTAATGTGATCCTTCAAGTCCTGCACCTCTGCTTCCATCGATGACCGGCGCACTTCCGATGTTCTCGTAGAAGTAGAGGGAATATCATCCTCGGTGCTCACTCGGCTCACACGGGATGGGGGTCGATCCGAGGCGCGTGAGGGGGCCTTGACCGGACTGCGTGGGTAGCTGCTGGACGGGGCACCGCGGGAGGCCGCCGCCGATGGGGTCCGCAGTCCGGTCAGGGTCATCTTGGATGGCGGTGGTCCTCTGGGGGATTCCGGGCGGGGAAGAGAAGGGCGCCTCACGCGAGGTGGGCGCATTGCGGGACCAGGACCGACGGATTTGCTGAAATTGATGGGTCGAGAGGGGGTGGGAGGGCCGCCGCTCCCCGTCGAGGTTGGACCTGACAAACGCTTCGTGACATATTTGTTATTGTTCATGGGCACAAAGATGCCCGAGCCGGGGACGGAGGTGGAAAAGTATTTCCTGCCCTCGACGTCGCCGTTGTTTTTCCCTCGCCGGGCATGCTCCGACGCCAGCTCAATGCCAGCAAACTTTCCAGGCTTGCCCGCCACACCTCCGAGGTATTTGACCGTCCCGTACATGCCGCCGGGGACATTGACCAGGTCGCCCACCTGGACGTCGTCGAGGGGCGCCATGGCAAGGGATTGTGATGGGGTTGCGCGAACCAAAGGGAGAAGAGTGAGGATCGAGGAGCGCAGCAGCGGAAGATAACTGCGACCAGCCGGTTAAGGAATGCGTTCAGAAAGGGGTTGTAACAACAGTAGTGGGGGGTTGGAGAGAGGCTTGTTCATAGGCCAGCCGTCATGGTGTTTGCTGGTTAAGTACTTTTGGTTGTTTGTTAGTTGCAGCGGCGAGGAGGAGACTCGGAGGTTTTCCTGCGCCGTCCAGCTTTTGCCTCTGTTGGGCAGCGAAGACGGAAAAGAGAAAGAGCCAATGCGTAATGCAATAATGAAGATGGCGGAGCAGAAGAACGAACTTTGCCTGGGGGGGCTCAGGGTCGGTCCAGTGTCGTCATGCCAGCACGGACAGGGGCACACCGTCCTTTAGTGAGGACCAAGGACTGGTAGTGGCCATGAAGACCAATTATTCTGCCATCCCAGCCTCGACTCGCTCCGTCACAATAAACACACGAACCATGGCTTGTTGCCTTAGCCCGCCGCGGGCCCCACCCCCGACTCTGTCACGGCCGTACGCTCGGCTGCCTGTATGGTATCGTACGCGTGTAGGGAAAGACCCTGTTCGTAAAGTACAGTACTGTTCTATACCGTTCTGCAACGGTAAGTTACTGTTGACTAACGGTTCAGCTCGCTGCCTGGCTGCCTCAGGATCAGATCTCACCACATCATCGACTCCATCCCAGCGATCAGTCCACGGAGAACGACTCCGGCCTGGATTCTCCGCGCCAGCACATCCATCTCGCTCCGATTCTCCATCCCCTCCATTCCCTCCGTCGCTATTCTTACATTCCACCCGTTCAAGGGCGCCGGATTACAACCTACTCAGCTCTCCCTTGCCTCGCCGGCTTCGTCCGCCTGTCGCGCATCGCCGTGTGGAGCCAGCCCGTCAGAACGATAGTGCCGCGTAGTCACCTCCTAGTCGCCACGGGGACCCGTCCGTCAGCTATCGCGGCTCAATCAGCTTCTGGGCTGTTCAGCTGTTCGACCTGTTTCTGAATAACACCGCGCCAGATATTCCACCATGGCGCAATATTTCTTCGATCTCCTCTATAACTTCACCGACTGCATGTGCTGTTTCCCGAGCACGCCGCAGCTCAAGATCAACAATCGCAGTTTCAAGTTACTCCGACTTCTCGGTGAAGTATGACCGTCTGGCTTTGCTCCATGCAACCGGGATGCGCGACGCTGACGATCACCGCATTATGCTAGGGCGGCTTTTCCTATGTCTACCTCGTTCAGGACAAATCCACCTCGGAGCTGTTTGCGCTCAAGAAGATCCGATGTCCGTTTGGTCAGGAGTCGGTCTCCCAGGCTCTGAAGGAGGTGGAAGCCTACAATCTGTTCACTTCGCAGAGCAACATCATCCATTCCATTGACCACTGTGTGTCTACTGAATCGGGTTCGAAGTTCCGCGCCGACGGCGGTGATGCCGGATCGAAGACGGTCTACATTCTTCTGCCCTACTACCAACGGGGTAATCTTCAGGACGCCATCAATGCGAACCTAGTCAACCATGCCCGGTTTCCAGAAAAGCGCTTGATGGTGCTGATGCTCGGAGTGGCCAATGCACTCCGAGCGATGCACCTGTACCGGGTTAGGAGCGGTACCGGCCCTACGCGCAAGGCGAAAGCTGTCAGACGGGAGGGCGCCGAGGCAGATGCCGAGGTTGCTATGCGGATGGGGAAGCCCAAGCGACGCGGGAGCCAGGCGGATGAAGAAGAGGAGAACGAGCCATTGATGGATGACGAGGTCACGATGAGCCAAGAAGGCGTTCAGGACGGCGACCTGCGCCCATATGCTCACAGAGATATTAAGCCTGGTATGTGACTGTTGGCCGTTGAGGACTGCCCGCTGACTCCTGCAGGAAACATTATGATTGCCGATGATGGTCGCACACCGATCCTGATGGATCTGGGATCGCTAGCACCCAGTCCGATAGCCATTACCTCCCGGTCTCTTGCCTTGGCCGTCCAAGACACGGCTGCCGAACACAGCACGATGCCATACCGAGCGCCCGAGCTGTTTGATGTCAAGACGGGGTCTATCATCGACACCAAGGTGGACATTTGGTCCTTGGGATGCACGCTCTACGCGTGTCTGGTGGGCAAGAGCCCTTTTGAAGCCCGCAGCGAAGAGACTGGTGGCAGCTTGAGCATGTGTGTCCTGGGTGGAGATTGGCGATTCCCCGATGAGAAATCGAGTGCTACAAAGGGTAAAGGCAAGGCGGGCGGCGACGACAGCCGCAAAGACAATACCATGCAGATCAGCGCGCCCGTGAAAGAGGTGGTGCGCAAGTGTCTGCAGGTGGAACCGGCCGACCGGCCGGACATTGACGAGCTGATTCAGATCCTGAAAGATGTGATCAAGGATCTCCCGGAGGAAGACGAGATTGCCAGTGGATCGAGCTGAGCTTGATGCAGCAGCCTCTGTGGTGTTTTCACTGGTTGATTCCCTGATGTCATGTTCCTGTGGGTGTCTGGTGGTGGCCAGATTGTATTATACGAACAATGCTGAACATATCGTGCTTCTGATGGTCATCTGCGGGGGGTTAATGTTATGTCCTGTTACTGAGCTTGATACCAGAATAAAAAACTTGGCTGCAGGCGGCAGATTGGGATTCTTGGGCCACTAGTGCGGTCCACTGTAGGAGTATCCAAGGTATGTTTGATGCGATCGGGCCATGCCATGGTTGACCGACGATCGGTTCTTCTAGTCCATCTGTAGGCCTCGGCACCTAAAGCCGCTACCTCGCCATCAATCAGGAGTCACCCAGGATCGAATGTCCTCGAGCTTTACAGTGCTCCAGAAACTGAGAAAGGTGCATGGATCCGACGGGTTTTCTCGATTCTGCCGACCGAGGGATATCAGTAACTGTCAGCAGTAAGGAGGCCGACGTGAGCGCTAGTCGGCTGCTATCAGTCTTGAGCATCAATCATCCCGAGCTCCTTGCTTCGCTTGCCGACGACCCCGCCTGGATTGGGCAACTACAAGCGGAAGCGAATCGAGGCCGCGCGGGGAAGACGCCAGCTGCTTATCACCGATGCACGATGCTCGAGATATCCCTGCGTGATAGCGGAGTGGAGCCAGACTCTTTATCAGTTGAGAGCTGCATCCGGGCCAGTGTAACGGAGTCATTCCGCCGGCTTATCTGCGATGATAAGCGAGTATTGACTGGATATGACGCTGCGTCAAGCGGGGAGAGATGATGTCTGATAGGATCGTGCTCGGAGATTTTCTGATAAACTGCCTTCCCACGCTCAGACTCTTAGTCCCGCCGTCCTTCATCTCCTCTTCATCGCCAACATCATGACCCCCAGCCTGGATACTACTGCCATCCCGGGCACCGTCACCCTGGTGGACTTGGAACATGTCGTCGCCACCCGCCATGCCCGAGGTGACAGCGACATTGTTCTGATTCCTCAACCGTCGGATGATCCTGATGATCCTTTGAATTGGGCTCCGTGGCGAAAGACGCTCTCGACCATCTGTGTCAGCGTGTATGTCTTATGCAAGTGTCAGATTACAGGGCTAACATGATGCACTAGATACACGTTGTTTGCCGGCATTGCATGCTCTGTCGTGTACTCGGTGCTTACGCAGATCTCTGATGCAACCGGCATCTCGGTCGACACTCTTAATCAGGGAACGGGCTATATGTTTCTGTTTGCCGGATGGGGGCTGTTGTTCTGGCAGCCTTTGGCACTGCAGTATGGCAAGCGGTTGACTTTTATTCTGTCCTTGATCGGTATGCTGGTATGATCGCCCAGCGCATTCTCGCGATAACGACTGACTTGTATAGGGCACGTCGATGTGGGGGTAAGTCGTTGCAGATGATGCAGATGAGCTGTGTATATACTGACCGTGTCAGTCCCTACATTCACACCAACGGTCAGTGGATTGCAAGGAGTATACTTTCGGGGTTCTTCCTTGCCCCTATTGAAGCCCTCCCAGAAGTGACCGTAACGGATGTGGTAGGTCGCCCGAATCAGTACACCGCGCCAGCTGACGATGTAGTACTTTACCCATGAGCGGGGGACCTACATGGCATTGTATGCGTTCTTCCTCGCAGGAAGCAATTACTTTGCCCCGGTGATCTGCGGGTTCATCGCCCAGTACCAAGGCTGGCAATGGGTATTTTACTGGCCCAGCATTTTCTGCGCCGTCGGCATCGTGTTTCTGTTCTTCTTTATGGAGGAGACCAACTACGTGCGCGAAAAGCCAGCCCCGATGACTCCGACGGAGTCTTTGCGGATGTCGGAGCAGGGCGAGAAGGAGAAACGCCCGGCTACTGATATATCCCCGGGGGACGCCGAGTGCGGGGTGATGTACAAGAAGAAGACATATCTGCAGAAGTTGTCACTTCTCGGGCCCAGTTTGCCGAGGAATAACATGTTCCGGCGACTCTACCAGACATTGTATTATCTGAGCTGGCCAGTGGTATTCTACGCAGGGTATGTGCTCCACGACTGTCTCGACATGGCTAACTGTGCAGATTCTCGTATGGCTCATATCTCATCTGGTTCAATGTGTTGAACGGCACGGCCTCGGTCATCCTCGGTGGTGCGCCTTATCACTTCAGGTCAGTCCATCCCTCAAGCTTTACACTATGCTAATTTTTGCAGCTCCGCCATGGTGGGTCTCAGCTATGTATCCTGTATTGTCGGGACCATTCTCGCGTGAGTCTAACCCTCCAAGAGAAGTCCAGTCTAACAGCAACAGTTTCCTCTTCACCGGACGATTCAGTGACTGGCTCACGATCCGCCTTGCGAGACGCAACAATGGTGTCATGGAAGCCGAGCAGCGGTTATGGCCATTCGCAGTGTGTCTGCTGATCGTGCCGGGATCATTGCTGCTGTGGGGTGTAGGCGCCGCGCACCAGATACATTGGTTCGGACTAATCGTGGCGATGTGTCTGTTGGCACTGGCCAACACGTGCGGCATCACGCTGAGCGTCAACTACCTGGTAGACAGCTACCGAGAGCTCAGCGGGGATGCGATGGCGAGTGTGATTCTCGTCCGCAACACCATGTCATTTGCCATGGGATACGGGTATCCTCTGCCCCTTTCCCCTTTTCTACAAACATGATCTAATGAATTTAGAATCACCCCCTGGGTCGACCACCTCGGCTACCAAAATTGCTTCATCTCGGCCGCTTTTGTGGGAATGACCTGCGCGGCAGTCTTCCTGGTGATGATCAAATACGGCAAGACATTCCGGATGCACAGTCGCGAGAAATATTGGCGGATTGTAGGGGAGAACTGGGAACGGGGAATGGGACATTAGCTTCGCCTGATTCTATGACCTTATGATGTGATGTATTGATCATACAGTGATAGATTACAGTGCCATATTCCGCTTGAAGTTGTAATATATGGTTCTTTACAATAAACAATATCACAATGGGGTTGTTCCAATTGAAACCAGTCAGTCACGTTGATTCCAACTAATCTTTTATATTTCGATAGGTCAGTAGATGTAGGGTACAACAATGAACTATGTGCTACACTGAATATCGACCATCTTTTTTCATCCTCGGTTTTTTATAGTTGTTTGTTCATTTCTTTCACAGTTCTTTTCACTCATGCCGGAAATAGATCCCATTATAGGACTGATAGAGTAGAACCCCGGAGATATATGCCCAGCATTAGAGAGTAGTACTAGTACTTCTACCACTTGTAGTAGTAATAGCAGAAATGAACACCGTAGCATATCATAGTACGTCTCTTCATCCTCCTCGTGCCTTGATATCAATATTGTCATAAATGTCAAAACACCACCCAACCAAGACACACACACACACACACACAGAGAGAGAGAGAGAGAGAGAGAGAGAGAGAGAGAGCACAACATATCCCCAATAAATACTAAATAAACTATCCCCTCCCAAACTTCCACCTCATCGCCACATCCCCCTCAAACCTGGCCCTCAACAACCCCAGTACCCATTCGCGTTCCATCCGTTCCAACATCTCCTGTGGTGATTCCTCTACCTCCTTCTCCTTTGCCTCATCTCCGTCCCCTTCCCTATCCCCTGCATTCCCCCCAACCCCAACCGATGCACCAGTAGTAAAAGTAGGCGACTCACACCCCCTCAACCCAATAAACCTTCCAAACCGCCTCCTCTTCGTCTCCAAATCCACCCCCTTACCCCCATCCCCATCCCTCCCCATCCACGCCGGTATACTCACCGGATACCAATACGTCGCCGGCACCGGGGGATACACCTGATGGAAGTGTGTCGCGAGGGCGTCGAGTTGGGATGAGGTGAGGAGGTTGTAGGTTAGCAGGCTGGTGGGGAAGTCGGGGTGCGGGTGGCCGGTGGTGCTGGAGATGAGGGGGTGGAGGGGGGTGAGGAGGTGGGTTAATGTTGGGTGGAATTTGGGATGGGGTTTTTTGGGGTTGGGGGTGTTAGAGGGGAGGGTTGGAGGGGTTGGGGTGGTGGTGGTGGTGGTGTTGTGGGGAGTGGAGGTAGGGCTGGGAGAGGGGGAGGGAGTGAATGAGGGTGATGGAGTAGATGGAGTCGATAGAGTGCAGGGAGAAGAGTGTGGTGGGGATGGCGGTGTTGGGTAATATGGAGGATAGTAGTAGGCGTATGTGTTGTAGGTATAAGTTGGTGTCTGAGGTAAGATTGCAGAAAGCGGAGGAGGAGAGTATGGAGGTATTGGCGTGGATGAATCTGCGGTTGGTGAAGAAGACCGTGATGTCTTGACCCGTGGACGAGATGGTTGTAGACGATGAGGCCGGGTTCGACGATGCATTGTAGGTTGACGTCGCTTCAGAGGCCGTCCGGAGAGTGGCAATGGAGATGTCGATGGGCTTTCGGAAGCACTCGGATTATAACGACGCTTCATCTTGATGTGGTCTGATTATATATAACAGCGATATTCTTTGTAGTGAGGAGCTGGGAATGGACAACATGTATGTACGACAGGAACAGCTGTATATAAATTGGGCTCTTTGTTAATCACGCACAATGAGCTTCCGTGCTATAAAAACTCGAAACGCCATTCTCCGACGTCCTTGTCGCTGAACCTCTTTCTGCTCGTCATTGTTCGTGCCAGCTCGGGCACATCCCGAAGGATAAAGCTTATTATCTACTGAGATCCTTTCATCGACAGCCGACTCCCATTGTGGTACGGTCATATGCCAGCTACAGCGTGCCACTTCCCTCATTGTCCCTTACAAAGATCTAACAACCAGGGACAATGCGAAACACAACATGCCTCAATATCAGCTGACGCAGCATCACATCAAGCATCCAGTGCTACATGCTGCAACCGTCTTTCCATCGACGGTTGCTTGGTCGCGCTAAACTCGGCAAACTCCTGCGAGGCAGGCGGCAGTCCCACATACTTGTTGATCCAGTTGAGCACCGTGTGGTGCCACATCAGCGAGTTCTCCGGGTTCAGCACCCAGTGGTTCTCGTCCGGAAAAGTCAAAAACGCACTATCCACCCCCCGCATCTGCAACACGTTGAACGCCGCAAGTCCCTCGGCGATGGTCAGTCGGTAGTCCAGCTCATTGTGGATCACCAGGTGCGGGGTCTGCCAGTTGGCCGTGTGTCGCGATGGGTCCCACCGCTCCCAGTTCTCCGGGACCTTCCACAGCGGACCCTGGAGATCCCGCACCGGGAAGTACAGCTCTTCGGTGGAGAGCATCGAGGTCATGCTGAAGACGCCATCATGGGTCACCAAAGCTTTGAAGCGCCGACCAAGAGGGTGTCCCTGGATCCAGTTGACCATGTAGCCACCAAACGAAGCGCCCAGCGCTACAGCCCGCGAGGTGTCGACGTACTCCAGGTTGTTCTCAATGTAATCGAACCCCTTCTCAAGGTCAATGTAGGGCAGTCCGCCGTAGCAGCCACGAATCTCGTCCGTGAATTTCTGGCCGTAGCTGGTGCTGCCCCGCGGGTTGGGGGTAATCACAACATATCCCTGCTCGGCAAACACGGCCGGATTCCACCGCGTACTCCATTGATCACACCATGCACCTTGGGGACCACCATGGATCAAGTACGCCAATGGGTATTTCTCGCCCGGCTTGAAGTTGGACGGCTTCACAACCCAGGCGTGGACCGGGGTGTCGTTGGCGCCCCGGTACCAGATCTCATCCACCTGCGAGGGAGAGAGACCGAAGGTAGCACCATTGCGGCCGATCGAAGAGATGACGCGCACATCAGTCGGGGACTCTGGGTCCACAATCGACCAAAGGCTGTTGTCCACCAAGCTCGTGCTGGAAATCAGCAGCTTAGACGACGTCGAGGAGGCTGGATAGACATCGGTGACGAAGCCGGAATGCGTGATTTTCTTCAACATGTCAGGGGTGGAATGGCGGATGTCGGCAACAGGAAGCTGATACAACACTCCACGACCATTCTCTTCGACTTGGATATACAAAGTCTGATCATCGTTCGAAAATACCAGTCCAGAAGGACTCAGATCCCAGGAGCCCTCTCCGTCCGGAGAAGCGAACGCCTCGATCATCTCGCCACTCCACGGGTTGGGCACGTACAAGATACGTCTCTTGTCGGACTCGTACCCATCTTCGCGCATGGCCAGGAGGGCAATGGAGCTACCGTCTGACGTCAGGATCGGGGAAGACATGGCTCCCTCAAGACCCTTCACCGCACAGACCTTGGCCTCCAGCGCAGTCACCCCGGTCCATGAAAACATCGGACAGTAGTAACACGAGCAGGAGGTGTGCGTGGCAGGATTGAGGTCCGGATCTTTCGCCACAAACACAATCGCCGAAGGGCTAATGTCAAAGTCGCCGGTCCCTCCGAACGGTGGGATCGGGGCTTCGACGCCTGTCAAACCGGACACCGAGATCAAGTTCGTAAGTCCGGAGACCGAATATTTCCCGGCATGTCTGGTAGCAGGAGACAACGGGGCACGTTGAAGCAGACCATACCAGATGGCATTCTTCTGCGGCTCGATGTACGCATCCCAGTGTCTCACATACAGTGTGGTAAACAGCCGACCCGTGGTCACCGGCTTCTTTGCGTCCTGCGGGTTGTGGAGCGTCCCGTCGGGATTGGCCTTGCCAGACACGGCGAAGCCAATCTTTCCCGGCTCGATGACGGTGACCTTGAGATCCGAGACGGGTCCCGGTACGGTGCCCGCCGTGTATGTTTTGTCCACCTCGTGTGCATCGCCCACCACGAACCCGGTGTTGCCGTTGGCCTTGGCCTTGAGCCAGACCAGTTGGTCGCTGTCTCCCAGCCATTGCGGACAGCTGGCACCCGCATCATTCGTAATTAAGGCTGACCGACCGGTCGCGATGTCGAGAACGCGGATCTCATTGGTCTTGGAGTGGGACTCGAAGGAGTAGGTAGTCTGCGTGTAGACCGCAAGAGTGCCCGAGGCATTGGGAACTGGCCCCGAGCACCTCGGGGCTCCGAGCAGGACCCTGATAAGTCAGCGCGCTTCAGATTAAAGGCTATGGAGAATAAATAGAAGGGCTCAATCAATGGTATTATGCTTACTCTGGAGTGAACTTCATGGGTCGGATGGTCATCACCTTCACCGACAGTCAGTAGCTGATAACGGTGATAAGATAAGGTGCTTACAGCTCAGGTAGGACAGCAGATGAGGGTGTGACGAGAGGAAAGACATGCAATGTTCCTCCTCAGGGCTGATGAGTGTCAGAATGGAAGGGAGCAGAAAATGAGGGATGAGGATGAGGATGAGGAATGGAATGGGGACCGTGAGGGGAAGCGAGACATGCAGCGGCGTGGCGTGAACAGCTGATGATCGGCCGGGCTTCCCACGGACTCCCGGACGGTCCCTCAACCACTCAACAGGTGGATTGACTGTCAGCAACCAGATATTGATGCAGCATGCTGCATTCTCTCTAAGTCTATTGATGTTGAATTTAATTGACATTTAGCCATCACATCGTCGTTCCTGGCGTGGAACGTCAGGGTCCCTCAATGCGGGGTATCCATTAGCTCCTCAACTGGCCAACACCTCGGGTGGGTACCTCAGGGACCCATCAACGTCCCTCCAGTGATGGTATTTGTGCATTTTATACCAGGCTGACATGATCTCAGAAGCGGGAAGAATTCTAGATAGTTATATAACGAATATCCTTAGCCCCCTTGGAATTCACACCTACTACACATAAAAAGGACTCCTGCAAGGCTTCGGAGGCTGCTCCATAGTGGATAGAGCCAATGCCAGCTAGATGGATCCACGATACAGGATGAAACAATGTTCTTTTGGTGACATTGTATGGTGGAGATGCACAAGTCTTGGACCGGCTCGGCTATTGTGGGCGAGCCGAGTGGACAGGCCGAGCACTGCTTCGGCCACCTTCATAAAGGAGGTACCCTGTCCACCCGGCAGAGAGGATCGTCTTCTCACTTATACTACTCTACTACCTCTACTCAAACAGGTCAGAGCAATTAAAATGCCATTAAAGGTTGTCGTGGTTGGTGCTGGCCTGGCGGGCTTGGGCGCCGCAATTGCTTTGAATCGCCAAGGCCATGATGTCGAGGTATCGAGCCGAAATGAACTGGATCTATATTCATAGCTTAACTCTGCTGCAGATTCTCGAGCAATCTGGATTTCTCAACGAAGTGGGAGCTGCCATCCACATGGCACCAAATGCCACACGCATCCTCAAAGACTGGGGATGCAACTTGGAGGGTCTGCAGCCCGTACACTGCGACAGCCTGCAGATTTGGGATCAACAAGGGAACCACATCCGAACTCCAATTGTAGGTGACATCTTTAATCAGGCATGTTAAATCAGGCTAATAATTAGCATAGGTGACAAAGGATGTCCAGGAAACCCTAGGCATTCATGACGAGTGGTTGCTTACACACCGAGTGGATCTGCACAATGCTCTAAGGAATTTGGCCGCAAAGGAAGTGAACGGCACGAAGCCTACCATTCATCTCCGCTCTCGTGTGGCATCCGTGGTTCGTATACACTGTTGCTTAGTATACGAGACTTTGGCCTACTAACCTAGCTGCGTCACTAGGATCCCGAGGCTGGCGAGGTGACGCTCGAGAATGGCACCAAGTATACTGGTGACTTGGTTATAGGTGCGGACGGCATTCATGTAAGTCTGAATACTACTTGACGCTTGGGCTATATCTTGCTGACTGACGGCTCTGCAGTCTCGATGCGTTCGCAGTGTCACTGGCGACAGCCAACAAAAGGAAAGCACGGGCCAAAACTGCTTCCGCTTTCTCATTCCGACTTCCAAAATGAGGAGCAACCCTCTCACTGCATCTCTTCTGGACAAGATGGGGTCTGGCGGTGTGCACGTTTTTGCTTCGGGTGATCGAAGACTGGTCATCTATCCCTGTCGTCACGGTGAATTGCTCAACTGTGCGGGTATTCACCCATCGGGATCCGACTCTGGAGCTAAAGATTCCTCTTGGCTTGACAGCGGAAATCTGGATCAGTTGCTTGAGGCATATAAAGACTTCGGTCCGGAGCTCCAAGAGATGTGCAAATTGGCGGAGGACCTGAAGCTCTGGAGCCTAGCATCTCGCGCGCCGCCGCAGACATTCGTCCATGGCAAACTAGCACTCGTCGGAGACGCGGCTCACCCAACCTTGCCTCGTGAGTAACAATACTCTGGCCAAGATCCTCAGTCTGTCTTGATTGTCAACTACTGACCATATACTAGATCAAGGCCAAGGTGGTGCACAAAGTTTTGAGGACGGAGCAGCTCTTGGAGCCCTATTTCCTCCCGAAACCACCCAAGAGGATATTCCAGAACGACTGCAGCTCTACAACCAAGTCCGGTATGGACGAGCCGTTACAGTGATGATGATGTCCAAGGTAGACGATGATCGCCGAGCCCAGATGCTGGACGAACTGAGGACGTATGTGCCGGATGCGCAGTTCCCGAAAGATATGTTTTCCTTCACCTGGTCCTCCTTCCCGGGTCGGGATGCTGAACGGCTACTTCGGAACGCCCAAGTTAGCGCCTAGAGCGCAGCAGGAAAATCAATTCTATACAATCGGGATATGGCGGCCTTCCGATCCCACTCTAATTGCTGCATGATATTAGCAGACGTAAATCCCTTGTGCGTAGTTCTATACCAGATCAGTGTCGGTGCCGCAAGAAGTGGTGTAGATCCATCCATCCATCCCCTTCGGGTTTAGCGTCGATGGGAAGGAACGAGCCGGCCGAATGTCGGGTCTTCTTAGTTCTTCATCCTTCAACCATCCACTTTATTTGCTAGTTCCTTGGTTGGACCTCGTCTGTTTCCAAAGTGATTGCTGCCCACTCGTATCAACTCATGAGATGCAATCCGCCGAGCTACAGTGCGAAGCCTGCAACGCTTCGTTTCGCCGACGCGAGCACTATCAACGGCACATCCGTACCCATACCAAGGAGAAACCCTTTGCTTGTGCCGAGTGCGGTCAAAGTTTTAGTCGAGTGTATGTGCTGCGTAGCTCCTGTGTATGCGGCATCCGTACTGACTCGATCTAGAGACTCTCTTGCCCGACATTATGACACGGTGCATACATGCCCCGCTGGTGGTGACCAGCCCAGTGAGCGACGCCGGGTAGCGCAGGCATGCAAGCGGTGCAATCTGTCCAAAGTGCGTTGTGATGGTAATCAACCGTGCCAGAGGTGCCGAACACATGGTGCCGACTGTTTCTATCAGACGCCTCAGAAGCGCAAGCTCGTGAACTCTGCTTCTGCGACATGCCCCAAAAGGCACCGCGGCACCGATTCAAATCAGGGTTCACAGTCTACCCCGTTATATGAGGATGGGATGTCGACCCAATTTTCAGGAGTCGGCCTACCATCATCACCGGTCACCCAGGCAGCCGCTCAGACGCAAGTAGTGCCGCCAGTAATAATGTCCAGAGAGGTGGGAAATGCAAATATGTTGACACTGCCCGGTAACCCTACTACTCCAGTCGCTGCGACCGAAGCGAATAGCCCGAGCATGTTTTACACTGATGTAATGGGATTCGAAAGCTTCCTAGGCATCGATGTTGATACCAGCGTGCTATCCAATATCTTTGATCAGACCCCCCCACTGGATGAACTTAACGATATATGGCTGGCAAGCGCGGATACGGCAGTGCAAGCCCCTTTAAATCCGGTCTCAAGGGCGCCTGGACCAGTTACCCCATTGACACCAACCGCGGTTGCAGAAACCTACAGTCGTAGCCACTCCCCCGAGTCCGACGCGGCTATGGAACCAAGACGGTATCACCCGACTAGCACCGATGTCGATGTGCAGCTGTCGTTTCCCAACATGGAGAGCCTGCCAATTGAACAAGTGGAAGAAGAGAACTTTGCTCACGTGGATGAGGTACCTGCTACAGTTCTGGAGGAAGTAGTTCGCCTGGCTGAAGTCATGGAAAACACCCCTACCTTTCCGCGATTTACGGAACTACGAATCCCGTCCTTGCCGGTGATAAATTCCTGGGTGCAGCTCTATTTTGAGCACTTTCATCCGGTATTTCCTGTGCTCCATAAGCCAACCTTTTGTACCCCAGAGACGCATTGGCTTCTTATATTTACTGTAAGTGCCATAGGCGCTCAATATTCAGGTCTGCCGAATGCGCAAACATGCTCTAGAGCCATGCATGAGATGATCCGACGTCAGTCTCTACACCTGGTAAGTTAGGTTCGGCTAAGCTGTAATAAGACAGCCGCGACTGACAGCCTTGGCACTTCATAGTGTGAAAATTATAATCGAAATGCTCGGGAGCTGTGGTTTGTGCTGGTCCTACTCCTCAACCAGTTGGGATTGAGGTACTCTGGCGAACGAAGGGCCCTGGAAGTTGCTGAAGTATATCAGGCAATTCCAGTTACTGTTGCACGACGTAACCGGTTGCTCAAAAGTACCGTGTCGCTCCACAAGATCCTCCAGCTGAAGGTTCCCATGGCCCAGAAATGGCCGATTTGGACATTTGACGAGCAGCGGCGACGCACAGGCTTTGCCATCTGGGTTAGTGGACCTCACACAAGCTCTCTAGACTACCCGAGATGATATCTACCTCTAACCTCTAACCATGAGACACAGCTGTCTGATATGGCATTCCATACTCACTTAGATTTGTCCTCTGTGATACAGATCGACGAAATGCAGAATACCCTTCCACAAACAGAAGATCTCTGGGAAGCGTCGACCGCCCCGGGCTGGGCGAGTTTCCCGTCACGTATAGGTGAGTGATGATAGTCCACTAAGTAGAATCATCACTAAGTCATCAGGAAACGCTCCCCTAACTATAGGGCATATCACTACGGACAGGAGTTGGTCGGTGGCTTGGTTCAAAACCGGGACTCTCGGAAAACAAGTCATTCTCCAGCTTTTGCTGAATGCTATCCATGATTTTGGCGGACTCCACGAGCTCACCACGTCCTCCATGGCTAGGAATCAAATAGAGGGTGAATTGAAACATCTCCTGGATATTACAGAAAAGGAAGTCGAGCTCTCCATCACTGAACTCAAAGCCTGCGTGGCTCACAGGCTCATCATTCTCTATGCCCTCATGATCAACAATCTTCCAAAAATGCTTTTACTGCCTGCAGCACTGAAGATCAAAAGTCGGCATTGTAACGAGGTCGAGCGAGCCAAATTAAGAGGTGACTGGGACGCTGCGCCAGGACAAGGGCGACTGGCCGTTTTCTATGCAGTGCGGGTGATCGAAACCGTGCGCTCTCATTACTGCGCCCACTTTTCTACCCCCGTCATCTTTTTTAGGGCTACATTGACCCTATGGATATACTCTGCGCTTTACAGCCCGCCTTGCGGTTCCTCTGCCCCGGCTGAAGCGCCATCTATTGCCCTTCGTGCACCGCACTGGGGCGGTGCTCACGCCACCCGGTGGATTGACTCTGGATGGGGTCGTGTCAAACTGCCCGGGATCGGTGACTTCATGTCTTCACAAGGCCGCGTCAAGCTCTTAGATGAGGCAATCTTGAGCTTCAGAACGATAAGGTTCTGGGGAATTAGTAAGATCTACGAGCAAGTGCTGGCACGGCTCCGGACTTAGACTCACTGGCAAGAGGTGAACAATCACAACGCAATCAGAACTTCCTTTCATACCGTCATATACTCAGAGCCCCCCTAGTCCCGTACGATGGCAAGTGCTGAGGAACAAATGCCAATGCAGCACTTGAGAAGAGACCACTTTTTCTCGAGCTGAATACTTTAGGTTCTCAACGGCTACTACGAGTCCGTCAACCACAATGTCAAAGTCATCTATGACACGTATATGGGCTGGTTTGATGGCAACCCGGCAGATCTATGAAAACACCCGCCCAGAGAGGAAGCGATTCAGTATGTCAAGTGCCCGGGGGGATGAATAAAGCGATCGATCTCAAGGCTACAAAAACCACAACAATATTCGGTTCGCAGCTACCCTCCTCAGCTACGCAGTCTTGTTCAACCCAATCAACGAATGGCAAAGGATGTCTTGGCTGACATCTATCAAACCCTGGGTTATGGTGCCGAAAACGGGACCTGGCGTAATATCTATCTGACGGGTGCAAAGGAGCTGCGCGGAGAAGTTCAGGGCGGTATCGACAAAATGGCACCTGAGACGTTGTTCGCCTTTAACTTGGATCAGCTGATGGACACCATGGCCATCTGACTCAATGCACGCAAGGCCTGGGACGTCGAATCCTTTACAATCAATATGATGACCACGTGCCCCGAGAGCGGCAAAGATCCCGGGGGATGGCATATGCGATTGAGCAACTCGGCCCTGACCGGCCGTGCGCTTCCATATTCAGCGCCTGGAAATCCGTCGCCTATCTCAGCTGATCTGACCATCTACGTCACCCGCACGCAGCTTAACGAGCTCGTGAGTAGCGTGCGGAAGTCTCTCGAAGGTCTCGAAACCACTGGCGATCGTGAGGTTTGGCAGCAGCTAAGACAGTTGCTGACCACGCCTAACTCATCGTTCAATATCGTGACACCTCTCGAGTATGATTCTGACTCGGATCAGTAAAGTATCATCTGAGAATAGTATCTGTCAATTGCCCTCAACCTGTCATATAGTAATATCTTTGGTTGGGTTGTCTTTATTCTCAAAGATGGGACGGAATTAAAACCAACTGCTTTTCTCCATTCTGTTTGGACTTAAAGAAAGCAATCCCTACAAACACTCTCAACATCAACCCCACAGATCCGGATTATCTGTACTGTCTCCTTTTGGTTGATTATATCGTAGAATGGCTGCTTACTGAACCTCTAGTAAATATAAGAGGCACATCAGAGTCTTCAAGATAAGCATCAAGTAAAGTGAGAGAAATTGAATAAACACCGATCTGTGATTCCACATTACACATATAATTACAGAAATGCGAAAAGCGTAACGAAATCATTTATAGAATAGCCCCACCGTCAACCGGAGAGACATCATCTACTCCTCCTCTTCCTCCTCCTCGCTCTCATCCTCATCCATGCCCTCGGCAGCCGTGACAGTGAAGGTAGGAGCTTGATCCACACCCACGTAACTATCACTCATCAAGTACAGGGTGAGCTCATGCTCACCAGGCGTGGGCACGATGTACTCGAGACGGAGCTCCAACTTGCGACCGATAGTGATCCGCTTGATAGCGAGGAGGTTCTTGGTCTTTTCGTCGCCGACCACCAGCCACCAGTTCTCCATCTTCTTGTTGGGGTAGAAGGGGGCGTGCACGGAGGTGTCGGGTTCTTCGTCTTCCTCGACCTCCCGCTCGATCTTGATGTTGAGGTAGGATGGCTCGCCGGAGGTGATGTTCTCGGGGTCTTCGACTTGGAAGTCCAGTTCGATGTTGGGGTACTTCTCGTTGGTGAAGGCCGCGGCTTGGGCGAGCTGCTTGTTGTCTAGACCCAGGCGCTTGACCAATGTGGTGTAGTCCTTGTTCTCGGATGGGTCCATCGCTTCCATGAACTCGAAGATGTCGTTGATGCTGCAGGGATAATTAGTAATGGTTTCGAAGGGGAAGGGGAGAGGAACATACTTGTACTCGTTGGCCACCTTGATGGCGTCGGGGCCAAAGTGAGGAATCTGCTTCAGAGGGCTATCCCGGTCCCACATGGCTTGGACGACCATCTGTGACATCTCCATGGCGTTCATGGCGTTCAGGTGACCCTCTGACGAGAGAACATCGACACAGGCACTGAGCAGGTTGAGGATCTTGCTGACAATAACCTCCTGGTCCTTGGCCAGATCAATCGGCAACTGCATGCGCGAGAAGTGGGCTTGCAGGAGCACGAAAGCCTTAAAGTGGGGCGAGTCGTAGGCGACTTGCGACATCTTGACGGGCACACGGTCGTACACGCGACGAAGGATGTGGTCCTCGTGACGGCGCATCTGGATGGATTCGAATTCGGTGGCGGACGTGACAATCTCCAGGATACCCTTGAGCTTCGTGCGGGCCGACAAGGAGAGGAGGAACGTCTGCATCGTGATGAAGGAGATGTTGTAGTAAGAACCGATCATGGCCGCGTTCAGGGGCGAGACACTGTCATCCTCCTCGTCCAGATCAACGATCTTGGCATCCGACAGTTCCTTGAGCGTGTTCTCCAGCAGCTCGGACAGGAAGGTACTGAGACCCTCGTGACTGACATCAGTCAGACCGTAGAAGCTGGGGTTAGCCAGGAGACGGCGGTAGAAGTAGGTGTGGGTCATCCAATCGATCGCATCCTGAGTAGATCCAATTGTCCTGGTGCTGATTTCCGTGACGAAGGCGTCGTGCAAGTAAGCTTGCAGGTGACTCTCAACAGGCAACGCTTCGTTCAAGAACTTCTTATAGTATTCCCGCTTGACAGCCGGAACCATAAGCACACCACGGCCGATCTTGTCCTCACCAGGGCGAGAAGCCTTGCCGAACATCTGGAGGATCTCGCTAATGGGGTAGTCGATGTAGCGGTGCTCCCGACCTTCAAAGAACTGGGTTCCCATGACAATCACCAGATGCGCGGTAAGATCGAGCTCCCAGCAGACATCCCTCGACGCAAGGAGGACCTGAATGGCACCGATGGTAAAGAGATGGGAGACGATGCGCTTGTCCGTCGCGCTAAGCGCTTCGTGGTAGTAACCAATGCCGTGAGAAAGCGACTCCGCCAGAGTCCGCTCTTGGACCCGGTTGAGAAGAGGAGCCAGCTCGTTGACGTCGGCGTTGAGGAACCGATCTTCATCATCGTCGGTAGCGCAGGCAGCAAGAAGGTCCATGGCAGTTTGACGGGTCTGCTTGCGACTAGGCACGAAAACAATGGCCGGCTTGTCAGGGGACAGCTGAAGGATGGAGAGATATGCTGGCCGAGCCATTGCGAGCATCAGTGAAGGGAAGTGGGGAATGGTGAAAGACTGGATATGGAGTTCGAGAGGCACCGGCCGGGCGTGCGGGCTGAAGTTGTAGATGGTATGCTTGTTGGCACCAATCCACTCGCCGAGATCGCGAGCATTGGCAAGCGGCACACTCAGCCCAACAATACGCATGCCACTCTCGGTTTCGAGCGCCATAGAGTGCATGCGCGAGACCACCACCTCATACACATATCCTCCATAGCCTCCGAGCATCTGGATCTCATCGGCGATGAACAGTTGCACAGTTCGTACATTCTTGCGCTTTCGCCACTGTCTGGACAGGACATCCCACTGGGTAGGAGTAGCGAGAACAAGATCGGCACGCTCCAGGAGCCTGAGGTCAGCCGTGGTCTCACCGGTAAGCTTCACGATAGTCTTTCCACCACCGATGTTGCTTAGCCGCTTCTCCCAATCGGCAAGGCGCTGGTCAACCAACTCCTGGAACGGAGCAATGTAAACAGCACGACCATTGTCTTCCTGGGCCCAATGGCGTAGCAGGGCAATTTCCGCGCAAACAGTCTTGCCACTGCCGGTAGGAGCGCCAACAAAGACGTTGTCATCGGTATCAAACAAAGACTTAAAGGTCTGCGTTTGAACCTTGTTAAAGTACTGCCACTCGGGATACAGTTGCTGGTACTCTTCGCGCTTCAGGGCCTTGATCGGAGCACGTTGCATGTCGAGAAGAGGAGTGTGAGGGGGGAAACGTTCGGGAAGAATCAACTTCTGGAAGGAAACAGCAATCTTGGTTTCCGAGTGCATCCAACGGTCCGAAACGAGAGAGATGAAGTAGTTGGGGGGCATGGGTTCGGTGATCGGAACAGTGAATTCGACGAGGTGCTCGTTCATCTCCGACTGCGCGATGTCTCCACGGAGGAGGAACTGGTCGTGGAACAGGATTTCCTCGCCATCACAGTCCTCGACCAGAATCCAGAAGTCCTGCGCATTTCCGTGCAGGGCCTCATCCCACACAAAGTTGGGGGTGATCGTCAACTCAACCCGCAGCATGGAACGAGTGATAGGTTGGACCTGAGCCTGGACCTCCAGACGGGGGAACTTGGCGACGAGGTCACAGACGACACGGCCAGCCTTGGGCATACCGAGAAGCTCACCCATCCGGGGAGGATCAAGGTCGAAATAGCTAGCCCAAGGCACTTCGATTCTCTCAGACTTCTGCAGGATGTCTCTGGGACAGGTAGGGAACTGACGCAGGGGCGACATTGTTGGCCACATGCGTCGTTCAGCCATCTTACAGAGGTTAAGAGCCGTCTTGGCTACGGATGACCAGCCCTTCTTCAGGGAAATCTCGAACACGGCGCGCAGAATACGACCAGCTGACTGAGTGACATAGACCATATCCGCCATAAGCGCAAGACCCTCAAGCTTAAGTCGGGAGATATAGGCCTGCAACAAAACATTGATCTTCGAATGAGGCTCGTCGATGCCTTCCTTGACCGGAACAGGCACACGTCCGAGCAACTTGGCCAGCTCAAGCTTTTCATCCTGGCGAACGGGGATATACTTGAACTCGTCACTCAAAGCGAAGATTCGGAACAATTCGATGGTGGTGATGGAGGGCTGGAGGTGCTGAGAGTACGTCAACATGGAGTTGTGGCCAATGTAGTAATGAGAGGCAATGCGTCCAAGCTCAGTCGATTGCAGACGTCCGGTCTTCTTGTCGTACTTGACCAGCCCTGCCCGCTCCAGGATGACAGCGGCAGAATGAACAAGATCGACCCGCTTTTGCTCCAGCGCGTCATCGTCTTCGTAGTCGGCACCAACACTGTATAATCCCGGTGAACGAAGCATACGGACGAACAGGTAGGTGTATCCGAGCCAGTCGACTCCCTCATCGCGGGTCCGAATATTACCAAGCACGATCTCAGCGTTCATGTTGTCGGCAAGCTTGCTCATGAGCTGACTCTCAATCGGTAGCTGCTGGTTCATAAGAGACAGATAGTACTGAATCTCGGTCTGAGAGGTGATAATGATACCCTCACCAAATGTGTCATACTGAGGCCGTCCAGCTCGTCCCAGCATCTGGAGGACATCCTGAGGGCTAAGCTCAACCCAGCTACCCTTCTCCGGAGAATAGATCTGGGTACCCTTGATGATGACGGTGTGAGCAGGAAGGTTGACACCCCAGGCAAGAGTGGCCGTGCAGACCAGGACCTGAATACTGCCATCACTGAAGAGCGCTTGAACCGAGTCACGATCCGCCAAACTCAGACCGGCATGGTGAATACCAAGGCCGTAAGGCAGGAGATCTTTGAGGGCGGCATCATCAACTGTCTCCGCTTCTTCGGCCAAGATGGCTCTGCTTGCAGCATCGCTTCGCAGAATCTGACCAATGGTCTCCATCTCCAAAGCCTTGTCCCTGATGTATCTGGCGGTCTTAGCGGTTTCCTTTCTCGAGTGGACAAAGATAAGCATCTGATTCCTCCGCTGTCCCACTTGTTCCAGAACCTTGTTGTAGCAGATGTCGTTCATCGTCTTCAGCTGCTTAATGGCCTTCTTGTCCGTGACACCGATGAACTCCTGCTTCAGTGGGCACGGCCTGTAAGACCCATCAAAGTGGAAAAGGCCCTTCAGGGGGTCCACGCGCAAAAAGCTTGCGACATCACGGTAGTTGGGGAGGGTAGCACTGAGACCAACGATTCGCACCGGGTCGCCGGTCTGCTCAACCTTGCGGATAGTCCGGCTCACGATGCTCTCGATGACAGGACCACGGTCGTCGTGAAGGAGATGGATTTCGTCGATGACGATAAGACGAACAAGCCTTGTGTAGCTCGTCTCGGACGCCTTTCTGGTGATGACATCAAACTTCTCCGGGGTTGTCACGATGATCTGTGTTTCAGCGATTTGCTGCTTGGTGAGTTGGCGATCACCACTCAGTTCTGCTACCTTGATGCCATACGGCTCCAATCGCTTGCCAAGGTTTCCAACCTGCTCTTGAACCAGCGCCTTCAATGGGGAGATGTAGATGATCTTAAAGTCATCGAGCATGATCTCCCCGGTTTCGGGGTTACGATTCTTTCCGATTTCGCGGAGAATGGTGAGCATGGCAACGTTCGTCTTTCCGGATCCTGTGGGCGCACAGACCAGCATGTTTCCATCATCATGGAACGCGGATGGGAAGCACTTCGACTGAACCCGGTTGAGCTCCTTCGAACTGCCAAAGCCAACACGAGCCCACTCGGGCAATTCGGTGGTCGGGATGTTCTTCTCACCGGGCTCCCTCTTCTGCTGGGGAGGCGGCACGTGAATCTCTTCGTAGCCCTTGAAGGTCCGTTTCGTAGAGCCCTGGGGCAGCTTCACGTTGGGATTCGTCATCAAGTGGTTACCCTGGTGGAACACGAGGTTCTCCAGGTTGATCAACCTCTTCGGCTGGAGACCCCGGACCAGCCCACCGTCTGCAGGCTTCTCCTCGGATTGTTGGGGTGCATTCGGAACATCGACATCCATCAAATCCAGCTTGATCTTTTTCTCTGGCCGACCGGCACCTTCGTCACGAGTGGCTTTTCCCCGGATCTCGTCCAAGATGGCGCGATGCCCAGCCTCGACCATCTCACTCTCGACCAAATGGCGGGCATCGGCATCTTCGGCCACCCGACGCCAGCGGGTAACCCAGACGACCTTATCCCGGTTGGTGACCAGCTTGGCGACCAGGTCCGGGTTCTCGTAGTCGAACAATTCCATCAGGTCGTTTTCCACATCACGCAGAGGCCGCTCTGCGCCGTCCTCGCCCTGGCCACCCAGGATTTCCAGCGCTTGGGTCGCCTTCTCGTGTTGTACGTGGGCATCGGGATATGCGGCACCGATCTGACGCTGAAGCCAATAGGCGTCGATTTCCCGGGCAGGTATCGTGAATCCCTTGTCGCGTCGCTCTGCACCCCGACCTAGACCGCCATCAATGACCATCTCCTCGGTCTCCTCGAGTCCGTCCAGATCTGCCTTCTCGGTGGTGGTTTCGTCGATTCCAGTGCCGTCCTGTTGATCTGGCTCCTCGTCCTCTGACAATTCATCGTCATCGCGTACCTCGTCCAGAGTGCCCATGCGCTCGTCGTCCTCCTCTTCGTCATCGAACATGACAGCCACACCCTGGCGCTCATCCAGTTCGCCTTCGCCTTCCCCATCCATGCCGTCACCCATCTCTTCGTCGTCATCCTGCGCGTCGTAGTCGGTGATTTTCTTGCCGAGGTTGACGAGCTCGTTGAACTCCTTGGGATTCATCGAACTGCCGAGCAAGTCATCAATCTCCTTCTTCTTGTCAAAATCCTTCATCTCCTCGTCCTTCAACAGCTCCAGCACAGCATCTGCAGCGCTTCGAACGACTTCGTGAGGGACATCGCCAAGGTGATTCGCGGTCATGGTGAGGATGAGATCGTAGGTAGCTCGAGTGGCAGGCGTGCGGGGACGGTACTTCAGGCCCTCGACAAGAGCATCGGCTGCGGAGAGGATACCCTGACCTCGCAGTTGTGCTGGTTGACCCCGCTGGGTTTTCCTCTGTTCGCGGGCCAGGACATCCTCACCCTCTCGAATCGCACCCCGCTCAATGTCTGTCGGTCCGGTGGTCTTCTTCTTGGTCTTTGGCGCATCGTCACGCGCCATTCTGGAGCCCATCTCCCGAATACTTATGCGACCGGCGAGCGACTCTGGATCTCCGGTGGGTTCATCGTTGACGCGAGAGATGAAACGACGGTCCGCCTGGAGAACCAGGTTGGACATCGCCGAGTATTTGTACTGTGAGATATTTTGGTCCGCCATTTTGATGGTATATTAGAGCAAACAACAGTAAAATCAATGGAATAGCGAACGTGCTGCGACGGTAATGTGTCGTCTGGGCTCGGTGGAGCTCAGGTTCAGCCGGCGCGTCGAGACCCCTGCGACAAGTAATGAATTTCGTGACGGTATGGGATCCTACAAGGCTTCACAAACCTGGACCATCCTCCGTCAGCAAACAAGCACACACGTCGGCGCAAGGTTGCAAGCTGCTTGGGAGGTTTGCGGAGTTTGAGGGAGTTGCGTTCAGAGGTCGCGGGAAGTTCTTGTCAAGCAGATTTGCGTGGCAAGGCGGGAAGGTTTGGCGAGCGGCAGCCTGAGGTATACACCCCGATTTTCTGCCGGCTGCACTCGACCTATACATCCATCTATCCACGCGCCGATCCACGCAGGCTCGGGATGATTCGCGTTCATGGGCTACATATATCCCACCGGTGTCAACAATCCTTCATAGTCGCGAGGCCGCGTCGTTGCCAGGTGCACAGAACAATATGTCTTCATGCTCGGCGGCCGTCCAGACTGGTCCCACGGGTAACTTGCTATCCGGTGCCGCAGAGAAGTGCCAAAACACAGTCCACGGTGAAGCTCAAGGATTTGCCCCAGGGTGCTCTGAAGCTCGAACCTTATCAAGATGTTGTCGACGATGTCCCCAAGTATCCAGTTGTCGTGCAAGGACACTGGAATAACATGCAGAAGTTCAAAAACTGCGTTATCTTGACCCGAGTAGGCGGCTTTTATGAGGTATGCTACCATATGGCATTGATAATCCAATGTATGCAATTTCCAACGGGTGCATCTGACTTGCCTTAGCTTTATTTCGAGCAAGCCGAGGAGCTAGCTCCGTTGCTCAACCTTAAGCTTGCCTCCAAGAAGACCAGCGCGGGCCCTGTTCCTATGGCTGGGTTCCCTTTCTTCCAGCTAGATCGCTTCCTGAAGATACTGGTCCAAGATCTGAACAAGTACGTGGCTGTCAGCGAAGAATTTCCGTTTGCTGCAGAGGACAAGCTGCGATCTGGGGGTCTTCTCTTCGATCGTAAGGTCGCTAGAATCATCACGCCTGGCACATTGATCGATGAGAAGTTTATGGATCCGTCCGAGAATAATTTCCTGCTGGCTGTCTACATCGATAAATCATCGTTGAAAAAGCAATTGGCGGAACAAGACGGTTCAGCCGCGCAGCAGCACGCCCTGTTGTCTGCATCTCAAAACGTAGGCCTGTCCTGGTTGGACCTTTCGACAGGTGACTTCTTCACCCAAGTTACTACGGCGCAGATGCTACCGTCCGCGATCGCCAGGATTGGTGCTCGGGAAATCCTCGTGGATCAAGGTCTTCAGGATATTATTGGACAAGAGCTGCAATTGTTGGTCGGGCATGATCACCGGCTAATGACTTTCTTCGAGTATCCTCAAAAGGTCGCGCCCATGTCTCGATGGGGGACGATGCTTGAAGCTCCCGTGTCGGCTGCAGCAGCTGAGTCTTTCACTCCTGATGAGATTGCTGCAGGTTACAGTCTCTTGGAATACATCCGAGTCCAGTTGCAGGGGTTGAAAATGAAACTCCAACCTCCTCGACGCCGGCACTTGAGCGAGTCGATGAGTATTGACCGAAACAGTCTGAGGGGTCTAGAGATCGTTGAAACTGCGCGAGATGGTTTTGGCAAAGGAAGCCTGCTTCATGCAGTACGCCGAACCTCTACCAAGAGTGGCGCGCGTCTGCTAAGAGACCGCCTAAGTATGCATTCCTCCATCGAACACTTCCCACATCTAACGGTATACAGCATCTCCTTCCACTTCCATATCGGTAATCAACGAACGGCTTGATCTTGTTTCAGTTTTTATTGAGGATAACGAACTACATGACAGCGTGGTTCAGTTTCTGAAGCGCAGCTATGATGCTCAACGACTAGTGCAGAAGTTCACTCTCGGACGGGGTGATCCAGATGATTTGATTTGTCTCTCAAGAGCTATTGAAGCCTCTAAGGAGATAAAACGGGTTCTTTCGAGTAAAATACATGCAGTCAGCCAAACACAGCGCAGTCTCGCGGCCATGGTTGATCGTATCTATATGGATGGGCCTACGGTTTTGGCAGACAAAATCCTGGCAGCCATCGACGAGGAAGGTCTCCTTCAAAAACAACGCATTGAAGACGACACGGCAGCCGAAGCAGCGATGCTAGCACAGAAAGTGACTTTAAATGAAGGTATAGCGGAAGACATGGCCGCGCTGCCGAAGAAAGTCAAGACAAAAGCCAGCGAACGGGCTGCCGCGGGTATAGACGAAGGGTCGGTGGTCGATACGTGGATCATGAGGCGCAATGCAAGCCCTGCTCTCAGCGAACTCCATCACGAATTGGACCAACTACACATTGCAAAATCAGAGCTCACCCAACGTCTCCGCGACTCCGTCGGGTCATCCGCACTCACACTCAAATGGACGCCCGGACTAGGTCACATCTGCCACGTCAAAGGAGCTAAGATCTCTCAAGAAGCACTAGAAGATCTCGGAGTCACGCGAAACGTCTCATCCACCAAATCAACCCGATCATTCTACCTCCCAGCATGGACCGAGCTCGGCGGGCAAATCGACCAGATCAGATCCCAAATCCGCCAAGAAGAACAAGTAATCTTCGAGCATCTCCGTCGCGAGGTCATCCTCAACCTCGTCAAAATCCGCCGCAACGCAGCCGTAATGGACGAACTCGACGTGGCATGTTCATTCGCCACCCTCGCACAAGAACAACAACTCGTCCGCCCCATCCTCAACGAAGGCACCAGCCACAAGATCATCGGCGGACGCCATCCCACCGTCAAACTCGGCCTCGAAGAACAAGGTCGCCGCTTCGTCAGCAACGACTGCTTCCTCGGCGGCCCAGAACGGATCTGGCTCGTCACCGGTCCCAACATGGCAGGCAAAAGCACATTCCTACGACAAAACGCCTTAATCACCATCCTAGCGCAGGTCGGGTCCTTTGTGCCCGCGGCATATGCCGAAATCGGCCTCGTGGACCAGATCTTCAGCCGTATCGGCGCAGCCGATGATCTCTTCCGCGACCAGTCCACGTTCATGGTCGAGATGTTGGAAACAGCAGCAATCCTCAAGCAAGCGACGTCCCGCTCGTTTGTCATTATGGATGAAGTTGGTCGGGGAACCACGCCCGAAGACGGGACAGCGGTCAGTTTTGCGTGCTTGCATCATTTGCATTATCATAATAAATGCCGGACGCTGTTTGCGACGCACTTCCATGCACTCGCCGATATGACGCATGATTTTGAGGCGCTGGGAAGGTACTGTACTGATGTGAAGGAATCGGCGTCTGGGTCGTTCTCGTTCATTCATCGACTGCGCGAGGGTGTGAATCGTGAGTCTCATGCGTTGAAAGTCGCCCAGTTGGCTGGATTACCCAAGGAGACTATTGAGATGGCGAGGAGCGTGCGTCGGCGATTTGCCAGCCACGTCTCGCATTGGGGTGACAAACCGGTATCAGAACATACAGCGAACGGGTCATGACCACAACCCCCCTCCCTCCGGGCTGGAACCTATGTACAATACCATTCCCTTAATAACAATATACACCATATCCCATTCCATCCCCTCCTCCCTAAAGCTTCGCCAACCTCCCCCTCTCCCCTTCCCCTCTGCTACCCTCCCTGTCCACCCCACTCTCCACCTCAACAACAACCCCCTCCCCAAACACCACCTCCTGACAATCCTCCCCCTCCACACCATTCACAAACTGCACGACCACAAAATCCACCCGTCTCCTCCCCACCACCACCATCGGCGCATGCCACGTCCCCGCCGCATACGTAACCGCCGTATTCCCCCTCGCCACAAACGCCCTCAACCGGTTCAAATCCGGGGGATCCCTCACCGTCACATCTTCCCCGTTCTCTCCCTTCGCGATAGCCGTGGTTCCCTTCATCGATGGCGCAACGATAACCAAATACACGGGCTCCTCGGCCCCGCCTGCAACGGTCTGGCTGGAGAGATCAATCGGGATGAAGGTTTGGGTAGTGTAGGGGTGACGTTCGAGGATGTGGACATCAAACAATTCCCTCGTCTTATTCGTAGCTCCACTGTTCTTCTCGTTGGTATGCTGTGGTGAGGGACGTAACTTTCGCGGAAAGCACGAGAACATAGACATTCTCGCAGACGAAGGTGTCCCGCTTGGACTGGTGTTGTAGGTATCGAGGAGAGGGGAGATGGGGGAGTATTTTAGGGCGGTGGATTGGTTGGCGAGGACGGGGGGTGGGGTGGCGATGGTGGAGAGGGTTGAGGCGGGTGGAGGAGTCGTGATGTCGCGAGATAGCGGGGAGGTTATTGCTGTGCCGAAGGGGGAGAAGGATTCGGGGGTGAGGGGGGTTGGCGTGAGGGTGAGGGTTGGGGTTAGGGTCGATGGGAGGGTGGGGGGGGCCATTTTTGGTGGTGCTGTTGGTGATTTCGTAGATGCGGTGGAGTGTGATTGAGGATATAGACGTGGATCTGGCTTGTTGGACGTTCAATTGATTGATGGATGGTGTGGTAGGGAAGAGGAGGAGGGAGATATAAGTTGGGATGTTAGTACCCCGGTGGTCTGGTAGGGTCTGTCCGTCGGGAGTCGCCGTCGTTATCGGCGCTAAGATCGGCGGAGGAGGTCGGAAGGGGCCGACGTCAGATTGATTGATCTATTATTGTTAGAATTGGTCAAATTCTTTCTTTCAGGATTATGTGAATACCTCAAGTAGAAGACTTGGGGTTCCTTGCTGTATGTGAGGGAAGCTTGTTTGTCCGACCTGACCTTTCGTCATTGGATCTGGATGGAAGCTCCATCAATCAATTGGTCTCAGCTGATAAGGTGTAGAGGTCAGGTGACTACTTAGTCACGATGCTGCATAAATCTTAGTACTATATCTATACTCCCTCTTATAACATATCTCTTGTTTGTTGTTGAGAATGGAAATACATGTTGTAATGTATTCAAACAATCTTGTTCAAAGACTGATAAGGAAAATTTCCCATTTCTATCTTTCATGAGGACTGCTTCCAATACATATATATATATATATCAAGTACATAGTACCGACCTCGTCGTACGGGAGTATTATGGAATCTTCCAATTAAATCAAAATTTAGATATCCTGCCTCATCAATTAAACCTAGTAAAATTTCTCCAATAGACAAGGATATTAACCCCTCGAAAACGCACCCAACAACGGCCTTCTCTCCGCATCCCCCTCAAACTCGTCCGGCCCGCCCTTCTTCCCACCCATCCAACCCAACAACCCCAGTACCCCCTGCCCAATAGCAAAAACCGCATCATCAACAGCCACATACCCAGCAGCCACCCACCACTCAAGAAACAACCGCGGCAACGGAACCGGCCGCGACGAACCGTCATCCAGTGGTCCTCGCCAGAGCTGCCACCAAGCATCTATCCGAAAGATCCAGACGACAGCCGAGAGCAGAAAGACAGCAGCCTGGAAGAGGCGGGGGCGGACGAGGAATCCGTTCAGATCAAGGACTGGGATAGACGTGGCGTGTTGTTGCTCGCGCTGCTGCTCATCCCGTTCGCGCTGTTTCCTCTGTAACCGGACCTGTTTATAAAAGCCCAGTAGGGGAAGAATAATCGTAATATTGGGAAATAGAAATTCAGCGTAAATCTCACGGAGGATCGGGTGGATTTCCCGTTCGAGTAGAGAGCAGTGGTGTGGATGGTTTGGTGGGCAGAAGATGTCTGTTGCGGTGTCGAGAAACAGGGGTATGAGAGTGAAGAGGAGGAAGAAAAAGTAGATGGATGTGATTAGGAAAATTCGGAGACGATGATGGGGCCAAGGGGGGTGGGAGTAGAGAACTAGTATGAAGCTTTGGGGTAGTGGATGGAGTTGTTAGTTGGGGGTGTGGCTCACTCTGGTTAGGCCCAAGCAGGGGAAGGGCTCACAAGATATTGTTCAAGACCCAGATACCTAATAACTGGGCAAGGTTGATCCAGTCTAGGAGTGTGACAAAGATGAGAGTGTTGTCGGGTAAGCCGGGCAAGTCGGGCATAGCCTGGAGGTAGACCATGTTGCTGGCGCTGAAGAAGACATGTTCGGTGGCGCAGAGGAGGTTGAAAAGTAGGTAGGCGGAGGAGATGCCCCGGGAGTTCTTGGTCTGCCAGACATATTGGATCTGAGGGACGAAGGACGCCCAAGTCAGGAGGAGGATTATTCTGGTTGTTTCTTGTTAATCACTGTTCATATAAACGACAGTAGAAAGGCAAGAAGGGCGAAGAAATGCAATATCTACTATCTTACACGCTGAGAAATATCATAATCAACAAATTTGGATGGGACGTCCGTGGAGGGGACCAAGATGCTCAAAGGTGGGAAACAGGGAGGATTAAAGTCTTATGTATACTCCAGTTCACTGTCCCTCTTCCTTCGAGACCCCGGTTGTTAGCCCGCAGCAATTGGCCCTTCCCTTCCCAGGCTTTGTAGAGTGAATATTGGAGTAAGAGGAAAAGAAAGGGGAGAGCCTGTAAGACTCTTACTGCCCGCCCCGGAGGATAAAAAGACATGCCCTGTTCTGCTTAATACCCCCGGGCCAGTTTTATACAATCTCCAAACCAACCGGATTCGCTGCAGGAATGATTACCAGCGGCCGTCCGTCATTATCCGCGGGCTCCTCCACTGTAGGCCCTCCCCAGCATGGCAGCGTGATTGTAGTCGCTAGATGGTACTCTCTCGTGCCCCAATCCCACCAATCGAGCATTGTCCCGTCGAAGAGACACCGTATTTGCTCACCCACCTGGGCCTCGCCGCCATCCTCTTCAATATCAGTAAGCAGTTCATGGCGGAAGGTCTGAGACCACGTTTGTCCCGGATGCAGGCAGGCAAAACTATCATCTTCTCCGGGCGAGATCTGGATATCAGGGTCATCGTAGATGCCTGCTCCACACACAAACCCCTCCATATCAACCCACCTCCCCCGCCACACCCAGAGCTTGGTGTGAAGTCGCGGGGTGCGGAAGGTAATCGGTCTACCACCGCCGCCAGCACCACTGGTTGGCGGCTCGTACGTAACGTGGAGGGTCGCGGTCACGAGGTCATCCTTCAAAGCAACCTGGTGCTGGGGATGGCATTCGAGTCGGGCGATGAGAGTAGGACGGGCTTCACCTTCTGTCGGGGAGGGCGCGGGGGATATTGGCATGGTAGTCGGCTGCTCCCCGTCATCCTCCACTACGATGAACGAGAGATAGGGACCGGCGGGTAGAACGAGTTCAGTCTTTGCAGGTGGGACATGTCCATAAAGAGTTCCCCCTGGGTTCTGTTCCCACTTCCACGAGGTATACTGTTGGCCGGGCCAAAAAAGCACATACCGCTCTCCTGTCTGCAGATACGGAAGCAACCGGTCGGGAACAACATCCCGATACTGCTGGACGTTTCCGGGTGGATGTAGACTGACCGGGAAGCAGCGCCAATACTCCAACGGAGGGAGCTTGTTGTCATCGGGGAGCTCGACCGGCCTCAGCTCGCCCTGCGCGGTATGATGGAAGAGAACGAAGCCACGCGAGGGGACAAACCCATGCATCTGCGGGGTCCATTAGAAGTGACAGTGCTGGTCATCATCATCCACCCGACGGAGAGTCACGTCGAATAGGCAGGGGGCGGTACGCGATAGGGTGTCCGGGCCGCGGAGCTCGAGTGAAAAGGCAGGCGGGCCAGGACTTCGCAGATGGGATGGGCTTAGCTTTCTGTGCGATTATCTTGGGGATCAAACTTACATCCGGTCGTTCTCTGTGTACCGCAGGAAGGGTCTCAACAGGTCTTCCATGGAGAAGAAATACTACGTATCATCAGTCAATGTTCCTGAAAAGCCATATGATCCTGAGCTATGAGTATACTCGATGCGCGTGCGTGGAAGCAGTGGTGAAGTGCGTGGCTATTAGTTCCGGCCTCATTTGCCCGTTCCAACATAGTTAAGCTCAGAGCAGCTGACTCGGCAACAGTAGTCACGTGACTATTACGCGGGGCCGAGCGAGTGACTAATCGGGGGGCCCCTCGGAGATCGGTTCGCCCAATCCAGCCTGCCAAAACTTCATCGCGAGTGGATCGGCAGTGGAATCTTCCGGGCTAAAATGTTATCGCCCTTTGTTTCAGCTCCACTCGAGACTCGTCACTCCCCTCTGGAATGAGATGACAGTTCGTCTCAGCCACTCCTCTCGGCGCAAGCAGATCCAATGCTTAGTGGGAACCTAGTGGATTCTCCCCCCGACATTATGCAATCAAAAGAAAGCCATCCAACTACCCGAATGATGCCAAGGGAGACACATACTGGAACCCGGTCGTCACCGGTCAGCTTATCTGTTTTGGAATCACTAGCGCGACGCACCAGGAACGCGGCAAAAGAATTTCCAGCTAGTCGCCGCAGCATGGAAATGGAGGAAATAATGGTAGCTCGAGGTTGACGTACGCCGGTGCGGAGAGGGTGACGACTCCGGCTTAGGCAGTCATTTTCTGTTGGCGCCAGGTCATCCCATAAGGAAAACTCCTTGCCCACCGGCGCAAACCGGACTACGGCTGCTGGAATGTCTTCCCCGACTTCGTTCTTTCCCCTCCATTCGCTTTTGGACTTCCGTTAGGTCTCCATCCTGTTTCGATCCCACTGATTGTGAACCTGGTATCCTCTCCAATGGCGGGAAGCCAATGGCTACGATGCGTGCTGGTACTCGCCATGGCGGTACTAGGGGTCCAAGCCATCGACATCGATGTTAGCAGTGAGGGTATGTGATTGCGGCGCATGGCTCGGTCTGCCGCTCGAATCCCGGTTCTAACTGCGGTCATCCAGACTCCATCAAGAATGCCGCGTCGATAGCTGCGTACGGCATGATGAAGCATTACAAAGGAAACGAGTCCGGCGAAATTCCCGGAAAGATCCCTAATACCTGGTGGGAAGGTGGCGCCATGTTCATGACTCTCATTCAATACTACCATTATACGGGGGACTCTACCTATAATAGCGAGGTCATCCAGGGCATGCAATGGCAGGCAGGCGATTGCGATTACATGCCAGCGAACTGGAGTAGCTACATCGTGAGTCGCCCCCTCCGTGGCCATCCCCTCCCCGCCTGACCAGACATCCAGGGAAACGATGATCAAATGTTCTGGGGGTTGGCCGCCATGACCGCTGCGGAACTGAACTTCCCCGACTCTAGCGATGGATACTCATGGCTCTCCCTGGCGCAGGGTGTCTTCAACACCCAGGTTGCGCGCTGGGATAATACCACCTGTAACGGGGGAATGCGGTGGCAGATCTACACCTACGAATCCGGCTATACTATGAAAAATTCCATTTCCAATGGCGGTCTCTTCCAATTATCAGCCCGTCTGGCGCGTTATACCAGCAACAACACCTACTACGAGTGGGCGGAGCGCATCTGGGACTGGACGACGACCACGCCCCTATTGAGCAACTCAACGTGGAATGTGGCCGACTCGACATCAACCACCAACGACTGCAGCACCCAGGGAGACGACCAGTGGTCTTACAATTATGGCGCCTTTTTGGGAGGCGCCGCATACATGTACAACTATGTAGGTGACTTCGCTGAGTCCGAAGGCTGTCAACTAACGCCCTACAGACCAACGGCACTGGGACCAAATGGTCTACCGCGGTCAGTGGCTTGTTGAATCGCACCCTAGACAAGTTCTTCCCCAGCAGCCACGGGGGTTATATCATGGAGGAGATTCTGTGCGAGCCGCTGGAGGTGTGCAACAACAACGAGATTATCTTTAAGGGGCTTGTGGCCGCCTGGTTGGCCTACACGGCGTATCTGGTGCCATCGACCTACGACAGCATTCTCCCCAAGCTGCAGGGATCCGCCAAGGGCGCGGCCGCAACCTGTACGGGCTATGGCAACAACACCTGCGGCGTGCGCTGGTGGAACAACACCTGGGATGGGTGGAGTGGCCTCGAGGAGCAGATGAGCGTCCTCAGTATCTTCTCCGTCAACATGCTCCCATACACCAACTCATCGGCGGCGCCTTTGACTTCCAGCACGGGAGGCAATAGCACCAGCGATCCATCGGCCGGAACGGATGACAGCTCCAAGGATAAGGCGACCCTGAGCACGATCACGACCGGAGACCGCGCGGGGGCAGGCGTTGTGACGGTGGTCTTTGCCGCCGCGTGGATCGGGATGATGGGCTGGTTGATGATTGGGTGATTCACCAATCCTGGCGTTATTCATTGTGTAAATATTAGAAATACCTGCATTGGTTTGGGTGCAGTACAATTTGGGACTTATAAATATCATAATTCATGTCGCACCATCCCTTAGTCCGTCCCTTCCTCCCGGAATCCCTCCATCCAACATAGCCAAGACCGACGATTCCACCAGCACTATCACCAGCACCGCCCAACCTCACGAAGGATCAGGAACAGGGTCCGAATTGGCCCTCCGATGGTGGTGGCCAAGAAGCACTTTAACTGAAAGCAGAAAGACTGATCGTTATCAACGGAGATTGCTCTTCCCGGGATCCCGATCCTTCGACGGCGAACCCATCATCCACTTCACCTCACCCGCTAGTTTGCATAAACAAAACTGACGGTCTACGAGCCACAGTAACTCCTTCTCTTGCTATCTTACAGTTCTCAGTGCTCACTATCAATGACTTCAGAGATGGCGACTAAATCCTGCCACCGTCTGTATCTCTGGCCTCGGTTTGGGTGAAACTCACGCTAAAGAGTGAGATTTTGGCCCCGGCGATGGGACGAGCCAAGAGAGGCAGGCGCAGTAAGTAGGATTGAGAGAAGAGCGGGGTGTGTTTCACTCTGCAATCTCGGAGAAGGGTCCTGCTGTGCTGGAGGTCAGTCCCCTCTATTCATCTCACGTCAGTCTGCTCATCACCGATCTCTCTTCTATCGATAGTCTGATCACTGACAACTGATCTTTACAGACAGTGTCGGTTTCTGCTTCGTCCTTCTGCTTGGCAGCCTGTTATGGTCGTGGTGCCTTTGGCGATTTTTGGCTCCTGCATTAGCGGGTAGCGCCATAATCTGTTACCAAATCAAATAAGTCATGACTCCTCACTGGAAGTCCTGGGTGTGATATCAGGGTCAGATAAGCTTCACGGGATGCGAAAATCATAACCTCTCAGCCTACACTGCTCACGCTGTCCGCGATCGCTTGAATTCGGCGACACCGGAATTAAACGGCTTCGGCATGTACAGGCGGAAAAAACCACGCATGCAGGAATCACAATCAAAGACCAATGGCAACGGCGATCAACAAGGGTTCGGACACAACAGACTCCGAAGAAGTACAACGAACGCTGGGGGGCCGAACTGCAGTGATCTGCAACCGCCTTAAAGCGCCGGTCCCACCCGCAGATTTCCTCAACAACGCCTTATCAGCATGTCGTCCGTGATGGCTGAACCCAGCGGCCACTATCGGGTCGTCATTGTTGGGGGCGGAATTGCCGGATTGACACTCGCTTTGGCTTTTGAGCGACTCGGAGTCAGCTACGCTCTCTTCGAAGCTCGAGATTCGCTGGAACCGGAATACGGCGCCGGCGCGGGCGTTGGCCTGCAGCCTAATGGACTGCGCATACTCGATCAACTCGGGCTGCTGGAGGAGATCGAGCAGCATACGCTTCCCTTGGAAACATGGATGTCGTTGGATGCCAATGGAAGGTCACTTTCTACGTCCCGAACGATGAGCCTGTACCGTTCTAGGTAGGGTGGTCCTGACCTGAGAACGTTGACTTGTCATGTATTCACTGTGCCTTGCAGTATCGGATACGGCATCATGTTCGTGGAGCGTCAGAAGCTTCTCCAGATACTGTCAAGCCACCTGAAAGGGCACGGATCGATCCAGACATCTACCTGCGTCGAATCGATCGAAGAAAACGAGGAATATGTCACCGTTCGCACATTGGACGGTCTCTCCGTTACAGCCGATGTGGTCATAGGAGCCGACGGCGTGCGTAGCCGCGTGCGCAGTTATATCGATACTATGGTCCACAACGACGCCGATGACTGTAGGTGAACCTGCAGCTTGTAGCTGGCCATACTGATGATTGGTTCGAAGACATGTCCGCAAAACTCGCTGCCGTATACGGCATGTCTTCTCCCGCCAAAGGCATTTCTCCGGGGGACCGCTTCACGGTCTATCGAGAAAAAGCAACTGTCGTCGGGTTTACCGGCAAAGATGGCGTCGTGTTCTGGTTCGTCTTCGAGGACCTAGAACAGCCCTACCCCCTGTCAAAGTGCCCGCGATACACCGCAACCGATGCCGACACTCTCTGCCAATCCCTCACCGATGTACAAATCACTCCCTCGGTGAAGTTCGCAGACCTCTACACAAACCGCATCGTGGCTACCAAGATCGCCGCCGAAGAGGGCGTAGCTAGAACATGGCACACCCACCGAACTGTCATCGTAGGTGACGCAGCACACAAGGTACATTCCTCTTCTTCTCTATACCAAGACCCAACTCACCCAGTCAACCTCAGATGACCCCCGCCGGCGGCATGGGCGCAAACCAAGCCATCGAGTCCTCAGCCGCCCTCGTGAACGAAATCACAAAAGCCATGAACTCCTTAACCAACGGACACCCCTCGCGCGAGACCATCCGCTCCGCCCTAGCACGGTACACCGAACAGCGTCTCCGCGAGTCAGCCCCAGCTGTCGAACGATCACGCATGATTTGCGAAGCGCTATTCTGCAACGAAGGACCTGCAATTCCCAAGCTCAGACAGATGTTAAGTATGTCAGATGAGGAATTGCTACCCCACGCATTGGAAGAGTTTACTCGTGCGCCGGTCCTGGACGGCCTTGAGCTCTCGCCTAGGGGAGTTCAATACGAGGAGACGGTTACTCTTTTGAAAAAGAGGGCATTGGAAATGCAGATGAAGATTCTGACTCAGCCGAATGCGCGGATGTAACTGATCTCGATGCATCATATATAGAATACTCATTAGAGTGTGAAGAATTTGCATAGATAGATAATTCATTCCAGTTAGTTAGTATTTGTCACCATAGAATCCTGATAATAACCAATTCATGATTTTACTCCATCCATCCTTTCATACAATATTTCCAGAAAAGGTATCAATAGACCTGACCAAACCAGGTAACAAGTCTCTCATTGGTTGAAGCTAGATGAACGAATTCCACTTACCCGAAATAGGAACCAAATCTCTTATTGGTTGGTTCTCAATGAATATATGCCAGGATGCTACGTACATTCGAATACTTTGGCTGTCAAGAAGACATAAATAGCTCATCTATTTCTGACATTTTTAGCAGTATACCCTCTTCTTCAATCTTTAGCCCGCTACCTCTTTCTTACGTTCTTCATAAACATTCCTCGGTTTCTATACAACAGACAAAATGGCCACGACAACCCATCCCGAATACAATTCCAAGACAGAAGCCCTTGAAGTAGCAGACGCATTCACTGCTCGAATCACCGGGAAGACGGTTCTCGTAACTGGTGTGAATCGCAGTGGGATCGGGTATTCGACGGCTCGTGCTTTTGTACGCTCCCTCCCTGACCATACCAGGCTGTTATATTTTTGCTGATATGGGTATTTGATAGGCCTCTCATTCGCCGTCTCTCCTTATTATTACCGGTCGAAGTCCAGAGAAAATAGAAGAGTCGATCGATGCGCTTAGGGCTGAGTTTCCTGGTGTGGATTGTCAGGGGCTCCGGGTTGATCTTTCCAGTCAGCGGTCCGTTCGGGACGCAGCGGCGGAGGTTATGAGTTGGCCCGACGTGCCCACGATTGATATTATTGTCAATAGTGCAGGCGTAATGGGTATTCCGGAACGGAGACTGAGCGAAGATGGGATTGAGTTGCACTTTGCGACGAATCATCTCGGACATTGGCTCTTCGTGTGCTTGATCATGTCGAAGGTGATTAAAGCTGCGGAGAGGAATCCGAGGGGTGCGACGAGAATCGTCAATGTGAGTTCTGCGTCGCCGCAGGTTTCTGGTATGCGGTGGAGTGATATCAACTTTGAGAAGAGGAATAAGGATTTGCCCGGGGATGAACAGCCTAATTATGAGTGGTTTGCGATGTGTGGATGTCCGGATATCGAGGACGTTTGTTATGTTCCTCTGGATGGGTATAATCGCAGTAAGGTTGCGAATGTGCTTTTTGGGATCGCTGCGAATAGGCGGTTGTTTGAAAGGTATGGTGTTTTGAGTCTGGCTGTGCATCCGGGGGTGATAGAAACGGAGCTGGGTCGGAATATGACGGTGGAGGAGAAGGACATGTGGGCGGAGTTGAGGAAGGGGGTTTTCAAGCCGAAGACGTTGGGTGCGGGAGCAGCGACGAGTTTGGTCGCTGCGCTGGATCCATTGCTGGCTCAGGGTGTGGGAGAAAGCCAATATGGTAGTGAGAATTGGGGGTCTTATCTGGAGAATTGTCAGATAAGTGGGGAAGCTCATTCTCTTGCGGTGTCTAGTGAAGAGGCTGAGAAGCTTTGGGGGCTCTCTGAAGGGTTGGTTGGAGAGGCTTTCGCATGGTGAGTATTCGTGTCGTGGTGTCAGCTTAATTGAACTGAGGAATCGTATGTTGTGGCTGTTGTACTTGGTTCCATAGCTTGTGAGCAGGCTGGTCATGTAGAGCTTGAATCCATGGGAACCTCCCCAGACAGTCTCGAAAATCGCCCCAGCTACCAATTTCTGGCTGTTGTACCAAAAGTCGTATTTTGGAAGCAATCAAGTCGCTATTTAGGTCCTTCGAATACCATATCCCACCAAGAGTAAGGAGCCAAAGACTTAGGTCATTCTCCAGTTCGCATAGGTCACCATTGAGAAAATTCTGGAAGCGGAGAGACAGTTTCTTGAAGTCTATGATTCGGGTCTGATCGATTTGGAAAAACGTCGTCATGGTAAACATGAGCAGCCCAAGATGACACGCAGTTTGCGAGTCAAACTGACCCGTTGGAGCATTTATCGAAATAAATCGTAGGAGGCGATAGCATATTGACACATAAACCTCCTCGAAGTCCAGGAAATCGAAAATAGGATGGCGGCTGTTGCTGTTGAATACATAGCAAACGCACATAACGTCCGAAAGTATGGCATGAAGATACGGACTCAAATTGTAGCAGGGCATATCTGGAGCGTGGTCGAGATGTCCTCCGGAGGCAAGTTTATTCCATACTGCAGCCATATTATCTCGGAAGAACATTATAGGTTTTCCATACTGCAAAGATAGTAGTATATCGGCCCTGCAATAGTTAGTCAAGGGACTGACGATTTGTGACTCACTCACTTGCAGATTCTCAACACGAGAATACGGTTGAGTTGACCGAGCCCCCCTCGAAGTTCCACCATCCTTTGCAATCCCTTAGCGTGTACATCAGCAGCAGCGCCTTGGTTCCTTATTTGCTCCTGCGTGATGAGAGATACTATCAGTCCCATGGTGGAATCCGAGAGAGCATCAGGGCTTGCGAGCCTCCTTTGAATCTGGACAAAAGTTTGGGATAGGTGATACAGTGCTTTAGCGGTGCTGCTGCCATTATTTAGGTAGATTTCATTGCAAGCCTGCATCAAACTGATATTGCAATGGTAGGCTGTGACTGTTAGAGATAATCAAGCCATGCGAGTTGTAATCTCACCAGCCTCATCTGTAAAGAGCAACCGGAGCCACAGAAGCTTGGCTTCGGACAACGAAAAGCCAAGGGTAGTGGGGTATAGGCGTTCTGAGGTCAGATCGAAGACTTGAACGACTGTTAGCTCTATGGCACCGAATTAAATGTGGAACTCACACTGGTTGATGATCTTGAGGGACCGTGGGTTGACATCCACCGTAGAAAGACAGCCCGTGGCAATTGCATCCCCGAATTTCCTATCGACAGGACATGAAACCACGCTTCCTTTGCGAGAAAGGCCCGGAGCTTTGAAAGCTTGTGGCTGATGCGAGTCTGTCGATCGATTTGTTCTCGACGCTCGATGAAGCCTTTTCCCAGCATTCTTACCCTTCATGACATGACGGCGCATCTGCTTCTTGGATGCTCTGTCAGGCTGGATGCCATCGATGAAGTAAAAGGCTTTTTCCATATTCCATAGAATGAAGGCTATCCTATCCCTTCTGAAAACAATCGCGATTTCGAGAAGCGGTTTTCGCAAGCATTGGATGAAAATGATAAGAAGTGACTGAGATGGACGCGGGGCGTCGGGAAGGTTGCTGTCAATTATGACAATACCATCCCCGGTATCTTACGGTATAGTTTAGGAAAACCGTGCTATTGTTGGACCACGCCAAGGTAGGTGGTGATACTGAATATATACTATGTATGTACATAAAGCTAGCTACTCATATATACCTAGTATGATATGATCGAACAACACAATACTGTAGTGATGTAGTGCAGATGATCGCCGGGCGACATGATATACTATGTTTGAGCCTACTGCTCTGGCTCTGGTTGCTTCTCCTTCAGGCCGGTTTTGGTTTCAACATGCTCGTCGCTGAGATGCTGCCGGGTGATAAACGCACTGGCGACGAATCCGCAGGCAGCCATAGCGGCGTATAGGATCCACATGTTGCGGAGACTCCATGCATAGGCGTCTGCTACGGCACGTCTCTGCGTAGGATCCTGCACAGAGCGGACGGCGTTGACGTTGGCTGCAGCCTCCGTGCCCGAGAACTCTTTCAACAGGGATGAAGAGAGACCCGCTGCGCTGAGGCTGCCTTGTTGCATGTCCATGCTGTTTTGGAAGACAACGCCTCCCAGAACAACCGACATAGCCATTGCCACGTTCCGGATGAAGCCGAACGTTGCAGTTGCGCTGGCCGTGCTGGCTTGAGAGACGTTGCTTTGTAAAGCGAGGAGAGGCGGGAAGAAGAGCATTCCACATCCCATGCCCGCGGTGATTTGATAGCCGACAATCTTTCCAATGGTGGATGTAGCGCTGTAGTTCGTGAACAGGCCAGTTCCGAGGACGACCAGGGCAGTCCCAGCCCAGATGATCTCGAGGTAGCGGCCCGTACGGTGGATCACCAAACCCGAAAAGAGACTGAACGCAGCTTCTGTCAACACAAAGGGGAGAATCAGGACCCCCGACCGGAACGGGGAGGCTTCCTTGGCCGACTGGAAGTAAAGAGGGAGGTAGTACTCTGCACCAAGATAAGCCTGCACGGTGTTAACCATAATCCAGACTTGAAAGCCGGGGCATCACTCACAAAGCCGTGCGTAAAATCCACCAAGAAGCAGGCAACGTTAGACCGCTTCCTAAATACTCCCAGCGGCATGAGAGGATACTTGGCGAGACTCTTCTCGCTGTAAATAAAGGCGAACGACATCAGACAGCCAAAGACGATGAGGCAAATCACCTTCGGGGAGCCCCAGGGGAATGTATCGCCTCCAAAGTCTAGACCCAGCAACAGCAGGACGATGAGCGCGAGCATAGAAAAGCTACCCCACCAATCCACCGCCTTAATGCCAGCCAGAACCGGCGTCTTGGGATTGTGTATGTCCAGGAATGCATAGAGCAGCACAAAGGCGGTTCCGCAGACTGGAAGATTGATCCAGAATATCCATCTCCAGGAAACAGACTGAGTGAATGCCCCACCGACGATCGGGCCTAAGGCTCCAGCAATGGCCCAGATGAACTCGATCAAACCGAGGAAAAGACTGCGAAGTCTATTCCGTGTCAGCTACACGCCAGGCATCACAATCGGGGATTCAGTTACCTGACGCTGAACAAGTCAGAGATGGTGATGGTGATCAACTGGATGAGACCACCGCCCGCTATGCCTTGTATACCTCGGCCTGTAATCAACATGGGCATGCCATTGGCAGTGGCGCAGATGATCGACGCTACAAAGAAGAGAGCCACAGCGGTCAGAAGAATTGGCTTTCGACCCCAGATATCTGACAGGTTGGCCCAAATGTTGGAGCTAGCGGCATTGGCCAGGAGATAAGCACCGCCGATCCATACATAGCCGGACGCCGAGTGTAGATCTGATGAGATCGTGGGTGTCGCGGTAGCCACGATGGTCTGATCCAGCGCCGAGATAAAGAGCGCAAGCTAGATCTCCATAAGTAGGTGGTGGGCCTCTTGGGGTCGGCGACATACCGACAGAGCGATCATCGTGGCAAAGACTTTCCAGTTACTGCGGGCTTCCGGGATTTCAGACCCGGACTCAGGGACCTGATGTGAAAGGACTCGTTCAAGATCGGGGGTATTGGATACTATATTCTCCGATCCGCACTGATCCTGTCCATTCTCACTCATCTCGATTGGCTGCTGAGCAGCACCGCCCGAGTCCTTAGCAGAGGCCAACGCCATTGCAACTGCTGTGACACTGACAGAACCTCGATCCGCTTGTGAACCGAGTAGGAGAAGTTGGGATGAGGCGAAGAAAATCCGGATTGAGTCAGAGCTGTTTGCTCCGTTTGTCCGTGTCTTGGCTGGGATCCGCCGGTCGGCTGTTTCTCATCTCGTCTCCATCTCGTCCTTATTTTCATCATCCTCAAGGTTTGAATACCACATGCCTCTGGTTGGCGGTGCATTGGCAGCAGGAAGTCAGCGATGCGACGTGGAGGGTTGGCCTGTTGATGTCGGCAGGTCTCGGATCCCCACTCCAAGCGGTCTTGATGTGGACTGGAATGCTAAACTTCACGGTGTACCAGGCTGTGGGTCGGATATCATGACGGCAATTGATTGCAGCAACGATCCACAAAGGTGGAATGTGTTGCCTATGTTCAGAAAGCACGAGTTCTCTGCCCGGCTATTGTCTTCCCCGGATGCGTTCCAGCCCAACCGGCTTCCAAGAGCGATAATCTCGGAATGGACGCAAGACGGCGTGTCTGCTAAGTCGAAATAGGCTTGAACTCCGCCTGCTTGTCTGTCAAAGTTGTCCCACCGATGCATCCTTCTGAGCCCTTGGCCAATGCGAAGACCCTGAGTCCTTCCCCAGCTTTCGGGGATTCTCCGCTCTATTGCCAGTGTGGAGTTAAACGGCATGCAGAACTAGTTAGCCAACGTTTGAGATGTCCGTGGGATCATGTTCAAGAACTATATAATGCGGCAAGCTGCCTGAGTTCATTCTTTGTATTGATCTAGTCAATCTACTGCGAGCGCGACTTAGCTATGTGGGTTAAGGCTATCACTTTGTTTACTGCTGCAATTCAGCTGCACCCAGCAGCTGCCAACTCCCTTACAGTCGATACAACTGTTGGGCGACTATATGGCATGATCAATGGCTCTGCCCCGGATGTCGCTCAATTTCTTGGTGTCCCATTTGCAGCCCCTCCGGTGAATGAGCTACGATTCGCGCCTCCTCAGACAAAACCTGCAGAGGCTGTCATTGATGCCACCAAGATCGGTCCATCTTGCCCACAGTATCCATTGACTACAACGACAGACCCGTCCGTGTACACTTTTGACTCTCCTTGGCTGCAGCCCTATGGACCGACATCCGAGGACTGTCTGACGCTCAATGTTTGGACGCCCTTGCATGCGGTGAATGAGTCGTTGCCGGTTTTGATCTGGATGTTTGGGGGTGGCTTCTATGAGGGTGGGCTCTTGACCAATGGCTTTGATCCGAGTAATTGGATTCAGAGGACTCAGTCTCATATTGTTGTAGCTATCAAGTGAGTCTGAGCATCTAGACCAACTCCTGGTCAGATTATGACGATTTATTAATAACGTATCAGTTACCGGGTCAACATTTTCGGCTTCCCCAACTCTGCCGGACTGGCTGAGATTAATCAGAACCTGAATCTTGGCTTGCTTGATCAAAGATTTGCTGTCGAATGGGTCCGAGACAACATCGCTGCTTTTGGCGGAGATCCAGCCAAGATAACACTCTGGGGACAGAGCTCTGGGGCGGCCAGCACCGACTATTACAACTATGCCTGGCCTGAAGATCCCATCGTGTCTGGTCTGATCATGCACTCGGGGAGTGTATTTGCCACTGGTGCCAGCGTCGATGTGGAGCATACGAACTTTACCTTTGTGGCCGACCATGTGGGATGCGTCAATCTATCGCCTCGCGAAGAATTGGCTTGCATGAGAAATGTCAGTGCGGATGCAATCATTCAATTCTACGAGAATTATACCTTGTACTCCACCGGTCCTACCTTGAAGTTCACAACCATCGTGGATAATGTGACCAAATTTGATGATTATACGGCCCGGGCTTTTGCTGGCAATTATTCCAAGTTGGTAAGCTACAGACCTTCACATGTACCGATTTTGTGCTAACATCGGATGCGTAGCCCGCTATTTTCGGCACCAACGCCAATGAAGAAGCCTCACTGGTAGCCTGGGCTGGTCCTGCTGGACCGAATATGACCTATGTCCATGAGGAGACTGTGATCACCCATCTCTGTCCGGCAAATTACAACGGCCAGTAAGTCTACATACCAAGTGTCTAGTTCCGTGTTAACTCAGTCACATAGTCTTCGCTACAACACTTCTTCCCTGTCCTTCCGCTACTTTAACACTGCCAATTTCAGCAACATCTCTCCTCGGCCATGGGAAGGGGCCTACCACAGCTCCGAGCTTCCGTTGCTGTTTGGCACATATTCGCAGTACGGCGGTCCCGCTACGGCTTTTGAGACCGCCGTAGCATCCCACTGGCAGGATCTATATCTTGCCTTTATGCGGGACCCGGTGAATGCGCTGCCGAGCATGGGGTGGCCTGCCTATCAACCAGATGGGTATGCGATGATGTTTGCCGCCAATGGGACAGTCTCGAGTCTCTTGCCGATGAATAATTTGGAAACGCAGTGTGCGGGGGTGCCTGAGCCAACAATCGGATGAATAGACACGGTGTAGTACTGCAACAGGCAGGGATGGTATAGAATGGAACGTACATTGTCAAGGGCGTGTAACAAATTGCCTCTTACCTGAGGTATTACTGCAGCTGATGCACCTTCCTGGCACTAAGGGCCGCATCTGTCACATGTATGGTACTCCATTCTGGCTTCAGCCTCTGGGTCTATCATATGATGATCAAGTTACTAGATATACACATGCAGCGTAGTAGCTACACAGGGACATCTACTGAGTGACGTGATAAAGTAGGTTTGCATGGCTGGATATTAGTCACTGACACTCCAAGCCTCTTGCACTGCAACGATAGTTTCATCCACTCATCAAACCAACCTATCCCGTTAAGAATGGCTCACCCCTCACTAAGGACCTTTGCCACGGTCCCAGCCTGGAAGATGCTGACATCTCGGAGAATACCTACACCCATGGGAACATACATCCCTTCTCTAGGAGACATCCCATTAAAACCAGGAAACTCAGCACTCGCATTCCCTACTTAAGATACTCCACTCCCCCCACGCGCTTCTCGTCCCACGCAATACGGTTCAGCCCTACCTTTTGATTAAATCCGGGTCTGTCCTAGAATACTAGCATGGAACACGCCGACCACAGAGTAGCACAAGTGTCACTTTGTCCTTCACCCATGCACCCAAAAATGCTTAGTTCACCGGGAAGATTACCCCCGTGGGAACATCCAGACAAAGAGGGTGGATGTTCCCCTGAGTTCATGGAACCATCCACTAACTTCTTTCACCCCATAGGGCTGCATTGCGGAACCTTGTCGCTGTGAAACAGTGTTACTTTCATCCCTCGTCCTACACATGGACCTAGATGGTTAATGAGAAAATATGAATGTATATTAAGCGCCCACACTACTTCTCTCCCCATCCCATCTCCCTTTCTCTCTCACCTCCATCTTCACCTCCACCTCTCCTCTTACTCCTCACCCTTCACCTTCTACCTTCTCACCTTCAACCTTCCGTCACCTCTCCGAGCACCACTCCCACCAAGATGCCTCCCACCGACATCTTCCCCTCCCCCTGGCTCCCCGCCCCGACCCTCACGCACCCCTACCGAACCAGCCCCATCACCATCGGGAACCTCATCACCGACCCCCTGGACCCAACATCCCTCATCTACGAAGAACCCAACTACCTCGACGTCCCCGTCCTCGAATCTCGCCGCTACGATCTCGCTTCCCACTGGGAATGCACCACCACCCCGTCGCGGACCTCTCCCTGGCACACATCCACGGTGCTTCCGTGCGGCATGGCCCTGAATCTCGAGTACGAGGTCGATTGGCTCGATACGGAGGTATTGAATCGTACGCCCCATGTCCTGGAGGGGTATTTGGGGGGAATGTTGGAGGGGAGGGTTCCGTGGGTGAGGGAGTGGGTGAGGGTGGTGGATGGGGGAGTGTGGGGTGGGGGACGGGAAAGGGAGAGGGAGAGGGATAGATCCGTTAGGATGGCTGCAGGGGGTGTTGGTGGTGGTGACGCGGGGTCTAAATCGACTCTGGCGAGTTCAACTTCGGGGTCAACTACAGCTGCAACATCTACTACGAGCACAACGCCCAACTGCCGTCAGCGGAAGAGTATATATCTCATCACAGGCAAACGATACGCCACAGGCGTGACCATCCACACTGAACGCAAGATCTGGGGCCCAGAAATCCAATCCAACCACGGAGAAGAACATCCAATTCCGGTGCTGGGACAGACGGTCTGGGTACCGGTTTGGAGTCGCCGGGTGCGATTCGAAGAGACACATGATGTGGTGCTTTCGTATAAGGTGATGGAGGTGGTGTGGATTAAGGAGGGGCAAGGAGAAGGGGAAGGGGGCCGGTTGGGATTGGAGGAGTATGTGGGTAAGACGGAGGTCAAGGATGTGGTGAGGTTGGTGGAGGAGAATTGGGATCGGAGGATTGGGGTGGTTGGTTCGGTGTGAGGATTGATGAGGTGTACTTTGTACTTTGTACTCTGTACTGCAGGAAGTGGGATTGATGTTTGTGTTGTGGGGTAGGTGTTGTATGGAGAGGAGATTATCTGGGGAATCATTTACTCATCTTTGACTCATGGGTGTGTTGGTCAGTGTCAATACTGCATTGCTATATCTCTGATCTAGAGTCTCCCTGCAAATTGTTTAAAAAGTGACAGTCAGCAGCTGTCTACTCTTACTGAAAACACACTGCATACACTCTATCATATACATCCCCACCCAGCGGGGCCTCATAAAAATACCATACCCATAAAAATACCCAACACCTTACGCCTGACCGTACCAGCCACCACCCTATTTATTGTGTATCAAAAAGTTCCGGAACGAGTCCCAGTGATCCGAGTCGGCGTATCTGCAATCCCATTAGCCCACTTCCACATCCCACAACCACCACCAGGAGTACCACGCAGCAACATACATATACACCATACTACTCCTCAAACTCGACATCAGCGTCTCCGGATGCCACCGAAAGATATACATCACAAACGCCCACGTCAAGCTCGCAAACACGGGCCACGCATGTCCCTCGATCTTGGTTCTCGCCTCGGGCGTGATCAGCGACGAGAGGGGGTGCATGTCTGGTCGAACGGCGAGTTTAGCGCCTGCTAGCATCACGCGAGCGAATACATATATCACAATCTATATATTCCCTGTTAGCTTCCACTCACCCCCCATAATCATCCCAAGTATGCAAAAGGAAAGAAGGAATATACCTGCTGCGTGATACTCGTCTTATGTCTCCCGAAAACAGCATACCCGCCCGCTAACCCGGCGAAGAAACTATCATAGCGACCTTCTTTGCCTGGTGCCGAGGGGTTCAGGTTTCGGAGGACGATCATCACGGTTTTCCAGATTAGGGCGAAGGTCGCCAGGTTGCGGGCGTGTTGGCGGGTGGCTTTGAGGACGAGGGTCACTTTTTCGCGGATCCTGTGCATGTTCATTGTTGGTTAGTTCGTGGTTTGGGTATAGATATAGATAGATGTTGGGTATAGAGTTTGCGGGGGGAGGCGGAGGGACATACGTTCCGGATCGGAAGAGGAAGATCATTCTACATGATGAATATCAATCAGCTTTGCTCTTTGGGTAGTTCTAAGTTAGGAGGCTAGACATACACCAGCGCATGCGGAAAGCGGACTTTGGCTCCATAGACAGCGCCATTTCGGATCCCCTTGAGGAGAGAAAGTAAGGGGGCGATATCGGGGTTGGTGACAAGGGTGTCGAGACGCGACTACATATTATCCTTAGTAAATCGTATATCGTAAATCGTTGTTAATGTATGTGCTCACCATGAGGGCATCCATCTTGACGGCGGACCTCGGTAACGGTCCGATGAACGCGGGGACTACTCGCGGGGAGTTATGTCCACAGGATATCCACGAACGGGAAGCTGAGAGAGCAGTAGGGACCGGAGGAACTGCTCGCGGACTGGCGCTTCATGGGGAGACACGAGCAGGGAAGCATAGCAGTGATCGAGACAGAGTTGAGGTGGGGACGGCATTTAAGGAGGAAGAGTATCCGCGATGTTGCGATGATCCTCGGCATGTGAGAGTCGGCCCGAGCGAACGTCATGTCACGTGCATGATTCATGAGGATGAGGATAGAATATAGACATATAGAAGGATGAATATAGAGATATGATTTAGTGAGATAAGAGAAGACTTTTACAACGTATACAAACGGTCAAGTACCGCCTCGACCATGTCAAGCAAATCCAATCCCCCGAAACGCCTCGTGCGCGAAGATAGATAGGTAGACAAGAGAAGAAACATACAGCATCACCCTCAGGCCATCTTGGTCCGCTTGCGTCCCTCATCCTCCGAGATCTCATCCACATCCATCATCTCGGCATCCTCCTCCTCATCCGACTCCACACCCGCCCGACGCTTCAATCCCTTCATCTTGCGAGTCTGCAGACCACCCAGATCCTGCTTACCCAGATGCACACGACCGATCTTATCACCGATCGAATCCAGCCCAATATTCTTCTTGAGCTTGATCTCCTCATTCGGCCGCTTGCCCTGCTTCATGGCCTCCTTCAAGACCTCCTTAGGCGCCTCCTGCACCCGTCCCACCTTGAAATCAAACTTCGGACCAATCTCATCCAACTCCACCCGCGGCAACTTATGCCCACTGCGCTTTGTCCGCAACTTATACCACCGCAGATGAATCACCGGCGCCAATCCCTCCGTCGCCTCCTCCGCCCCAATCATCAACACATACTGCAACCCCTCCACATCAATCTTATCACTCGTCTCCCCCTTAAACATATCCACAAACATACTCTTCAGCATCACATGCGCCGTCGACGTCTCATCCTCCCACGCACTCCCCGCAAACAGCAACATCGGCCGCAACCCAACCCCAATCTGCAACCCCCCCATCCCCTGCTCCTCTCCCTCCTGCCCCTCCCTCGCCAACAACAACAACTCACACATATCCAACACCTTGGTATTAAACACCCGTGCCAGCGTCACACAATTCGGGCGTTTCTTATTACTACTCCCAAACACCACCAACCCGGCCTCGTTCTTCTCCGCCAGGAACTCCAAACTCTCCACATTCTCAAACGGCCGGATATTCTCGTTCTTCTTGTGGAATAGGATCGAGTGTGGGCGCGTCAGCGAGTGGAACGTTTTCAACACCGTGTGCAATGCTTGTGGGCATTTCGACCCGTGCAGCAGCAGTGTGCGTTTCGGGGGCTCGATCAGTTGCGGCTCTTTCGCTTTGAGGATTCGCGCGGTGCGCGCGTTCTTGGGTTTCCTAGGATACCTTATTAGCCAGATCCGTTTATAGGAGTGTGAAAGGTTAGTGAGAATAGACGTACACTTCCCGAAGCATTTTGTCGGTGGTGGTCTGAAAGGGAGGTTGAGGTTAGATTTGTCGGAGCAAATCGATTTCGATTGGAAAAGAGAAAAAGGCGGAGCGAAAAGTTTTGGCGGAAGGGGCTTGGCGTCGCTTATCGATAAGCTTATTCTCCACACCTGCTGCCATAGCCCATAACAACAATATTCCTGATTTTACGGAGTGCTTGAGGGGTAGGATTTTAATTTGTTGGGGTTGCCATTCCGTGTGGTATTTATTCGATGGACGCTGTTTCTCTTTGAGACACTAGTATGTGAATTTACCAAGTATACGCTCTTTCGTCCTACTCCTGCACAGCACCAGATGGCATCATGGTAGGTAATCGAATAAAAACAATGTATCCTATATTTTTGTCTATAGGGTTACAGTACTGGGAATAATGAACAGATGATTTATGTAGTGTCGTCTACTCCAAGCGCAGCTTCTCAAACTCCCGGATCTGCTCCTCCAACCGAGCCGCCTCGCTCTCGGCGTCCACGAGCTTCTTCTGCTCCGCCTCACGAACCTCCGGCTTCGCCTTCTCCCAGCCAGCGCTGGTGATCAGCGTCTGCTGGCGACGCACGGTCTCACGCGCCTTCTCCAGACTGGCCTTAGCCTTGCCCTCCTGCTCAAGAGCAACCTCCTTGGACACGCGGAGGTAGACAGCCGCCTGCGAGCTGACCGGAGCCACCACGCAGCCCGAGGGAGGAACAGTGTTCTCGGGACCCAGCACGCTGAGGTCACCCAGGGTCTTACCACCAAGAGACTTGATGCTGGTGAGCTCCTCGGACACGGTCTTGTGGCTGACGGCGTCGTAGGTCTGGATGACAATGTCACCCTTGGTCTTGATCTCGTACTGGGCGAGGATCGACCGGACGGCCTTGGAGGTGTTGAGGATCAGCTCGTAGGCGGTCTCGGCCTCGACGTCGTCGAACTCGGCCGTGTACTCAGGGTACTTGGCCTTCATGATCGAGATCGTGGCGTCGCCCTCGCGGCGGGGCAGACGCTGCCACAAGTGCTCAGTGACGAAAGGCATCATCGGGTGGATGAGGGTGAGAGCGCCCTCCAGTGCGGTGTAGAGAGTCTCCTTGGCGGACTGCTGGGCCTCAGCGGACACCTCCGGAGCCAGGAGGAACTTGGAGTTCTCGATGAAGACGTCGCAAAGCTGGCCGTACCAGTACTGGTAGACGATCTGGGCCGACTGGGAGAATTCACGCTGCTCCAGGGTCTCGTTCATCTCCTTGGCAGCCTGGTTGAACTTGTGCAGAATCCAGCGCTCAGAGAGAGACTCCTTGCCAGTCTTCTTAGGGGTGGCCTGGGGCTTGAAATCATCGCCCAGCTTGCCGAGCACGAACTTGGTGGCCTGGTAGATCTTGTTACAGAAACGGCGGTAACCGTGGATGACCTGGATGTCGAACGCGATATCGCCACCTAGAAACCAGTTAGTAGAGCTCTCTGGGTTGGATGCAAATACATACCGCCAGTAGTGTAAGAAACCAGAGAAAAGCGCAGAGCATCAGCACCGCATTCGGGGATACCCTTGGGGAAGGCCTTCTTCTGGTACTTGGTCGCAGCAGCAACCTCCTTCTCGGCCAGGTTACCAACCAGCAGCTTGGCGTGCAGGTCCTGGAGCTCAATGCCCTCCATGACGTCCAGCGGGTCAATGACGTTACCCAAAGACTTGGACATCTTGCGACCCTCGGAATCACGAATCAGAGAGTGACAGTACACCTCCGTGAAAGGCACCTTGCCGGTCATCTTGAGACCCAGCATGATCATGCGGGCAACCCAGAAGAACAGGATATCCCAACCAGTCTCCAAAACGGAGGTGGGGTACAGGTTCTCCAGGTCGTGGGTCTGACGGGGCCAGCCCAGGGTAGAGAAGGGCCACAGGCCAGAAGAGAACCAGGTGTCCAGGACATCCGGATCGCGGATCAGGGTGAACTTCTTGCCAGGGAACTTGGCCTCGGCCTTCTCCCGGGCGGCCTCCTCCGTGTGGCCAGTAACCCAGAGGTTGCCATCGCTGTCATCGCCGTCTTCGCCGTCAATCTTGACGAAGTAGGCGGGAGCCTGGTGACCCCACCACAGCTGACGGGACAGACACCAGTCGTTGATGTTCGTCATCCAGCGGAAGTAGCTCTTCTCAGCCGACTCGGGCTTGATCACAATGTCGCCCTTCTCCACGGCCTCAATAGCCGGCTTGGCAAGGCTCTCCATCTTCATCCACCACTGGGGCTTGAGAATGGGCTCGATCACGTCGTTGGACTTGACGCAGCGGGGGATCTTCATGGGGTTGTGCTCCCACTTGACGTACAGGCCCTTCTCCTTCAGGAGCTCAATGACCTTGTAACGGGCGTCGAAGCGCTTCATGCCAGCAAAGGGACCGCCCTTGCTGTTGAAGGTACCGTCGTCGTTCAGCACAGAGATGAACTCGAGGTTGTGGGCCTTTCCGCGGTTGAAATCGTTGAAATCGTGGGCCGGGGTGATCTTGACCGCACCGGTACCGAACTCGGGGTCGACGTCCTTGTCGGCGACAATGGGCATCAGGCGGTCGACGAAGGGGTGGCGGGCAAACTTGCCGATCAGGTGCTTGTAGCGCTGGTCGTCGGGGTGGACGGCGATACCACTGTCACCGATCATGGTCTCCGGACGAGTGGTGGCGATCTCAATGCGCTCCGTGGTGCCATCGATTTCGTAGCAGAAGTGGGTCAGCACACCGAACTCGACCTTGCGTTCGTAGCCGGGCACGTCGAGGAGGGTACGTCCCTCAACCTCCTTGTTCTCGACCTCCAGGTTAGACAGAGAGGTGTTCAAGGCCACACACCAGTTGACCAGGCGGTTGGCACGGTAGATGATGCCCTCCTCGTGGAGGCGGACGAAAGTCTCGGTCACGGCAGCCGACAAGTTGGGGTCCATGGTGAAGGCCTCACGGGTCCAGTCGAAGGAACCACCCACGCGGCGCAAGGCATTCTTGATGTTGGCATGGTACTCCTTCTTCCAAGCCCACACGCGGTTGACAAGCGCCTCACGGCCCAGGTCGTGGCGGGTCTTCTTCTCCATCTTCCAGAGCATCTTCTCCACCACACTCTGGGTGGAGATACCGGCGTGGTCCATACCGGGCAGCCACAGGGTGGTCTTGCCCTTCATGCGCTGCCAACGGATCATGGTATCTTGGAGGGCGTTGGTGAGGGCGTGACCCATGTGCAGAGCTCCCGTAACGTTGGGAGGAGGGATGGGAATGACAAAGTAGCCTTCAGGCTTGACCTTGCCATCGGGGCCGAACTCGGGCAAGAACAGGCCGCGCTCCTCCCACCATTCATAGCGACCAGCCTCGATGACCTTGGGGTCGTAGGCATCGGTTGTCTTTTCCTTCTCGACCTTGGGTTTCTTCTCGGTCTTGGGGGCGGCGGTCTTAGCAGCAGCGGCCTGCTTGGCCTGCTTCTCGGCGAACTTCTTTGCCTTTTCGGCCTTGCGACGCTCACGCTCCACTATACCCGATCAATTGTCAGACGATGTATGATGCCAGCAGGGTATGGTCCAGTACATACGTTCCTTCTCGCTCTTCACCTTCTGGCCCTCGGCGGGCTGGGTGACAGCATTGGCATCCTGGTTCCGCAACTGGTCATCGGCCTGGGCAGGGACATCGACGGGAGCCTTGGGCTCACCAGCTAGAGGAAGCAGGTGGTCAGCGACTTGAGCATTGCGGGGAGGCGATAAGGACAAAGGACGGCGTACTCGGGTTTTGGGGAGCAGAGGGCTGGGCCATTCTGGAAAACGGACGATATAAGGGAGGGGGAGGAGGGGGAAATCTCCAGGGCGCCGATCGCGCCACGAGTCGACGGATAAGTATCTTGACACCGGTGACTCAAACGGCGATAGAGAGCAGGAGGGGGAGGAGGGGTCGTTGTGCGAATGCGGGCAATTAAATTTCCTGGCGCAGAGCAAAGAACGGAACGAATCAGAGCATGCGGGTGCGGGGCCTGAGGATGGGGCCTGAGGACACCGGGCGGTGGAGAAGCCTAGTCCGATGTCGTACTGTGTAAACTGTAACTGAACGGATCTCGGGCTGACCTGTCTCGATCTGCCACAGAGGTTGGTGCTGCTCAATGGTTGCTTCCAGTCTGCTGTTGGGTATTTATCCTCGCCCTCCGCGGAGGATTCTGCACAGTGAGTCACAGTCACGTGAGACCATCGTCACTTTTACTCCCGTGTATCGACGCTTACGCAGAAGACTTAGTAGTGCCGTAGGAAGCCTGATAAGCCTCTAAGCTTATAGCGTAGAGCTATGCATCTTCTCTATGTAGCCTCCCATCCAGGCAAAGGCAGTCGTGCCAAACATCGCTCGGGGAATAGCACCAAGCTCAAACTAGGATTGGCATGCAGATTATGAGGAAAGAGGTAGATTGAATGCAACGCAGAAGCATCAAAGAAATCCCTTCAACACCAGACCAACGATCACGCGGAAAATCGAAACGGAAAAGGCACAGAGTATGGGAAGGTTATATGGTTACGCAGGTTCAAACAGGAGCGAAATCCATCCCACTCTAAACACCGTCTGATAGATTCCACTCACGGGTATGCCAAGAGGTTCGAGTCGAGATATATTAGGCGTATGTCATCTGTCATCATCGTCGTCTCCGTATGCCATAACTCATCGCATCCACGGCGCTATCTTTCAGGCCACGACCCCGGTCCTGATGGTTTCTGTATGGATCCAGCATCAGACCAACTCAACATATCAAATCTCGTTATCACAATGGATGACGACACGGGAAGACTAGCAGAAGCAGTGACCCGAAAGAGGTATGATTATAGTCCTACCAACACCGTCCCGTTTAGGCGGTCGCGGTGTTGTTCCGGGCAGCCTGGGCCTCGGCTGCCCGCACGGGGGCGAAGTACGGGTGAGCCATTGCCTCTTGAGCAGTAAGACGGTCCTAGACCAGTTAGCCGGGAGTTCGCTCATACAAGGGACACCTCATACCGCATGGTCGTATCGAAGAAGTTTGTCCAAAAAGTCAATCGCGTCATCGCTGACGAAGCGCTGATTCTCCGCATTTACAAACGAGACCCAAGACTTCCGAGGGAAGCGGGACAGGATCTCGTCATATTGAGGGTCCAGCTCAATCTCATATTTGTCCAGGTACTCGAACAGCTCCTCGGTACCGAGCACCTTGGCGATCTTCACCAGCTGGTCGGAGTTGCTGTTCCCGTGGAAAAAGGGCTCCTTGCGGAAGATCATGGAAGCAAACATGGCTCCCAGAGACCACATGTCCAAGGAGTAATCGTATTCTTGGAAGTCCACCAGAAGCTCGGGGCCCTTGAAGTACCGAGAGGCGACGCGGACATTGTACTCCGTGCCTTTGTGGTAGAATTCGGCAAGACCCCAGTCGATAAGACGGAGCTAGAGACATCAGCGACGCCCGCGAGCAGATGGAGCAGGGACCTACCTTGCGCTTCTCGTGATCGATCATCACGTTGTGAGGCTTGACATCACGGTGCATGATGCCCTTGCTGTGGCAGAAATCCAGGGCCTTCAGAAGCTCAAAGACATAGTACCGGACATCGTAGTCGGAGAACCGGGGGTAGAGGGTCCGGAAATCCGTGTTGTTGACATACTCGAACACCAGACTGGGCGTCTTGCTTTGACTGTCGCGAACCACGTCCAGCAAGGCGACCACGTTGGGGCCACCGGCCAGGTTCTGGAGGATCTTGATCTCACGCTTAATCTTCTTCTTCTTGACCGGCTTGAGGACCTTGATGACGCATTTCTGGTAGTTGACGACGTTGATACCTTCAAAAACTTCCGAGTATTTTCCGCGGCCTGAGGAGATACTGGTTAGCACGTAATTTACACGAATGTTGCGATATTCGGCAGGCGATTGGGGTGCGCGGTTCGTATCGGCCTTACCAATCTTGCGGACCACCTCGTAGTTCTCCAAGACCCCCCAGGAAATGTTCACACTGTCATAGTCCCAGTAAGACCGGGGCATATGCTCGTTGACATCGGCATAGACGCGCGCCATGGTGATGGCGGCTGGCAGGCAGGTTCGGGTCAGCCCACAATCGGATATCGATCAGATAAAAAGCGGCGGGGTAGGGAGGGGGCAACAGGCGGCGTCGCGAGGGAGAATTGCACGGGGAGGAGGACAGACAACAGCAGCTGCAAGACCAGGAGTGGCGGGGCCCGTGTCAAGAAGGCAGCCGTGCTATCGTCCGAGCAAGCGATGGGGGCAGCGAGTATAGTCTTTGGGATGGGTGATCAGAATGGCTAGTAAGAGCGTGTCGCTCCGCCTTGACGGTCACGGGACCCGTTCGTTGGAGGCTAGATCACCTGCCGGCCCGGAACAACTGCCGCTCCGGCCGATTTCTCAATGGCCGTTTCTCGGACTCGGTGGTTGATCCAGATAGTGTTCCCTCTGGACCTTCGAAGTTGTCGCCGGGCAGTCGAACCTTTATCATGTTCTTCGATTTGAATCTTCCCTATGGCTCGGATGATCCCGAGATCACCCCGACCTTGAGCTTTCTGGCAGAACGTGCGTCATGATCCCCCGGCACAAGACCCGATCAGCGAGCTCCTCCACGACCACCTGAAGCGCTGACACTCTATGTAGTCGGTTACACCACCGTCGCTCTGTCTCAGACCGTTAGCGGAAAGCTTCCTTCCAATCCTACTCCCCCACCAGTTCCCAAGAATGCGCCCAAGGGCCTCACGCTCCTCACCCGCCTGAACCTGACCCTGGCCGACCCGGCGCAGAACCAGAAGCTGGCCAGCCTGACGCAGGCTTATGATCTGGTCGCGCTGCGGCCCACCAATGAGAAGGCGCTGCTAAATGCCTGTACCAACCTGGAATGCGACATCATCTCGCTGGATCTCTCCGTGCGACTGCCCTTCCACTTCAAGTTCAAGATGGCCTCCGCTGCGATTTCCCGGGGGGTGCGGTTTGAGATCTGCTACGGGCCGGGGGTCACGGGAAGCGGTCTGGATGCTCGGCGCAACCTCATCGGCAACGCGATGTCTTTAATCCGGGCCACGCGCGGCCGAGGCATCATCGTGTCTAGTGAGGCGCGACGGGCGCTGGCTGTTCGGGCTCCATGGGATGTGATCAACCTGGCGTGCGTGTGGGGACTTTCGCAGGAGCGCGGCAAAGAGGCGATCTGCGAGGAGGCCCGGAAGGTGGTGGCATTAGCCAAGCTGAAGCGGACCAGCTGGCGGGGCATTATTGATATTGTGGATGGGGGGGATACAGTGGTCAAAGCTGATGCGAAGACGGACGGATCCGCCAAGTCACAAGCCAAGGATGATGCCAAAGCCGACGGCTTGAAGAGAAAGGCGTCCGTCGGATCGGAGCCTACTGGCGAGGAGGAGAAGCCGCTGTCCAAGCGAGAAATGAAGCGACGGGCCAAGAAGGCTCGGTTGGAGGCAGCAGGGGCGTGAGGTCACCATTAACTCTATGTTACGGAGCAAGGGCGATTGCTCGATCCACATTCTTGCCATCGTGGCTGCCTGCCAGGCTATGCAACCCTGTCAGCTACTCCGTAGTAGGAGTGTCTGTACAGCAGGGACTCGCTGAGCTCTTTCCAGACGAGCTGACCTGAAGACATTGTTGTCAGATGCTGTGCTCATGCACAGTGCGAACCTGCAATAGGCTAAGGCATTACTGCCATACTGCTGAACGCTATACCTACCTACAGCTCATACTAATACCAAGATTAGTACGGAGTATTTGACAAATATATAACATACCATACCATAAACCATCTGCACCACCCCTTCACTTCAATATACACAACTCCATATCAAAACCCATCAACATCAAACCAATCAACTAGTATAAACCCAAACCCCCTTCCTATACCCCAACTCAAACCCCTCCCTCTCCGCATTCCTCGCACTCCCACCCCCGACCTTCGTCGCCAGTGTGACCACCCTCAACCCAAGTTCCCTACACTTCTTCAACCTCGCCCGAATCAACGCCCTATGTACCCCCATCCCCCGATACCCAGGCACCGTACTATCCAGATACAAATGTCCGATTTTCTCCCTCCCCCCTTTCCCTTTAACATCACCACCACCATCACTCAGACATGTATCAAGCACCCCCAACGCCGCACACCCAACCACCTCCTCCGTAGCCCCCCTCGCAACAAACACCCCCGTATCCCCTCTCACCGCCGCCAACCGCGCCAACAAAGCCAGTAACTCCTCGCTCCGCCCCGTATCCCTAAACCCCGCCACCGACGCCGCCACAAACTCCTCTCTCTCTTCCTCCGTGGGATTAATCACCTCCAACACCTCAATCCCATCCCTCCCCCCATCCCCATGACCCAAAGCCACAGAATCAAGCGAGAGCACATAAACCCCCACCTCCCCAACATCCTCACACCCGCGTTCCCGTAACAGTATCCCCGCAGCCGGATGCGCCGTCTCAGCGAGATGTATCTCGGGATGGAGATGGATATCAGCGTAGAGATGTTCGAGGGTTGTTAGGTCGTGGGGGGTGAGGGGGGTGGAGATGGCGAGGCCGACGGCGCGGTTGAGTTTGTTGGTGGCGGTGGTGGTGGTGCGGATGGCGAGGCCGGTGTTGAGGGGGTGGATTAGGATGGGGGGGTTACTGTGGGGGGTGAGAGTGGTGAGGGCGTGGGCTTGGTGGGCGAGGTGGGTGCATTCGGATTGTTCGATTAGGGGGATTGATATTTGCATGGTTATTCTTGGTGGTGGTGGTGGTGGTGTGGTTTAGGTATGTGGAAGTATATAGAGGTGGAGTGAGAGGATGTAGGTGTACATGCAAAAGCCGCACACGTACGACAATATCGAGATGTTTAGATATTTAGTTGACTTAGATAATTGATCACAATTACATACTTTACATAACTAGCAAGGAAGAATATGAGTCACAACTTTTGTCATTAATTAGCCATGAATCAATCATGAATGACTCCGAACAGCCGCTAGTGCTTCTATCTATCAATCATTTCCTAACCCTAACTTCACCACCACCACCACCACACCGACCAAACACCACCATCCTCACAACCACCCGACCCCCTTATTTAATAAATAAACCCCTGATCAACCTCCACCAACCTAACCTCCCATACCCTCCACCCTCCCCTCCCCGCCAACGCCCTCACCACCTCCACCGCCTTCCCCCCCCATATCCCACCTCACAAACACCGTCCCCCCATACCCCCTCACCATCTTGACCTCCACGCCCACCACCCTGAACCAATCCGCCAACCCGATCAAAAACCCCTCCAGCCGCTTCCCATCCGGATCCATCACCTGCGTCGTAAAATTCAACGACATCCGACAGCAGGGGAACTTGTAGGGGCCGAAATTGCAGAAGTCGGCGTCGGTTTGGGCCATGATGACGGTGTTGGTGTTGTTGTCTTCGGGGTGGAAGAGGGCGATTTCGACGTCTTGGAATGGGTCGTGGCTGACTTGGTAGGTGGCGAGTTGGGCGAGGGTGAGGGGCGTGCGGAAGAGGACGTAGATGTTGGGGTAGAGGGTGCATTGGAGGATGATGGGGATGAGGAGGGGGGGTTGCTGTGGGAGATGCTGTAGTAGTTGCTGCGGTAGTTCTTGTGGGTGTTGTGGTTGCTGAGGGGGTGGTAGATGTGGGTGGAGGGGACAGGCAAGAGGATGATTCGGTTTCGACGGTGGGGTTGGGAGGATAGGGTCTGATGTTCCGGGGCATTGTGGAGGTGGTGCTATAGAATGAGTTCGAATAATTAGGATGGGCGTTTTGGTTGTTCTAGATGTTGTCTAATCGGAGGGTCTACAGCCGGTATCTATATAAACGGCACTGTGATCAGTCACCGGACATTAACGCGTACAGTTACTATTATAAGAAAGTGAGGATCCTTGTACGGGATATAGCGAGAGTTGCAAGCATCTAGCCAGAATTACTGTCTTGGGTTGTGTATTTCCTGCTATTTCCTAGGTATGGCATCTCGTTTGATGCAGAGACATTCCGGGTCTATATTAATGATCTATCAAGTGAAGTTTCAGCACCCTCGTTATTATTGATGCTAGTGGAATCCTGCACTAGACCCTGGGGGTTTATCACGCAGACTACGCCTTGTTCCTATTTAGAGCACCAGCTCTTAAGCTTAAGGCTGGTACCGAGTAACCGCGTGGTTGTATGGCTCGAGCTTGATGAGTATCTTTACACCCCCTCCATTACGCATGATCTGTGGAACATTGTGTTGTCATACAGGAGTTGCCTCAGGATCGTCCCTCTCATCTGAAGAAGGCTCCCATACTGACTGCTGATATATATGCGCCTGCGTCTATATAGAGCCCTGATCCTGTTGCTTAGTATCAGATCAGCATTCGATCAAGTCGTGACATCACGCAACGCAAGCGCATGCCGGGGATGCAAACGTTCAAAAAACAAGGGAATAGATTTTTGGCAGTTGTATAGTGAACCGAGTATACAGAAATTGATAGGGATTAATAAATCCGGAAGTCTAGTTGACGCCTACTTTTTCCAGTATTGAAGAATCTTGCTTTGAAACAACCAGATTAGCTAAATCCTTAATCTAAGATGAGCGAGGGCTTTGGTCCTCGTTTGTCCAGGGATAAATTTATTTGCCATGCGATTCTTTTGTATCATTGATACTTGTAGGTTGGTGGTGGTGGTGGTCAAGATGATAACTAGGTGCTGGCCTGCGGAAAGATCCCATCCCGAAGCAACTTCAACATCAATTGTTACGTTTCTGATAGGATCTAGCTCGCAGAGAGCTCCATCAAGCCAGACCAGATTTAGCGAACTTCCCAAGGACCGAATTGATTTGCCGACTTGCATTGAAAGAGCTCTTTAGTAACATAAGATTCGAACCCTCCTTCAGCAGCAAATTATGTTCATCTGAGTCACAAAAGTTTTAGAACCATGACCCTGATGAAATTGTGATTGATGTCTTGGATCCAATTTAAGGTATAATGCTATTACTTTCCGATCAAAGCAGATAAGATGACAATATTATATGTCATTCAAGGACAATACGTTTACGCTTCAACCGGTCATATGATGGCATCGCCAAACTGGGATCAACCACGATTTCGACTCATTCTGCTGGCAAACGTTCGCAGAAATCAGGCGCTTGTTTGCTTCGGTTGAAGAAAAGGATGCCTCATCAGTTCACCTGCCGTTTTTCTCGCATCTGGATGCCAGACAAGCATTCTCTTGACGAGATCCAGAAATGCTTCCCTCTCCTCTCCTTCAAGGAAGGAAACGGTGTCGTCTAGTTTCCGGTGGGGGATCAGATTTTCGTAGAGAAAGTGACCTAGGATGTTTCGTGAGCCTGGGAATAATTTATTGGGGATAGGAAACCAAGTAATACCATTATTGTCAAAGAATGGCCCGCAAAAGTACTCCTCCGCGGTCTCGCATACTCTGTCGTCTTCTCGTCTAACAGATTCGGGCCACGAGTACTCTCGCATATATTGATACCTTTCTATGACCTCAGGGGGGGGTGGACCAAGTAAAGCTATTATTTCAGCGATGTGTAATTTAGCATCGTAGCGACCTTGTCGATTATAGATATGCTGAAATAATTCTTTGCCTTCGATTATATCCCACAGCTGGTCTGGCATTAGTGGATGCAATAATTTTAAAGAATAATGGAACATACCAGAACACCAAAATTCCAAATATCCGCAGGCATTTGCCATCCATTACCCAGTAATACCTCTGGCGCCCGATAGTGGTCTGGCTGAATAGGCCACACGCCCCAATCGTCGTTTTCCTCAAGTCTGGTTGCCAAGCCAAAGTCAACAAGCTGTGGTATACTTCTCAGGCTTTTGAGGGGCCCAAAATCATTATGGGACTGATATACTGGTCGTCCCGTCGAATTAATTTTGAAAGCCATCGGTTTTTTAAGTTGAGAATCTATGAAATCAGCAAGCACGGTTGGGTCCTCGAACGTGACCATGATATTTTCAAGCTTTAGATCTAGGCAGCCGCCTGAGCTCAGTATCACCGATGGGAAGTAAGGCTGAGGATTGAACTTACCCGTATGAACTATCCTGCATTCTTTGTGAAGGTATTCAAGCCCCGTAAGAAGAGCACGAATGTAGGTTTTAATGAGGGGCAGTGGCATCCTTCTATCATTAAAACGCTGCTGATACATTGATAATGGCTCCCTCATAGGTGGATACACAAGACATGAATAAGAACCTTCTGGACCTTTGACCTCAAAAGAGTCTAGTAAAGTCCTAATAAGTGAACGGCCGCGATGTGATGGGTTTGCTGTGGAAATGTACTCTTCAACCTCGCGTTCATGATTAGCGGAATTTGTATTGTTATTAACGATTTTCAGTGCTAAGACGAGCTCTGCCCCTTTGACATCCCTGTATACTTGTTAGAGATAGAGAAAGCTTCGAATAGAATAGAAATTATTGAAGGCTATACTTGCAAATCACGCGCGAGCCATACGGTTGAAGACACGCCCCAGCCAACCTTGACCAGGGTTTGGTAACGATCGGCAAATACCTCTCCAAGCTTCGCTGGGTAGAAGTACTTAGAATTGTATACTGGAGAGATCTCTTCATCGACGAGTATGTCAGGCGGTAAAGGTGACCCGGGAGAAGGCATGGGAAACGGTTTCTTGCGAAGCAAGGTGGACAGACGAGGGATAAATGGCCTTATAGTGCTCATTGCAGAGCTACTCTCCGTACGCTGGCGGAAGAATGTGATATCAATAGTTTTGGAAGAAGAAGGTCAAGAAGCCCGAGTAACAGCTGGTAAACCTTGGCACGGTAGGGGATGTGATTATTCCCGATACAGGCTAGTGAGAAACAAGCAGTCAGCCAATGAGATCATCGGATGCTTCCAATCAAGACAGCGAAGTAGACAACCATACCTTGCCAAAAGGCCACAGCTGTGCTGCATAGAGAGGGCAAGGCCTTTGGGAGAGACGAGTGAAGCTGACAGATGTCTCAGTAAGCCAGTCGGAATATCTGCCTCATCCTCGTACAACTTTTGGCTCCTAACAATAATAGCATGTTGAAATGGCTTGAGTCACGCTTCAGTTTGTCAAAAAGAACTTATTGGCGATGCCAAAGAAGAGCTCTTCTGCTTCGGTGCAGTCCAATAGCGCGTAGGTGACCAATGATTCTTTGCATTGCTACTAGTGGGTACCGGTGATCAATCAGGCACTGCCCCAACTTTGGCGCCGTGGTGGAAACTAACTAAGGACCGAGTAAGTGTCTGCCTCCAACGCTGACTGTTTCAGCCTCTAGCTGAGCTTCAACCATGACCGTGTAGAGGGCGAATTATATCCTATTGTTTTGAGTTTTACTGGACGGCTGAAACATGAAATTCATGGAGATGGATGGGTGGGGAAGGCGGCAATGCAACCGATGTAATAGGCCAAGGGAGTATCAGTAGATTCGCAAAAACAGCCATAATTAGGAACACCTATATTTTAGCTCCAAGGATATTGCGGGGGTGTGATATGCCCTATGCCGCTTCGCAGCCAATGAATTGGGAAGTGTTCTGTGTAATCCATGGCGAAAGACAGTCAAGGTGAATTATGCACTAGATAGTATCGCTCTTGATGAGGTATATTAAGGAGGTGTATGCCACAGCTCATCAGCATCTACACAGTCTCATCAGGTTACTTTCATACTCCAAGACAACTCTCAAATCTAATCACCCTCTTCCCGCATTCTCTCTATATATATCTACGAAAGTCAACAATCATGGCCTCGCGAGCATTCTCAAGCACCGCCAGACAGTTGAAGCAGCTCGACTGGACCCTTCACGGAACAACCATCGACGTCAGCTGGTTGATCCAGCAAGTTGAGCGCTCCATCGATGAAGTCCCCGGGCTGAGTGTGGGACCTATCGAAGGTTAGCATGTGTCATGGATCAATGCTTGGCACGGCCAATGTGCACTAATAATATGATGTGTCTCCACACGAGTCGGTCCCACATGATCCGTATATCACGTGATACATAAGCGCTAATCAGCCCTTCCTCCCAGAACAGTATATCACCTTTCCTTGGTCCCCCGTCTAAAAAATGCCCTGGAAGATTCCCCCTTTACGAATTAGTTGATGCTGTACGAACACTTTGAGCCAGAATAGGTTGTCCTATGTCTCTTAACTTCCCTCATATTGACTTTTTGCCGACTCCAAGCCAGACTTCTCCAGTCGATTCTGTTTGTTGACATCCCGCTTGTTCTAGGTTCTTGTTGGAATAACCCGCGTCGATTCTGTACATGTTCACGACTTATCGAATAGATGGATAGTTCCAGCTCTCCGGATTATAAGGCGCTTTATCTGAGGGCGGAGGAAGACAAAAGAAAGGCAGAAGAAGAGCGAGAACAAGAAAAGAGAGAACGAAGGCGAGCTGAAGAGAGTCAGAAGAGGGCCGAGGAAGAGCGGGACCAAGGACGAGAACGAACACGGCCAACGACCTTTCTCGAGCTCCTTCGCCTGTGCCACTCCCTTTTCTCGCTGCGGCTACGAGCTGAAACCCCGTCTCGCTCTACGACTGGGAAAATACCCGCGCCGACCGGGAAATATTGTCCGTTGCGGCTTCGTCATTGGGAAGATTGTGCCGCCAGACAACAAGAGATTTACCGCTCTGTTTGTGCCTATTTGGCACCTCCAGATGAGACTGCTGCGCAACTATTCTCGCCCCGTCTTGTGCTGGAGGCTCTGGGGCAAAGGTTTAATGAAAGAGCCATAAGTGGTGAACCGGATCTGGAAAGCTATGAACGATTTGGTGTGGAGAACTATGTTCATGACATTATCGCAGAACTTTGCAAGAACCCTGCTGCCCGAGACCGGTTTGGCTTGGGCGATGGGGTCAAGTTTGACAACCATGCAAACGCCTTGGATCAAGCTGAGACTAACCCATCCCTACTGACGGAATCCTCGACGTACCGGCGTTCTAGGCCGGATCAATTTTGCATCAGCCGCGTTGACGGTGAGAGAAATACGCTTCTTACCACAGTCGAGTATAAGCCGCCTCATAAGCTGTCCGTTGAGAACCTGCGCGCCGGCTTGCGAGAGAGGAACTTTTGGGAAGAGGTGGTCCGGCCGAATTCCATCCCCACGGAGGAATCCGCGAAATTGGCGTATAATGCAGCCTGGCTGACCGGATCGGCTATAACTCAAGAGTACCATGTCATGATTCAGGAAGGTCTCGAGTACTCATATTTGACGAACGGATTGGCATTAGTTCTATTACGTGTCCTTTACGATGAGCCGGGCACGTTGTACTACCACCTGTGTGAGCCGAACATGGAGATCGATCTGGATGATGACCAGAGCTTTGATCAGCCGCTGACGGCCATCGCGCGGGTATTGTGTCTGTGTTTGATGAGTTTTGGTGCTCCAATTCGCGACCAAACCTGGCGAAATGAGGCACGGAAGCAGCTGCCGGTCTGGAAGACGAGTTTCGATCATACCCGCTCCCAAATCCCGGAACGAGAATTGCGGCAAAACCCACCGAGCTCCGAATATAGTCCCTCGGTGAGTTCCGGACGGACGGCCTCCGAGTATCTTCCGTCGTCCTCTCCGGTGGAATCTCCTACGCAACGACGTCGAATACCGACCCGGTCTCGAGCCCAGTGTGCGCCAAATACCATGGACCGAGATGATTCTCCAGACTCTGATACAGACCCCGCTCCTGGCGGGCGGAAGCGTGGCTTCAGCCAGGTTACATCATCTCCATTGTCTCCATCGGTGCAGCGATCGGCCCGTCAGACGGGAACCCAGCCGAATGAACGCGGCCGGTACCAACACAACGCTCAATTTTGTACCCAACGATGTCTGCTGGGCCTGCAGCGAGGAGGCACGCTGGATGACCGCTGCCCGAATGTCGAGCTCCATCGACAGGGTGGCACCAGCAATCAACACTTGATTAATGCCAGCGGTCTAGTTCGGCAGATTAAGCAGCAACTGGACCAAAATCTCGACGTCGACTGCTCCCCTATGGGAGGCTGTGGAGCATCGGGAGCGCCCTTCAAAATCACGTGCACCGCGTATGGGTATACAGTTGTTGGGAAAGGAACGACGTCTTACCTGTGGAACGAGGTCAAGCGAGAGGCGGATATTTATCGTATCCTCTGGCGAGCCCAAGGGCGAGCCGTCCCGGTCTTCCTCGGCACAATCAATCTAGCCATGATCTACTTCCTGCACGGCGCTGGCCAGATCCGCCATATGCTGCTCATGGGTTGGGGCGGTGAACCCATCCACAAGGTGGAAGATGTCGAGGCGATCCGGTATGAAATTTCGCGATCGCAGAAGAAGATTCGCTCACTTGGGGTCTTACACCAGGACCTTCGGTCGGATAACATGCTGTGGAACGCCGAGTTAGGGCGGGTGTTGATCATTGACTTTCATCGTTCCCAATTGGATAGCCGACCGATGAAAAAGCGAGTGAGGTTACGAGAACAGCACTCGTGTGGGTCCGAGGCACACGGGCGGAAGCGACTTCGTATTGCCCCCTAGCTCTCTTTGGATGCTTTGACATTAAGGGCACTTCCGAAACGGCCCGTCGTTTATGTCCTCTGGGACTATGTCGGAAGCTGGCATGATGGACATAGTGAGTGAGCAACTGCAGAGCACGCAATCTCAACTCGGAGTAGGAATGCCACTCCACTTTGAGACAAAGAAAATTCCAAGCCACCTTTTTGAGTTGATCGGTGTGCAAGGACGCTTGTCACAGAACCGGCTTGACTGCCTGGTGGCTGCACGGGCATTGAGCCGGGGCAACCGAAAAGGGTGTCTGGTGTACTCGCTCAGCCAGCGGAACAATCCTAATGGGGAAGATATATCATACCGGTCTCTAGAGCCCAGTTAATGTTTTGTTGGGCTAGTGGGAATGGCATGCCATCATTACAGTCAGAGAGGCCATGTGGATGCTCCCCGTCAGACGCCGCTTGTCCTCTATTCTCGGGTGTACGCCCTAGACCTTGTAAGTTTTTCATCCATCATAGAGTACGGCTCAAAATACCTAAGCGTGCGTTCTGTACGGCGCTGTCCGTGTTCTCCACCAACAAGGAAACTGTTGAGGCGCATTCACCGTGGGTTGATCGCTGCACCCCCATCTCACCATATGATGGAGACCCTCCCCGCCAAAGCGGTTGGTGCAGCTGACTCGGAATGTCCTAAAGTCAAATGTGTCTGGCTGTCATAGCAGGCGGAGCTCAGTGAGCGATGGCTGGGCGTTTCCAGGATGATATCACCATCCGCGTCATCCCGTCCACTGGCCCTGTCATCTTCGCAATCAATGAGGATGGGCCGACTTGCGGAACCAAGCACAGAATAGTCCTGCAGCCTTTCAATGGAGGTTCGATATTTATGTCCGAAACCTTTTCACCATTCACGGGTAGGGTTTGTCATGGTGGAGGTAGAAATGATATGGGAAGCAGCTCTCAGATGTGAAAAGTGGAAGTTGCAGGCTAGTTAATATTTGACTCGGGGGCTAGACTCCTTTTATACCCTTTTGGCCCTCTTTCAATCCAGCGTGACATGGCATGGTTGCAGTCACTTTTACTCGCATTGTGTATCAGTAGGGACATACAACGAGCAGCAATTGGCCAGACAGTACTTCTTCGCGGCATGGGGCAGTACTGCGGGCATGGTATCGTCAGCTTTGAACAATTTCATTTGTGGATATGGGCACCACCACTGCGGACTAGCAAGTGGAATGCGGATGACCGGAGATATGCTCTGAGAAGGGCTCAGCCTCTGCGCCCCCAAGGGTGAAGAGTAATCATAGTCATACCGCATGACCGCAGCAGGTCCGGATTTGCGAGGGTAATTAGTCAGATAATTATGTCTATCCACTTCGCAATGGTATAGACCAAAACAGGTTAGCATTCTCTAAAAGTAAACGGGTGGGATATGGTATCATACGGGAGGGCTGAAGGTGAATGTGTCGATCTGGATGGGACATATCAGCCCCAATCAGGATTCTAGGTTATGTTCGATCCATGTCAGAATGGTAACTCAACGAACAGCAAAGGAGACAGCAGGCCTGGCCAAAATAAACGATCTCCAAAGCCGATAGGCCGTCGAGCCATGTACCATGCACCATCCACCCAGCTCGTATTGAAGTCAGACTGGGTCAACCTGTATTTATAGTAAAATAAAGAACGGGTCTAAGGAATAGATGAGCTTGCCAGGTCCGCTTAGTGTAAACCACAACTAGGGGCCGTCCATTTGCAGACAGCCGGCTGATAATGCGGCGACATTCCAGGATATAACGCCCATGAGGCCTACAGAACCCCTCGTGAACTGTTAGTAATGATATCGTATTCTCATATGTACTACCTAAGGGTCAGATTAGCGTAAAATGACATCCAATAAAAGAAATCCATGGACCACACAACAGGATACGGCTCAGTACTATAGTAGCTAGCTGCAGGGCTGGTAGTAATTAACTTGATGTTTTACAGGATAGGCTGGCACCTTCGACCTGCCAGGCAGTCGATTAAGAAAAGAGGGTGTTTCAATTTGACAGCAGACCTAGGCCAGGAACAAGAAGGCAGCACATGGAGTAAAGTATGATATAGTCAGATAAAACACAACCAATACATAATACAATGCATAAAGAATCTAACATGTTGGCAGTCGGTAGAAAGAGAATAAAACTATCATAGGAACCAACCGCGGAACAAGGAAGTAAGGAATAAACCAACACACCATGATAACTTCACCTTTGTAGAGGAAGGCAACACAACACAATAATGCGAAAAATAATATGGAAATTGAAAAGCCTTTTGAGGTTCAGATAGATGACCAAGAGTTGAGCTAAGATAAAACTTATGAGTAGAGAGAAAAGACGATGGGTTCCAGATAGAGCGGCGGGAACGTCATATACTGGTAGTATATGATAACGCTAGCCCCGGTGAAACCTAGATACTTGGACCAAGATTACCCCAAGCGGGGCCCAGCCAGTTCGCCTATACCCTACCCGTTTATCACATCCGGACTCATCGACAAAGACTAGCTAATATGATTGGAATTTAGAAAGTTTATGTTAGTAAAAAGCTCACAAACGAGGATTCTATTCCTGTGCCTTTTATCATATTTGCTTTTTCATCCATCCCTAACGCGCAAGAGCACGTTGAACGCTGTATTTAGATACCCAAACATCAAATTCATATTACAAGTAGGCAACCATCTCCTCAAGATAAAGCGTGGGCTGCTTATTAAAATGCCTCAGTCATATACAGAGTAACAGTTAGTGGATAACTAATATAGACTAAAGGAGTTCCAGCAGTGCTAAATATTCTAAGGTTTTTATAAATAGTTGACATAGATCACCTATCGTATTCCGCACTTTTTGCGATCTGTGATGAAGTGAATCTTTTATTATAAATCATATGAATGATTTTTGTACGCTGCCAGGACTCCAGTTACTGTGCCATCTTGAGGAAGTACCTGGATAAAACAAATATTGGAATGATATTATCTTAGACTGAGCTTACATGGAGATACAAACACATCAAACAGCATATGTCAGCTGATTTAGTTGAACACCTACCTTAGGCTGCCAGGCATCAATCAGTGCCAAGCCATTGTAGACAGTGGAGCTCGATACTCTCGAAGAGTAGTTTATACACCCTAACACCTTAAGCAGGGTCATTCAGTAGGACTACGGCAAAGCACTTCAAAGCAGGCAATTTCATTGTCCTTCATTATTACTGAAAGTGTTTGTGTCATATTGGCATACTTTCCGTCGTGAAGAAGATTCTTCATCACAACTTCAAGATTCAAGAAACCCATAGCGCAATATACAATATCAGGAATTACTGTACCGGCCTGCGGAAGGACATCATCCAGACGAGTGAAGTATTAGTTGGCGAACAGGTTACGTCATTGTGAAGTCACACAGTTTGCGCTAGAGCAAATTGAATCAAAAACCAAGCATTTGGTATTGTTCTAATGAACAGACATCGCTCCAAGCCTAAACCAAACATAATCATCAAGACGAGTAGTTCCGTTCTGCATCACTTCACCACTCTCCATCTCTTCTAGATCTCTAATGAACTCATCGATATACTCGCCAGCGGCACTGAGATGGAGGATGCGTCCAATAGCACTATGGATTCTAAGAAGTTCAGGCGAAGGCGGCTCTACATCCCGATTGGGTGTAATGAAGAGGCTAACAGTGACAGGAAGCTTTTCGACCCGGCCCATGCGGTCTGAATCTATGTAGTTAATTCTGTAGGTGTGCGGTTGGGAGTCAACCGGCTCGAATGCAATTTCAAAGTTACCGAATAACTTATGAAGGTCGTGTGTTAAGGTTAATGCGTTCATTGGTCGGTCAATATCAACGCCATCAATTAAGTGGATAGCGATAGGGTTAAACATTGTTAGGATTCGGTGAGCAATTTGCTTCGGATCTGCCTAAACTACTGTCAGGCAGGGTTGAAAGCTTGGCCATATCATGTCAACTTACAAGTCTCCCCTCACTTCCTCCGCTGGTAATTGAGTTAAGGGAGTGGGGTATTATATGCGCAACTTCAAGATATGCCATGATATCACGTTCTGGTAGTAGTGACTTGCCATCATCATCCTTCACATCACGCCCATCTCGCTTATATCGATTCTGGGCTTCTTGGGCATCGAATTTCCGACTAATAACACATCGGTGGCGGTCACGACCAAGACAGAGTTTTCTAAGGTTCGAAACGCGTTGGGGTGTTCCAATGGCGGCTTCATGCGGTTTGGACCGGGAGGGGGTAGGTTGAGGGGTTTTAGCTGCCAACGCTTTTACTAAGGATGGTGAGTACTTTTCGTCCCGCGCCTGGTCTAAAAACTTACGTGGTAGGAAGAAATTGTCCACCAGATACTTGGCGAATGTAACGAAACTTTCGCTTAAAGCGTCTTTCTCTTCAGCTGACCAGTTAGAAAAACCAGCAAGGTGTGATAAGATTTGATCAAGACCGATTCCTCCATCCTCCTCGTCAAGTAGATCTTGCCCGGTAAAGGAGAAAAAGAAGCTCAAGAATTCGTCTGTCTCTGAGACTTCGTGTTTCATGAGTCTGATAAGAGTGATCGGTTTATAACCGCTGTTAGTTGCCTGGTAACGCTCAAAATGCAGAGTAATCTCTTCAAAAATTCGGATCGCGAGGTCACGCTCTTCGGGGGGCAAAGGTTGTGATGAAGGAACGATAACTCCTTCCAGGGATGAACGGTGCCGCCGAATTCGACGTGGATGCGCCATTATTATTACTGACCGGATACGCAGGCTGCTTGCCAGCAAGCATTAACACCCTTGCATTCCTCTATCGTTGTGTGGAGTGAATAGGTGAAGGGCGGAGCTGAGAAGTTGGTTTCGGATTCGGATTAACTGTTCACCGCGGTCACTCTGGCTTTGCTGACTAAGCCCCACAAAGCTCCATCCGTCGCTTATCTTATCTGCCCCTCTATCCTTTCCAGCTACGTATCATATGAACAATCTTTGTACGCTGCCAGGGCTTCAGGTGCCGTGCCATTCTGAGATGCATGTATCTGAAAGAACACACGTCTGGGAGTGATGTTGTCTCGAGTTGAGCTTATGTACACATGCAAACACATCAAACGGCAGTCGTCCCACCCGATTCAGTCGACTTCTTGCCTCAGGCTGCACTTTGGGAGTGGGGCTCGGCCAGCCCCTCAGCGCCAAGCGATTGCGGCCGAGCTCGATCCTGTCGAAAGAGCAATGGAAGATTGGAATTAACCTGAAATGTTAATTTCGAATGAATCCAAGACCGTGACCCTTTATTCTGCTTGGGATTCCCATAGAATCGCGGCATTGTCAATTTTGCGATGCTTTGATCACCTCGGGGCTCTTTCTTTGCTTTCATCCAAGATATATTTGCGTGTTCATGATTGGTCTCCCGGCATAGCAGCCTCACGGGCGCAATGGCTTTACAGCACTCCGTTTCGAACCGGTCAGATTTCCTGTGATGATGGTTCCGATCTTCTTTTTGGTGTGCGCCACGTATGTGGCGGAGAGGAGAGGGTCTTTTGTGTCTTACTTCTGGTAAGTCATGCCTTGCATAGTCTGATATACCCCGTGGGAGAAAAACTAGCCAGGGGATAGGCCATTCAGGCTTCCATTCGAACCTTGCGGAATTGGTTGGCTCTCGTGGGCTGCAAGCAAGCTGTGCCGCCAAAAATGACTGCTTAATCGATGGCTCAACTCTACGCGCCGGCTGCAGAGTTCCCAGGACCAACCCCGCAGCTCGAATAATTGATTTTCTCATCCAAGAAAGACCCTCGGGGCATGTGAAATCATTCCCCCGGACTCAGTTCACATCACGATCAGGTTGGTTCTGCGCCTTCGGGTAGGCTCTTCGTGATGGATTTTACCCACTTACCTCAGAGAGCGAATTGAATTATCAGGACAGGCTCAAGCTTTTATCTGAATAGATACAAGATGGAGGCCCTGACAGTGGACACGGCTAGTAACCTCGATGGTAGGACTGAGGGTGGACCGGGATACTATCTAGGTCTTGCCGACTGGCAGTATAAGACCACATGGTCGAGAGACGGGAATCATACAACTAGCACACGGGCTGGAGCCCACGAAATAGGCTCTAGTAGTTAATGCCCATGCCAGGAGCAAGCAAGACCATAGTATCTAAGCTCGTGTGTTCTATATTCTTCCCGCCCCCATTGGTCTATAGCTGACTCTACTAACTCTTCCAAGTCCAATTTTCGTGGCCCTTGTTCTAAAAAAAAAAAAAAAATATAAATAAATAAAGAAAAAAAAAATACCACTAACGAGGAACTTTTAGCATACCAGAATTACCCGGTCTGGTACTCCTCACGTTTCGAATGTGATAGACTGGTAGCATAGGAGACCGGATAACAGCACATTCGTCGGATGGCGTCTCACACCAGCCTTGATCTTGATCTCTAGACGTCGGCTAGCCCGAGGATCTACCAGGGCTCAGCGGTTCGATGGGGCGATATAGGATATGAGAGAAGGGGGGGTTAAGGGGATGAAAGATGAAAGATAGAAAGAGGAATCGGGAGGAGAAAGGGTCTATACTTCAGAGAATAACTGGTGGGCCGTGGGCGGTGCTATTGAACCAGTGCAGCGATCCTGAAAATGGCAAAATAACCATACCAGGGAAATTTACAGGTCCTCGCTGCACAACGCCGCTTGAAGCCGGATAGACAGGAAGTAATGATGCTGAGCCAAGCATTGAATGCCATACCCACGCTGCTGTACATCATTGGTAATATTATTACTCTTATCCTAGTCAACTCCTATCTATACACAGACAGACAGACACAAATCACGAAATCACAATCGTATCATCATAGCATCATGCACCGGGTATGAGGCGAAAGTAACACAGATCTCCACCGAACTCCACGCCAAAAGCCACAAGAGAATTCAGGAACAACGATACCAGGCAACCCTAGGACGTTCCCTCGATTTCAACCAGAACCCGTAGGTCACCGTCCATCCAATCGACATTACTGGCGGATACTAGCGCCATGGTCCACTCGCCGTCGTTATGCACTGGCGTGACTCCGTCGGGTAGCCAGACCTGGAACTTCCAGTGCGGCGGGGAGCCCCAGCCACCGGTGGTGTCCAGGGCATCCGGCGACACGCCTGGTAGCTGGCCTGCGAACTTGCGCGAGATCAGCTGCTTCAGGGTCTCCAGGTCGGGGCACTGGCTGGAGGCGATGTCAAACCGTGGGTGCATGCGTTTTCCGTCTTGCAGGAGGTTAATCCGGAGCGAGACATTGGTGGGAGGTGGAGCTGGGCTGGTGTTAGTGCCGGGCAGCGGGGGAAAGTTCGGTGGAAACGGCTGGAGTTGAGGCTCCGGCGCCTGGTCGTGGGGCGACTGATGAACATCTTGCTGGGTCGCGAGACTGTCCCGGATAACGCGTGAGATCTCGCGGGCGATACTGCTGGCACTAGGAGGCGATTAGTGAGATACTAGCATGCATGAGAGGAACATACAATTCATTCCGGGAAGGATTAGGTGCATTCCCACCAATGCGCCATCGCAGGTCCGACGTCACATCGGCATTCAATATGCGGTGCACATTGGCATCCTCACACGGCGACGGACACTCGTAACCGCCGCTGTGGATGACCTGGTAATGGCTGTCAATGGCAGCAACGAGTCCCCGCCAATCCGGCTGTTGCAGGCCTGACATGTACCAGAGGTTGTCAAGCTCGCAATTCTGGTTATACAGTTCATATGACTTGGCAAACGCGTCCCAGTCGGTCGAGTACCCATCCAGCAAGAGATCGGTCAGGCCCAGATCCGTCGCCGACGCGGAGTCGAGCTGAGGTTGCGCCGTGGGTAACGTAGCCTGAGTTGTCATATACTCGTCCGGAGTATGATGATGATGCTGATGCATTTGGAGGTGATCGTCCGGGGTGGTGGCATTGAGATTCTGCAGACTATCCTCGGTCTTGCGTCTCCGTCGCTCCTCGGTGCCGCCGCCCTTCCGAGTCTCCACGGCATACTGCCGCTGACGCTCATTCGTCACCATCCGTCGCAGCAAAGGAATCACCAGCGAGATGATCTTCTGTTGGTCCCGGGGCCAGATGTATGTCCGGGGCCCCATGCCCTCGTTGACCACGTTCTCCCCGAAGAACCGCTCCCCATGTCCCTCGACCTCGAGGAAATGGCGCACACAATTCCACAAGCGCAGCTTGACCATCTCCGTATCGCCCTTGCCACGTTGACCCACGCAATCCCGCCGGTCCGGGTGGCGATCATCCAGCATGTAGGCCTTCGCCGCTGCCTGCAGATGCAGGAAGTTCTCCGGCGACAGTTCCAGCGAGGCGAACAACTTAGACATTGGTGGCCGGGTGTATTTCTTGTTACTCGACGGTTGGCGAAACAAGGCAGCGGCAGAGTGAAGGCCCACGGCGCGAGCCTCGGAGAGCGACTGGGACGGCGCGCCGCGAATATCCAGACCCTCTCCGCCGTAATGGTGGGGATGCTGGTGATGTTGTTGCGGTTGGTGGTGGGCATGGTGCGTGCCTGCGAGACCGACGGCCGCGCCCGCCGTCAACGCCGGGTCCAGCGCATCCTCATTCCTCTTTCGCTTCTTGGTTGGCACCCGAGTCAAACCACCCCCGGAAGGCTGGCCATGTTCATTCATCGAACCCGGTCCGCGCAACTGCCGCCCGCCTCCGATCCCAGCCCCAAACCCAGCATCTCCAAAGCTATCATCCTCCATATGAGTATCAGCCCCGTATCCATCCAGGTGATGCTGGAGACCCGCGGCCCCAGCGGCAGCAGCGACGGCGGCAGCGGCAGCCCAGTCCGAGACCTCTTGGCCCGCAGCAGCTGTGGCGGCCTCCACCAGCCCGGCTAGTTGGTTCTCACTGGGTGCATAGCCGCTGGTTGCGAGGTGTGTGCTCGGGTCGACATTGGCGGAGGTGGTCGGGTTGGTTGAGAATTCGGCTGAGGTGGACGGAGGATGTTGATGGTTCGAGGCAGACGTCGAAGCCATTGCAGTTCGAGTCGCGTCGCGTCGGCGTGTAGATACACAGCCACCGCAACGTGTTCAAGGTCAGAACCGATTATGGTTGGTCTAGAAGCCAGCCGATGAAGGTGCTGGTGTCGCGAACTGAAAGAATAGGCTGGAAGCTCGAACACGAGTCCTACTGTCGCACAGCAACGTAAAGTGGGGTTTTCAGCGCAGAAGACGGCGACGCAGCTTTCAACGTAACCAGTTTAACGCTGGTATATGCTGTACAATACTGCAGGAAAGGTCGCGTATGGGTGTTGAGTGCTTGTTGACGATCGGCAAAACAACCCAACACTGGTGAACACCCGCACTCCTGGGCAGGGAGAAGCACACAGTCGCCCAGGCGAGCAAGGCGCGTGAAGTGAATGGAAGCTGAGAGCCCCAACGATTATCTCCACCGCGCGCAGATGGCGATAAGTGAAGCAGCGATAGTTTGTTGACCGCGATGACGCTGTTTGGCTGGTTTGAAGGAGGAGCAGACAGTGCAAACTCTGCAGGGAAGACACCGTTGCCGTTGCCCAAGACAGTTAGCCGGGTGGATCGGTCACATGATACGAGTACCTGAGGCAGCAACAGACCACCGGGAGGACGGTGGTACGGAGCAATCACTGGCTTTACCATTAAATGGTCAATTTGGTCCGGCCAAATGGTCCTAACTGCAATAGATAACACAATGTCTGAAACAGATCACACTAATCTCGGCACATCAAGTATCGCTGGCCAAACATATCAAACAAATAAGAAGCAATCGTATCTATCAGGCATCACAGTACACCTGAACACCAAAGGAAATATGAACATAAGAATGTCAAGTCATGTGGTACGTAGCCCCTACCACGACCAAATGTAACGGGCTAGAGCTTTGGAAGAATTTAACCAATCTCGAGGCATCTTCGGTCGTTGGAGGAGTCTAGAGCTCAGACACTAGAATCCATCCCCCTCTTTCCACGCTCGTCCCACCTCGAGGGCCCGTGCCTGGGGATCTTTGCCACGTTCCGTAGCATTGGCCACCAGTTCATTGATCAGCAGCTCCTCGAGATCGATTTGGTCCACGAGTGAGAGGTCCTCTCCGGGCTGTGGGAAGTCCAGATAGCTCTCTTCTCCCAGCGTCCCGCCCATCCGGGTCAGCTCGATCATGTCGGCCCGAGTGTTCCAGCCTTTGAATTCCTCCTCAAGCTCGGACTTGCGATTGTGATGGCCCCGGAAAGCGTCGTACTCGTCTTCGCCCCCGAAGCAGATGCCATATCCATCGCAGTAACAGACGTGCTCCTTCACACAGAAGACATTCTCGCCTGTGAACACTACCTGCCACAGGTATTCCCAGATACGTCCGGAGATGTAGTCACTGAGTTCCGTCCGGAGCATCCAGTCGCGGAAATAGATGAACCGAGCCCTGGGGATGGCAAGGATACGCTCGCGCGACACAGCAAACTGCGCGCAGCAGGGTTGCGACAGGACTTCAGGCACCGGATCATCCGGAAAGATCTCTCCCCAGGCTCGGGCCAACATAATCTCCTCTTGCTTGGTTTGATCCTCCACCAGCGTGCCCGGGTGCAGCCACGCAGGACACCCGGGGCTCCAGGCACACCGCAGGTTCACATACCCCTGCCGGACCACCCAAGCGGGATTAAGACGCCGTAGAAGATCAGCGGCATCGCCACCAAAAAGGTCGTCATTGTGCCAGGCATACTGATGCGAATGCATGAAGGCGATGATATCCGGAAGTATGTCATAATGTTCGATAATATAGCTCAAGTAGACCATCACCTCATGACCCTTGTTCTTTGGCGGATGCAAGGGTGCCGTCGGGTCATTGACTGCGTAGATTGCGGTTTCCCAGTCGGGCAGTTCAGACTCCATCCAACTCGTGTCCTCGCCATCGGCCTGCGGCACCACGAGGGCCTTCGTGTACGCGGCCCCGGAGGGTTTAGGTATGCCGGGGATGAACTGCGGCTTCGGCGCATATGGTGTCCGAATGGCGGATTCCTCCTGGACCCTGGTGACATTGAAGCGCACCGAAGGCGACGGGGAGGGAGTCGTAGACAGCTCACCCAGCCCGACGACCTGCGTCGCTTGCTCCCATTGCGAAGAGAGGCTGCGGATGGCGAGAAGAATGAATACGATAAAAGCAAAGCCAAACAGGGGCACGGCCCGGCGCGAGGAAATCATGGGAGACGGTAGGATTTTTGATCGGGGAAAAGTAAAGATAAGTGCACTGCGATTGGATGAAAGAGCTCGATCAGTATAGAACCAAGGCGATGAGCTTGCTGGGACGCCAAAAGCGTGGCCTCACAGGTCTAAACCAGCACGAAAACAGAAAATTACCCACCTGAGTCAACCGCTACAGAAGAGAAGCCATGGAAGAACGGATCCAGGTAGTCACAGTCGGGAACAGTTGTCAAATCCCCGCGATCTCAAAGGACAGAACGGCAAGATGCGCGGCCACAACCGGTCGAAGGTTCCACGAGCCAAACAGGGAGGGGCAAGAGGGAACGAGGGCCGTTCCTAGGGCAGATTCATGCGACCCGGACTGGATTGGAAGAATGGATTGGTTGAAAAGGCCAGCCGAGGGAGGCATACGCAAAGGATGGCGCAGGAAGCGGGCGGGAGACGCGGGCGGAGGCGACGCTGGCGTCAGCGCTGATGACGACGATCTTTGACTCCGTAGATACTAGATCTCGGATGCGTGCAATCCCTGGTTCTCTGATGAAGATCGATCCCCGAAAGAGCGACTAGGTACGGAGTATAGATAGACTCGAAGGAAGTTCTGAGAGTCGGGAACCGGTCATCTGGAGGGACCAGCGACCGGCCCTGGCTGGAACCCTTCTTTGCGTGGCCGGAGAATTCAGGCTGGATCCCCACGGGCGCCGGTTGAAGTTCGTCCCGACCATCGGTGAGACAACGGCTCCGTTTGATTGGAGCTGGCCAGCCACTGCCCCTGATCCCGTTCCCCCAGAATGCACCCGATCGATCGATGCAGTGCTTATTTGCTGCATTCCAACCCAACGTTTTCCGCTGACCCAATTTCTTACACTTATGCTACTCCGTAGGCCAACTCAAATACGAACGATAAGCCAAGTGAGTCGCGATAGAGATTTCTAGTATGTACATACACATAAGGGTCCTCGCCTCCTGCCACCCCGCAGGACGGGCGCAACAGGATGGGGTGAGTTCAAGGGGAAATGACCATGCAGGAGCCACATTTTCGAGGATCGAACATACAGGCAACGGGGTATGATGAGGAGCCGCTTCAAGAACGCCGATAAAACAATGATTTGCCGATAGGGAGGGCAGCACCAGTGAGATGATAATACATCAACCAAAAAGACACCAGGTATAAAGGCAGAAGGGAAAAAAGTCGGGGAAAGGCGAACGAAACCCATCATGTCTCATCATCAATGGCGTCTTCCACCGTGGCGACCCGTGCCTTGCCCTTCGACGCCGAGTCTGATTCCTCAGCGTGGTCCGTCCCGTCCGTGCCTTCGACCAAAGTGCTCTCGCCTTCAAGATGGGCCTCAGGTGCTAGATCGGTCCACTGTTGCGATAGTGACTCTACTCCCGAACCCGTCGCCGTTGAGGTTGCTCCCGATTGCCAGTTTGGCAAATCCTGAGATGCAGAAGGCTCGGGCGCGGCCGCACCCTCGTCCTGTTGGCCTTCAGCCAATGCAGTCATGGTGGGTACTGGTGTCTGCGGAGTGAAGATGTTATCGGATACCTGGGTGGTGCCTGTCGTAGGGGCGGGGCGTGGATCAGCCAGTCTGGAGTCCTGGTCGGGGGAGTGAAGAGGGATGAGAGACCAGCCAGCGGGGAGGTTCAGCCCCTCTGGGAGTCGACTATCCCCAGCGCCCATGGCGGGTGCACGAGGGTCCGAAATGAATTGACGGCGCGTAGCGATGGATGACGTCGGGGATGAGACGGCGGGGGAGCTTTGGGATGCGGTATTTTGTGTGACGGGGGAACTGGCCGGAAGGGTTCGGAGTCGCTGAAGCTCCGTCTGCAGCAGCCGCATCATATGGAGTTGGTCCGCGGTGACACGCAGAGTCTCAATTTCCTGTATGATCTGTTGCTCCATGTGCTGCAACTGACTTTGCATGTCTGCCGCGGTCGAGGCAGGCATAGGCACAGCCTGAGGCGCTGCTACCGGGGGAGGTCGTCCGAATCCAAAACCAAAGCCGATCTGTCTAGCGTCTGGGGCATTGGCGTTGTTGGCCTGCTGTACGGGCACATGGCCTTGGTGGATTTGCTGATGGAGATTCTGGAAAAGGTCACCTCGTCCGGCCCCAAACCCGATTCTAAAGGGTCCAAATTGATAAACCCGGGCTCTGGGTAGCCCGTCTGCTTGCCCATCCCGGCCAAATGCTTGGTTGCCACCCGGCATGTTCTGTGCGCCAGCGTTGTTACCAGGCCCTGGGTTGCCGCCATCGCCCGTCCCCCGGGCCCGAGGTGGCGCAATAACAGGCCGTCGGCATGTGGGGCAGTTCTGCTGTCTCTCGAGCCAGCTTCGAAGACAGGCAAAGTGCAGAATATGACCGCAGGGAAGCTTCTTCGGGCGAAGCCTATCAGAGACCCGGTTCCGCTGCGCACCCGCCGGCTGGTGCCAATGTGTCATCTCTTCCCGGCAAATGATGCACACCTCCTCCCTGGTGACTTCTTCGGCCGTTGCATCGGGATAACGTTCATTCATGTCCCGGGTCGCATTGCGGTAACGTACGAAATCTATGATGCGTCGTCCAAAAGAGCGGATGGTGACCACGACGTCGCGCAAGATATGAATCGGTAGACCGTAGAACGTGAAAAGAATCGCGAAGAATGTAAGGTATACGGTAAGCTTGAGGAAGTCCGTAAGCAGATCGAGGTAGAAGATCCACCGGCCCTTTTCTTCCCAGCCTGACACATCCAACTCCATCTCGTCGATGTCGTTCTCATCTGGCAGGTTGGGGGGCTCTCTCTCTAGAGACTCCGCATACTCGCGCAATATCTCCTCCCTAGCTGTCCGGATCTCCCGACGGCGCTCCTCCACCTTGGCTTTCACTTGCCGGTGTGTGATGTAGATCTCTACCAACGAAATGGTGTACCGGGCGGCCGTCGAGCTGGAGAGGATCGTAAGGACCGCGAATTCGAAGCCAAACATAACCATCATGTCGGGCCGTGCCTGTTCAAGAACCGTTCGGATGCAGTACCTCAGCATGAACGAGTTGAAGAGAACTGAGAGCAGCAGCGAAGCGGCCAGTCGGATGTGGAACAAGCGCGGGTTCGCCGGAGGTTGTTGCTCGAGGAATTCCACACGGCCCTCACCGATCCAACCCCAGACCTTTCCAATCAGCAAGGAGACGAACATGACCAGAAACCAACCGCCCAGCTCTCCCCGGAAGATCGTCATCGCCAAGCATGTTTCCGTCACGGCGAACCACGCTTTCTCGTAGAGCTGTTCCGTTTCGATGGGTCGAAGGGGTCCGTAGAGGAGACGCTGAAGCCAAAAGAGGAAGAAGCCAACCGCCAGGAGACTGATGTTCATCAAGATCTGCGCGAAGAAGTTAGACCTTATGGTGTGAAGCCCCAACGTTGGCGCGCCGAGAAAGCGTGTTGGGGCCTGCGGCGGGGAAGGCTTACCATGAGATTTGCACTGCTCTGAGAGAGATATACGCATGCAGCATAGAAGTTTGCTCTCTGATGCAGCGCTTTCAAGAAAACGCCAGTGGCTAGGGCAGCCGAGGCCTATGGACAGCGTGGTCAGCCTGGGGGGAGGAGACAGCAGCCTGGAGCAACATACCCCAGCATACACGGCCAATCTCATGGCGACGGGTTGAGAAGGGTGGGCGTAAAGCCCGATTTCATGGACGAGGGCGTAGCAACGGGGCGAAACTTCTCAGACCGACATTGACACCGCAGGTAGGAGAAGAAAAGAAGGAACAGTCGAAACGGGGAGGAAGATGAAGACGATCGCGTGGGCGAGAGAGACGATGATGGAATCGGGATGGGGATGGATGGGGATGTTCTGGCCAGCTAATCTACTCGGTATCGCCCGTACCGGGTATCGTTACCAGCCTGGAGTTACCGCCTTGGCATCTGACCTCAGCGGCCGCTCATTCTTTAACTAGTTATATCAACTTAGAATGACATCCGGTGGGGGATGAGAAGGACCGGTCATTGGAAAGTGACTGGTAAGGCTGGTCCGATGCAACGTTTCTCTTGACAGCTGGTGAATTTGCTCCCAGGTTGACGGAGGTCTCTACCATCCAGGTACACCACAGCTATTGTGTCACCCACGAGCTCCCGCCGATCAGGTGATGGGCAGCTGGCCGGCATCCGGCTGGCATTCCCTCCGTCATCGGTCGCTCACCATCATCTACTCCGTCCTCCGTACCAATACTAATAGTGGACAAGCTAGACAAGCAGCTCTAGCACCTCGACGGAATCTCAGCCATTCCGAGCATCGTTTCCAGGCGTAATGAGCTGAATCGTTGTCATGGCTTCCCCACGGACCCTGTTCACAGCCAGCCGCTTGCAAACATGGACCTACCTGCTTGGCGTCTGTCCATTCTCCATCGCATTCCTAGTCTTCATCAACTCGTCCATCTCCTTTGTCGTCACGGAATTGATTGGACTCCGTGACGGAGAAGGTGATGCCGTCGGCACCCTGGGCTTCGCGGACGAGCTGCTGGCTCTAATCGCTTGCCCCTTGTGGGGGGTGCTGTCGGACCGCATTGGCGTCCGTCATGTAAGCGCTACTCTACTCGGTTGTCGGGTTCAATTGAAGTCTTGGTTTTCTCATGCAGTGTCTGCTATCTAGGTCTGCACTACCGGCTATGCTATCGTTGCAGTTGCCCTGGTCCTCTTCGTCCAGGCCAAAAATGTCTACCCTCAGCTCCTGCTGGGAAGACTGTTGTTCAGTCTCGGGGGCGCGGCGGTATCGACCATGGTCACGGCAGTACTTCCAGCCGTAGCTGGATCTCACTCGTCACCACAACATAAACCCACATCAGGATCCCAGACGAGTACCACTTCATCCTCCCGATTGGCAGGGTATGTAGGCATGTGTGCGGGCTGCGGTGCCCTTGTTTCCCTTGTCGTCTTCTTGCCCCTTCCAGCTCGCTTCCAGCAATGGGGCCTTTCTCCCGTCGAAGCTATCCAGCGGAGCTACTACCTCGTCGCGGGGGTGTCTCTGGTAATCAGTGTTCTCTGCTTCTTTGGTCTGAGAAACCTCCCCGGAGAAGAGGGCAAGGCGTGGAGCTCCCTGTGGTCCCCCCGCCGGCGCGGGGCGTCGGATGGCGGCGACTCGTGCTCGTACGCTCGCAAATTCCAATTGCCCTATCTCGAACAGCTGGGCACGGCATTCATCTTGGGGTTCAAAAATCCAGACATCTTCCTGGGCTACCTCGGGGGCTTTGTGGCACGCGCCTCGTCCGTGGGGATCTCGCTGTTCATCCCGCTCGCGGTGAACCATTATTATCGCCGATCCGGCTTGTGCGGGAGCCAAGACGGAGAGGCGGCTAGCCCTGGCGACATCAAGAAGTCATGTCACCGAGCCTATGTGCTCGCTTCGATCCTGACGGGGGTCTCGCAGCTAGTCGCGTTGATCGCGGCGCCAGCCTTCGGGTACCTGTCCGAGCGATCGCGACGGCGTCACGTGCCGCTGCTGGCCGCGTGCTTTGTCGGCCTCGTGGGTTACACCACGTTTGCCCTGTTGCCCAGCCCCGAGTTCAATGGCGACCACGGCAGTCCCGGCGTATTCGTAGTGATGGGCCTGGTCGGGGTCAGCCAGATCGGAGCGATTGTCTGCAGTTTATCCGTGCTGAGCAGCGGGGTTCTCAGCGTGAGCGACGTGAGTAGCATGGATGATCAGTTCTGGAACGAGCAGAGTGATCCCAGCGAGGATGAGGCAGAAGGGGAGGAGTGTCCTGTCGACGACGGAGAGGAGGATGAGGACCGGCCGCTCATGGCACACCGTATGGGCCGGAAAGGACGGCATCTGGCACATCTCAAGGGTTCGATTGCTGGGGTGTATTCCCTTTACGGTGGAGCGGGAATTCTGATCCTGACCAAGCTGGGTGGGCTCCTGTTCGATGTGCTGTCGTCGGGAGCGCCGTTCTACATCATGGCCGGCTTCAATGGGGCACTGCTACTGGCAGGCCTGGTCAGTGGGTTCATTGGGCACCCAAGGCCCGCTGGATCAACTGGATCTGGTGCGTAGCGTCGAAAAAGCTCTCAACGAGTGTTGCTTTCTTTGTGTGTCTTTTGTCTACTAGACAAGGATGATTTTGTTAGCTTGGATGTTTAGCGTGGAAATTAAGCCGCAGCAGACCGGGGGAACCGTGGCGCATATTTTTGGGATGCATGGATGAGCCTGCACCGCCGGGAAAATGAAATGAGCCTTTATTCCCGCCCCCACGTCTGGCCCCAGTGTCAGGCCGTGGCTCCGTTTCAGGTCAGTGGCAGCAATGTTGAGGAATCGTGAGAAGGAAGAAAAGAAGGATGATGGAGAAATTGAAGAGGGAAGACGGACGGGTATATTATGAGTGGGATAATAGAATTTCCCCGGCTCCAGCGTGAGTCCGCCTCTCCCACGATAATCCATCCAACCCTCACCGTAAGCGCTGACAGACCCAGTGGTTCCCAATGCTTCGCCCACCAAACTGGCTGAGCTGGATCCTAGTTGCTCTCTAGTTGCGAGCAAACATCCACTTGAATGGGAGGGTCCGGAAGCCATTGCCAATCAGGCAATTGCACTCCCCCGGACCCTGGCTTGGATGGCATCGTTCTCAGCCTCGCCGGAACTCGCCCGTCAGCGTCGCATCGATTCTTTTTCGCCCCCAATTCTTTGGACCCCATCCTGCTTGGCCTTTATTTACCTCTTCTCGCCCAGCATTGATGGCCCCAGACCCTCTCATCAATCCAACCTACTTCTACCTCTTCCCTCATCGTCTTCCTCTCTCCTCTCCGATCTATACAACTCCATATACCCCCGTTCAATCAACCAACTCATACTCCCACACAATGCGTCTCCAACTCGCTACTCTGGCCCTCCTGGCCTCTGCCACCTCCGTGGTTGCGGACGATGTCGTCTCCCTTCTCTTCCCCAGCGAGGCTGCCGGCTTTGATGCCAAGTTGGTTGGCACTGTACATCCCCCTTCCCACCCATACCCTGCCAAATTTTTTTCTAGTCCACCACCTAACCCTGTGCAGACTGGCGGTGACCTCACCACCCTGATTATCAACTGCCCTGCCACGGCCTCAGCCACTGGCACCATCACCAGCGCCGGCGCCGCGACCACCAGCGCCGCCGTCGCCAAGCGCGCGACCACCGCCTCCTCCGACGATGACGACGACGACGACGACGAGTGCGATATCCCCGCTGCAGGCCGCACCCTCACCGCCGGTAGCAGCACCTGGGCCATGACCTACAGTGGTACTGACCTGTAAGTATCTCGTCTCATACCGCGCAGCCATCAGTCAATTGACCTAGTCACCCAACCCCAGGGACGAGCAAGCCTCCTGCACCTACTCCGGAACCACCTGGATGTCCTGCGCACTCACCATCAGCATGGATGGCCAGGTCTCCTCCGATAGCGCCACCACCACCACTACCATCCCGAAGGTGGCCATCACCATCACTTCTACCGTCTCAGCCACCGGCTCGGCCAGTGGCTCCGGCTCCGCCTCTGCTACAGGCACCGCCTCCGGATCCACCGCCTCTGCCACCGGCAAGTCTTCCTCCTCTTCTACCTCATCTGCTTCCGCCAGCGCCAGCACCAGCGACAGCGGTGCTATGGCCTTTGCTACTGGCGCCTCGCAGCTGGTTGCCGGTGGTGCGGCCATGATGATTGCTTTGGCCATGGCTTAAGCCACCTCTCCTACGCCATGCACGAGGACGAACGGTATACCTGCGAGGAGAGAACGATGGCCACAGTAGATATAGTACAACCAAAAGCATATACTGGTGTGACGGGGTAGAAAACGGATGCCCCCTTCCAACTGTACTTTAAGATTATGAGCCGAGATATTCCCCTGTTTTCCTTTCTATCATTACCTAATATGGTTATTACGATTTGATCCAGACATGAAATGAAACATTATCATACATATCCCTGTCTCTTACTGAATCGCGAATGTAATCATCCCAATTCGAGGAAAGTAACGCTCAAATAGTTTGTGAAAAGTCTTAACCTTCTCCTCAAAATAGACGGCAACTCGGTCTGACTTGGTGGAAGAGAAAGCTATACTTCGGATAATACAGTACAGTTCATTGAATCCATATGTCACATCGGCGGGTAATTTTTCATTAAAAGCTGTGATGATTGCTGACGAGGAAGGATTCATGTAAGGGAATAACGGAAGTTGAAAATATGGAAATTTGATTGTCTAAATAAGGGTGTCAAGCCAAAGTAGCAAATTCAAAAGAATATTCACAGCTTCAGTTTCAGAGCCTCCCTCTCCTCTCTCTGCTCCAACTTCCAATCTCGCCACCTGTGCTGCTTCCTTTGATGCTCTCAGCATTTCATCATCCGAATGCTAGCTTCGATACTCGGACCCAAACTTCTCGTGCACGATAAACCAGCCATCGTACCCTATTCTCTAATCCGTTGCATTTGGGCTCTCTTCTACATCAGAGACTGTGCCACTGAGTTTCCCAAGGTTTCCTCGCGTGCAGTATGCCGAGGAAGCTGGGCTATCGCTCCCAACCGAACTTCAATGTTATGCTCCCTTTGGGATCCAGTGGTGACTGTTCCCGCAGAGAATTCTATGGCCGACATCTACCGCTGTAACATGCATTAATAGCCATCTGTGCCTGTCCTAGTTCAAAATATCAAGCTGCTAGTACCCCACCTGGCTACAGACTATGAGGGACTACCACGGAACTGAAGTCTGTCTATTCGATCTGATGCCTACTGCTAAGAGTTATCTCGTAATATCACTGTACTAAATGACCAGGTGCACATTATCACTTGACCTAGGTGTACGACTTCATGGGTCACCGGAAATAAGAACCGTCTGCGTGATAGGGACGCGGAATCTCCATACTTAAATATATCTAGAATAATAATATGTATTATACAATCACAATCATAATGAACTGGCGCTTTTCCATACGACATTCTAACATTGTGTCCAAAGTCCTATTGTACTATCCATTACTGTTGTGATTCATTGATTAAAATAACAATAAACAACTCGCAGGCACTTTCTTCATACTAACCTGACATGAATGGAAATTCACTAGAGGCAGGATAATTAGCGACCATCAGGCAAATACTAATTCTTGGTGTTCACCTTTACCTAATAATCAAAATATCTACTATACCTACAGTGCTATTTCTATCAGGATAATCATCAATTCTTCCTATTAGGCTGTTAGGTATATCTCCCATTATTTTATACCCTGTTAGAAATACCTCCCAGGCAGGTATTATTACATCCCCACTACTATATAACTATAACTAGTTAACTAGTTAACTAACTAACTAATAAGCTTAGCTTATGTAACTACACATCACCCGCTAACCATCTCGTAGAATACTACTAGTACTTGTACTTATACTTATCTATGAGGCTTGGGCCCCTCACATGACACACCTCCCGTGAATATATAGGGTTTATAAGAGATGCGCGGTCTAAGCCACTCGCGAGTGGCTTAGAATCCTAGTCTTTTGCCAGATAGCCTAGTTGGTAGCAGCCCCGAGCCTGGTACCATTCACTCTAAAAGCGTACTTAGAGTGGATCGTGATATGATCTCGGAGGTAACCCGAATGTACCGTGACACAACATGACAGGGGAATTATTGGTCTTGGTGTACCGTGTATGGGTAGCGAGTTCATCATACTGGGAATTGTTTCTAGTCGACGTCTGATTTAGGTTCTCGTCTGGTCTATTTAGAAAGGTTAGCCTGAGCAACTGCCAACAGCACCTAATGTACCGAGTAGTGACTAGTGAGACGGAGGGTCGGGCCGGAGGGTCGGGTAGATTTGCATACAACCATAATCGCTGCAGGCAAGGCGGAGTTTAACTCGGGGAACATCCCAGGACCATATCAAGATGGTTGTATCGATAGATAGACTCTGATTCCAAGCACTCCGTACCTCGATATAATCAAGGCAGTGAGTGAATCTCTGCCTTGAAAGTCGACCGAAGTTTCTCGCCAGCTGAAGCTTTTATAGCTCGGCGATCTCAGCATGCATACTATGCTACGGAGTAAGCAATCTTGTTAGGAAAAGGTCTCAGCTGGGTGAGATTGCGCGAGCCTCGACTCCGTACTCTGTAGGTAGCTCCCCTCCGAGACAAGGATCCTATGGAATCGGGCTTTTCTTCCCTCACAAATCCCCGATGGCGCTGTATGGAGCCCGAGCCGGGAGATGAACATTCCATTGGTGCTGCCATGTCCAGATCCTGCAGCTTATCAGCTACATATCCGCATTCTATCCCCGAAAGTGGAACTGTCAGCAACCCCGCGGCGATGTCTAAATCCCGAGCAGTGCTCCTTATGCGTGATGCGGTGATCCTTGAACGTAAGTGAGGCGTAAGATGCATTGCTTGGGCTGTTTCTTCCGGCCTGGTTTCGAATATATTGCTTTTTCTGAACATGAATATGTGGGTTTGATCGGCTGGTCCCCGACGGGCAATGCAACGCAGTGCAGCTGGAGGTTCGCAGACACGCCAGACGCGACGACTGGACCGCCTGGATGCTGTTGTGGATGCATATGATTGGTGGGCTGTCGCAGCCTGGCTGATACTGAATGAGATGGATCAGAGCCTTCCTGCTGATTATTGAATAATCGTACATGCGCCATACTCACTCGGGCAGAATGGAACACGAACATGTCGATTGGCACTTGGTCGGAATGACTATTTCAGCCAGCCAAGATGACGAGCGTGAATGTCAATTCTACAAATCAAAATGATGATAGAACTGCAGACGAGAATCGAGAGATGATGAGGTGCTACTTACCCCTCCTTGCCCCTATCTATATCCAATCCAGTATGTCGTGGTTTAGGGCTGAAGTTGCTTTTCTCTGGTGGTGAGATGTCCCATATTCCTTCCTCTAGCAAAGACTGGGCTACTCTCGTACCTTTAACCTCCGCTTGACTCCCATAATTACTCTGGAATTAAGAGAACCATAACATGATGATCCCAGCGATTGTTTCACTCTTTTTCTGGTTGTTCCCCGCGTCCGCCGCACCAATTGTCCAGACCGAGCCCGCCTACGAGCCAGACCCAACCCAGCGAGGGACGTTTTCTCTGGTATGGGGCTGTATTAGCACGCTGGGTCTTTGCATCTGGACGGCAATGCATCCGAATGTGGTGCCGATGCGAAGGAAGTTCCCACCAGTCTACTACAAAGCGACGTTGATGGTGGGTGCGATCATTTTCCCCGAAATCATGATGTGCATGGCCATCGCCCAGTGGCGGCTCGCGAGAAAGGTTCATAAAGCCTGGCAGGAAGCTTGGAAAGGCGAAGTCGATGGTGTCAACAATGGTAAAGAATGGCTTGGGATGGCTGGTGCCTATTTCGTTGTGATGGGAGGCTATATCGTCCAGCCCACCCCAGCGTCGAACCAAGGGGACAACAATGCTCCTGAGAATCAACCGCTGCTGAAACATCCCAAAGCATCGAGCAGACCCCAGAAACAGGAAGGAGAACTGGTGACCACCATAACAGCACAAGGGTTCATGGCTCTTCTGAAGAATAATTTCAAGAATGACATCCGTTCGGGGCAACTGCAGCAAGCCCAATTTGACCATTTCATCATCGAGGACAAGGGAAAATCGAGCACCGTCGCCAAAACCATCGTGACTCTCCAGGTTCTCTGGATGATTGTGCAAATCGGAGGCCGGGTCCGCGAGGGTCTCCCAGTCACCCTCCTCGAAGCCAGTGTTGCCGTCCAGATCCCATACTCGATCATCTCGTTCTTCTTCTGGTGGAATAAACCATTGGACGTGGGCGAGCCGATTGCGATTACAGTTGACATAAACAGCCTACGCCCCTTGGATCACAATCAAACACAAACTCCACCTGAACCACATTCTCCTCGTGCACTATTCATCACCGAAAACATATCCCATGATTCGTTCCTGCACATGGTCTTTCGCGCGGCTTATGATGTTGTGTATTATTTCGATCAACGGCTCGAATTCTTCTCTGCCATAACTGCGATTATCAACGGTGGCCTCCATGCCACGATGTGGAACGCCTACTTCCCCACACCCATTGAGCGCCTCCTCTGGCGGACAGCATGCATCGGGATGGGACTCTGTCCCGTGATATATTACTTCCTTGTCCGGGGCCAAGGCTTCGAACGGCGTCTCCAGCAAGCCACGTTCGGTATCAGGAATGTGAGCGGTGTTCTCAAGCAACAGATCGCCATCATCAAGTTTGTATGGGATTTCTGTAAGGAGTTTGTGGGTGGGGAGAAGAGAAAGTGTCACTCGGTTTGCGGCCGGATTGCACACGTGATTCTGTTGGGACTTGTGGTGGATGCGTACGTTATGTGCATTTTGTACCTGACGGTTGAGTCGTTTGTTAGCTTGAGGAAGCTGCCAGTGGGGTCGTACACGTTGGTGGAGTGGTCTAGTATTATCCCTCATTTCTGAGCTTGGGGAGTGTGGAAACGTCATACAAACAAGAGATGAATACAATGCCATATACCTACACTTCATCGAGTTCTTCCAAAGAGTTCATATCCATTTCCCCAAAGTAGCTGAGTAATAATACCCATGAGTCCACAGAAGGAAGAGTGAAGCACTCCAGTTATTGGGATCAAGCCCGCGTGTGACTTTGTCCGTGAGGGTAGGTAGCGAAGTAAGAAACCTTTCTGCTTGGAGGAAGAAGAGGAAGAAGAGGAAGAAGAGGAAGAAGAGGAAGAAGAGGAAGAAGAGGAAGGGGTGAATGACTGTAGAAGAAGGTGTACGACGGGGATTACTTAGCTAGGCAGGATCGGGATGCGGCCATCACATCTGTTCTACTATTCTTCTAGTCATATCTCATTGACATTGGCTGGCATTACATCACCCCCGAACCGCGGGAAAACACGTTTCCGTACCCTTCCCACCCTTTGCTCCGATCCTCTCTCGATCGGCGGTCGTCTGCTCGTACTTCCAGCCCAGCCCGGATGATGTTAGTGCGCAGGATGCGGAGGTGTGCTTCGTGGGCATAGTTCTCGAGACTGTCCAGAACGGACTGCTGGACTTCGGCCCGCAGGTTGACCTGGTTGGAGACCAGCACCTTCTTTTCCAGATCAATGCGCGCATCGAGTGTCCCGTCCTGGATCAGTCCAATGAGTTCCTGCACAAATGGCGAGTCGCAGTCCGTGGGGTCGGCCTGGCCGCCTACAACTCTCGGGGCGAACATTTTCGTCATGGATTCCAGGGTCACGCGGCTGAAGGGGATCAGGTATTGTTGGATGGCCTTGGTGCGGATGCGGGTGAATAGTGTCTTGATGTGACGCTGCAAGTGGATGTCGAGAAGGTAGTCGGCGTTGTAGGCTTCGAGGATCTCCAGACAGGGTCGGAATTTAGAGTTGCAGAAGAATGAAATCGCCCGGCGGATGTGCGGCTCGAGCTCAAGGAAGTTGCGGAACGTGCTATTATCGAGCACGCGGCGCTGAAGCTCGTTCCGGTCCATCGATGCGAGGGCACAAAGACCACCGTATACTGCGACATCATTCGAGGTGAGCACTTCGTTGTACGAGTCACCCAAGCTCGGGTCGGTAGCCAGGAAGCTATTAGCTGCGTCCAAATACGACCCGGAGTGCAGCTGTGAGAGACCCAAGGCAGCGGACATCTTCGGTTGGTTTTTGGCTTGCTCCTCCTGCTTCGATTGCAGGTTGCGCAACCGTTGCACATTGGACTGCACGCTTAGCCAGTCCCCGCGCTCGATGGCGACGTTGATGATCTTGAATAGCATCGACGCAATGTGAGTTGGTGTGGTGCAGTAATCCCTCATGCGAGAATAGGCTTTGGAGGCCGAGACAAGGTCGCCGATCTGGTTGTAGTGTTGTCCGAGGTCTTCGTTGCCCATCTATCAAGTAGTCAGACGTTGGCCACTTCTCCAAGCGTAGATAAATGTACCCTTATACTCTCTTTGATCAGATTGTTTTTATAGCCCCGGAGCTCGTGCTCGAGCCGGTCCGTTTCCGCCTTGACTGACTTCTTCATATGGTCCACCCAATTGGTATCAAGAGTAGCTTCCGGGTCATTAGGTGCCGCATCGGCAAGGGCCCGGACTGCACGCTCGTATCTGGATACATCCCTGCCACCCTTGGCTTCCGCAACTGCAGCTTTCAATGCTTCGACAGAGAGATACGTTGAACAGGTGCCTATTAGAAGCAATCGATTGAATCTGGTCCGGCCTGGAGGAAGGACAGAGCTTGTTAGTCACAACAGATAGCACCAGGAACCAAGTTTGCACTTACCAGTGTAGTTCGCAATGTATGACTCTAGTTCGAACTTCGGTGGATCTTCCACAATGTAAGTCATCCTCCAGTTCTCACGGTTGGTGCGGTAGAGCCAACATACCATCGACTTTAACGATGGGTCCCGTCATGTTCACACCCAAGTTGTCCAGATCTACAAGTCCCGGTCCCGTCACTGGCCCAGCACTCTGAGCTGAAGGGACCCCATCGAAAGCGTCCGGTGCCATGTAATCCATGTCGTCGACTGTTTGTATATGCAACCTTCCACGGTCGGCACGTGAGGCGATCGGGAGCGTTTAAGTACCGCCGGTAGTGAAGCAAGGACAAGATTTTGTTTAGTCTGTAAGCTTCGAAAGTGTCGTCAAGCCTTCACGAGGGCCCCCAGGCTAAAACACCGTATGCCGCGTTGATAGCGCCGTACAACAACAGGCAAGTGGAGAACGAGCTGGTCTCGCGCGCCTAAGAGTCCGTGTGTGTCGAGAAAAGCTTCGGTCAAGCACGGAATCAGCGATAGAGTAAGACCAGCCGCATCAAACCATGGAACTAAGACACGGATCGCGACAGCAAGGTGGAGGCGGACAGGGTGGGATGTGCGGGTGAGATGATATCGCAACGGCCACCGACGGCAGCATCATTTGGCCCGATCTATCGGCGTCGCTGCCTGGGGATCCGACCGCCTCGGTGACCGCCTTGTTGGCTAGGCTCTCGGGCAAACATCATGTCTTGCATTTCTCGGCTTCACGCTAGCACTACAGAGTACTGGACCACCAGATATGTAATACAAGCATGTCACAATTATCCCGATGTACCCGAATGACCTATACCACTTCCTGCAAATTTTTCCAGGTCATCTGCTTGGATAAATGTGTGTGAACGAATTCCATATGCAGCCACTCTCCATAGTCGATTGTTCCAATCAAACCAACGCTCCCCGCCAAAAGACATGTTCAAGGGGGATAATATGAGAACCAGCTATTCAATGAGTCCTTAATGCGGGCATAACCGCAGAGCCCTCGTCTTGGGAACCGGCCCCCAACACATGCCGGCTCAGATCATCGTAAATATCTCGCCGCAGTACCTCTCAACAACTGTCATAGAATTTCCGCGTATGGCCATGTTTCCTTCATCTTCAGCTGTATCGAGGAGGTCAATGGTGGTGACGTCCTCAGCGGCATTACTAGGTCCACTACATCGATTGACCGTCAGTATACATTCCTTGTCAACCTTTAACTGAACCATACCTGGCATCACCTGGGCCATCATGGCGCTCCGGCTCGCTAATTGCGGGTTATTCCGAGAATCACAATCCAGGATAGAGTGGCCTTACTCGAGTGACATGTTGATATCAATGTCACTGGCATGTTAGTGACGTTCGAGAGTGTGGGTCTAAAGTGAACATACACTGGTCCTACCGTGACAGATGACACACTATCAAGATGAGGGCTGCGTGGGCCTTGCTGATTTTGCATTGAGGACGTAGCCTGAGTATCCACTGTGGAAGATGGTCTGGCTCGCCCCCGTCAATGGAGGTTCAAGAATGGCTTTTTGAACAACTCACCCCGCTGCGTTCGTATTCGGCCGACCATTGGCGCTCGATGTGGTTCTATATCCATCATCAGCTGCGATACTTAGAAGCAATGTCAACGTTACCTGACCGATGGCGCAATGGCAAGAACAGGACGATGATTACCCTAGATCAAACAATCTTAGCAGTACTCGAGTACTTGCCTATGGCAAGCTAACAGCATTTACTTACGGTGTTTCTGACCTGGGGCCCACGGCTGTCTCGAGACTGGCGAGTGGGCTGAGTTTGACGACCTCCCCGAGCTTGAGGGCCAGGCCCATGCCGGAAGACGAGCTGAATCAGAATATTTAACAGGGCGCCATGCTGAGTACACTAGCTGGCAAAGATACTTACGGGGTTGTGGACCCGCTCCCTTTGACGTTCACGTCTTCTGAATCTCTGACGCCGATTCCTCTGGCGCCGAGTCACCAGGCGATGAAGTGCCGTTTGAGTTTGATACAATGCTCCCCTTGCAGCAGGTCGGTGGGACATCATGAGGGCCTATACAAAAATTGGTGGCTGATCTATGCTTGGTCGGGTTGACGTACCAGTTCGTAAAGCCCATTGCACAACGTCATATAAAAGCATCGACTGTCGGTGTGCCCTCCACGTGAGCAGAAATAACAGAAGCGATAGTCCTATTATTCGCAGTCAACATAAGGTCATTTCCATTTCTCCGCTTGCAGGCCGAGATTGGGAATTGTCCTCACCCCACCGTAAGGCATTGTCCTGAAATGTCCGAGGCTGATCCGCAAAGCACGATTTATGAACGTATGTGATGAGATTTGCAGACTGAGCTGAGAGACGGAAATCGAGATTAGAGAGGGAATTTAACCGAGGCCTATGCTTGATGAAGGTGCGAGTCTATCACCAAGGCCAGAGGGATTGGAGCCAGGCAGAAGAAGTGGGACGAGACAGGAGCGAATGACGCGGACAGAATTGGCAGGAACGCGGGATCTTCAATTGGTTCAGAAAACGGAAAATATTATTGCATGACAGGAAGGAAGCAGGGTGAAATGCTATTGCCGGTGTGCCATACCATCTCTTGTTCGGGCGTGTCTATATTACTGTTCGCGATAGTCGCAGAGCGCCCCAAGGTCCTAGTGATATGCAGATAGCTCCGGCATGGTAAGATGAGATTAGGCTGTTTCCATATAGACATTCCCATCTCGTTTGATCGTGCCACTGAGGCCGTTCAAACTTCATGTGAAAAGGTGCGTAGTAGTAGATCTATTGAAAATAGTGCTATGTAGGCGGGCGGAGTCGATTCTGTCACTATTTCTCTATTGCACAACCACGGCACAGCTACCCTGGGCTCACATTGGCTTCACGCCGCGGTTCATTATTGCAAAGCCATAAAGGCCACCTGAAGTTGATCATGTCAGCCATCAAGTAGAGTTGCAGCTGTCCCTCTCACAACATGTTTTACTATCGAGCTCCCAGCTTTGGAGCCGGCATGCCGCTTCATCATCAGATACCCGGTATACCATTGCCTTCATAGGCAGCAGGCTTCATTATTTCTGAGTATACTGAACTGTTAAAACCCTTGTGGTGTTTCATTAGAGAGCAAAAACGATTTGCAAGGGTAGAGACAATACGCTTCATCATTAATTTGTAACACACATAGAAACATGCTGCAAGGTCAAACAAAACAAGTGCAAGATGAGCCGATTATTATATGAGGACGACATGGCCCCGTTACGAATGCTTGGTCATCGTAGAAGTGACATTATATTCATTGTGCCTTGCATCCTCATCTCAGACGAGAGTCGTGAACCCGGCAAGGAACGCACCCACAACTATGACCAGGCCGTATACCTGACCAAGATCAGTCGACGGTCTCGTCGCTAGCCCCTCATCTGGGACTCCAGTGAACCGAGGCACGGAGGTTGTGGCTGTGGCACTAGTGGCAGTTGCCCCTGCGGTGGTAGTGATGTTGACACGCTTGGGGTTTTGAGCACCACAGGGATGCTCGGTGCGGCAATTGGACTGGCATGTCGAGTTGCCATTGCACTTGTTGACACATTGATTGTTCTCTTCGGTGCAAATGAAGTATGGGATTGTCTGAGAGTACTGAGAGGCGTTGGGGCTCAAGCCATTGTTGCAAATACACTCATAGATAAGGGTTTTCTGTATTCAGCGGCCAATACATCAGTCAAGTTAACGTGAGCGGTATACTTTGATCACTTGCACTTACAGGGTTGCAGGTATTATCGATGGGCGATCCCGTCGTGTTTGGCAATTGGAGACAGAGTAGAGGACATGAAGAAGTCTGAGATTCACACCATTGATCTATTGTTTCACAGTCAGATGGGAACCGAGCATCCCTTTTGCTCCCTAGAGCGGAGCCATACCTCTGGTTTGGATCGGAACACTGTTTGGGTCAAGTGAGGTAGTGTTTTGGCTATGGACAAGGCCGGCCACGGCGGCAAGAGCAATCAGCGGACGGAGTAGAACCATATCGAGTGGCGTAAAAGCGGTGGGTACAACGGCGAAGTCAGGAGATAGATGAAGGATTCTTGGACTGTGACGATGCAAGATGTTAGTGTTGATCTCTGAGACTAATAGAGAAGATGCTTGGAGATATGCCAGACGTGCACATACATGTTCGATCCGAGCAGCTGGAAGAGGAGTAGAGTTTTGGACAGGTCGTCGGTCACTATTGGGAGAACGGGTCTCTGTTGATATCAACGGGAAGGACCTCAAAGAGGAAGTCACGAGAGTTCGGGAGGGTCCAGGAAGCGAAGAGAAAAGATGAGAAAGGAAGCCAAGAGGACGAGCGAAAAATAGTGAAAGACTGGCGCTCAATGCCCGGTATATGTATTCACGCACACCGTACTACACTTGTCCGTTACGCGAGACAAGCGTGCGGTGGCGGCGCTATCAATTCCTAAGCTCCAGACGGCTCGCCAGGCCGGGTGGTGAGGCCCCAAGGGAGTGGCTAGGCTCCATCTTTGTCATGGCTGGAAACATGCTAAGAAAATTTGCGTCCCCAGGTCCCATTGACCGTACGATTATTACAAACCGAAGGGGGGTGCTGGGGGGGAAAGATACTATCCAAAACCGACCAGGCCAAGAGGGATGAAGAGAGGCCGGAAGGGAGACCGGTCGATCCGGTGCCACTAGCCGATTGGAAACCCACCCACTCAGCTCGCACGGCAGTGGAGGACTGGAGATAGATAGAATGAATGAAGTTCCTACCTGGACTCCCCTCGGATGAGAGGCGACATCACCCAACCTAGCCCGCCAGGCAATACCCCTCCCCTTCCATGCTTGCTGCTATGTTTAGATCATGTCCATTCGGTCATTCAGCCAGTGACTGCAAGGCAACCGGGAAAATTCGCCAGCGCGCCTGACTTGTGCATGAAGGGAATCAATGTACCTAGAGCTGGCCACCCGAGGGTGATGGTGTGAGAATGTCTCAGAGGGAGGCCAGATGGCTGACAGGCGGCGGACGGGGTCGAATCATCAACGAGTCGGCTGGCTGGGGATAACCCGCATGTCTCAGTTGAAGGACCCCGACTGGGGGATCCCCCAAGGGTGACCCGCCTTGATTGGGCAAGGCCACTCTTGGCTTTTTCTAGCGCGGACCCTGGCCACTACTAGCCCCGTCCGGGTCTGGCTCCGGACTGGTTCCAACCAGAGCTAGCAATCACTAACTCATCCGACCGGAGTTTCTTGCTCTGAGTCTGCACAAAGGAAGCGGCCTCCTTGGGTTTCGGACCCAATTTTGGTGCAGAATGAAAGGATCCAGTCGAGCCAGCAGTATCTCTCTAGTCGTCTTTTTTCTTACTAGCTCACCTCGTGGGGTCCATAATTCGACTACTACGGAGTACTCCGTACTCCAATCCTCATCAGTCCACACGCTTGCCGACGGCTGATAAGATTCCACCGCGGGTGATAAGCAGCACATGACTTCCATAGCTCTTTCCGGAAAGGCGTCTCCGTGGTCTCCGTGGTCTCCGTGATCCCGTGGTCCCGTGATCGCCGCCGGGCTCTTGCGTGGCTTTGGCTATCATCGACATCAGCAATCAGCATCCGCGCCTGCTTGACGTCCACTGGCCACCGTCGCGAATCCCTCCCCATCTGAGACATTCTATCTTATCAAGACCCCTTCCCCTCTTTTTCGGGTCTCCGCTCCTCCAACTTCCGGATACCGCGCTGTACGTGACCTCAATCCGGGCTGACACCCTGTGGCTTTGGAACGCAGTACACAGACCTCCTGCTGTACGAGCAAGCTTCGCTAGTAATTCCCGTTAGTGACCTTACATCCGACCATCCCCCGCCACCGGTGGCCTCCTTTGGGGTTGCATTCTGTTGATTAACTACTATTATTAGTGACAGCCAGGCTCGCATTCTTCCGTTCATTGAATACCTAGATGGATGGAGCCAGCGAATGAGAACACTGGCTCGGTGCCTCAGCAGCAACCACGCCCATCTTCACCCTCCCAGCCCTCGACACCTCCGCCCAACACCATCAACAATGCTACTATAGCAGCGTCGCTTTCCAATGGGGTAACTGTCAGCAATGGTTCGGTTCTTCCTCGGGCGCAGGACCTCTCGAATAAAGATCGTCCCATCTCCGGCATAGTTCCACCATACTGGAGTCACCACCGAAACGCATCCAGAGCTTCACACATCTCCCTCGACCAATCGCCGGGCATTATCCTAGAGGACCACACGGAGGATCCAGACTGTGAGACCAGCCGTGGTCTGTGGGCAAAGAGCGTTGCTGTCGACGACCATGTTGTCGTACGAGGGAAGTCGGGTATAGGATCCTATGTGGTGTGGAATTGCAGGATTCAAACACTGGATGTATGTCAATGTCTCCCCCGGGGTGCTGTCGCCATTGCCTCTTGGTCGTTATCAGCTGTTGCCAGTAGCTTTGGGGGCTAATGACTCTTAGGGCGGTCCTATCACTGTACGCTTAAGGTGCGCTTTGTAAGCTTGCCTAGTGGCGGGCCTTTGCTAACATATTCTTTAGATATTCCGAGTTCGATGACTTGCGACAAAAATTGATCGCATCCTTTCCACATGCGAAGAATGCCCTCCCTCCCCTTCCTCCGAAGAGCGTCATTTGTATGTGTGAGACACCTGCATAGACGTAAATGCGACTGACCGAAAATCCTCCAGTTAAATTTCGCCCATCATTTCTCGAGTCCCGCCGGGTCGGCCTGGAGTATTTCTTGAAGTAAGCAGTGGGAATATTCGTGTGAATTAGAAAGTTCCTCAGAAGCTAACATTACCGGTATAGCTGTGTCCTTTTAAACCCCGAGTTTTCCAGCTCACCAATTGTTAAGGACTTTTTGTTCGGAAGAATGTGCTGATTGAGCACGCTACTGAATCAAATATATATAGCTACACTACTTTAATAACGGAGTCGACGACGTTACGCCTGCCGCAGTTATTGCTTTGGAGTGACCGGAGCAGCAGGGACAATAGTTCCTTTATATGTAAGGCCTAGAATGACTTGACAGGATCTAGCGCGACTAATACAGCTTTTGGGCCATCATAATACGCATGTTTTATACCAAATCTGGGTGACAAGTGCATCTTCGCTGCCAGATGAGAATCCCTTCCTATTCCACCATTGAACTATCTCGGCCGAAGAACTGAGTGCCTAAGATCTGCTAATTTTAACTCGGACGCATCATGTCCGTTGGACACCGACATGGAGCACGCATAATCCTTTCCAGTATATTTGATATATTGCCTGTGGTGGTACTGAGGACAGACGTTATTGTTAACGCGCCAGCCACCCGATTATACTTTACTCACATGCAATGCATGCGATTTCACTCATGAGGCCACTGCGCAATGCACTGTATCCTTAATTTAGCAGCAAGGTTATGTATGCATGCACAGCAGCCTCTGCCTCATGCAGTATAAAAGCCCACATATCATAATCCTAATATATAGCCACAATCTAACGAGTCGAAGCTCTCAACACAAAAGAATCAACCTCAATCACCATTCTAATTTACCTATTTCCTACATTGTCATTGACCAGCACTGCTTGCGAGGCATTTTCCTCCTCCCTTGCCTTTTGCATCCCCCGCGAATACTTCTCCCCCGCCACAATCCACCATATTAACTCAAGAAGTAAGAACCCACCTACACAAACACATGTATAATTCATGTTGGAGGCTACACCGACAACATGATTCATGAGCTCAGACACAAATAAAGACACAGATATATCAATACCAAGCAAGATAAGAAAAGAGGAGTAAACTCACCAGTAACAGGCACAGCATACGGAAACGAGAAAAACACAATCGCAAAGATTAACCATGCAACGGTGATGCTATTCACTGTCATTCCTGCCACAAATCCTAATGAAAAGGGTCCACGATGCATGGTTTTCCGTCGGAGGAGGACGTTCGTGAGGATCGGGACGAGGTAGGCGATGTTGTTGATTGTTCTGCAGTAGGGAGGGTGGTTAGAAATCAAAGAAGGATGGAAATAATAGAAGGAATAAACCGGTTGTATTGTCTGTCTTGTTCAAGAGAAAGATGGTAGTAGGCCCGGGTAATTCGTACACGGAAGAACTCATCATCGAGTTAAATGCGGTGCTGGATCCAAGGTAGATGCAGCCGAGGGCGGCAATGACGATGCCTACGCAGACTTGGGCGTTGACTGGGGCTCCAAAGCGGGGGTTTACTTTTGAGCACCTGGATATGGTCAATTTGGGAATGTCTAAAAGTAGAATGGGGTGGCGTGGCGTACAATTTGGAGAATGGGAGGCCGTCGTCCCTGGCAAAGGCCCAGAGCATTCGTCCGGTGCCTGAGGGTCTATGGTCAGTATCGGGGCGGATTTGTTTGAATTGGGTAATGTAGAGTCATACTCAGCTGTGAGCCGATCACAGATGGTCCTAATGCAACACAAAGAAGAAAGACGAGGGCAAAAGCACCGCCGCGGCTTTGGGTTGCTTGGCGGAAGAGCTCGGCGATGGGAAGCCCACTAGGGGAGTTGGCGAGTGTTGAGTAGTCTTGGACGGAGAACATGAGGCTGAGGAGGAAGGAAAAACCGGTGATGAAGGCTATAGCGAGGGTGCATGCTATTATGAGGCTGGTGTTGGTGTAGTCTTCAAGTGTATAGAGTGATTGGGTATACCTAGGGCTAGAGGGGCGTTTCTTCCTGGCTGGTTGCATGTCTGAGTTGGTTATTTGGGCTCGCGGTGGGTATGCTCTACTTACGTCTGGCATTTCCTCGGTAATATGCTGTGGATTCGAGTTAGTTGATAGGTTCGTGTATAGTGATAAGTGAATGCATACGGTGATTCCATCTAATCCACCTAGAGAGTACAATGGGTTGACGAGGCCTGTTATAAAACAGATGGCATTATTCTTCCAGCCGGTCTTGTTGATCCAGGTCTGGAACACGAATTTAGCATCGTTGTGCTTTGGGGCGGCCACTGCGACAGTGGTCAAGATGGTGAACCAAGCTACTTGAATGTAGCACACTTCACTTGTTTAGTTAGCAGAATCTTGATATCTTGGGGGCTGAATTAACTTGAGAACTTATTGATTGCGGGCATCCACTTATTGCCAAACATGACGATTCCGCAGGATATGATGTTGAACCCTTGGTACGCGACAAAGGTCATCCAGGGCTGCACCACGAGGTTAGCTTTGTATAGCGCAACAAGGGCTGTAAAGTTCTGTGCATAGAGGAGGTTCGTAGAGGCGGTCATGAATATCCCTAGAGCGGTCAGCTTGCAGGAAGCAGGAGAATGTTGCATGGGTTCATACAACCAAACACCGCGCTCCAGCCAGTTGCAAAGCTCAACGAAGCACTGTAGTGTTTCGGAGCAATGGCCGCAGTCCAGTGATACATCCCACCCTCAACAGGATATGAGGAGACAAACTCGGCGAGTGATGTCCCTAGGAAGCACTGCAGTACAAAAGCGAGGATGAAGCCGTAGATAACTGGACATGTCATTATCATGGCAGGGTGTAGTGTAATGAATTGGAGGGCTCTTACGCGCACCGGGTCCACCAGCGTTGATGGAAGTGATGAGACCGAGACCGAGTCCTGCTGGTGATGGCGTCAGCCTGCCTGCTGTATATGACGAGTGGTACGCAACTCACCAGTCCAGGAGACAGTACAACTTGCGGCCATCCCGATCAACCCCCATACTGAGAAGTGACGTTTCAGCTCTTGCTTATGGCCTATTTAGCCATCAGTAGTACACTTGTTAAAGACAAAGAGATGAAAGATCCCGCTAGTTGGGGCTTACCCATCTGCGCCAGACGGAGCTCATCTGCATTCTGGACCTGGATAGGCCCAGATCCAGTATCACCAACGGGGTGGGCCACAGGTACGGCAAGTGTCTTAGTGTTGTCCATTATGACCCTGGATTGTAGACCGTGTAGTAAATTATATCAAGACGGTGATCACTGGCAGGCATTTCTCGATTGCCCGAGCAGAAGGTTACGTAGGCGTCTAGTTCCGATATCAAGAATTTCGACTGAATCCAATGACATTAGGACTGACAATAGTAATAAGCGGAAACTGAGCAGGTGGCTCATACCCTTATATATAGGTGTAGACGCGTACTAACTTACTCGCCTACACGGAAGGCCTCCGGTCCTGCATAGGCAGACTCCGTAGTAGGGATCATCCCGGCCATCGGGGGACATTAAGTACAGGCGGGGGGAGGCCAGTAGACTTATGGGCACGAATGGGAGTTGAGACGGAAGGAGAGTTGCAGAGGAAGAGCCTTGCTTGTTGCGACGGTGGGATGGCGGGGAGACACCTGCACAACACCACCCCATGCCAGTGACACAGCATCAGTGCGTTCTTATCAATGATTCTCTTATCTTTCTTACGATTTAACCTCGTTTGTCAGTCATGCATATGTATGGCGATGACGGACCGGCAGAGACGACCGTCCCTGGGATTTGACCACTATATACTGTGCTGGCAGCCATCGCTACAACGCGGCAGTGAAAGGGATCATGACATAGATCAGTCTACTCAGCCTTATCGCGAAAGGATAAGCTTGATATGGGCTGCAGCAGAATTGCAGACCGATGGGCTGAATTCACTGACGATGATTGGCAAAATACTAGTAAGACGCGGCCGGCCCCTGGGAAAAAAGCGCTACGCTACCTTAGTACTGCTACCGGCTTCGCATATTGAGTTAGTGGCCATCGGTCGACCAACAAAGCTTCACTATTCCATTACTAAGGCAGATAACTAACCAACTACCTCTGACTTAGTGACTTAGTGAGCTGGCATGATCTGACTCATCCCTAACTCAGGGTCCTGATCCTTGTTCCTGCAGGGTACGCTTTAGTGACCGTCCGGGATGGAACGCAAGAAACGAAGATTATATTCTCCGAGATCCAGAACGGGATGTCGAACCTGCCGGACGAGACGAATCAAATGTGACGAGAGTCCAGGATTGTGCAACAACTGCACCTCCACCGGGCGAAAGTGCGATGGCTACGACTTCACCCGACTCCCAAGAGTCGGGCGTCTGCCCAATTCCCCAGAGTTTCAGCTCCGGATCAACCTCCCCGGGATGAGCTCAGACGAGCGGCGGTGCTTTACATACTTCCAGACCCACACCGTACCGAGGATGGTGGGATTCTTCGACTCAGAGCTTTGGCAGCGACTGGTCCTCCAGATGAGCCAAGCTGAGACCGCAGTGTGTCATGCCGTCGTTGCTCTCGGTGCCTTGCACGAAGACTCGGAAGCGAAGGGAATGCCGCTGCAGAAGGTCGACCTAGACCATAACGATCACCATCGCTTCGCCCTCGAGCAGTACAGCAAAGCCATTGCTGCCCTACAGAGGCGTCTGCAGTCGAACGATCCCCAGGCGCGCTTAGCCGTGCTGATGTGCTGTGTGACCTTCATCTTCTTCGAGTATCTCCAAGGCAATCGCGGAAAGGCATTCGCTCATCTCCAGAACGGACTCCATGTTCTGGCGAACCACAAGGGCGAAGAAGCACGCGCTCTTGTCATGTCCAAGGTCCTCCACCAGCCAGCCAATGGCCCCGCGACGGAAAAAGCCCTACTACGAACATTCGCCCAGCTCGACGCCCAGTCAGTACACTTCAGAGTCTCCGGATCCGTCACCACGTTGGGCGCACAGAACGGATACCTCGCCGCTGACCTTCTCGACCAGGACTACTCATTCAACAGTCTAGAGGAAGTAAAAGACAAACTCGATCCATTCGCCAGCATCGTCTTCCGCTTCCGAACCACCTGCCGACCACTACTCAGGAACCCACAAACCGACATCTTCCAACTCTCCATCCAACACCAAAAGATCCGAACCCAACTAATGAACCACATCTCCGCCTTCGAATCCTTCATCTCCCACTCCCCACCCCAAACCACCCCAAAGCAAACCCGTAGCATCAACATGATCCGCCTCCACCACCTCGTCCTAATGGTCGACCTACAAACCATGCTCAGCCTCTCCGAGCTCATCTACGACACCTACCTCCCCCAATTTCAAACCTTCGTGGACCTCTGCGACCGCATCATCACCAGCATGCGCGCCGAATACGGCAGAGACCTCTCCAAAATCGTCACCGACATGGGCGTCATCGCCCCCCTGGGCTGGACAAGTCTCCGCTGTCGACATCTCCCCACTCGCCAACGAGCATTAAGTCTCCTGGACTCGTGGCCGCATTGCGAAGGTCCCTATGATTCGAGGTTCTTTGCCAGTTTAGCGCGCCAGGTCGTCGCGATCGAGACGGAAGGTGAAGTTGCGGGGTTTGTGCCGGAGTATGCGCGTGTCAGAAATATTTCGTTGGAGATGCTTGGGGATGGGCGTCATGCGGTGTTGTGCTATACGTTGTCGGATCCGGAGAGGGGGGAGGGGGAGGGGGAGGTTTTGAGACGGCCATTCCTGTTTCAGTGATGATATATAGAGTCACACTACTAGTATTACACATATTTGGGGACTGCAGTTCAGGACTGGGAAGAAGTTAAGGATGTGGCGGGTTGAGACCCAAGGAATATATATACCAATGAACAAATAGAACGGCTAGGGTCCGATCAGAGAAATAGACTATCAAGCCTAGAATGCTCCACTTCGCGCAGATGGATAAGGAGTTTGATTCACATCGAGTGGGGACGATGGTCTGCAAGTACTGGTGCCATGTCAAGATCCTTCACGCTGGGTCCCCGCTGTAGGTAGGTAGTAGTAGTCTGCACATTCCAACGAGATTCTACATCTGGTCTAGAAGGTCTTAGCGGCATGCCTTGCAGGAAGACATTGTACAGGAACTCTATCATGCATTAAGTACTAGTACACTGTCTATCGTCGAACTATATATACCGAAAAAGCTTGATCATGGACGGCGATCATTCGTCCGCGTCATCCATCCACGCGAGTCGTAAGTTCATCAGCTTGTGTGCGGGTGGCGTAATCCAAGGGAGACATTAAAATCGTAGATATAGGAAGACATATACGTCGCCAAGAAAACCGGCAAGGGGGAAAACAACGTCACAGCTCGGGTCTTGACATCATCAGGTAGTCCTCAAGTCCAGTCGCGCAGAGTGGGCTCCGCAGCGGATGCCGGGAGAGGTTGATTGGACAACAGATTGGAAAATCACAAGCAGTGTGTAAGGTGGTTCTGTTCAGCTCCGATGAGCACCACGTATTATACTGGGGCATCGAGCTTAATGGGCCTTGATGCCCCCTTTGCTGGGGTCCGCGAGAGGGCTGAGGACATTCGGCTGGACCTCACCAAACTCACGATAGGCGCGGTCTCTTGCTGTCGACTTATCACGACGGATGGTCAAGCAGTTGATCCCCAAGAAAGTGGTGATTCTGTTGATCACGAGGAATGCCCAGTGCATGTATGCAACAAAGGCAAGGAAGAGGTAGACACGCAGGTAGAGAAGCTCGAGCCCGGAGCTGACCATGGGGAATCCCAGGCGGGGAAGGTTGGCTAGGATAGCACCGCCAACGAGCGGCGCCTGCAACACCGTCCAATAGGGGAATGGCTGTTTCAGCAAATGGGCGAGAATGATCTTGGTGGTCATGCGCCCAAAGACAAACGACATAGTCCAGCAGTATAGAACCAGTCGGTTCTGGGACAAAAGCGTCGAATAGGGAGAGAAAAGCCAAGCAATATTGCAACCAGTGAAGACAACCATCGGGATCCATTCCTTGAAGATGGGCGCGATCGGCAGATTCTGCTTTTTGCGAGCAGCAACCACATTCAGGACACAACCCGGCAGGTGCCCAAGGAAGAAAGACAAGAGGAGGATGGGAATCCAGAGGTCCTTGACAGAGTTGTTTCCGAAGATCTGCGGGTAGTTCAAGAACTCCACGATCGGTCGGGACCAGATCTGAGGGCCATAGACGCCAGAGGCAATCATGATTGCGATCGCGATCAGAAGTCCTTCAGTAGGACCATTGAAGTAGCCCAGATAGAGCGTGTGGGTATGGTAGGTTTCCCAGGTCGAAAAGTACATTGCGAGGCACGGGACAAGAGCAGTATAGGCTCCCAGTTGGGAGGAACCGAAACCCATGGCGGCGGTCTCGAGAAGACTAGCCAGAGTGCAGTTCAAAGAATCGATTCCATGGCTATGGAACGTTAGCGCCCCTTCTCACTCTCGTACCATGGTCACTTACTCGAAAAGCTCTCCCAGCCCGCTGGAGGTACCTGTTCTGCGCGCTTGTTTTCCATCGACATTGTCCAGCGTGGAATACCTGAAACGTCATTAGCGGTGGTCACTCCACCGGCTGGCTATGCACTTACATCCACATGCCAAACGCAAAACTATAGTATAGCCAGGAGGGAGCCTACGACGTTCGATTAGCCTCGATGGAACGTACGGGGGCTTTCGCGGGGTGGTCGTACCGGTCCGACCAGATCGGGCATGTATACTTCGATGAGCATCACATTGCCGACAATGAACAGAAACCCCAACAGAGTCACCATGTTGGGGGCCAGCCAAAGCGGCAGTACTTCGACGAAGGCATTCCACTAACCCGTCCATGTCAGCACCGCAGGTTTAAGGACCGGATCAGGGCGGCAGTACGTAGTGTCTTAGAATATAGTTCGAGATGTAGGATTTGTCGACACTCGAGTATTTGTAGCTCTTGAGGGGCAACAGGATGTCGTCGGAAAGCGAGTCTTGGATCGCTATGCAACGCGCGACGCCGATTAGCTCTACGGTTACGGTCTTGTTGCAGCAGAGCGTTACGAACCTTGGATCCTCCTGAATATTATACTCATGTTGGATTCGAAGGACCCCCGGAATGTTCCACAGAATGATTCTTAGAAATGGGAGTCAAACGTGGCTCATCGCGCGGTATGCAGCTAGTAGAGGGACAAGACGAGGGGTGGAAAGAACCAACGGGCCGGTCAATAGATGACGTGAACAGTCTATTGCGGAAGAAAGACGGGCAAATACAGAAGGGGAATGCGACAAGGCTGGGGGGGGAAAAGTTGATGCCAGGGGAAGGGGAATGAATCCACGACTAAAAAAAGTAAAAAAAGGGTCGAACCATCGAACGGGTTGGCGATGCGGCGGACACGGAACGGAGCACGGGAGAGAGCAAGCCAGAGCCAGAGAGGAACGGGCAGATCGGAATCACGTGGCGCTGCGAGCTCCGCAGCAAGCTTCCGACCGCAACAGACGCGACATGGAAGAAAAGTGCTGCGTGCTGTTTGATGGTCGTTGGAGGGACGATCCGAGGTCGTCTATCTCCCCCAGTGTTACTTCTCAATCCATCTCTCTGTCCTATTCATACCACCTTCCTATTCAATAGCCTCCGTGTCCGCCCTCTCCCAGCCTTACGATTCCCTCGATCGCTTTCCTGGGTGTTGTTCCCCGCCGTAGAAGCTCCAGTTGTTCGATCAATATTCTCTTCGCCCATACCCACTGATATCGAATCCAATCACTTTGAGCGCCAACTAGGAGAAACACAGCTGGGTGGGGAACGTTGTCGCTCCTGGAGCCTGGACATGACGGTAGATGGTCAGCGTGGCGCACGCGGCGCAGTGCACGACTGAGTATCTTGCGCCATGCCAGGCGTCGTCGAAACCCCAGCTGGGCCGGTCAGGCCAGAGCTGGGATTTACCGTCGCGCATCAGAAGGTCGAGCTAGAGATTGATTTTGCGACCAAAAGCCTCAAGGGCAAGACTGAGATCACGATCCATCCTCACTTCAAAGATCTCCGCGTTATCCGATTGAACTTCCGACAAGGCGAGCTGAGGCGTTTGAATGTCAGTGGGAAGGTACCGACAGTCAAATATGCCGACCCATACGAGTCTCTTCAAATGTACGGCCCTCATTATCACCAGCGCCTTTCGACCAAGATAGAGGGACTGCTCAAAACTCCTCCGGAGCCTGATCTACTGGTGACGATACCCAAGAGCGTTCGGATTGACGAACTGGATCCCTCCTCGATCGAAGCCCAGGATCAAATGACACTACGCGCTACGGGCTCTGCAGATGATGCAGAAGGGCCTCTAAGCTCCAAAGCAGCCGAGTCGTCGCTTCCACGATTCACAGCACTGACGATGTATATCGAATTCGTCATTGATAATATACGGGATGGGCTGCAGTTTGTCGGGTTAGAAACTGGCGACAGACGCTACCCCCACGCCTACACAACAAACTCTCTGGGATACGGTGCCGGGTGCCCTCTTTTCCCGTGTGTTGACGATCCCTCGTCGCGATGCACCTGGGAAATCTCAATCAAGTGCCCTTGTTCCTTAGGCGATATGTTTGATCGCAAGCCCCGAGACCACTCCGGCATATCCGGCTCCAGTCGCTCGAGACCAGCGGGGCATGAACGATATATCGCCCCGGATGATGAGACACTGGATTTGTCTGTGGTCTGTTCCGGGGACCTGACGGATGAGATCATCGACCCAAGAGACTCCACCAAGAAAACAGTCTCGTTCGCGTGCTACTCACCCCTCTCTGCTCAGCAGATTGGGTTTGCCGTTGGCCCTTTCGAATACGTGAACCTTTCTGATTTCCGCGAAAGCGACCAAGATGAACAGCTCGGTCTTAATGCTATCCCACTGCATGCGTTCTGTCTCCCAGGGAGAGGGGACGAAGTCAGAAATACCTGCTTTCCTATGGCGAAAGCGATTGACTTTTTCTCCTTGTCTTACGGTTCCTACCCTTTCGCTAGCTACAAGATATGCTTTGTGGACGACTCGCCCGAAGCCACGTTACCAACGGCTTGCTTGTCGATCTGCAGCAGCCACCTCTTGTTCCCCGAAGATATCATCGACCCAATGTATGACTCCACCCGCAGTCTAGTTTATGCCTTGTCGTGTCAGTGGATTGGCGTAAATATCGTCCCGAAGGAGCCGACCGACACCTGGGTAACCGTCGGCGTTTCTTGGTATATTACGGACACGTTCATGAGGAAGCTTTGCGGCAATAATGAATATCGCTTTCGATTGAAACAGATGTCTGATAGAGTATGTGAACTGGACTACGAACGTCCGTCGCTCTACGACATGGGAACCATTCTCCAAATAGACTCGTCTGAAATCGACTTTATTGCACTCAAGGCTCCGCTCGTGCTCTTCATTTTGGACCGCAGACTGACCAAGGCGAGCGGCAAGGCAACCATGTCTCGCATCATATCTCGCCTTTTCCTGAATTCCCGGATGGGCGATATACCCAATGGCGCGGTCACCACCTCGCTCTTCCAAAGAACATGTGAGCGGCTTGGTCACGCCAAGCTGGATTCCTTCTTCCAACAGTGGGTGTACGGTGCTGGATGTCCACGGTTCCAAGCAACACAGCGATTCAACAAGAAAAAGCTTGTCGTGGAGATGATGATTCGGCAAGTACAGGCCGACGTCTCAAGTACGCGCGATTTGGATAAGAATGCTTTCATGCGGGATGTCAAAGAAGAAATTCGAGGCGTGTATGCTGGAATTGTCCAGCCGGTTTTTACGGGTTCCATGACCATAAGAATCCACGAAGCCGACGGTACGCCTTATGAGCATATCGTCGAAATTAAGGAGGGTGTTACCAAGTTCGACATCCCCTATAATACCAAATATAAGCGCCTGAAGAGGAACAAGCGGCAAAAGGAGCGTGCGGCGGCCGTAACAGGTAGTGACCCTAATGCTGAAGTGCAGGAAGACGTTCTGCTTTATTGTCTTGGCGATGTTCTGCAGAGCGAAGAGGAGATGAGTGAATGGAGACTCACGGAATGGAGCAAGGAGGATGAAGACAAAATGGGACAGGAGTCTTATGAGTGGATTCGCATGGACGCAGATTTTGAATGGATATGCAAGCTTTCGTTGGCGATGCCGGGGTACATGTACCTTTCCCAGCTCCAACAGGATCGTGATGTCGTAGCCCAGCTGGAGGTCAGTCGCGCCCTTTGTCCCTTTTGTGCTCATCACTGACATCACCAGTCTTTGCAATATATGGCAATTCAGCGATCACACTCGCTCATTTCCACCATCTTTGTCAGAACGCTGATGGATCGGAGATACTTCTACGGCATACGGGTCGCTGCCGCCCGGGCCTTGGTGAAGCACGCAACGGAAGAGACCAAGTGGGTGGGATTGTTCCATCTTGAGAGAGCCTTTCAAGAACTGTTCTGTCTTCCAGGGTCCCCAATGACTCGCTCGAACGACTTCTCCGACAGGGCAGCGTATGTTCTCCAGCTAGTCATTCCAGAGGCCATCTCAAAGATACGCGACGCCAGCGGCAAAACGCCGATGCGGGTCAAGCGTTTTCTGTTTGACAAGTTAAAGTTCAATGATAACTCCAACAACGAGGTGAGTCATTGTCGCACTGCCTTTATGGCTTGATGCTTATGCTGTGACAGTACTCAGATAACTTCTATGTCGCGACCTTGATGGAATCGCTATGCCATGCCATGCTGGGCAAAATCGAGGAATCCACAGATGTCATGGACGATTTTGATATGGAGCGTGTGTTGGAGGCTCAGGCAGAGGAACAGTTGGAGAAGGATGCCATAGCCGAGCTCGATAGGTATCGTAGGATGGACGAATGGTCGAGCTCTTTCCAGAATGTCTACTCACGGGCGGCTTTACGCTGCCAAATGCGCCTCATGGAGGCCAAGATCTTGGAGCTTGACATCATGCAATTCCTACCGTACACTCGCGCTGGAACGTATGACCTGCTTCGTTTGGATGCATTTGAATGCTTGGTCGAGCTGGACATCTTCCGGAACCCGGAACTACTCCGATGGTTCATTTTCACGATGTCGAGCGACTCTTCTGCTTGCATCAGGCGCCGGCTTCACAGCCTCTTTGGAAAAGCCCTTGCTCCAGTTGCCTTCGGTCGCGAAGCGAATACAGAAGCCCCCGCTACGGACACCGCCGATAACCTGATTATCGAGCAAGAGTCCTCGACTGAGGTCCGTCAGGCCGACCTTGCCCGGAGACAAACAGTTACCGGAGCCTTGAGTGCCCTGAAGAAGGAGATTTCCGGCGATCAAGTGCTGAAGGAGTCTCTGTGGGCAGCGTGCAATTCCCCTTGCATTGGAGTACTCGAGCTCTCCGAATTCACCGATCTCTGTCGGGTTCTGTATGACGCAATCACATCTCGGATGGTCTCCTTGAAGTACCCACGCTATTGGAGCGTGAAGCATCTCGGAAGAGTAAGTACCATGATACCAACTTCTGCTGGGCCGTTGCTGACATCACCCAGGGACGAATGCATTTCTTCCGGTCGAACAAGGTTCGCACGACGCTTACACCAACCAAAGATCCTACCGCTGCGAAACGCAAGCGAGAGGAGCAGGGGATGCCACCTCCTGGCCCCCGTATCACGTTCAAGCAATCCAAGTTTACCTCCAGTGCTCCAGCACCCAGCCCGAAACCGACCTCGCAACAGATTCCAAGACTTCATCTTCCCAGTTTATCATCACCTGCTCCCCCGGCGCAGCCGAAGACGACGACTGCGCCATCTACACCCTCCACGCCCAGTGGCGGTGGGTTCAAGTTGAAATTGAAGTTCGGCCAGAAGCCGAAGTGATCGATCGCCTTTATAAAATTCTAGATACCAATTTCACTCGTGTAACTCGTTCTTCATTGTTTGGACTAGGGCAGGGGGGGTTAGGTCAAGGAGATGCATGGCGCGGGGTTTGCATTGAGATTCTTGTTCTTCTTAATGTCTCTCGGACGATTTCTTTTATTCTTTTATTCTGGGTTATCTCCACAGGGTATCTGGTTCCGTGGGCTATGCGATTGCTGGTGGGATTTGGGCATTGGTTTGTTGCCGAGAGATGATAGATGATAATAGCGGTCATGGATCATTTCTGCGGGTCAATATACCCCCCCCTCCCCTGAAAGTGTCATATCTGGTCTTCCAGAATGGCGCACGTAGGCTTTACTTGTGAATTGAAGAAGATTTTTTGGAAAGCGAGATGTCATCGATCATTCCGTGCGAGCAACCGACCCGTGAACTCCTTATTGCATTAAATCAATCCCACAGAGAAGGTATAAAAAGACATTGAGTTTCCGTCCAGTGCAGCTGTTTATTTGTCGCTGATACGTTCCAAAGCCTATAGCGTAGTAAAGATTAGTATCTCCATAAATACCATAGTGAATGGCAGTGTACTGACCTCGAGCATAACAACCGAGTTACCACGAATGACCTGCATAGCCGTTAGCTCCTCGTTCCCATATTCAGGAAACTGGGCAAGATATCCACATACAACCATGCCGATAGCAGCCTTCTCACCACCCGGCTTCTCCTCGAAAGCTTCGTCAAGGACAATGTTCATGAACACCTAGCAGCGCATACGTCAGTACTCTGCAGCCCGTATTCGCCCAAGATAACTCCATATCGACCCATCCCAGCGCATGCCCCTAGCCACCGTGACATTATATAAGAAAGAGCGGCGTTCGACGTACATCATAGCCTCGCAGGATACCAATGACTTTGCGGTTGCCGTTCAGTTGGCAGAATACCCGCTTTTCCATGTACTGTTACAACGCAACATCAGCTTATGTTCTGAGTTGGGAAGCGGCAGGGTGCCAATCGCAAGGACATACCTTCTTCAACTCGGGCTGGGCTTGAGGCATTTTGTCGGATGTGTTCTGTGTTGGACGGTTCCTATCGTACGGTCGAGTCGGTCGCGTTGCGGGAACTTTGAACATACAGCAGTGGGATCAGCTGGGTCGGAAGAATGATGTTCCCGCAAGCTTCCCAAGAATCGCGGAGCTGTCGGTGACGCCAGCGGGGTTTCTTTGCTCGGTCTTTTTAAACTACTTTTACGGCTGGAGAGTGGTTTTGATCAGGGAAACTCGAGGCGCTTACACTGCATTTGGAAAATGAGTGCCCAGTTTGCAAATCGCAGGAAGCCCCGCAAGATTGGTGGCGATGATGAGGAAAATGACGCCGATGAACAAGGTTGGTATTCGTGATCAGGCTCAACTATAGAGGGCTTGGATACTGATGGACAGCTTCTAGATTCGGGGCCTGTCGTTAAGCGCCCCCAAGCCATCAAAACGAAACAGAAGTCGAAAATGCGTCTCTCGTTCGGCCCCGGTGGAACTTCAATGACGGACGAGGGCGACCAGGAAAGCGAAGTGGTGATTCCCAAGCGAACCGGCCTTGCGAAACGAGCTCTGGAGAAAAGTGCGCTTCAGCGTTCCTTGACGCCGTCCGGTGTGGGTGGTCAGATTCCTCTCAGGGTAGGGCCGGAGCAGGATAGGCCGAGTTATAGCAGCGATTATTTGAAGGAGCTCCGCGATTCGACCCCGTCTACACCTAAACCTGCGGCCGAAGATGAGTCCGAAAAGGCAGTTGATGTGGCTGCGAAGTTTGGTGAGGTCATGAAGGTTTCAACGCCTGCTGCTATTCCTAGTGAAGCAGAGATCCGCGAGAAGAAGGCCCGGAGAGCTCGGTTGGCGAAGGAACAAGGCGCTCTGTCTACGGAGAAAGATTTCATATCTCTCGAAGATGATATGGAAGACGATGACTGGGATCTGCAAGGGCGGCGAGAGGATATTAGGGATACCAGGCTTATTCGAGACGATGAAGATTTCGCCGAAGGGTTTGACGAATTCGTGGAAGATGGGCGCATATCCCTCGGGAGAAAAGCAGAGAAGGAGCAGAAAAGAAAACAACGGGAAGAGATGCGGGAACTCATCGATGATGCCGAAGGTCTGTCAGACGACGAGGATTCGGACTTGGAGGAGAAAGCGGCCTACGAAGCCAGCCAGACCAGAGCTGCTATGGGTGGCGGCAAAGATCACATCGATCGTCCACGGACACCACCCAAGATGACCTCGCTTCCTCGTCTGTCGAACAGTCTTGATCGTCTGCGTATAAACCTGGCTGTCCTAGAAAAATCCAAGGCACAGATGATCGACCGTATGGAAGAGTTGAGGAAGGAGAAGGCGGATATCGCTGTCCGGGAGGTGGAGATCCAGGCTTTGATAAAAGAAGCTGGGGATAACTACGAGAAGCTTAAACTAGATGCTGGGATCACTCCTGGTACTGAAGAGAACCCATCTGCAGCTGACGAGATTGCAAACTCGCGAGGCCTGGAGGGTCTCGGGACCTCGGGGGCAGCATCTGCAAACACTTCCGACCCTGATGAGCCTTGATTCCCCCTGAACGCCTTCCCCGCAGTCTATGGCAGCTGCCTTTTCCGGAGCCCAATTCCAGGAGCATCACCATCGCTCTTTCCGAGAGAAGCGCCGGAATTCCATCGGCTCCCCTGAAGCCGGTCAACTGCACCGACGTCTCTCGTCGACCATCAATCCGGCGTGGTTTTCCTTTATCTTTCATGATACCCATCGTTTAGTGTCTAGTCATCCTAAGGTCCATCACTATGATTCCAGTCCCCTTTATGTCCTGGTTCGACCACCCATCGAGTAGAGCTGCGCGTGCCCGAGCAGCCACGCAGTGAGTTGAACCACCTAGGAGATGTTTTTGTGTATGAATGATGTCTGAAACTCAAACAGCCAACGTAGCGTCATCGCGTTTATCGAATCGCCCATCGATGAGAAGGATGGAGACCGCCCGCACCTTCGCCGTCAATCCGAGGCAACCCCAATCGAGCTGTTTTTTGACCTGTTCTTCGTTGCGAACCTTTCAAGCTTCACAGCTACCCATGAGATCAACAATATAGAAGGTATGCTGGCTGTCAAGTACGATCGGAGCGCGACCTAACTCTGCACGTCAGCACTATGGGCCTACATCGGCTTCCTTGGAGTCATCTGGTTTACCTGGCTCCAGGTTACGTTGTTTGACATTCGCTTTGCCCGAGATTCCATCTTTGAGCGGATTTGCAAGGCCGTTCAGTTGGCTGCCATGGTCGGGTTTGCGTCAGCAGGCACACGATTTACCACGCGGGTTCGGGCAGAGAATGTCTGGGCTTTCCAGTCCTTGAGCCTTATCCTTGGCGGAAGTCGACTCTTACTCGCTCTCCAATACACCGTCAATACCATATTCCTCCGAAGACGGATGATGCCCGCAGCCAGAGGTGTATCCCTTATCGCTGGAACCCAGTTTATCTCGAGTTTGACGTACCTATTGGTAAGCTACCTGGGGCGGCCTAGACAGGGATCTGGTCAAATAACTTCCTATAGATGTACTATGCCTTCCAGCAACAGCGCGGACTCAGTCCCTATATATGGACCGTATGGTTTGCCTTATTCGGGGTGGAGATGTGGGTGGTAATGGGAACTTCATCTGCTACCCCCGGGATTGGACTCCAAGATACCCATCTCAATACAAGAATGGGCCTCCTGACACTCATAATCATTGGCGAAGGCGTCATTGCTGTCACGAGGATTGTCAACAAGACAGTCGGCCCGGGCGGCTGGACGAAGTGGTCGTTTGTTCATATCCTGGGCGTCACGACCAATGTGGTATGGCCCTGGTGATGATTGAGGGACCCCCGGTTGCACCCAGTTCCAATCGGAAGGCTAACCTCCTGGTCCTAGTACTTTTTGTGGCAAGCATACTTCGACCTTTCCCCGAGACGGATCCTGGGAAAGTACTCGCAGCAAATTTGGGCTCAGCTACACTTTCCGTTCCACGTGGCCCTCATTCTCCTCCTTGAAGGGTCTCAGATCCTTGCTCTAAGCCTAGACATCACGCTAAAACTCCTGTACCTGGCGGAAACGATCTTGTGGGCGTGTGAAGAGCCACGGCCTAGACCGGACCATGCGATTCGGATCCTTCGAACCACCATTGCCGACATGGAGATCGACTATAGCCGAGGGGCCATAAACGAACAGATTGCAATCACCCGGATCTTGGATGATCTTCCGAACCATCCGTTATGTCCGTCCTATCGAACGGGTCAAATCCCCATCATCCGAGACATGCTCAGTGACCTGGTAGGGAATGTGACTGCGGCGTTGTTTTCCACCATGAGGATCATGCCCTCCAACCAAACTCATCCCGGAAACCTAAGCAGTGATCAGCTTCTGCAGAGGTATATGGCACTTCTACAATTCGTCTATGTGTATTATTTTGCCGTTGCCTCCCTCACGATGTTCTTCTTTGGTGGGTTTGTACTATTAGCGCGGCGCCACACCCTCCGCCGATGTACGAGCATCAGCGCGACAACCCGCCTTACCCTGGGTATAGTCCTTGCAAGCATCGTGAGCTTCTCGCGGTACTTCCCACTTGTCTATTCGTTTATGACGTCCCCGGCTATACTATACGCCTTTACTCTCACATTACTCATGGGTAAGTTGTGGCCATGCATCGGGATAGACGGGATTCATTCGCTGACGCGATTATAGTACTTTTAGTCGATCGGTCTTTAGACTGGTACCAGAGCTACAGCGGGCGGGTGCAGGACAGCGACGTACCCTAAATCCCTTCCGGCCGCCCATTCTTTGCATATCATTCCTCACGAACGGCCTCCCCCTGCACCGTCATATCATTATAGCTAGGGCCCAGAGGGGAACCACCCGCGGAGCTTTGCGGCAATCTAACCACCCGTCCGGTTCGCATAGGGCAGTGGAGTGTGTGGCTGTTGAAGGGCGGAACTGTCATCTACCGACGCCCGCGCAGGGTTCTAGCATACAAACATGTGGAAAAATCGGATCAGCTGTGAGCTCCCAGTAGGAAGGCATTCCTCTCCATCCACGGCCGAGGCCAAGGTGGGAAAGGCCCTCATCGTTTCCTCACGCGGCCATGTACAGTAAGCCTGCGTTTCGCAAAGGAAACGAACTGCAAGCCGATCCCAATCCACGCACCGATGGAGAAACGATTGCAAATAGCCAGCGGACACGCGCCACTGCCGCAAGGCCGGACCAGCCAGCAGGCCCTGTTGGCAAACCGGGAAGGCAGGGCGGGAACAGACATGAAGAGAGGCGGCTTCCGCGTAGGACATGACCGAGCGCTCCCTGCCTGATTTCTCCGACTGTCTTCATCGTAGAATTGATTAATTCTCCTAGCTACCCGCAGAGCTCAGATGTACCCCATGGCATCCCGTTCCCTTTTTTTTCCTTTTTCTTTTTTTACTTTGTTGTCTGTGGTTTCTCAGTTTGTCCCTTCACTCGGAATGAGATGGTCAGGGCCGGCCTGAGGGAAGGTTTGACCACACCCTTCGCTGAGACCACCTTGGTGTCACCGTTAGTACCCAACATCCGGGTTCCCTGCAGCTCAAAGGTGCAACTTGACTGAAATCCCTCCCCCTCCCCGATGAATAGGAGAAGGAGCATCTGTGCGAGGGGTGAAAAGTACCTACCTACCTACCTACCTACCTACCTACCCAGTTATCTTTACTCATCTATTCTAGTATCTTTGGTCGTTGCACATGGGTTTGGGGATGGAGTGGGGGTGACGTTACCCACAACTACTCATGTACTAGTATCAGTAGTAGTAGCACGGAGTACTACAAAGGTATTCGACATGGAGTACAGATGGTTGATGGATCTGCCAAAGCCACGCAAAGGGAGGGAAGATTGGTCGTGCGTGCGTGCGTGTGTGCGGGGAAAGGAAAGGAAGAATTGAGTTGGGATCAGGGGTCTTCTTTCTTTGCTTGAGGTCTTTGCTTTTTCTTATTGTGGAGGTTAGAGTACTCCGTAGGCCAGGACACTGTATGTATGTATGCATGCAGCATACATGTATGTAAGTATGGGGTGATGTACTCACCGTATAATGTTCAAAAGTACCTATCTCACCTACCCGTCCATCCTGTGATTCACCGGGATGAAGGTGAAGGCTAGAATGGCGAACCAATCTCGACGTGCCTAGTGTCTGCCCACGGTCTAGGGAGCAGTCAGCAAGGCCGACATCTGGTGTTTGGGGGGAAAGGGTTGGTTAAGCTTAATCTCTAACCCACAGGTGCGTCTGCTGCTGCTGGTTTGCTTTGAACGGGAGGGGAGGGTCTGATTGGGGCGATTGCGGATGCAGAGACGTTTGGGGCTTGCGGAGCCTGGGGGATGCTGGAGTGCAGTGGGTGGATAGAATCAAGCGGTGAAGTAAAGTGAAATGGATGGGTGAAGTCAATTGTGCAGGACTAGGGCCATGACAAATTCAGCCGGTGCTTTTTGGACTTTGGTTTCTGTTTTTGACTTTGTGCGGTAATCGGAAGCGTTGTGGGTTTGTTTCTTAGATGGATATGCTTTCCGTACGCACTGGTTGTCTGAGCTTTGTGGGTACGTGAATGTCAGAGATGATCTGCATATGCAGATTGATTCCGGCTTGTGCGGGAGGAAAAGTGGGTTTCAATCCCCGAAATTTAGGGGACAGAAATGTAGATAAAGCATATCAGTCGAGCCAATGGCGGAGAAAACAACGCACCCGCAGATCCGACGGGAGGCTTCCGAATTGTCTGATCAAATGTCCCATTTTCCTGGGCCCATGGGATGTTCTGGATTCTTGAGGTCACTGCGTCGTCTGAGAATGTAGGAGGGAAAAAAGCGGATATGCGAACAAAGCCCTATGTCGCTACCCGATCGGCGTTCACTGCTGCAAAACAACCACGCCCACCGGTTAACTTCGTCAAAATGCCAGCACCGGGGAGAAAAAGTCCCCTTTTCCCTGATTCCACCTGCGGCGCCACAAAGGAGGATTCCCTCCGGGAGTCTTCATTTGGACCACAGGTGGCCCACTGTAAGAGATGGGGTTGGCTGATCCTTGCGGGGAATCTAGGAATGCATGGTAAACTGGACCACTTGTCGTGATTGATCTCGTCCGGCAACATCCATGCCTGTTAATCAGAGCATAAAGGGGTATAGTGCTTCAACCAACATTGTCTAGTCCGGAGAAACAATATCGTTCTGTGAAGAACAAGGAGTTAGCTCCCGGCGATGCGAACAGCCCAAGCCATATCGGAACATGGTGGTTATTCCAGGGGCCCGGGATTGAGGGCGTTAAGGGGATGATGGCACCATTGCTTTATAATGATGGGGAGGAACTCCAGGATCCCTTGAATCAGATCTGCTTGGCCCTGTGCTTGAGTCCTAGTCGACCCGTTCCCTTGAGGATTGAGACATTTCCTTACGTTCTATGTTGGATGGGATATAGCCTTTGGCAAAGCGAACCGTGTGCCCCGAGAACCCTGTCGAACTACTTCTCGAACGGCGATTATTGCCTTAGAGGGTAGGCCACCGAGACATCATCGCCATTTTATCGGTGGCGGAAGAGAAGAAATACCTCTCATTCGGCCTTCGAGCAGTCGTGGAGAGGACAGCAACGGCACCGCTAGAGGCGCATTGTGTTCAATATTCTCCATACCGCTCCTTCGTGTTGCCTTCGGTCAGGGAAGAGTCTGGCTGGTCTGAAGGCCATCGGCTATTGGTGCCTTTCAACCCAACTTGGAAAATCAAATAATCGCAGAGCCATTGATATTCGAGCTTTCTGGGTGAGTCAGCCAAACCGGTGAACAAAGTGAAACCTCTCCCTATAGATCCTGATGTGCTGAGCAGCCACAACAGTCCCTGCAGGTGCCCTGGAAGCCCGACGACGCGCATAGCCTGGCACCCAAGTCCAATGCATAGTATTTACCCAACGTCTATACAGAGCATAGGAGACAGTAGCGGTGAAGATAGCAAGAAGCATTCGTTCCTCGATTTAAAGCCATGCTGCGCGTCCTTGTTGATCCAGACGACCCAAGACCAATTACCGTCGAGAAGAATCCCATCTCGTCGGACTTTCATTCCCACCTGTTTTTCCTTGGTCACCGCGGTGCATGCTTCCAAGTACAATCCTCTGGTCCACAAGGGAGTATAGCAGAGCATCCAGTCACTCACTGTGGGGGCGGAGAGATGCTGCATCATATAGAAACAGACGAGCGACTTTCGAGGGACCTCATCGGAATGACGAGCCAATACGCGACGATGCAAGAGCTGTCTCGAGAAGAAAACCTTTGTCGTCGGCCCAGCTATTACTCAACGTTTGAGTTGGGGAATGAGACTGCACCATCATACGAGTTCCAAGGCCAACAAGCAACGCTGGCTCATGATACCAACACGTCGCCTGAGATGCAAACCATCAAAATCGAAGATTGTAGCCAATACGATGCCAACGCTATACATCCTGAGCCACCACGAACATCATTCATAAATGATGGAGTCAGTGCTGGCGATCCCACCTCTCAAATTGTACATCCAGCTGTCAACATCAGTACGTTCATGGCTACCAGTGCGTCAACCTTGGCTTCACTAGCAGAGAGTACATCAGCAGCGATGTTATCGTGCAGTGCGCCCATCACCACATCCGAGGAATGCATGTCTGAGTCTAGTATGTCTTCTCTTCAAACAGAGTGGACAAGCATGACGGGAAATGTGTTATCAGAGTCACCAAGACCGCCCAACGAAAGGTCTGCGTTGATTGCCGATAACGACTTCACTTCAGCTACCACCTCATTTCCGTGGTTAGGTTTTCAGCTCCAGCAAGCAGCCGATGCGCCAAGTCAGGAGACAAACCACGATCACTTCACATGGGACACACCGCGTCTATCGAACGAGACACAACTATACGAGGACATCAGTGGCGCATTGAGACAGCTGGCTGCTGTGAGCAATAGTCCGGTCGATCTTTCACAGTTCGGCAATGATAACCTAGACATTCCCCAGCCGTTGTTATTCTCATCGTCCACGAGGTTCAATCCCCCGTCCGTGCTGTCGAGCAGCGATGGCTGTGCAGCCAATCCAGGATACGACGAGCTTTTCCCTGTTGCCAATTACCACCAATGCTACAGGGGTCCCTGTAGACTTGATGACCCTTGGGAGCTACAGAGTCCCAATGGTATAAGCACCCTATTCCAGGGACAGCTGTCGGAAAGACCCGTTGCTTACCCCCGTGAGACCAAAAACGCATTCCTGATCGACTGTAAGCTCCGCGGTCTGTCATATAAGGACATCAAAAGGATAGGTGGATTCAAGGAGGCCGAGTCAACCCTCCGTGGCAGATTCCGCACGTTGACCAAGTCCAAGGACCAACGTGTGAGGAAACCCCAGTGGCAAGAGAAAGATGTAAGTCTCCCGGCCAGTAGCTATTCAGTCATCGGACCTTTTTCACATTTGATGGCATTGGTGCTAACACCGGGTAGATTCGCCTTCTCTGTGAAGCGGTAGCTGTATGCGCGGAGCCCAGAAGGCAGGCAAACGGCCATTACACCTTCTGCCGTCCTCGAAGCACCAACCGGTTACCAAAGATCTCGTGGAAAAAAGTTGCTCAGTACATCTGGGCTCATGGAGGGTCTTACCACTTTGGAAATGCAACTTGTAAAAAGAAATGGTGTGAAGTTACTGGCATGAACATCTGATGTTGCAAGCAGAAGAGACAACGGTGTCTGGAGGTTATCCATATACACCCTTCCGTTAACACCTTTCAACCTTGGGTCGCCTTCTGATCCCTTTCTGACAAGCGCTGGCTTTTGACAAGTGAGATTCATGGGGGGAGATGGTGGCTGGGCATGCGAGATGGGCAGGGGCATGAACAGGAAATGACCAGATGTACGGAGTACCGTACTGGATTGTAGAAACAAGCATAAATATACTAATAGAAATTCCGTGTGTGATGCAGACGAGTGAGGGTGAACGATGAAGCGATGAAGCGATGAAGCGATGAAGCGATAAGTTGCGAGTAGTTGGCAGAAGATGGAGAGAAGCTGCCAGTGCGAATTCCCCATGCTGTCCGGCCACGTGATCCCCAGCGTCGTCAGCTCTCCTTTGCAACGTCTTATGCTATCTAATGCTTTCAGGCCTCAATGACAAGGGGTCAGAGGGCTATAATTCTCTCCACTCCAAACCCCGTCAAGCAGTCCCGCTTCACAGACACCCCGGACATGCTCTTGCTAACTATTGAATATCTAAAGCGAACCGCGATGCACCCATACCAGCTATAAAAGAGAAATTTCCCGCACGTCCGGTTGAGGATATCCGATCGCTGCAAGAACATTACCTAGTGATGCCGGGTTGCGGCGCAACTCATCCCATTCGGCTTCAGCCTTGACCATCAGGGTACCAGCCAGGACGGTACCGTTAAGTGCGACAATGCCAGCCTCGGCAACATCTGATGTTGCTCCTGAGTCAACAGGAATCCGAGCGCTTTCACTTCGTCTGGGGCAGATCATCATCGTTGAATTCGTCATGGCAAGATTGTAACTGATAGCGGCAGGCCCAGTGACCTCATGGGCACCATCACGCAGACCCCCCTTTGCCGTTGCTACTGCCACTCTATACAAAGACAAGTAGATTCTATGGAGGGTCTCACCCGATGGGTTCGGGGGCAAAGGAAGAGCAAAATGCGCGAAAGGCACCTGAGCCAGGTGCTGGAATTCCGACCCGCTGGATGCCGGCTGCGAGGAGACGGCATCAATCAAGGGCTGCCAGTTCCCCGAGTCACCCTGTGACATGGCCTCGACAGGAAGAAACTGCAAGTGCCGGTGAGGTTGGCTGGCACCACTCTCCTCTCCAGAATTAAAGAACGCAAAGAGCTTCTTGCTCCCGGTGCCATCTGGCTGGCCTCCCTCTTCCCATGCCTTGATACAGGAATATGCGGCCGCTAGATCTTCCTTGTCGAGAAGGTCTGTCTGCGACGCCCACGCCTTTGTTGCAAGGATGAAATGGTCCGGAATTACGGGGAACTTGTTCAAGACCAGAATGTGCGACGGGCTCTCACGGGGAATCTGGGCGATTAACAGATCGGGAGACGGGTCTTGGAAGGGATCGGGTTTCGGTCCACTGGGACCTTTATCTGCCTTGGGCGCGCCTGAGGGTTTCTTCGCAAGTGCTGGGCAGTAGCGAAGTTGATACTGGGGTCGGGAAACAAGGCGTTAGCACGCTGAAGCCGGAAGAAGGGGAAGCGGAGAAGGGGAGCTTAATTACCGGGAGGCCTGAAGCGTAAATAGTCGCACGATGCGTCGAGGAGAAGATCAGGTGGCCAGCATCTTTGGCAGCGACGAACCGTCTCGCCACGAGAGAGGACAGGCCCTCCGAGAGACCCAACTGCATTTTGCGGGATGTGATATCGGAATGATAGCTTTGATTATTCGGATTCACCTTTGAAGGCTGTCGCCAGAATGCGGGAGAGGGGATGTGGGGCAGCCGACGGGCAAAAGACTCCGATCGCCGCCCGCCACACTTTTAAGGGTGGATGTACTTGAGTCTGAGTGTACGGAGTAGAAACAGGGTTCAGGATGTCAATATTCTGTCAACTTGCTCTTATATTCAACGGGTCGTGTGCCCACATTTCAAAGTAAAGGATGACCGGCATATCAAACGAAGCTCCCTTTTCGTTGTCCAAACGCCCAAGGCACAGCCAGAAAAGAAAAAGAAAAAAGACATAGTGGAGGATATTATTACAGGGCCACGGGCACAGCCTCCATGAGTCCCTATCAATGAAAAACACTCGCACGGTAGTGGTATCAAGATAAGCTGGTCAAACACAATATAAGAAATCGCTCTCCTCATGCCACATATGCAAAGCCCACAATATGCAAGTATGATAGGCAGAAAAGAAAGAAAAATTGGAATCCCGAGGAATTCGGGATCTACAGCATCATCTCCATCTCGGCATCATGCGGTTGAGGGCAAAGATCAGGCAGCAGATCTGCCGGGGGTCCGATGAGCTGGGTGGCATGGGTGTCGATCCAAGGGCCGCGTTCTTCTTCACTGGCGCTCAAAACGCCCTCGGCACGCTTCAGCGTCTCGACGTCCAAGTCGGTCACGTACGCTTCCCGGGTCGTGCCATCTCCTGCACCACTAGGAAGCTTGACACGGACTTCGAACTCGTTATCGAGCATCATCTCATCCTTCCACAAGCGACGTTGGCCATCAAAGACACAGAGGACCCGCTTCTTCATTTTAATGCTGCTGCTGGGGCAACCCCAGGACTGGGGATACCGATCACGGTTGTTTCGTCGCTTGGATGTAGTTGCGCGCATCTTAGCGGCACCATTGGATGAATGCTTGGAGACCGCATTGTTGACGCCCAAGATAGGACGGGTGGCCGCGCCGGAGTTCCCTTTGGTGGTCTTCAACGAGCCTTTGCCCGAGCGCAGGTTCGAAAATTCATAAGCGTCATCATCGTCATCGTCAAGTTCATCGTAGTATAAATCGACAGTGCCAGCCGTGTCGTATAGGTTATGTTTCTCCATCGTCTTCTGCACCTCTTCATCCGACTCGACTTCCGCAAGTAATTTCTGGTTAATGGCTTCGCTCGGCTCCTCCTGTTGCACAACCCGAAGCACGCAGTCATCCAGATGCTCGTAGAAATCCTGAGCATTGCTGAAAGTCATGGAGCAAGTCGAGCACTTGCCGGTCGCGTCGGGGCTGTACCCTGTGGCTCCCTTGCTTGCCGAGGCACCGGGGCTTCTCTTCCGGCAGTTGGGTGGCGTTTGCTCGACGCCGTGCACGGATGTCAAGTGGCGCTTGAAGACATCTGCCCTGTTGAAGCTCTTTTCGGCAGGTGACCCAGAGCCTGGACAGAAGCCACAGACCATGGTTCCTTTGTAATGTGTGAGGGTATGCCGGTTCTTGTCGTACTTGCGGGCAAAGCCCTTGACATGGTATTCGCAAGTGACGATGGGGCATTTCTCGGGTCTTTCCGACTGGTGCGTGAGCATGTGAGCCTTGAGATCCTTGAAGACCCGTCTGCATTCTGGAAATGGGCATCGGCCCTTCTCTTTGGTGTCATCGTCGGACTCTGCGTTACTGGCAGCCGGGCTTGGGTTGGACCGCTGGGACTGGACCGACGAGACAGACGACCTCCGGTCGAAGACCGAAGCTGCACGTGGCTGGGGGATAGCAGGCATCATGGGAGGGGATGGTGTCGGTACAACACCGACGTGCTGTGCGAACGATTGGTTTCCAGCGTAGCTTTCTGCAGGGTGGAGGTGGGAAGGGTCAGGGGATTGAGGCATAAATCCGCCTTGCGCGAGAATAAAGTCCGACTGATCCGGGAATGCGATGTCAGGCGGAGAAAGGTGAGGCAGTTGTAGCATCGGCTGGATCACAGAAGGGTCTGTAAGATGAGCTAGTGGTCAGCAAAGCGTCGAGCGCATCCTGGCAAAACCAGGATGTTTGAGAGTCGTGACCCACCAACAAAGCTTTCAGAACATTTCTGCTGGTAGAGGTTGTCCGATTCCAGCGCGTTCCCAAAGCACTCATTGGAGTAATAGTCACTCATGGCTGCAGTATGTCTCAGACCGTTGGGTGTCTGGATCCAGTCTTCCAGAAGGACATGCGCAGACCCGGCGTTAGGTGATCCTATGGCCGAGGACGAGGCGCTTGCAATTGAGGGACCCGATGCAGTAGAGAGGCCTGGGATGAAATGATCGGAAGAATAAGGAAGAGACGGGGGTGTGGCGGGCATGGGAGGGAAACCGCCAGCTTTATTGGCGTCCAAGTAGGAATCGGAATAGATTGGCGTCGTACCATAGTTTGAGGGCTGAGGTGCACTGGTTGGATCGTGGGTCTGCGCGAACCCACTCAGATCATCCACATGGAACGCGCGAGGATCAATAAAGGTAGGATCCATTGGGAAGGGCTGGAAGTATGTGGTCTGCTGCTGTCTGGACGAATCCAGGGCCAGCATCTTGTTGTCACCGGTGAAATGGGTAGGGAACAGCACAAAGTCGGGATTATCACCGTGGGATTGCATGCCCACGCTTCGGTAAATGGTTGGTTGGTTGTTGGTTCTGCAGGAGGGAGGATGCGAGGGTTAATGTACAGGAGGGAAGATGAGTACAATAGATCTGCGGCAGGACGAGCGTTAGCGATTTGATGTCTCAAGCCGTGGCATAAAATAATATCCGGCAGGTTTTCCTTGGGTCGCCAAGGGCCCCGGAGATGTTATTGAGTTCAAACATGGGAACGGCCCGCACGGGAGCCTACTATCGCCTGATAGTGTGTATTTACCGGAGTCTAGTTGAAACCGAGATGGGCAAACTTCAACGAAAGCTTCGGAGATTTTCCCAAAGAGGTCAGGGGGCACTTCGGAAGAACGTGTCTGGGCGCTCGGGGATTGTATCTTCCAACTGCAAGGCGAAGAACGATATGTGTTGTCACTTGCAGATCCGTATCCAGGGTGTTGGGAAGGCAGAAAAGGCACCGAAGGATGAGAGCGACGCAAAGCAATGAGGTGTCAGAAGTGGTGGAGGTTATTGATTGGAAGTGGAAGGGGAGGCAGATCGGTAGTACTCGGTGCCTTGCTTCTTGGAACGATTGAAGAAGAAGAAGAGCTGAGGGCAGAGGCGAGAGGTGCGGAGAAGTATTCCTTTTTGTAGGGTGTCTCCTTGACAGCTTCACCAACACCCGACCCGTATGTGAGGGAAAGAAAGAGGAAATTAGGATTCTGGGGGGTAGAAGAAGAAGAAGATCGGATGGAGGAGGGGGCGTAAAAGCATAGATAAATGTTATATGATTGCTGGCCCTATGAGCGCAGTGTACTACTATTTGGACTCGGAGTGGATTTAGACTGGGCTGGGATTGACCAACTACGGACGAACTAAGAAAACCACACTAAAGTCGAGACTAGTACTGGGGGTTGTGTGCACCGCAGCAGACAGGGGAGTCAGAGCCTAGTGATTAGCGCGGTCCCAAACAGACCGGGGTGGGTGTGGGTGTGGGTGGATGATGCCGATGATGATGGTGATGATGATGGTGGTGGGTGGTGGAGAGAGGGGGGGAATGGATCTCTGTTCACCCAAGGGAAAGGAAAAAAAAAAAAAAAGAAAAAGTTAAAAAAAAACACACCAAAGGAACAGGGGTAGTGGATTGGGTGGAGATGCCCGCGAGCAGGGGCAGGCAGTGAACCGGGCCTAAAACTAGGTGGTATTATTAGCACCTCGATACGCTTGAGTGTACGAAAATAAGTATTACCACTAGCCCTGCATCATACTGCACTGCCAGCCGGATCTTTCAAGGAAGACTTTTTATTTTTCATTTTTGCTTTTGTTTTTGGCTGCTTTTAGCGATCTTCTCGATGTAATTGCTGTAGTATGGTTTTCCTACATCTTTTTTCACTATTTTAGTTATATTTTATTTATTTCCATAGTATAGTTATTCTTTTGGTTGCTTGATCTTTTATTCCTTCTGGGAATTTTCTGCGAACTATTCGACATGTCTTTAGATTTCGGGCCGTACCAACGCTACCGCGAGCCCCCGTGATCAGGCTTCGAGGGCTTCCAGGATGGATCCAGTTTGACAGACCCCCCTTACCAATCCAAACGAGGTCTTCCGGGTCGAACGGTGTCGTGCTATTCATCCGTGTGGTTGTCACTAAACGTGCTTATCTACAATGACAAGTAGGGCACGTTAAAATTCCAATAGTACAGTAAAGTTCGGGGTTTGGTGTTGCTCAATACCCAAGGTATCCCCAAGAATTACCGTAAACAGTAAGAAGGAACCCCAAGCGCGATCCACTCACGGCCGCCCGTCCAAACTTTTGTCAAAGCCTCCACAAACTTTGAGCATTTACAATCGCCCTTCAAATCCGGGTCCTATCAGAATCTTGAATCAGTCCCCTTTTCCGTGCATTCCTTTTCTGTTTGGTCGGATCTGCCTTTATTCGTCCTTGTTCTTACCCATTATCTAATTTCGATTATCCCGCGGACTTCTCTGTTTGCTTCTTCGCATCCTCCTGCATGTAAGGTAACCGAACCGGAGCGACGGTAACCTGGGTATGGAGTACGGGAGGGGGTCAGATCTTACCAATCCTTCACCACTACTAGTACTACCGTACTAGACTGGTATGAAGTATAGGTCGTCTCGAGGCTCATCCATCGTGAGGTGCCCCGAAGCCGAGTATCTAAGCGACCGATCGCAGTAAATTAAATGAATTATGATAGGGGGGCTACTAAGGATCGGATCTGGAGGCCTGGACGCATACGGGGTCGCCGTCCTCCGTGCATTCCTGACATTCGTATCCGCAGGTGTCATCGGCGTGTCCGTAGTGGCACACTGTCAATCCGCGCTCGAAAAACTTGGCATTATCGGTAGCCCATTTGACTATCTACCAAACCTTGTCAGTTACGTAGCAGTTCGAGCGGTTCAGTGTTTGTTTGTTTCCACTCCACATTCCTGCTAACCATGGTCGGCCATTGTTCTTGATAAGATAGTGGCAAATTTCCCCCTCATGCCTGTCTCAACGACGTGACTCGTAGTCACTATCGCAGTCCTTTGGACTGGGCGACTTTAGTGAATTCCGCTTACACTGTAGTAGTGCGCCTACCCAACCTTAGTCGATTCTGAGAAACGATGCCAATGAAACTGGTGACTAAAAAATTGGAGACGTATCAAATGGTTTGACGGTAAGGTAACCTGTCTTACCGTGCCAGGTCGACCTGTCACTCTTTCCCTCATCCGACTCCTCTGGGCGGAACGCTCCTTCGTCCCGTCAATGTGGTTCAAGATCATCCTCAATCCAGGAGGCACGGGAGTCCTTACTAGCAGCGAACTAAGCAACTGGATCTGGGCCGTGGCCGCCAGTTCCGAACACCATCGCTCGCCAACCTCATGGGTCCTGTTGGCGATCTTAGTTCAGCTCCACACCGTCACGACACCCCTTTCAGAAACGTGCATTTTCGAGTGATCGGAACGATTGGTCAACAGCTCTCGACAGGTAAATGAAGCGTCATTGGCTCATGACGCTTCGATCCAATCAGGATCCAGAAATGGTCGCAGACGGGAAGACGATTCTCATTTAGGGCGTCGGGCGTGGACAATCATCGCGCCCAAACTGGATGAACACGGATCGGTACAGACAGAGCCGCACAGTTGCTGTGCAAGACCTATGCAGTACCTCGGGTTTCGTTATAACGTGGGATCTTATGGATTTCAATAGTCCGGTTCTTTGATACGCCAAGCACACTGGACGACGGCCCATCGCACGTTCACCCATCAATGGATGTCTACTCGAAGGATTATGACGTTCCTTGGGGTCGACTCCACAAAGCTATCGCTTGTTTCTCCCATTTTTAAACTATGGCATAGTGCAAATGACATGGAACGCAAGTCAAACATGGCGACAGGAGCAGAATGACATCGAGGGCGCCCGGTTGAGTGGGTCTACTGTGGCTCATGCAAGGCTGAGTCGTGCAGTTACCGACTGACCTTACAGTTCTCATACGTTGTACGAAATACACCCGACCGTACGGAGTAACAAAGAACAAAGAAAGGATAGGCCATTGATTTTCCTCGGTCCGATTGTTCTCGTCAAAGGGAGATTGTTCGAATGACTTAATGTCGCGGCCATAAGCCACTGTTAGCACACCAAGTCTAAAGATCTTCATTCCAGGATGGAAAGACAGTCGCAGGTTTGGCGAAGTATGCATGTGGTCGGGTTGAGAGAATTTGGTATGGATACCTCAACGAACGGCACACATCCGACGCTCTTCTCCGAAGGTCGCAAGACGCTACTAGTAAGGTCGGAGCTGCCGAGCCCGCGGAGCGCCACAGGTTTTGTTGAGCCACATCTTAAGAGCCCATCGTGTGTCATCGGGCGGATCTTACCGCACTTCCATTGGAAGATCCCCGTGCGCTAATGCCGCGATGACCGGAGTGAGGCGCAGCAAACAAGTGAGTCCTCGCTCCTCTTACACCGCTCCCTTGGGTCCCTGTGGCACCGGTGATGTGGCTCTCCCTATGTCATGGTCTTCCACCTGCCGACATGGTCCGAACTGACCGATATTCTCGAGTGGGATTGCTAAGTTTGGCTCCTCGAGATGCGGTGGGTGTCCGTGCGACTGATTGGTCGGTGGGATTTTTCGACAATGATGGTTACACCAGTCACCAAGTCGTCGAATTCTAGAATGCATTCGAAACCATTTCGAGATTACTCCGTACTGCATGGCAACAAATGCTTCTGGTGGGGCATGCTCCTGGTTTCCCTTCGCTCCTTTTTTTCTTCGCCCACCTTCTGGAAACCCAATATTGCGGCTTTGTTTCACTGGAGCGCTGACAGGGATCTAGTTGTTCCAGAAGTCTGTGGCTGCTGTCCTAAAATCTAGGCCCATACGCAGCATGCATCTAGGATCTATAATGTATCTATAGACTAATAGGTAGGGAGTACTAATGTGTGCGGGCTCCAAGAGTGTTGATAATATGAAGCGACCCACAATTATATATCCTAACCATATCCATAACTAACACCACTGATTTCCGAGCCTCAGCAGTACTTTGGGGCATCCACTGAAGATTACCCTGAATTTGGGATGCAAGCTGACAAGGGGGAATACCCAGGCCTTTCTTACCTGGCCTGTCGATACATCAGGTAATACAACACCAGAACCCCAGTCATTTTCCCGCACGTGGCAAACCACGTAGGTATGCTGCGTGTAACCTAATTGATCCAGATGAGATTCCAAAATCTTACCATGCTGACGGTCCCCTAACTCTGAGGACGTTTTCTCGGCAGGGAAGGATAGTCGCCCTCCTTCTCAAGCATTGCTGACACTAACGGCTTATTTCTTCTTCTACCTACCACACAGGTTACGAGGGTAGCCAATGGAAAATGGCGATGTCATCTGAGTTAGGGGCAACAGTCTGGAACCTCGCTCGGTCCATAATGCCACTCAAGGACTATCCCTGATCATCGTAACCTTAGCTGACAGGTAAATCAAAACACCCAAGGATTGACCTGACCGGGATCACTAAGCCCTATTTTGGGCGTGTCCACTGTCCGCTGTCCAGAATGTCAGATTGACGGAGGGAATAATCCCTGCTCCCATGTGTCCGATTGAAAAACCTCGTACGGGAATCTTACCCCTAGGGAGGTGATTGGTGCTCAGCTTGTCGGGGGAGTGATCGACCGGCCAGTAATTGAAAGATGTCCTCCTGGTCACAGTCATTGGGGGTGAACCTGGATTAGCTAAAATTAGGAGCGCACGCTATAGCGTCAAGTAAAGTGTGTGGTGACCCCACGAGCCACACCAATCACGCCGGACAAACAGCCAACATATCTTATCAGTAGGGTACGGCAGGACGCATACAGAATTAGAATGGACGGGCGTCTGTCAGGTACATCACGTCGAAACCCAGAAAACCAGAAAACGCACCTTTCATCCCGGTGCCCCATGATACGAACGGATACGGAGTGACACCTCCATCATGGCGTTCCGACGGGATCGTGTGCCAGGACGCGGTCCCCACTCCCCCCACTTTTTAGAGAAACTGTTTCGCATGTCACTTGGTGGCAGGTGTCAATTTTCCAGGGGCCCCATCGTTGTCGCGACGACCGATGAGATGCCATGGCGGCCAATTTGGCCCCCAAATTCGGCGTTGAGATTAAACACCGTGAATGCAAGGCATTACCTATTCGCCACGGTCACACAAGGCTCCCAGAATATCCTCCTTAGCTCGTCTCGTGGCATGCACTAACCTGGAGCAACTCTGTCGCAGTCCTCAAACAAGCGCCCGACTGTGTAGCGCTAGTGACTAGCAGCTCGAGCAGTGTCCGCATGCACAGGATCTTTTTATGGAAATACATTGTGTTGGGGCTAGCGGCCTAGTTCCATGCACTACGCCGACCTCTGCATGCTGGTGCTCGCATTGCCCACTGACAAGCGCTGGGATGCTGACCCCTGACCCTTCTCGGGTCGCCAGTAGGAGCTCAGGAAAGGCTTCCAGAACGAAGTCTTGCCGCCGATGAAACCAACATGAAACTGATGCGGTGCATCCATAGGACGGCTATTTTGGGGTGTCTAGGATGCTGAACTTTGAAGCCATTGCTACTTGCGTCGACTCGCGTGGACGCCTTCATCGACCAGAAGTAAGCGCTGACCAAGCCGTTGGGACCTACCAACTGAACTAGTTTCTCCGCCATTTGGGTGATGATAAATTTTCTTTGTGGTTTTCTTTATTCATTCATTAATATTCTTCCATTATTTTCGGGCCTGCCCTTTCTTTTTCCTCCTCCGCACCAACGGATTGATAAGCGCTCGGGACTGTCGGTCGGCTATATCAATCAATTTAGATTAAATAAACGAGCCCATTGATACGGGGTATTCCAAATGCCCCCCCTGATCATACGGAGTACCCCGGTATATTAATTGTGAACATCTAGAGCCTGCCACCGGGCCACTACACTATACTCTGAACGAGGGGGGTCCACGTTCCCCTGACGACCGTCCTCCGTAATCCGCCCCTCGTCCCCCTTTCCCTGGACATCAGACGTCCTCGTCTCCAGTCCAAGGAAGCTCGGCGCGCGAACTAGTCGATCTAGTGCCCGGATGGTCTGGAACTACCACCCGGGGGGCCGGGGAAGTAATTAGTGTGGCCCTTGGCATCCTGGACGCCCGACTTTAATGGATCCGTGACTATGGGCATTTAATCAATCGAGATTGCTTGATATATTAACCTGCATTGTTTAGGAATTATGATTGACCGCTAACAGTGTGTTGGGATAAGCGAATCCAGGCTGATTGGCATGACTATATACCGCATTGGGAAGGCAGGAGGAGGAGTCGGCGAGACCAATTTTGCACCGGATCTTACTTGCTGCCGATGGAACTGGACACTTCTTGGATCGTGTCCAGGCTTCCTGAGGATTCGGTCGGGCGCTGGTCAGAGTCCAGACTCCCTTCGAACCCCCACATCACTCTATCCAGCTCTCCAGGGGAAATTCTCGGGTTTTCATCCTGTCCCCTAATCTAAGATGCAGAATGATCACGGCGGAGTACACTGGGACAGAACTCGGTGCCAGACAGCACACAGACGCTTCCTTGGCTGTCACATGGCTTCCCCTGTGCCGATCCTGAAATTACGAACAATAGCAACAGAGGGAACTTGATCACGCCTCAGTCTTGGCTGTGGGCATGGGTAATATGCTGTTCCCTGTCACCCCTACTTGTCAGGTCAAATCTGCATTCTCTGCTACTCCATCTCGGAGTTGGCATTCATCATACAGCATAGATCGCCACTATTGGCGAGCACAAGCATGGGATACTTCCGATCAGCATGTCACTACCCCCGGCTACGTGTCGATATCTGCAGCCAGCTAGGTCAGTAGTGCCGACAGGGGTCAGAATGCCCTTGTATTCGCGGGATCCTCTCGGCGACCTCCTTCGTCAACCATGGCAGAGTCCCCCTCCCTTCAAGTCCTACCGGGATTCATGCACAGACCGGATATTGACCAATAACTCACGACCTGGTGCCCCGCGATGCTAACCAGCTGGGTCGATCGACATGGACAGGCCCGGCCATCATCTGACGTCTAGCTCTTGGTGTTACCCGTCAGAGATGTGGAAACCGAGTCCCTGGCTTTGGAGGTTATGCCGAGACGATGTGTTACTCACTGGGCTCCCTCGCGGCCAACAGAAAGTTTAAACGGAATTGTTTGCTCGATCCGGGCACCATGCTTAGTGAAACTTGCAGACGCAAATCCCGTGGAACCGTGGCCATGCAGATAGTTGCACTTGGAAGCTAATCATCGTCATCCTTCAGCGGAGAAACCTCTTGCTCCAGGTTACACAGAGGAGGGGTCGGAGTGATCTCAGTAGAGGATACTGTACATCATTTGCCTATCTGTGCGTATGTCATCAACTGCCTTCGTCAGGTCCTTCCGAATCCTGCTGGAGGCATGCAGGAGGATCATCCAGGACATGGCAGCCACTCGACGGTTGCACCATCCCCTCGGGGACCGGCGTCGATCACGGTGAATCCACGTTGATGCATGTTACCGTACTGTATGTATGTGGTCGATACCGCAGACTCGCTCAATTTTTGAGCGCCAGACACGGCGTCGGCCAGTCGGCCCTCCGGGCAATAATCAATCTGAATCGAGACTAAACCAGATCCCGAGATACAAGATCTTGGGTCTTTGGCAGACTGATCGAATGCATCAAGCTCTGCGTCCACCCAATAGTCTCGGCCCAGTCGCCAAATTAGGTTCCATACGGCAAAAGGATCGCAGCACTGTGCATCCATCTGGCCGGCCCAGTCCAGGACCGGCTTCCAATCGTAGGGAACCCGACTTGGCTCGGTCGGAAACCTCTTCCGGAAGGAGGAAGACCTGCGAGATCGGCGGAAGAGCAAGCAAATCATGAAAATTCACAGGTTGAGATCTCCAATTGATGCTTCAGCTAGTGCCCCTTCCGGCTCGCAGTTTGGTCCCGCTACTACGGTTGGGACCTGCTGCTGCGATGCCTATTGGGTACTCCACATTCGTTCCGAGACAGCCTATTCCTTTCCCCTCCTGAGTTATGCACTCTCTGGTCGATCGGATACGCATGGAGTTATCCGCCATTCCGTCCAGACTCTAGAAATGGATATCACATGCGTCCGCCGTCCAGTCCATCTGGCTGTCTGCCTCACGGAACACGGCTGCCAGAGGCCCCGAGCAGTTCAGAGTTCGGAACCCCCCGCATCCAGGCGAGCAATGATCGGCAAGCCATTAGGGCTCAACAGACCACCGTATCCACCGCGATGCTGCCGCATGACTCGGGAGCAGTGATTACTATACCGTACCAAGCAGTTGAAACATACAGAGTCCCCGAGGCCGGCGAGCACTGGATCCCGTGCCTGACGCCCGATGGGGTGTGGCTGGGGCCATGACCCGAGCCAAGTGGGCAAATGATCTCCTGTTGCGGCATAGCCCGTGTGGCTAGACGGTGACACCGACCTATGACAGCAGCTGCTCGCCGACCCCGAGATCTTGCGATACAGCGCCAGAGATTTTTAGCGTTGCGCTGAGGCAATGTCATCCGCTGACTGAAAAGACAAACTACTAAGTATCTACACAGTGCTCCGTAGGGAGTCCCGCGATCTGCGGTCCGGGCCCTGACGTCAAGCAATAGTGTCGGCGAGTCCGATGAATAATTTCGCCTGGTGATGCATCTATCATAATGATTGACCTACCACCGTGCGCTGAAAAATTTTTTCCTTGGATCGCCCAGTCCAGACCGTTATGCCCCTTGCGAACGGGCTGTCGACTTCTCACGGAAGCATAACGGATACCAGTAAGCCAAGTGCCAACATTGTCGCATAGGGCGGAAGGATCACCAACCTTTGACATATGATTTATGCGGGGATTTGCCACAGTGGATGCATCACTTTGGATGTTGTTTTGCGGCACCAGCGTTATCGTTTACCACATTGGCCTACCCTAGTTGGATTCTCAGGATCTTGCCATGCAGCTGTCAAAGCCACGAGGTGACCAGAAGAAGGAGGTTTCACAAACGGCAGCAATCAGCAAGACAATGAACCGACGATAGGACAGTTAGATATGACAGCATTGTTTCTGGCTGATGGATTCATACAATACGAGTAGGACAACATGAGTACTACATGGCAGCGATGCTTTTCTACCGAGTCGAAGTCGAGAAAGTAAATCACACCACCACCAACCATAACCCGAGTCAATCAGCCATAGCTATCCCAAAAAAATTAAATAGATAATTAAGTTAGAGTTAACCCAACACGGCATATAAAAATATCCTCACCTCGCTTACCACAACCTTATCCCTACCTAGTTACCAATCCTAACCATACCATAGTATACCCCTACCCAAACTATTTATATTCTACATGGATATAGACATATACCAGTGGCAAAACCAACCTAACCGAACTACAGGGTAGGTAAGTAAGTATGAAAGCGCTATACCCGCGCAAGGCACCCAGCGCCAAGACAAGGCATATGATTCGTGCGTTTCTCCTCACCCACCTCCCCAAGTACGGAGTAAGGCTGGGATGTTTTCATGATAAAAAATGAACCTGCACCTAAGAATAGCCACATCGCTCTTTCCAGAAAGATGGTTGTTTGTTGCCTTTTTGCCTAGTCCTAGTCCTATGCATGTATGTATGTATGTACTATGTCATGTTGTTGGGTTCGAGGAAGGAGAATGATTCAGTGGTGTTTTGTTGTGTTGGAGACTGGATAGGTAGTAGTGTTGGTTGGGTTCCTTTCCTGACTCGTTCGTTTGTTCGTTCGCATTCTTTTCTAAGTGCGGGGAAGTGTTCATGTCTACGGAGAGGGTTGTGAGGGAGGGCTTAGTACTCGGTTCTCTGGATAGTATTATAAGAGTATTGGTGATGGAAGATTCATATTATCATTCATTTCGTGAACCACTTCATATCAAATATATATATATATATATATATATAGATAGATAGATAGAGATAGTATCTAGGTAGAAAAGTGGTCACATCGATGAAAGATGATGATGACGAGCCTAACCAGATGATTATTACTATTATGATACTCTTATAGAGGTATACATCCACCAAATCGAAAACAAGAACCGAATAAAAAAATCCGGGGATATCTACAAGGTACTCCGTATATGGAGTATGGAGTATGGAGTACGGAGTACTCAGAGGGAATATAAACCCTGTCGTTGCGGTTGGGCACTACTAGTATGCAGCCCGCATGAGTGGCGATGGAGTCCCCTATGCAAACCCCGATGAACATAAGTAGTCGCCGGTGCAATGCACTACGGTTTGGAGCCCGGGGTTGCTATCGCTATGTAAATTGTAGATTATTGTTGGGGTTTGTCGCTGGTTATCGCGATCATTATCATCTCCACTAGTTAGGGAGTACTTAGTTGTCTACTATGTTAACTATCTACCCGACTGACTACCTCGGTCTAATAACCCGTCTAGCAAGGTATTAACCATTACCGAGGACTCTGTACTATACTCCATACGGTAAATAAATAAATATCCACCGGCCCGGAACAAACTAACTATGCCCCATACTCCATCCGGCATGTGGATAAGACTGAGGCTGGCTGAATTTCCCTCCGGGGAATGGAGTACGTATCTCCCTCCCGGGTACGGAGCAGGGAAAAAGAAAAGATTTCATATGCAAAGGGACCAGTCAGGAAGCAAGCTAGGGTGTTAGTCACTTGCAGCTAGTTGGTAGTTGATGGGGCTAGGGACGGGACTAGGGGTGGTTAGGTTAGGGCGGTGTTGGTCTTGCTTGGTCTTGGTCTTGGTCTTGGTCTTGGTCGGGTAATCTTTGTTTGGTTCGGAGGGGTCGGAAGGGTATCTACCTCTTCAAGGGGATTAACTCCGTGTCATGGATTCATGTGTCATTAGTGGATGGGGTGAGGAGATCTGGATGGGGAGGAGATTAGGCATTCGGGGTTCTGTAGGTTCTGTAGGGGCGGGCTTTTCGGTTCCAGTTACAGGGAAGTCATCCTGAGGGATTGTACTTTAGTCTGTACATTACGGAATACGGAGTACTGTTTAGTGTTCTGCAGGTTGCCCGGTTTTCGCCACTGGGTTGCTGGTGCAGTGTGGCTGGACTGCAGTGCAGTTTGCAGGTAGTTCGGGTGGTGGTGGTGGTGAGTTGGTCAGGTCTGGATTACGGAGTAGTGTCTGGCGATGATGGCGATGTTATGCAGGCATAGCAGGTCATGTGAATTCTACCCTACTGTGTGTATAGTGTGTACAAGCATCAAGACATCAAGTATAGCAGCAACTCTAATTATCCATACAAAGGAATAACCTCATCTCCCGGGCCTCAACCATGGATCACAATATGATTATACCCCCAATCGGGCAACAATAAAGAAAACCAGCCCAATAAAAGAACCCACCTCAGCAATTTCCATCCAAACCAGCAGCAAAAATCCAGCAATGTCATGAAATGTCCAAGTCGCAACACACCACCCCCTGCCTCATCTCCCTAACCCTCACCACTCTCTTCCTCATCACCATCGTCATTCTCCTCCGCACACCCCCGGATATCCTCCCCCACATCCTTCCCCCCATCTGTCCCTCCCAGACCCATACCCCGGATTCAGCCCAACAAACCCACGGCCGAATCTTCACCGAACGCCCCGACCTCGAACGCATCACCAACGACGACTCCGACGCCAAATCATGGGAATCCATCCTCCTCCCACCCAGTGGCGGAGGCATCCGCTCACACACCATCCCCGACAGCATCAACCCCAATGATGTTCCAGACGGAAAGGTCCTCGGCTGGGGCATCTCCATGTTCCATCAACTACACTGCCTGATCGCGCTCCGGGCGCTGATATTCCCCGAAACGACGGAGAATAAAATCAATTCAACGAGTGGGGCGCATACGGACGATATGGTCCATGATCGGGGTCATTGGGCGCATTGCTTTGATTATATTGCTCAGGTGGGTGGCTTTGATACCTTGGGTTGTGGGAGTGAGACTGATTATATCATGGTAGGGGATTATTTGTGCTGCGGATGATACCATCGAACGGCCTCGGAAAGCGCTCGATCGACATGGTCGGACGATCTTTGATATTGATGGGGTGGGCGCGACGCATCAGTGTCGGGATGCGAGAGTGTTGTGGGAGACGTCGATGAGGTCGTTGGACAAGCCGGTCAGCATGGATGGCTGGAAGGATGGGATGGGGTTGAGGGCGTTTTTGGGAGAGATGTTGGTGAAGGAGAGGATGGAGGTGCCGGAGTTGTATACTCTGGGGATGGAGGAGGTGGATTGAGTTCTGCCTGGATGAACGTAACGTAAAGTCATTGATAGGCAGCTGCATTCCCCACTACCATTTCATCTAGAGCGAATAGATTCCCACTTTCTTTCCCACCTCACTTCCACTTCCACTTCCCGAGGCATAGATATCCATGTCTTCGTGGATAGCGATGCTCGCCGACGTCAGTCCACGGCTCGTTGTAAGACCATCCACTGCAACTCGACCGTCCGAGACTACATGAGGCATCCCACTTCACTCTCCGCATCAACATTCATACAACTGGTCTGCTGCTTCCGATGTGGGGGAATCGTCAGTGGGGATGCGGGGATCCCCACCATACAACCATCCGATACTCTATATAATGAGCCAGAACACCAGACAATTCCTCGCTCAGAGACCTGCTGTCTATCATCATGACGACTACCGAAGAGAAAATCCGTGCTGCCTTCGCCGATCTTGAGTGGCATCCCCTCACTCCACCCGGGGAGCATCCTGTCTTCACCTACCACGGCTTCCATCCCGGAAAGAAGACCGTCCTCTCGCAAGGCCATGTGCGATTCCCTGGCCTCCGAGCCTTCAATACGGATGTGCTCCTTGAACAGGACGTGGCCATCCCCCTCCGTGATGGCATCAAGATCTACACCGACATCTTCCGTCCTGTTGACTCTGACACGACCCCCGTCCCAGCTATCATCCCCTGGAGTCCCTACGGCAAGACCGGCACCGGCCCGCAGAGCTACGACAGTATGGCGCCCTTCCGGGCCGGGCTCGAGAAGAGCCGGACTTCAGGCTATGAGAAGTTCGAAGCCCCCGATCCGGCCGAATGGGTCCCTCGCGGCTACGCCATCATCAACGTCGATGCCCGCGGTGCCGGCAACTCCGAAGGCAACATCCATTTCTGGGGCCAGCAAGAAGCTGAAGACATCTATGACACGATCGACTGGCTATCCAAGCAGCCCTGGTGCAACGGCTCCGTCGGAATGGCGGGCAACTCGTGGCTCTCCATCGCGCAGGTCAACTTTGCGTCCCGTCTCCACCATCCTGCCCTCAAGGCCCTCGCTCCTTGGGAGGGACTTACCGATTTGTATCGTGACTTGGTTATGCGGGGCGGCCGAAAGCACAATGAGGCGTTTCACAAGCTGATCCTGAAGGGGTTTGCGGGCCATGGAGCCGCAGAGAACATGCCGGCCATGGCCAACAAACGACCCTTCTACGACGATTACTGGGAGAGCAAGCGCATCCACATCGAACGCATCGGTGACATTCCCCTCTACCTCCTCGCATCATACTCTTCCATGCTGCACACGCACGGCTCCTTTGAGACCTTCCGCACCGCCCAAAGCACCCGCAAATGGCTCCGCGTGCACCCCTATCAAGAATGGTACGATCTCTACCGTCCGGAGATGGTCGACGACCTTGCTCGCTACTTCGACCGCTACCTCAAGAACATCCCCAACGACTGGGAGAGTACGCCCCCGGTTCGACTCTCCCTCCTCGGCTTCGAAGGCAGCCCAGCGCAGACCATCCTCGAACGCCCCGAGCAAACCTTCCCTTTGACTCGGCAGGTCCTAAAGAAATTCTACCTCAACGCAGCCACCAAATCACTCCAACCAGACCTCCCTCCAACAGCATCCTCCACCACCCACAAAGCCCACGCCAGCTCAGTATGCCCCCCCTCTCCTCCAATCCCTCAAGTCTAACCCAACCACAGGACTTCACCCTCTACTTCCCCACCCCAACCACCCTAACCGGCTACCCCCACATCCGGATCTACATCTCCACCCCCAACCACAACGACCTAGACATCGCCGTCCAAATCCGCAAGATCTCCTCCTCCGGAGTCCCCCTCGAACACCTCAACTACCCCTGCCCCGTCCCCATATCATCTGTCCCCAACGTCAACACCGTCAAAACCCTAGGCCCCCAAGGCTTCCTGCGCGCCTCACACGCCGTCACCCGCGATGAGACCCTCTCCACAGATACGGAGGTGGTCTATCGCCATGACCGGGCGGAGATGATCCCCGCGGGGAAGATCATCCCGTTGGATATTACTCTCTGGCCGATGGGAATGGTGTTTGCGGCCGGGGAGGGGATTATGGTACGCGTGTCGGGAAGGGATATGTGTTATCCGGAGGTGGAGGGGATGGATATGAGTGGGGAAGGGAGTGAAGGGGAGGGGGAGCAAGAACATGAGGTTCATACTGGTGGAGAGGTGGGGTCGTACTTGGTATTGCCGTTCGTATGAGTAGGTCAAGTTGTATATGTTGATCAAGTAAGAAGGATAGGGGGGGGGGAGGGGATATACGAAGCTGATATTCGTACTAGTACATCCAACGAACTTGAAACGATACTTAACAGATATTACTATCTACAGGATCTCTTTCTTCTAAACACCACAAACATACGAACATACCATAACCGTATCATCTCTCTCCTCCCAACCAACCAACCGAACGAAATACCATCCCATCGTTTATCCTTTGCTGTTAATCTACCTTTACCTGACCCATATCCTACCCTTACAACAACTATGTAGCATCAACAACAACACTATCAATACAAATCACAACTTCATCAGAAGAACAACCCGTTTGACTACGAACTACGTAAGTTTAACCTTCATCTGGTGAAGTACTGTCGGTTTGCTAAATGGATGGATGGATGGTCTTGAGAGAAAGGTGAGATGATAGATTTCAATACTGAGTGCTCGTTTGGTGTGGGGAGAGATTCTTTCATCGAAGGAAGAAGGGAGGGAGGGGTAAAGTGGTACTAAGGATTGGGTTTGGTTCGGTGGTTTTGCTCTTTATTAAATGGTTGAAAGGATGGCATCGAGTGTCAAGCTTATTTGATGATATTCCTAACATCCGATACCATCGTACTATGGAGGTGGTTAAGCCTGCTCGAGCTGTTTCTCCGCCTCCATGGCCTCTGCAAAAGCCTCCTTCAGCGCCGTCACCTGGGCATTTGACGGCACGACACACGGCCGCCTCGGCAACGCACCATAGCCGCGGTAGGTCTGCAACGCACTCTTGACCGCCACGAACCCGCCCTTGATGGCCTGCCAATCCGCCCTCGCCACGACTGCCTGCAACCGCTGCGCCTCCTCGACCTGGCCCGCCTGATACAACTTCATCACCTTCACACTCAACCTGGGGATCAGGTTCGCCACGCCGCCAATCACTCCATGACCACCCGCCACCAAGGTCTGGAGCGTGAAATCCGCGGAGCCGCCAAAGGTCAAGAACCCCGGTTTGGCTTCCGCCGCAATGCGCGCCAGCTTGCCCGTGTTCCCGCACGTCAACTTCACGCCGACGATGTTGGGATGCTTCGCCAAGGCTAGGATATCGTCTGAGGAGAGGTCCAGGCCCGATGAGGCGCCGGGGAAATTGTATACCAGGACTGGGATGGGAGAGGCGGAGGCGACGAGCCAGAAGTGATTGAGAATGTCTTCGGTGGACAGCAAGGACTTGTAGTAGGAGGGAGGGAGGATGAGGGCGTAGTCGCCTCCGGCGGCTTCGGCATCTTTGCAGAGTTGGATGGTCTCGCGCGTGGAGGCGGCGCCGCAGCCGACGATGAGCGGGGTGGAGGGGGAGCGGTCATCGAGGGCGCGCCGGGTGGTGCTGGTGATCTGGTCGCGTTCCTCACGGCTCAGGTGGACGGCTTCACCGTTGCTGCCTTGGACGACAATGCCGGTGACACCGGCTTGGATCAGGTAGGTGGCGTGGAGAGCGGTGGTGGCGAGGTCGACATCTTCGCTGTGCGCATCGAAAAAGGCCACGGTAGGGACGTAAATGCCGGGTTTGAGGGGGCGATGAACGATTGCCAACATTGTGGAGGAGGTGATTGGCTTGGTGGTTAGTCGGGGTGGAAGTATAGTGAGATGGTGGGGAAGGGGATGATGGGATGGATGCGGGGAGAGGGACTACAGAAGAAAGGCAATGAGGACGCCATGGTCATGATATAAGAAACCACAGGCCCTTGGAATGGAGATCGGAGTTCGAGCCGTTGACTCCATCCAAATGATGAGCCCCGAGGCAACCCCCACGCACCCCACACGCCCTTTGCAGCGATTCCCCCCATGGCCACGCCTCCATCTTCCACCCCCACGTTTTACAGGGAGCAGAGTTGCAGAAGAATGATCATTCGGAGAATTGGCCTTCGGAGAAATGGCGAGGATGGGTCAGACAGACTGACAGTCACCTACCGCGTCAGGAGGTGGAATTGGCTGCCGTGGGGAGAGCTGTTGCTGGAGCGAGAAGTTGTGGGGGAAGCTTGGAGGAAACCAAGGGGAGCATGTATGGTTCTGACAGATACCATACAGCATTACATACCTTGCCCTCCCGTACGGGGGTTTCCGCGTTACCAGTTACAGTTACCAGTTACCGACGAGCAAGTATCGAGTAACGAGTATCGAAGTAACTCTCGTATCGACTTCACTGCACCTCCCAATCCGGACATCCAGCGTGCAGCGGCCACGGCCAATTCCTCACTTCTGTCGACTCAATCCTCCGATCTCCTTCCCCCCCGACTGGCTCTGCTATGCCGTTGACGCATCCCTCCTGACTCCCCCACGCCCGCAATCCCTCGTTCTTCCATCCGAATGACCTCCACCACCCTGATGCCTGTCCGTGTCTCCTTGCGACGAGAATCCAACGTCCATCCCCCCGACCAGCTGGACCCGGAGCCTCCGGCCAAAAGGCCTCGCCTGCAGCACCCTTCGTCGCGTCGTCGCAAAAGCTCCCCGGACCTGCTCGATACCACCACCACCACCGAGAACTCGTCGTCGGCCGCCTCGCCCTACAAGCTCTCGCCCCATCCCCTGCGCCGGCGGACCTCGACGCGCCGCCCGCTGGCCAGCAATCCCACGGGCTCCCCGGCCACTCCCCGACCGGCCGACCGTCGCATCCTCCGCAATGAGACCCCCACCATTGCCCCCGCGTCGTTATATCTGCGTGGCGGTCGCGAATCACCCGATCCCCTAGACACCATTTCCCCGGCCGCAACCACCAAGTCCTCTGTCTCGCGGAGGTTGTCGCCCGCGGGACGACCCTCCGCCTCCGCCGCCGCCGCCGCTTCCTCCTCCGCCCGTCGTCCGCGTCGCTCAGCTCCGGCCACCGACCCCGATCTCGACCCGGTGACTCCTGTCAGTGCCCAGCAAGAAGCCAGCGCATTGTCAGCGTCCAATCCGTCTCAATCCTCCCACGAAGCAACCGCCCAGCAATCCACTCCAACAGAGCAGCCCTCCGCCGCGCGCGAGCAACGGCGCTCTCTCCGCTCCCACGATGGCGGCTCCCGCGCACGCAGCGAGCTGGCACAATACTTTCCCAACTACGAGGAACTCATCAGCCTGGAGCCCCCAAAGCCGGGTAATACAATGCTCATCTATCCCACTGGGATCTGGCTAACAAGCTACTGGGATAGAATTCCTCACCGGAAGTACCACCATCAAACTCATCGACGACCTCCCCGAACCCCTCATCCCATCCTCCGATCCCGACATAGACACCGATACACCCTTCGGAAATCCCCTGCTTAACCTTCACAACTGCGAAACCATCAGTCTTCCCGATCCTACATCTCTCTCCCAGTCCGATACCACCACTACTGAATCTTCCTCCACCGCGATCGACCCCCTCAGCGAAGAAATCTACTTTCGTCCGCATCGGCGCAACGAACGTCAAGAAAAGCAACTCCGCAATATTGAGCGCGACCACAACCAGTACGAGAAACAAAAGCTCGACCGTCTTCTCGATGACCTCCAAGGCCATGACTGGCTCCGTCCCATGGGCATCACGGGGCACATCACCGACCAAGAGCGCAAACACTACGAGACCAAACGCGCCCACTTCATCCAGGAGATTTCGGCCGTGCTCCAGAAATTCAAGATTTGGAAAGAAGAAGAAAAGCGCCGCAAGCTAGAAAAGGACAACAAGCTCATTGAGGAAGAAAACAAAGACCACACTCCGGAGACCAACGACGAGGAAGGCGACGATGGCGACAACAACAACGGCGTCACCACCCTCTCCGATGTCCAAAGCTACGGCGGTGACCCGCCCGATCCAAATGACGTGGACGCCTGGGCCGCAAGACAACTACATCAGGAAGCGCGATCAGCTACCACAAATCCCACCAGCACAACAGGCAAGAAATCCAAGCCCTCCACATCCAAGAAACCCTCCTCGACCACCATGCCCCCACCCCCGGCGCCCGTCCCTCATCTCCCCCCTCTCCCCCTCGAACCGGAAAAACCATTCACATCCTTCTTCTCGAAACCCCATCTCCGCGAACTAGCCCTGTCCTCCACCAACCGCAAAGGCCGAACGCGTCTCGCCTTCGGCCACGCGCTCCCCGACATGGACGAGCGGGAATTCGAACTCCCTGCCGAGATTCTCACCCCAGAGGCTATCGATTCATGTCGACGAAAGAGACGCCGAATGAAGCGGGCTAGTCGGGGAGACACGGAGACCGGGTAGTCCGGAATAGCATCTGAATCGGGAATGGACGTCATAAGACCAAGAGTATTGTAATCTTATTCTTATTCTTTTCCTTACCTTTATTTCTTCTATGTCTTTCCAATCGAGCGGAGTGTGTTTATATACCATTTTTTATCGTCATCATTATCATTCATCTTCTTCTAGGATCATCTTCATACCTTTCTCTTTTATATTACAAAGGACTGGAGTAGTAGAAATGGGCATTGTAATTCTATCATTCCTCTCTTTTCTCTACTAACCCCTTTTTTTTTGTTTTATTCTCCTTAGGTCGAGCGAGAGGAGCCGAAGAAGGTGTTTATTTACCATTTTTACTAAGTTATTATCATTATAATTCTTATTCTTCTTCTTCTTGGCTCATCATTTTCCATCGTCATCGTCATTATAACCTTCATTATTTTGATTATTTCTTTAGATGGTGGTGTTGTGATAGAGATTCTCGCTCCAAGGTATGGAATGGAGTCTGTCTGGTTCGGGTCTATCGACCTGTGCATGTGCACGGGTTCTTTGCGGGTTCGGGAGTTAGTAAGTAAGTAGTCGGCTGGTTTAGTGGGTGGTTGTGGGAGGTGAGATGAGGCATAGAGTGTTGGTTGGGGTGACTTGTACTAAGTCTCTTGTCATGTGTTGCAGTACCATGGTATAGACGATGATGTTATCCTGGGTTGAGCTATCAATGGCCGTAGATGCGCATGATGTATGTACAACTTTATATACAACTGAAGATGCCATCTGGCTTTGTATAGGGTGCCACCGGTGCTGCCGGTATACTCATATCATGTGGCAGGCAGGGAATGAAGATGAAGAAGAAGAACACCGTGCGCCAGAATTTCCCACCGCGCTGGGAAGAAGAATCAGATGAGATGTACAGAACCAGAAAAGAGGAAGAAAAGAAGAAAAAGCGTCAAGCATTATTTACACAGGAGAAACTGGCATCGCTGGGGTTGTCGTGGATGGCTTTGCCGGAGACGTAGAGCCCGAGACCGCACTATCCATGTGAGTTAGATTAGAAGCGCAAGGGTGGAGAGGGAACGTACCAGACAACCACCGACTCCAATCGCTACCAAGTTCACCGTCGTCAGGGCAATCTTTCCTGGAGACGCAAACCAGCGCCCCCGGTTCATGAAGAACCAGAATATCCCGCTGAGGCCGTATGTGAACCAACTGGCGAAGAGGGCAGTCTGTGCACTGTTAGTGTTTGTGCTTTCTCAGGTGGATTGGGGTGTGACATACAACCAAGCTCAACAAGCTGGTGAATACTGGAATGGCTTCCGCAATAATCCAGGCCACTACCCACAGTCCCAGAGCAATCCCGGCCCAGGAGCCAACAGCCACCCAGCTGCGCTTGTGCATGTGGTCGGTGCCGCGGAAAATGCGAACATAGACTGCTTTTGAGGCCACATGTCCGTTGATGACCCCAGCGATGATGATCTGTACGTTATTAATCGCGCATTCACAGATGCATACTGATTCGCTCACCGTTGGAAGGGCAATGCCGTAGGCGACCTTGGACACAACTGGGCTGGCAGAACCCAGCGCAGGAGAAGTAACGGTAGAGCCTCCGTAGCAGTAGATCACGATGGCTGCAACAATGTAAAGAGTAATATCGATACTCTGAAGCAGCACCAAAGCCTTAGGAAAGTCGACGGGATTCTTCAACTCGGCTGCCAGGCCAAAGAACGCCGCGTGTCCAGCTATCCCCATCAGTACGAAATAGATTTCTCTTCCAGGCGTATACTTACAAAATGCAAAGACAATATTAGCCACAGCAGTGAATCCGTGATACAGATTCGTGTTAACAGTCGCTTGAACCACCTCTCCCGGGTGGGTAATGCCCACACCAATCATGGTGACGATCACGGCGGACAAGATGCTGATGAATGCTGTCTCTCGTCAGCAGCCGTTCAAGAAATGTATGATTCATATATCTTACAAACCAGCGAGAGCCAGGACATCTTGGCCAGAGTGCGCGGCAGGGTACACCCATAAGACACGATCAATCCCACAATCCCAAAAACGATGGAGCACGTCCCATGGTTCGTGATGTCGTTCATGGCAATCGTAAAGGTCAGCAAATGGCTGGCCATGATGAAGACGAGGAACACGATCTGGCCCGCCCCCAACAGCTCGCGGCCAAACCGACCGGCAAGCACCTCCCCGGCATCGGCCATGTTGCAGACCTGCGGATACCTCCACTTGAACTGACCGATCACATAGCCGGTGTAGGTGGCTAGGCCGCCTAGGGACACCAGGATGACCACCGAGCTGGGTGGTGATGTCAGCGAGGGCATCTCGAGTGAGGTAACATCATTGCACCTACGGGACTAGACCCAAGCCGGCGACAGCAGCGGGCAGGGACAACACGCCCAACGACACCGTCTCGGCCACCATGAGGAGGCCGCACTGCCTGGAGGGACATCAGAAACAATCATACCCTTGGTCGCGGACAATGGCTTGCGTACCACCACTTGAGGACCTTGTATTTGACCTCTGCGAACTCTTCATCTCCAAAAGGGTCCTGCTGGGTCGGACAACCGAGGTCTTTTTTCTCATCCGCCAGCGAGCTGTGTTCGGCAACCCCTTCTTTCCCTTGCAAAACCTCCAGGTCGACAGCAGTGGGAGGCGCCGAATGGACCTCGGGAGATCTCATGATGGCGAGGTATCCGGTTAATCCAGATGGTAGAAGGGAGTGCTGAAGTCGTACCCAAGCTCGTGCAATGGGAAGCGAGCAAGGCCCTCCGTCGACCTGATTGATATATGGGAAAAGGCAGGGAGAAACCGCAGGAGGGAAATGGGGAGTGAGAAGACTCCCCGGCGAGCAGAGTTAAAGAGACATGAGCCCAGATGGTTGGATTGCGTTATTGGCGTGGTCCTGCACGACCTTCAATCCCGCATCGTTTGGAGTCTTCAGGATGTCGCATGCATCCAGTGGGTCCGCCGAGGGAGCAATCAACGACGTAACCCAGGCCAGATTCCGGAGAAGAACCGGATGGACCATGGCTTTTTCCCAGTCTGCAGAACTCTGATAACTCTAATCTGTGTTAGCCTCCCGCGAATCCACCCTCGTGAGCATTCCTATCTTTGGTTGTAGATAGATACACCCAGGTGTATACTTCAATCGCGTATACATCGGGCTGTGGACCACCGGGTTTACCCTTCATCGACACAGGAGCAAACCCACGCCATTGTCAAACATCGAGGATAATGGAACCCTCTCCTCGAATGGCATCGCAGACGCATCACCGACAGATGGACGGGGTACTCCTACCCCGCCCTTGAAGTTGAGGGATTTTTTCCAGGCGGCAGGAATGCCAAGGCCCACCGCGGGCCCGGCGGAGGAATTCAACGTTACATCCCGGCTCCCAGCCAATTAGGAGGCTCGCGCATCCGGACGCATGCGAAGCCTAGAGGTACTGACTACCTACCTAGTAACTAGTTAGTTAACTACGGCGTGTTCTTCTTATCTAATCCCTCGTGATTCTGGGGAGCTGTCCTGTTGAAGGCTAGGCAAGTCGGACCTGTCTAGCAAGTCAGTGGTGTTACGTTTTGGCACATGCGTCCCTACAATCCGCCGTAGTCAGTTCGTTCACTTACCCCGCGAGTTCTTTTCTTCGAAACAACACACGCATCGCTTGGAAGATCACCATCATGGGGGCCCTCCCGGACAGTGCTCTAAGCTACTATGCAAAGGTCACTCCTCAGCGTCCCCAAGATGCAAATCCTTAGTCTAACAGGAGAACTCCCAGAATCCGGAGGCAACGTTTACTGAATACCTGGCCGAGGTCATGGCCGGCCTCTCCCAGGTGAAATTCACGGATTCGCTCCGTGGACAAGATAACCTCATTGTCCCGCTGGTTCAAATCGAGTCGGCAACCAATCTGGCTCCCCACGGACTGGGTGGTAATTGGATATTACAAGTGTCCGAAACCACGGTTCTGAAAGTCGGCTGGAGAGTTACCATGCCTGAAGCGGAAGCATTGATCCTCCTCGCCGCGAAAACAATTGTGCCAGTGCCAACGGTCCTCAGTGCGTACATGATAGGGGATGTAGGCTTCATTCTCATGACCAAGATCGAGGGCGGATTGCTTGCCTCGTGCTTGGACACCATGTCTCGTGAGGAACTGCAGGGTATTGCACGTCAATTGAAGTCCTATATTCTCGAATGGCGGGAGCTGCGCAGTTCCTTCTTGGGCACGGTGACGGGCGGGCCGTGTCAGGATATTCTCTTCAGGCACCCATGGGACTACAAGTCTACCAAACAGTATGGACCTTTCCATTTCTTCACGCAGTACAGATATGCTGTTGTGGAAGCCCTCCGGCTGTCAAGACCTGAAGGGGTCTGGTATGAGAAAGAGGAGAAGCTCAAGGAGAGGATTCTGTCTTTTGGTGATGAGAGAACTACTCCTATTCTAGGAGTTATGACGCATGGCGACTTACATCCAGGCAATATCTTTATCAAGGACGGGGGGGTTAGTGGGATAATAGATTGGGGTGAAGCTGGGTACTCGCTTCCAGAGAGGGAGTCCTTTGCTGCTAATCGGATTGCTATGGATCCAGCCTGGGTTGAAATGATTCACGCCTGCATTCCTTCTTTCCCGGAGGAAAACGAGCTGTGGGATGAAGTCGACCGGTCCATGATGCGATATTCTCCTCTATAGCAGCCTTCATCTCCCATTCAAAGACAACCAGTCGCCACTAACCTCGTTCTTGATGACCAGCGTTGCCTTGCCAACTCTCGATGACCAAGTCTGAGTCGTTCCCTCCGAGACCAGCTCCTCTACCTCCAATGCGACCAATCCATCTATCACCCAATCCTGACAGTTCTTCGCCCCGCCCCTTGGTGGCGGTACCTCGGACTCCAAGATCCGTGCCACCTTGGTGTACTCTTCCCTAGTAAGGTCTCTGATTTTGCACACGCCCCACGCATTTTGCGACGCCAGCAGGTGTGGAATCCGAGGCTCGAATTGGAATAAGTTGAGGCTTTCGTCAATGACCCTAACATGTAGAAGATCACCCATCGTGCTCGGTGGCTGATAGATGACGAATCCCCAATGGGCAGGCTCAGAGGTACCTGGGACGAAGATTGTCACACCAAATCGATAGGTCAGGTTTGTATGCGAAGGGTCGGGTACAGGGAATATCCGGTCACTGCAGGCGTTTGCTCGATGTGGCTATATAGGGATACCTATTAGTAGAGTTGCTTTCTAAAGGGGAAAGAAGGTAGATGGTTGCATACAGTTCTCTGGTAGAAAGAAAAAGATGGTCTGCTTTTGCTGTAATACTGACTTGAGCAGGTGGATGGGATCTATTTATGCTTCTCATCATGGTATCACATCTCCATTGATCAACCATCATGGCCGCTGGCTAAGCGCCTTGGTCAGCCATGTTCGGAGGTTGATATTCACTGAGTTGCCGCCGCCTCTCCATGTTCCCAGTTCGTGCATAGAATTGTTTAAAGCGCTGAGGGGTCATTCCGTATCTCCTATCTTAGTCGTTTCAAGGCTATGCAGCTCTGGTCACCATTATTGACTTTATTGGCTGTGGAGGACGGTTCTGAGATATTGATAGAGCTTCACGCATCGGAGTTGGTTTTGGTTTGTAGCCGCACGTCTACTGTGATCCAATCGTAACCCTACTCTGACGATGTTGTCCTTGGTCATTGGCGCCAGAAGCGCCAACCCGTTCATTCGAGGATGTTTTCAGCAGTTTCAACTAGATCATAGTGGTGGGCAAGGGGGCGAGTTCGAGGGATTGAGCCGCCCAGTTAATTTATCTGGTTTGTAGGCGCTGGAGCGAACTCCCAATCATGTCCTTGTCCCTTGATCGTGGTAGCTATTGATAGTACACCCCGGCCAGCCTTGACGGTAGGTCGTTAGTTGATAGATGCCTCTGATCTAGCAGAAAGTATAGAAACGCCGCGTCCTGCCGACATTGACTCCCAGCTTGTTCAATTGGCTACCTGCAAACTGTCAACGTATGCTTGAACTTTCGTGTAGCATCCCCATAGTAGCAGGTAGGGTCACTCCCTAAGTGAGCGGCTGTAAGAGAGGACTATCTATCTTCCAGGCTGACCAAAGCCCAGATATAGAGGTGTATCGTCACACAGCAACAGAATGCCACCAATTCGCAGAACCAACCCTTGCGGGCTCCGTGTAAAGAGCATCTACACACAGGCATCAAGTCTGATAGGCACGAGCATGCTGATTGACACAAGGGCAACAGGTCAAGCGGCCCGGTTCTCCGATACCGATGGAGGAAGGTCCATCCTGGCGCTAGAAAACCTGAGTCAGCAGCTGGCAGACCTTCCCGAATAGGCAAATCGAGACGCCAGCCAGGCAGTGCCCCGTTCCACTCCTCTTCAAGTTCCATCAAGACCAAGTAAGCACCTGACCTCGGCGCGCTGCAAGTCACATCTGCACGGTGCAAAGCACCAAGCACGTTCGCAGCTCGAAATGGAACTCAGGGTTCAGACCTGAGATCGACAGGTCCTAAGCGATGAGGTCTCTCACCGACAGGTGGATGGCCCATCCGCGCCGCCCCTCGCTTGAACTTCGGGCTTACCCCACCATCAGCTGGGGTATTCTAGCCTAGCCGCGATTACCTGCTGGGGGCATGAGTGGTTCTTTTTGCTTTGACCGTGCCAAGGGATTACGGGTCGCGTTCATATATAAGTGTCTACTACTCGAGAGTCCTACCGTCGCTCCCTCAGACAACCTCAACTGTCCAGGCAACAAAATGGGCGACAACAGAGATGCTGAGCATGGCAACCACATCCAGAATGAGGCGTACCCAGCTACAGAGTCGACATCCCTCCTCTCGAAGCCGAAGAGCGTGGGAGAGGTCAAGAGCAAAATTCTCGCCACGAATTATGCTGCTTTCGTGGCCGGACTTAACGGTATGCTTGCCCGCCACCCAGACACCCTCGAGGTAAATCGAAGCTGATGGCAAGATGGTACTTTGTTGAAGATGCCGCCTTGGGCGTTCTGATTCCTTACATTCAGCCGACCTATAATGTTGGGCTTTTGCAGGTCTCCATGATCTACCTGGTCAACTTCATGGGCTGGCTTGTCGCCTGCTTCGCCAACATCCATGTGTGTTCATACCTAGGAACTGGTGGTACCCTGGTTTTCGGCGCAGCAATACAATGCTTTGGCTATGCCTTGATGTTTTGGAGCCCGCCGTTCCCCCTCTTCATGGCGGCATTCTTCTTCTCCGGCTGCGGTGTAGCGTTCCAAGATGCCCAAATGAACACGTTCACGATCACCGTCAAGGACGCCCATCGGTGGCTGGGTGTCTTGCATGCGGTGTACGGCGTCGGGACTATTATTGGCCCCTTGATCGCCAACACGATTGCCTCACAGATGCCGGTTTGGCATCACTATTACCTTGTCACCATGTTCCTCGCTGCGCTAAACATTGCGTCCCTGGCGTGGACATTTAGAAAGGGGCTTTTCCGTCCAAACGAGGGCAGTTCCAAAGAAACAGCCGGCAAGGAGCTCCGAGAGACGGTGGCAAACTGGACTGTTTGGATCTTCAACGGATTCTTCTTTTTGTATGTTGGTGCGGAGGTTACTGCTGGTGGTACGTATTCCCGGGGCCTGAGGGGGTTCACTGCTGATGTGTTCAGGCTGGCTCGTCCAATTCCTCGTTTCGGTGAGAAACGGTGACCCCAAGAAGGTAGGCTATATCGCCTCAGGCTTCTGGACCGGCTTCACCCTGGGCCGGGTCGCTTTGGCAGACATTACGCATCGCCTAGGTGAACGACGGATGGTGTTCGTTTATATTACGTTGGCTTTGGCGATGCAGTTGTTGTTCTGGCTGGTCCCAAACATTACTGTCAATGCAGTTACGGTGTGCTTTTTGGGTGAGTGTTGCATTCTCACTCGGTTGGGGAGAGACAAGGTAAAATCAGTTGTATGAAGACTGACGGATGATATAGGTTTCTTTATTGGTCCATTCTATCCAGTTGGACTCTATGTCCTCACCAAGGTCATCCCGCAAGAGCTTCACGTTGGAGCTATGGGTGAGTATCTAATCTCCGAGGTGTGAAAGTCCATGCTGATGATCAATAGGTTTCACTGCGAGTCTTGGACAGGCTGGGTCGGCGGCCTTTCCTTTCATGACAGGAGCGATCGCCTCCCAAGCTGGAGTTCAGGTTCTGCAGCCCATCATGGTGGGACTGCTCATTGGGATTGCCTTCTTCTGGTCTTTGGTCCCTAGGCAGAGGCGGGTCACGCTCGAGTAGGTGCATAAGCCAGCGTGGCGCTAGACATAGCCCCATATATCGATAGACACATCAAGAGGATTGAGTGTAGTCCATGAGCTGTGAGGATTTATCCATAGGAAACAAGCTGCTTCTGTAAGCCCCTTCTTCGGACAAATTCGGTCGACTTGAGACAGCAATGTACGTTCGTAAGCCGACTATCAACACCATCTTTGGTGAGTTTCAGATGAGACGGCAGATGGTGGACATCAGTGTCAAGCTGATGGTCCTTAATGACGCCACTGATGATATAAGATACCACCAATCACTTGGCCTTGACTTGATATGGGCAGCCCTAATTGGACAGAGTCAGCCGTAGAACTTAAACCCAATTCTAACAATAACAAGCAGCAGAAAGAACCTCAGAGAGAAGATTAAGTCGACATAGCCTTACACATCCGCAGATGGTATGGCGCTCCGACTAAGGATGACTGATACGATGTTTTCATCATAGGTGAAGGGCAGAAAGCATAGAACAAATTTCGAACTCACCGGGCTGGAGGCCGAACAGCGCCCAAATACACCCACCCCAAGGGTGGATATGGAACGCCTGACAGATGGCTTCCGCATAGATAGGTACGCAATCACCAACCCCCCACCTCAATCATCATACGAGATGATCCTCCTCCCGGGGAACTGCGGCGCACGTCTCGAACTCGAACTCGAACCCGAAGTATCCCCATATGACCGAGACGGAACAGAATCACCATCCCCGTAATCCATAGGAGTATCTTCCTCCACCCGGGTCTGAGGTGGGTGTTGGGCTTCCTGGGCAGCGCTGCTAGGCGCCACCATCACTGTCGCTGTCAACAGAGTAACACTCTCAACACCCTCCGCATCTGCATCTGCATCTGCAGCTGCAGCTGGATTCACATCACCCGCAACTCTCAACCTCTTACGCTCCCTCTCCGCCTCAGCTTCCGCTTCAGCCCTCATCTCCGCTTCCTCCTCCTCCCGCAACTCCTTCTCCCTCAATAACGCATGAATCTCACTATGTCTGAAGATGCGGATTTGTTCGTCCGTGAGAGTACGTTTTATGCCGTCGGGGTAGTAGCCCAAGCCATCATCATCATCTTCTTCTGCTTCTTCCTCGTAGTGGTAGTATTCTTCTTCTTGTTGGTGTTGTTGGTGGTGTTGTGGTTGTTGTTGGTTTGGATGTTCGAGGGTGTCTGTCAGGGGTTGTGTGGGGTACGCGCTTCCTGGGAAATGTTTTGCTTGGAAGGTTTGGAGGTCTTCCTGTGGGGGTTAGATTTGGTTATTATCTTTGGGGAGGGGGGGGGGTTGTACCAGTGTGACAGGGGGTGGGGATATTGTGGACATTTTGGTGGTTTGGGAGGTAGGTAGTGAGGAGTGTTTGGACTTGCAAGATGGTGTGGTGAGGTGGTTTAGCTACGCGTGCGTGTGTATTGTGATTTGTGACGTGCCTGGCGGGTCGGGGTGGTGGTGGTGGTATCGTTTTGTATCGAGGGGTGTGTAATTTACGGGGTTATGTATGATGTTTATACTATCTTCCACCAGATATTGGGAATGGAGTAGAGGCAGACGAGCGAGGTTGTTATTATTAGGGCTGTTTTGGCTCATGTATAGCTATTTACTACTACTCATCGCTGTTTTATTTGTCTATTCGTGTTGAGATTATTGAAGACATTGTGTTCATTGTCCGGCTTGAAAGCTCTCTTTTCCTATTGTACGGCTGTAATAACGTTGAATGAGCCATCAGAGAACAATAGCTCATCGAACAGCCATTGTCGGGGCTACATAGCCTTTGATTGCTCACCCATGTCATCAAGGTTTTATACATAGTTTCGGGTAAGAGAGAATAGGGAGTGCATCTAATTGTATGTGGCTAGTTATTAGATATATGACTGGCTTTGTAATTGTTTGGCGATCTATCGCTGAACTATAGATAGTTTATCGCTTGCTGGCTTGTGTACTGACAGGGATGAATCGGATTGTTGGACAATTCGGAATACGAGAAATATTCTAGCTGGGTTGCACTGCATTGGGCACTCAACTGCTTTGGTAAGATGGTACTTCTAGCCTTCACTGTCGCTGTTTTGTTACTGAAGGAAAACAAGAGAACAGTCTGCGGAATGTAGAGCATTGCCAGCGAATCAAGAGGCCAATAACCCAATAAACACCACACCTTACTTGCAATATTGAGATGACGTTGTATACAAGCCCGTATGTACAACTCTATGTAGATAATCCTCTAGTACCCTCCAACAAGGGGATACTTGAGACATTATTTCCGATCTTCACCTTTACGCAATCAAATCGAATACTCAACCCCCGTACCTTTTGCAAATCGATACTTACAATCCGCTCCCTCTCTTCGGACGATGGGCCCGTCAAACTCCAGGCCAGCGAAACATGGAAGCAGTGCGAATAGTCGCTTCCGGTCTGGCCAGTCCCCCGGCTCCCCTGTGGCTGTGCTGGGCTTTTTGACTTCAGCACTGCCGCCACATCCTGTGATGACTCGTATAGCGGAGGCTGCCCAAACCGAGCAAGCGATCGATTCGAGAGTCGAAGAAGGCGGTTCAAACTATCCGCCTCGGGCTTGTCTGCACGCAGGACGTAAAACCACCGTGTCTTCTCGTAATTGGAGACACAGTCTAGACTTTGTGTCGTGACGTCGAACCTTATTTGTCTTGTCAGTACATATGCTACTAAAAATAAACAAGAAGGCAAAAACTCACGCTGGTATGGATGACTCCCTCAGTGCGGACTGGAAGTCCTCTAAGAATGGTTGCCTCTGTTCTGTTCTCAGCACCACCGGTCTAGACAGACTGATGTGGAGTGGCAGCTGCGCGCCAAGGTCACTATGCAGTAGGCTGTGGAGCTGGGTTGTGCTGTCATCGAGCCTGTCGTTGATCTGATCTATGACATCTCTAAGAATAGAAAGTTCTGCTTTGGATGGATACCCTGTTTGTTACGGATGTTATTTCCAGCCTTGGAACCGTCCATGGATGACACATACACTCTAAGTAAAGGTGGGTCGGCCAGTTCCCTTCGACATGTGGTATGACTCTTTTCCGGCCTCCGTGAAGACTGGGATCGTCCCTCACGCTGACGCGAGTGCTGGAGGCGTAGAGGTCGTGGAAAGCTGCGGGTAATGGTGGGAGGGAGGAGGGTTGATTGCTGGTCTGTCGGGGCCTTTTTACTAGACGCTGGGGTGACTCAGTTTCTGACTCGGATTCCGACTCAGAGTATTGCACCAAAGCCATCACAAGTTCGAGGCTTTCGTCGAAGTGGCATCCAGAAGAGGTGTGGTAGTAAATTGTTGTCTCGGCGGGTCGGATGGTGGATCCATCTGGTGGTATTGGTATTACGGGTAGGGTAGGGCTGCCAAGGTTCACCAGTTGGAACTTGGCAGGGGTCCTGGATCTTGTGGAATGTGGGTTCTTGCGAAATGACAGGATATTCATGGAATATTAAGTAGGGGTTTACTATACGTCAAATGCTGCTATTGTACGGAGTAATCATGTCTTATTTTGTGTAAAGGGACAGTTGGAATATAAGACCAATTGAGTATATAGGTCTGGGTCTCGACTTACTTTCTTGAAGAATCACTCATTAATAACGTAAATCAGGAGGCCTTGGAAAGATGAATACCATCAGTAGAATAGACATGGGTGTGAGACAATGAAAATTTCTTCACAGCTTGTCTATGTCACCTTGCAATGGTTGCTCGGGATACTTTCCATGGATGGATGCAAGCTTTTCAAGAAAGAAGAACAGATGAATGTCCCTGGGCCGGGAATGTAGTATTAAAGCACTCGAGCAGGTACTTCTTGTCAGGAACCTGCAAGTCCCTGGTTCCTGGGTGTAGAACAAATCTAGACCCTGTGTAACACAACACCCATGCATCGGTCGCCCATGCAGACCGTCCAAGCTGACATGCGATGCGGACCATGAGATTATTTTGTCCGTCCACGAGTGTAACAGCCCGTTGAAGGCCCTGTGGAAGCATGCAGGCTATGATTGGCAGCGCCGGTATTTCTGGCGCGTGCTTTTAGTCGCATACCAAGACTTGTTTCAACTGTTGGACTAACCGGGCTAGATTAGACCAGCCGTTGACGCTATCGTTGTCACTAACGATAAGCTTAACATTGGCCCGGCTTGCTCATTAAGCCGCAACGCAGGACGTGCTACAGGTACACCCGCTACTGGCAGAACCTGTTCTCCCAAGTGATGTAAATCTGAACGTCGGCAACGGTAGCAGTCAGCCGTGTTGGTTATGATGTCAAGACTCTGTGGATGTCGAGGTGGTGCAAGTGATTTAGTCAGCCGGCGGGTGGTGGCCCTGGGCATCCACAGCGTGACGACACAACGACAATCATGATGGCGATGATTGCCACCTAGGATCCACTGGCGTCGCCCAGGGACCTTCCAGAGGTTCCATGGTGGTCTAGTCGACAGCCTGGGCCATCTTGACTGGTCCTGAATCTAGACCGGGGGGGGTGCCTGGGGCCCGAGCCTTCCGTGTCGGTCATCCCATTTTTTCATCATCGAAAGACGATCCGATGCAACCGAACGGGTCTAGTCTTTCCGGGCCTATCCTGGCCCTAGCCTTCGAACAGGCCCGGAGGGCCTTATCGATAAGGCGATTCTGCCCACCCCCGGATCGCGTGGAAGGCAAAATGGACAAATGGAAATCATCATACGCTACTCGTCACGTCACGGCCCACCGTTCCTCGGTTGACGGCACTGGCACTGACACTGCGTTTGCATGACCTGCGATGACCTGTGCCCAAATTATAATGATGACTCGAACTATGACTCCTCTCGCTTTTTGGTCTCCTCGTCCTTTTCCTCTTCTCCCCTCCTTCTTCCTCTTCATCTTTCTCCACCATCTACAACTGTTACTGTCTTACTATTGTTCCACTGTTCGCTGTCTGGCATCCTCGTATTCACCACAGACCGCACCTTTCCCACGAGCAATACACACACAGACTTCCAACTCTATATTCAATACCCGACGACTTCACCGCTGCTAGCCCCACCACTATTTTGAGTTGGGGGCTGCATACGCAAGCAGTCACTAGTATCTGCTACTATTAAACGCCTACATACATTTATAGGGCACATCTGTGGTTCCTATATATACCCTCCATCTGTCTTCCAGCTTTGAGAGATCCTTTCTCTCCGTTTTCTTCTTCCAGCGTGTCCTTCTCCGGCATCCATTAGCAATGGCGTCCGCTGTTCTTCCGGCCTGTGCGACTTCTCACCAGTCCTCCTTCTCCCGGTATCCTCCTAATCTGATGGACATGGACGTGGAAATGGACAATCTTGCTCACTACCAACACTACCTCGCTCATTCCCCAACTCGGCGGTCGTTGAATCGCCAACGTTCTACGTCTTTCCCATCGGTTTACTACTCGGGCTCTCCTGAGCATCATCCGGTCGACCAACGACGGAGGAAGCAGAGTCCTGTCTCTCAGCACGGTCCTCGACGCCACCGCCATGGCAGCCCTTCTCGCCCCCAGCAGACCAGATACTCGCGGCACTCGATGCTGGTCAACCCGGATGTCATCGACCGTCTGGATAGCGCCAGTCTTTATCAGTACCACCATGAGGGGCCGTACGATGCTGTGTACGCGGAGAGGAACTACAATACCAAGCAGAGCCCGGTCGAGGCCGTCAAACACTCCAACGCAGAAGCCTTGAAGGCCACTCCGAAAGACAAAATCAGAGACTGCGTCGATAGTCACCGTCCCCTCGACGGTGTGGCGTTCTATCCTCCGGGTCACACAGACATGGAGGGCCGCACCTACGAATACGAGGAGGGCACGAACATGATGAACGACTATGGAAACTTTATGCGTTGTCCGGGTCAGGTAAGTCACGGATACCTTGTTCACCGTCCACAACGTGCTCTAACATCCTTCCAGAAATTCACCGATGAAGATTTCAAAAACGACCCCTTTTACAACATGCCCCATCCCAAGCCGTTCGCTTCTCTCCGAAAGGCGCTCAGTCTCCGCCGTCGCAAGCGCCGTGGAACTTCTTAAACATGTGCACGCGGGCTTCAGCTTATACGACCGTACCGCCGCGTATAATTACGGTCGACTCGGGTATAATATAAGGCAGCAGCGCCTTCGGAAACCTGCCACATACAGCGACTTTTTCGGCGTCTGGCTGTTATTATCTAGTTCTATATGTATTTTTACAATGTTTCCATTGCTACACCGGTCATGACTTCGGTGGAGACGGTATGACATGATGGGTCACGCTCGGAGTTGAGGCATGGAGTAACATTGGATGGGCGTTCATGGTGGCTAGCCTTGCTGGGAATTTATGTTGGGAATATTCATGTTTGGGTTTATATGTGCTAGGCCACTGTAGCTAGTTGGAACGTTATTGGATTTTGACACCGCTCATTGAAAGCGTAGCAGTAGGCGAAACTTGTAACCAGGGTGAACGTCTTACGGGGCCGCCTTGTGGTCGTACTCCAAGAAATATATTTATAGCCTCCTAGACTTGCATCCGACCTATCCAGCGCCATATACTTGCGTGCAGAATCGGTATGAGTTCACATCAAAGCGCGTTATCTTTACCCTTCTCCACCTGTGTCTTTACTCAGCGGAGGAAGAAAAGAGATCTGGTGTGTTGCGCAGGTTGTTGCACTGGGGCCGTGGCAGCCACCTCCGACGGCCCTGTAGGCTCCTGTAGGCTCCTGGCACCCCTTAATTTTACCAATCAGTCCATGCGATGTTCTCCCAACGTTGCCTAGTTGGCTGCGCGAGAAGGATGCTATCACCTGATCCGAGGATCTCCGGGTCTGTCGCATGGACACCCCATGACCCCAGAGCAGCACCGGGTCAATCTGTCACCGAATAACAAAGAGGATCAATCGATCTATCAATCACGACGCTAAACCTACCGTCTCCAGACGACAAAGCAGACGACCATGGTACGGGCAGGTGGGGAGAGGTTGAAACAGGGCCCTGGGCGCAAGGCGGCGGCGATAATCAGGCGGGCTCGATTTGATTACTATTGATGACTACTTGCGGATCATGCAACTCCGCGCCACCAAGGACAACTTGTCCACTTCGCGACGAGCATTCCTTGAATACGCAGTACTTTCCCCTCGTTCCACCTGGCCCATTGATCATATCGTTGGTTTTGCTTTTTCGCTGCGACTTGGGCTGTATCGATTTTGCTCAGGGAAATGTCATTTGGCCTGATCTAATCGACCGTTGACCAGGCCTCCCTGCCGTCGCTGATCTTCATGTGAAGGACCCTGTTTTGCTTACCAAGAATAGACCTTCGTTGTATACCTTCGCTTCATACATTTTATTTTCTCCCTGTCATACACTCCAACTCTTACTTTCGTTTCTCTTATTCGCTCCGCCGTTCCGGCTGATCCAAGATGCGCTCCGCAGCCAAATTTTTCTATTTGGCTGTCTTTGCCATGTCGAGGCTTTCCAATGCCGAGACCGGGTTGCACCATAACCAAGATAAGTGTGCGGTAAGTCGATACAACGCTCAGGCGTGTTCAGGTTGCAGATTGAGGAATGGACTTGGCTGATTCATGTTCGTCTTCTCCAGATTGACCCCTCCGCTATGGTGTCCGACGCTTGTGTCTCCTACGCCACCATCGATCATCTGAACGACCAGGTCTATAGCCTTCTCCAATCTATTACGCAAGAAACCGACTTCTTCTCATATTACCGTCTCAACCTTTTTAATAAAGTGTGTCCGTTTTGGTCCGATGCCAATAGCATGTGCGGGAACATTGCGTGCTCCGTGAACACAATCGAATCCGAAGAGGACATCCCGTTAACATGGCGCGCGGAGGAGCTAAGTAAACTCGAGGGCCCCAAAGCAGGTCATCCGGGCCGCAAGCTGCAAGAGGAGCGACCCAGTGACCGACCGCTTCAAGGAATGCTCGGAGAAAACGTTGGAGAGAGCTGTGTGGTGGAATATGACGATGAATGTGACCAACGGGACTATTGTGTTCCCGAGGACGAGGGCTCTGGCGGCAAGGGAGACTATGTCAGTCTCGTTGATAATCCAGAACGGTTCACGGGGTACGCCGGTATGGGCGCCCATCAAGTTTGGGACGCAATCTACCGTGAGAACTGTTTCCTCAAGCCGGTGCCCGAGCTATCCCCTGTTCCCCAGTTGGGTGGTCTTCAGGCCGTCAACGATTTTCGCAATGTGCTTCAGCAGGAGCTGAAGCGCCCGGACCTGCTCGACCTGGACAACGAATGTCTGGAGAAGCGGGTATTCCATCGCCTCATCAGTGGAATGCATGCATCTATCTCGACCCATCTTTGCTGGGATTATCTCAACCAGACGACGGGACAGTGGCATCCCAACCTACAGTGTTTCAAGGAACGGCTGCACGATCACCCAGAGCGCATCTCGAACCTGTACTTCAACTACGCGCTGGTCTCGCGGGCGGTGGCCAAGCTACAGAAGCACTTGCAGCACTACAACTACTGTGCTAGCGACCCGGTGCAGGATGCCGACACTAGGGAGAAGGTCTCGAAGTTGACTTCGACCTTGGCTGGGCGACACCAAATCTTCGACGAGAACATCATGTTCCAGGACCCCAGCGCTATTGGCTTGAAAGAAGACTTCCGGAACCGATTCCGCAACGTCAGCCGACTGATGGACTGTGTGGGATGCGACAAGTGCCGTCTATGGGGCAAGCTCCAAGTCAACGGATATGGAACCGCTCTGAAGGTACTGTTCGAGTACGACGAAACCAAGAACGGGGAGAATCCGTTGCTGCGTCGGACCGAATTGGTGGCACTGATCAACACCCTGGGCCGCATTTCCCACAGCATAGCAGCCGTCCGGAGTTTTCACCGGGCTATGGATGTGGGAGATGGTGAGGTTTTCACGATCCCCGCGAGCATTGCGCATAAGGAGCGTAGTGGCTCGAAGAAAACCAGGCGCCTCCTCAAGGACGGTGGTTCAACCTTCTACTACGAGGATGATGACGACGAGAACTTTGTTTATATCACCGAGAAACTCCCGTGGGAACAGGTCCGAGAACGCCGCGACACGGATACCGTCTGGGACGATATCAAGGCCGAATTCTCCATGGTATGGGACATCTACGTCTACGTGATGAAGAGCTGGATCAATGCCCCCAAGACCTTGTAAGTGATCGGACGTGGTGATGTTCATGGGCTCAAGTATGCTGACCTAGCTCTGCAGTTTCGAAATCGCCGTCCTTGAAGTCGCCCGTGTGTGGAACTATTGGCTGGGTCTTCCTGTGCCGCCACGGTCATGGAAGATCCAGCTTCCCAAGCGACCCACGCCCCCGAAACATGAGGAGCTATAAATCGAAAGACATGGTCATGTACACTAGCGTCATTGGGGGTTATCCTGTTACCGTTCTGTTTGGCCCGGCGTTGTTGATGCCTGCGAAGAGTTGCATCTTGGGAGTTCTGGGTGTATTAGATAGGCCGCTGTAAATTCTGGGTGGGCCGATAAGTGTGGTGATTTATTCTTGGATTTGACAATGATATCCCTCTCGAATCTTGTGATAACGGGACCTGGGTCTTATCTGCGGTGTAGCATAGCATAGGATTATCAACCGTCGGCAAGTGGGAGCCTCGGCAGATCCGGGCCACATGCGCCGCCGCCGACTTTTCTCCTCTTTTTGCGCCAGCTCCACCGCCTCCGGCTCCATCTCATCGTCTCCATCGCCCATTCCCATCCATTCATCCATTCCATCATCCATCGAGCTGTCTCCTGTTCCCCTCTTTTCTCCCCTCCCATTCCCCCCCTTTCCCCAGACGGCACTATCTTCCCCTCGCGCTATCCACGTTCTCGGTCTCACCCACTGACCTCCTCGTGGGGTCCATCTCCATGCGAGACTGTTGAGGTATTAACCCCTCCCGCATATCATGGCGTCCGTGTCGCCACCTAAACCGTGGGAGAGGGCAGGCGCTGCTGCTGGTATGTCGACAGCTATCCTGTCCTTCTTTCGTTCTTTCGTGCATCGTGATTGACATGTAATGCTCCAAGGGTCTTCTGCTTTGACAGCATCACCGGCAGCTACATCGACCGCCTCCGCGATGACGGCTACTTCGACCGCTCCGACCGCGGCCAGCACCTCGGCTCCCGGAGCCACCGCCTCTACATCCGCTGCCCCCGGTCTCCCTTCTCGCCCTGACTCCCTAAACACCGTTGTGAATCGCACCGCTTCGAATTACTCTCCGTACACAGCTTCGCGGTTTGGAGCCAATCCCTACGGCGGCTACGGGGCATACTCCTCCCCGTACTCTCGCTTCGGTACAATGGGTTCCATGTATGGGGGCTACGGAGGGTACGGAGGATATGGCGGCATGTATGGTGGCATGGGAGGAGGGATGTACGGTGGCGGGATGCCCGGTGATCCCAATGATCCCAACAGCTTGACGAACTCCTTCAGCCAAAGCACACAAGCTACCTTTCAAATGATCGAGAGTATTGTGGGTGCGTTTGGAGGATTCGCTCAGATGCTGGAGAGTACATACATGGCGACTCACAGCTCTTTCTTTGGTATGCTTATACCTGTCCCCCTCATTCATCGTCTATCTGCTAACGACCCCAGCCATGGTCTCGGTGGCAGAACAATTCGGCAACCTCCGCAACACCCTCGGCTCTGCCTTGGGCATCTTCACCCTGATCCGCTGGTTCAAGACCCTGATCGCGAAGATCACCGGTCGTCCCCCACCGGCTGATGCCACCGCTCTCACTCCGTCTGCCTTTGCAGCATTCCTGAGCGGTCGCTCCTCCCCCGCCACCCTGCCCGACGGCTCCCCCGCGCCTGCGAAGCCCTCCAAGAAGCCGTTCTTCATGTTCCTTATCGCCGTCTTCGGTCTTCCCTATTTGATGGGCAAGCTCATCAAGGCTCTTGCGCGGTCGCAAGAGGAACGCCGTCAGCTGATGATGGGTCCTAACGGCGAACCCTTGCAGCAGGGTCAGAGTGCACCGCTGGACCCCTCCAAGCTCGACTTCTGCCGCGTGATGTACGACTACACCCCGGAAGCCCAGGAGAGCTCCGGAATCGACCTCGCTGTGAAGAAGGGTGACATTGTCGCCGTCCTCAGCAAATCCGACCCGATGGGTAATGCCTCGGAGTGGTGGCGTTGCCGTGCTCGTGACGGCCGCGTCGGATACCTCCCAGGCCCGTATCTGGAGACCATCCAGCGCCGACCGCAGCAGCAGGCGATCACCTCCGGCAGCGAAGCTGGCAGTCGCAGCAACTCGATGCAGGCACGCGCATCCGAGGAAATCGCCACAGAGACCAAGAAGCCCGAGCTGAAGGGCAAGCTGGGCGATATCTCACCCGAGAGCTTCCAGAAGAGCGCCTTCTACTCATGAGGCCGGGAGAGACATTACCCATCCCCGCTCCTCCTCGCATATCTTTAGTATCATAGTTCGCTTTCGACGCACACTCCAGCTTAACTGCATGCATGTCTGTATGCTACGACCCACGACGCTCGTGGCAGGACCTAGGTTGACCGATTGATGACTACCTCGTTTCTTTTTTACCGTTTGTGACTATCTTATATTCTAGCGTTGGGTACAGGTATATGGGATATTTTTCTTTTCTTTTCTTTTCCTTTTTCTCATCAGGGTTTGCATTATCTGTTTCCGGTGCACGTTTCAGCGCAAAAGAAAGATTCCTATGTCTCTTCTTTCTTTCTTCTACTTCTTGTCTTCACGTCTTCTTATCTTCATGTTTACGCTGTGCACTGGGGACGAAATATATATTACATTACCTTATTCTTCTATCTCCTTTCCCTTTCTCTTTTGGATTGATTTCCGTTTACATAGGTTGATAGATAGGGTCAGGGTGGATCAAAAAAGAAGGGATGTTCATTACATCAGTGTCTTTGAGTATCACACTCTGGTAATACCTCCGTCTCGCCTCGCTTTGCCTCGCCTCACTTCGCCTCACCTCCTCTCCTATCAAGTGATCAATCGGCATCTACCTACCTATCTATCTGTCTATCATTCCATAGTAGTATACTATGTACCTAGCACCCACTTCCCTACTTAACTGCAGATACTCCCTATGGAAGGATGTATGTAATAAGTAACGACCCGCGAATAGGAACATCCCCATATCATGCCATGCCATGCCATGTCATGCCAGACTTACCCGCCTCGGCTTTATGACCCATTAGGTACTACTATGGACTAGGCTAGGTGGTAAGGCTGAGGAGGTGGATAGGTATGATGAAAGTAAGGCGTGATGGCGTGCCTAGTAAGGCATCAAAGGTCATTACTAACCATAGACGTGACGGCTAGTGGCTTCCCAGGAGGGCCGGACGCAGCATTAGTCAGTCTGTCCCAAGGCACTACGCTGGGCGAATGAGGGTACAGGGGAAGGAAGTACGGAGGTTTTAGCTTGCCTTACATCATCGTGCAGATCTGAGGCATATACGGAGGTTGCCATTGCTGGCGGGAAGGGGAGGCTAATTAATAGGATGGCGAGATGGATGGGTGATGGATGCTGGAGGGACGAGAAGAGGATAGTAGGTGCTCAGGTAGAGACCAGTTAAAGGGCGTTGCTGCCCAATGGCCCAATCCGTACTTTTGGAGGTCTACAGTGCTCGTTGTTAGGTGCATCGCGGCGCATTCATAGATCTAGTTGATCTGTAGATGAGGTCTAGTATATAGGAAATTGATGCGTCTAGATCAGGGGGTCATTCTGTCGTGCTCATTGGGCCGCCTTGATAAATGGGCTCACCAGGCAGGCCCGGACGAACCACTGAGGGGAGCACGATTGCAAATCTCGCCATGTCGTGGACGTGGAACGAGGGCGAGGATGCAGATGGCCAGATGCTCTAATATCTCGCCAGGGACGAAAGGGGCTAGCGCCCGCGGGCGACTGGATCGGCGCTGGCAGGAAGAGCGGCGGGCATCAAGGAATGCGAAACCACCGGTGCGCTTCGCCCCTCCCGATCTGCCATCCATCGTCTTCCGGCCATCTTAGCAAAGAGGACAAGGCGCACGCGCTCTGTGGTAGGCTCGACGGCCGCACCAGAGACAGTCAGCTCACTGCCCCCCTGCTTTCGTTTCCTCATTGGTCGTTCTTGGCAAGCCGAGTCCGGGGCGGATTTGTTTTCCAGAGCCTGTGGGCGGATGGCTATGGCCTTTTCTTTTTCCTCCCCCAGTCTTTGCCTCGCATTTGGGTCGTCATACTTGGTTTGGGCCCTTTCTTGCCCTTCAAGGACCCTGACCGTCTCCAGATGCGTAGATTGCAAAAAAAAAAATAAATCTATGTTAGTGGTGGAGCAGGAAAATCGAGGACTGGGTCCATAAATTGGCTTGGTCTGGAGGTCCGACCACAGCTGTACTACACTAAATGCAGGTGCCAATCGTCGTGGTTCGACTATTGATGCCTCCCTATTTGGACTCATCACGGATCGCTGCCGCCTGGGCTTGCCGACGGTAGAGTGATGCATGGTCGGAATATATCTTTATGTCACCCTCGATCGACAGCTATGACGCTTGCATATCGAATGGGCTTCTCGAAAAAGCATGATCGACAACCCTGGCGTTTCTGCACGCTTGCTTGGTTTTGCCCCCCAAAATCTTCTGCTGATGATCCGGCCTAGGAACCATCAACGGATAAGCAGCGACGGCCTAGTATCTACTGCATCATAGCGGTAGACACAAAAAAGCGGTTATCCTGTAACATCTCAGCGACCAACTGGCTGGTGGATTACCTTTGGCTTGCCAGACCAGTTCAAGGTGCAGCCAAGTTTTGGGGCCTGTTTGCAGTGAGTTTCAGCGACACGGCTATTATGAGCTTCACTCTCCAACAACCCTGCCATGTTCCCCCTCGACATCCGCCCGTTTCAAACGTAGTCAACATCCTTGGTTGAGTTTCATACCGGAGACTGGAGCAAAGGTTCGAGGGATGGGATCGTGATTCGCACGAGGGCAGCCGGCCAGTGGATGTAGGTAGGATAATGAGAAGACCGACCGTGACAACAGGTCGATTCACACCCTTGTTCGTGTCGACTGCGGAAACGACTCGATCCTGCACCATCCCCACATTTTCTTTGTGCCGAGGTCTTCAGGCGTCCCACTGTGCATCTTGGAAGCTGGTTGGGCATCGCAATATATGAGCTGTCGTAACATGGTCAGGCTCGAGGGTCTTCAAGCAGGATGCACTGAGGTACCCCACGGAGGACAGGCAGGTCACTAAAGTCACAGTGTCAGACAACGTATACCATCGACATACCGAGTGCACAGATGCCACCATAATTGGCTCCGTGGCCTTGCCTCTTTTTCTTAAGGGTATGTCACAACCTACATTAGACCGCTTTCCCAATATATTCAAGCCATGGATGCTCTATATAGTCGGCATTCTGTGAAATAGAAGAACGGAAGAAATAAAAGAAAACAAAGGGAAATGAGCTGGAATATTACAGAGGAATACCAAGTTGAGAAGGCGGTGATCAACTCGCCCTACCCAGGAACAGAAGGTATCAGAGTATATGGATGTTGACAAATTTCCCAGACTTCTTTCGTTCTCATCCAGGGTATCGATGTTTGATTGGCTTTCTCCTCTCCCTTTCACTGACCCGAGGGGCGAGGGTACTGGTCAGAATTCGAGGACTGGTGGCTTCGATCCTCAGCAGGGACAAATCTGGACATTGACTGGTCGAGAGTCCTCGAAAGCTTGAGGAGTTTCTCCTGGAACATCTCTAATGTCATCCAGCCGTCGGGACCTTGGAGTGCATCGGCCATTGGTTTCGTCAGATCGTTGGACACGGTTCCGGAAGAGACTGATAATGATCGTGTGCTTCCAATTTCCACATTACGGACTGGTTCCGGTTTATCATCATCTGTGTCACTTAGTTAACTAAACCCTCCAGTATCCGAGCCAGAAATCCTGAGAATAAAAACATAGACCCTGGTCAAGAACGAGGTGATGACAGAGATAGATTAATAGAAACGGGGCTCTCTCACGAAAATGTGATTTTGTTTCTGTTGGGGATAATGTCATTGCTCGTTCATCTGGTGGTGGAGTGAAATAGCTCATATCTGACGGTGTTTCTGGCGGCCAGCATGAGTAATTGAAGCAGTAGGAGGTCTAACTAGGGATAGCATACCTGGTTCGGGACTCGTGGTTTGCATCTGGCGAGGTTTTTGGATTTGCTGGATGTGTTGGACTTGTTGGATGATCTGATGACCCTGTGGACTGAGCTGGGGATCTTCGCGGGCGTTATTGGCTTCCATGTTTGAGCCATATCTACGGACGAATCGTGAGATACGCTTGGAGTCGACTTCTTGTCCCGCAACGCGGAAGGCGGTTTGTTTGCCACGAGCAGCTCGCTTCTGCTGCTTTCGGATCATAACATGGACTTCTTTGGCTTTGATGTTCTTTCGGACATGCCACGCAGCCAGGCGGTCCTTGTATTGCTTTTCTCTAGAAAGTTTGAATGTCAGGGGAACCCTATAACCATAATGATTCGTCCAGAAGCGGAAAAAAAGGAAGGCAGAAAAAGCAACACCAATAACAACGACGCACTGTCCTCTCCCTTTCCTGGAGTTGGAAAGAAGAAGCAGAAAATTCTGCAGAGGGACAAATAACGCCAGATAGTTAATGAGGGAGGGGATGACAAATACGGCACGCAGTGGGAAGGTGAGAAGAAAGGCAAGAATGGCAAGGGAATGGAAAGCTATACGAGGCAACAAAGTTATAGTCACGCTCCATGATCCGCTTCACATCGCGGAGTTTGAGCTGGTTGTCACGATAGAGATGCTCAATGTACGGGCGATACTCATTCCAGTCCTCGGATTTGCGGGGTCGGAAAACGGTTGAAGAAGAGGACGTTGTTGGAATGGTGGTGGTGGTGGTGGTGGTGGTAGTGGTGGATGACGGCGGCGGAATGGAACCATCCATCATGAATAGATCACTGGCTATTTCTCGTCAACCATACTCCGAAACGGCCCGGGACGTGAGAGTCGACTATGCAGAAGCTGGATGACACAGCATGTGACGAGGTAAAGTATAGACAGGAAGGTGGGGAGAAGGAGGAAGGAGAAAAGGGAAAAGGTGGGAAGGGCAAGGGGAAGGCGAAAGGGAACGGATGGGTTAATTGAAAAGCGGATGAGATGAGGTTCGAAAGTGAAGAAGAGGAGAAATGGGTATGTAGACGGAAAACCGTACGGAGAAGAAGCGTCGTCAACGGGGGGGAGGGGGGTTGTGTGTCAGAGAGCAGCAGCGGCAGAGGCAGAGGCAGCAGAAGCAGCCGCAACCCAAGTCGCTGTCTTGGTTGGAGATAGTCTTATTTTGCGGAGGGCGGGAATGGTGATGATATAGTTCGGGGGGGGGAATTTCACAGACGGCGAGACAGAGTAAGTCGAGTTAAGGCCAGTAGGAATGACAACCGCCAGTCAAGGCGATGGAATCAATAGCGATAATATCAGTCTCCAAGCCTGAAATCTGAATAGGAGTAGTAATGGCGACAGTAATAATAACAAGCATAATTATTATTATCGTCCTGATGGGTTAAATGGAAAATAATCAGACTAATCGATGAGGAGCGAGCAGATAGTACTACGGGGTATGCATGTAAGTAATGTACGTTGACTGACCGGCAAGCTGGATCTTCTCCTTCCAACCAAACGATGCCAACAAACAGAGGCCAGCAGCTTGGGAATGAAACATTGGGGAGGTCAAGTCAGTCATCGAACCCTGGCTGCCAAATTGGAAAACCGAGGCCTTTCAATGCGAAAAATTATGGGCTCCATGGGCTGAGGGAAGGGAGCGATAGAGAGAGAGAGCCCAGGGGAAAAAAAAGAAATAAAATACATCAAACAGGTGTTAATTGGGACCTGGAGGTAAGCCTCGATACCGCCGGCTGGAGAAGGTAGTAGTACTTCGTCCACTAGACGAGGATCCCACAGGGCAACCGGGTGGTTCGCCGCTGGGGTAAACCTAGTACGGGCGCTAAATAAAAGTACCGCTGCTGACTGGCAGGGCCAATAGCATCCGCCTACCCTTTGCGGCGACCTGCTGCTGAAAAGCCCGCGGAAGTCACTATCCTGGTTCCCGCGGGCCAATCACGGACCCTCTGAAGTGGTCCGTGTACTTTTGTCACGTTCTGTCTGCTGGTCCGTACGGAGTCCAGTTCACGGTTGGCTGTAAGTAATAAAAACAATGTTAATAATAAACCATAATAATCATCGCCATGCCTAGGCAGGCAGGCTCACAGTGGACACTAGCCTAGGCGTTACGAGGTACCTGCCTAGGCTATTCTAGTCAACCCCTTCGAAAGCTAAGACCTATTGCCCGAATAGTGCAGGTGTCGGTATCGTCAACGGGGAGTAACACTCGTACTTGTCCCAAGATCTGTTCTGTTCGAGGTGAGATAACAGAACCAGTAACACCGTACCTATTACAGAGAAACGACTGTCGGGGTGTAGTTGCGGTCATGAGATATCTGCCCATCTATCTATCCTGCCTGGAAGTGCGAGCGAGGTACCGGAAGCCGGGAAAATACTAGCCTGGAAAGCCCCTCTCGGAGGGATGTCTCCAGTGTTCTAACTTCAAAGCGTGCGATACCTTGGAGAATATTTCCACAATGACGCCATTGATGAATTTTGGCTATCCGCAACAAACGCCTAAACGGAGGATATCTTCTCTCTGGCGTAGAGAAAAATATTACTCAGGCGGTTCATGTTGAGAACCGTTTTGATGCTAACATGGAGCCAGCGCCTGGAGCGTCGAGGTCTTCAGTCAACGACCCATCCCAAGACCAAACTACTTGGAATTAAGTGGTCCCTTCATATAAAATCTGCGCCTTTTCTGCAGGTGCAGCACCTCGAAGGATCCGTCTAGCTCCAACGTATATATCCAAACCCCAGTCATACTTCCGCTGCATCTCCTAGTCCTAGGCTCCTAAGTCCGAACACTAAGGAACTCGTTCCTCGCAAGCTTGACAGGGGGTCGGTGGAGGATGCCTTCCTGTTCGCGCATCGCCGCAGGATCTGCTCGGGGTGGATTGCAGCATTCTGAAGAGCCTGGCAGCCAAATGAGCCGAAAGGGAAAGAGCGACGAAAATAAAAAGAAAAAAAGTCAACCCCCCGAGGGATGGGCCAACACTCACCTTGGTTCTCTGACAGCACTCCATTGACTGCGGCTGCGATTTTCTCTTTTGCTTGAGTTGGATTCGTGGATCTCCGGGACGGAACTCCCACACACGCGTCCGTGTCCTGAGGAGTGGGCTCATGACCCGATGTGGCAAAGTTGGATCATAGCAAGGATCAGAGGATGAGGCCTGAGCTCCCCCAAGCGAAACTTTCATTTCATGGCTGTGGCTTGGACACTACCCTGATCAGGGGGGAACGGAATCCGGGCCATGATTGTCCAGAAGGCTATCCCAATTCTTTCCGGTCGTTCGCTTTCTGGGCTCTGTGTGATGCGACCTGCTCTGGATCTTTGCTGCAAAAGTCTCCCAATATCCGGTTCTTCACGAGATCAACCTTGGTAAGATATTCAGCGACAGCTGGAACTTTCGGCCCGTCATGTTGGCGGTTCGGATCGGAGGTCCGCCCGTTTTCCCACCCAAAGTCTGACGGGGATGCAAAAAATACAAGAGGGAGCAGAGGTACGGTATTTACGACGGGGCGATGGTACGGAGGACGGCCTGTCCTCTTACCTGTTCCAGCTTACCGAGCCGGCCTGAGCACCACGCTGGCTCGGACACTGTCGCTGGTGTAGCTCCTGGTCATACAGTTACAATGGAAGCCGGGCGGTTGGCCTGGGACTCGACGAGGGCATTCAAAAAGTAAGTGGGATGGATTGTGTTCTTGATACTCTAACCGTTGTTTCTCTTCGGATGTCAGGGCTACACTCGGGTCGTTCCAAGTAGTGTCCCTCACTACTCCGTAGATCAGCCTCTGATCAACCTGGTTTCCCGTCGCCAACAGTGCATTGTATTCGCCACTAACACCCTCGGAAAACAATACAGTTTCTATCTCGATCAGTGTCTCACCATCTTTCATTGGACCCTTGAATATCGATGACATCAGATAGCCACCGCGAGCGCGAACGGTGGAAGCGCACACTGCCTTGGGCTATAAGTACATGAAGCCATGGCCACTGGCTCTGGGTACCTCATCTTTTGTACTGGTACAGCACTGGGAAAAAAGCACATTTCGCCATCGCGATCCCGATGCCCCGAGCTAAGTGCAGGATACTGATCCAGGCTATTGGAGCTCCGGCGCTGCGTACCGGCTTAGAACTAAACCAAGATGAAGCGCAGTCATCAGCTAACCTTCCAGCTAGGTGAGCCAGTTGCTTCGGGACTGACGAGAGCAGCCCAAGGTACTTTCGCAACCGTCCAAAACCTTGCTAATGGCGCATGCGTCTTCCTGTCCTGGTGATGCCTATCCTGTCCCTCTGATGTTATCACGGAGCGGCTAAGCTGAGGACAGTTATGGATGACGGATACTCGCTTTCTTATTAGAGTATGCTAGCCAACGGATTCAAGATTCATCGACTGGTGGTAGGGCGTCCAGCCAGCCACATCGTGCGGTGTAAGAGATGAGCCGGAGGAATGGTGTGAGAGCTTGCGCTGGATTGATCCATTGCCCCTGGCGGCTCACGTATACGAAGATTTCGTTGCCAACAGTCGATCCGGGGTTTCACATGCTGCGTCGATTGGCAGATCCCGAGAGCCGTCTGCACTGGAACCATGGCTAATCCGTCATCGTGTTGCTCTGCATGGGAAAACTAACCACTGGGCTCTGCGGAAGGGCCGAACTTCTAAACCTTCCGTCCAGTAGGGTAGGGATCTCTGCTCTAACGCCTTGGTTTCTTGTTGCCTGTCGGGCACACTCTTTGCAGGTGACTCGCGATTTACTCAAAATGCTTCCATGCATAGGCACTAGAAGGCCACGTCCAGTCGATCTTCGTTGTGCATCGTCTACAGCATCACTGATATCAACCAGGACGTCTTACCACCGACGGCCGGCCCTTGAGTACTAGCTCCCCTCTAACCACAATGAATCTCCCTCCATGTTGTATCTGTGTTACCTGACTAAATACCCAATACTGTACCATACGCAATCATTGAGGTTGTCTAGGTCGCATTGGAGGTCTGTCAATGTCAGGTAAGTAATTCATATTTCGTCCAATCCGTACCGATGGATCTTGCCCCCTCCAAGTTCAGCTGATGACCAAGTAAGTATTTTGCTTGTTTCTATTTTCTCCATGAAGCAAATGGCGAGAATAAAAAAGTAATGAGAGCACAGAGAAGCGACGAATAAGCCAATCGTGCCCTGTTGCGCTGGTTATCCGGAAAAGCGAAGCCGGGCAAAAGTACCAGCCAACCTACATGCATTCGCCCATACACCCCATACCACCACACGTACATCCCCGCCTATACCTAGCTGGGTAAGTACCTCCTTCGGTGCCTCTCGCATATCCTCCGCCTAAGTTTTAGGATCACGTAAGGGTTGAAACAAGCATGCACGACCCAATGCAATAATACTGCTCTGTTAATTTAACCGATGACTTACTTACCTTACACATATGCGGGAAGAAGGCAACCGGAACATACGGATATAACGTGCTTTGTCGCTCATCAGTCTCGTTCTTGCCGAAGCGTATCTTGAAATATTGTGATGCATATACGAAGTACTATGGTACAAGGTATGGGATATATTGAAATACATACATGGGGTTGGTGGAGGTAGTACCCTGTACCGTAGGAGGTAGGCGGGGAGACAAAGGTACGGGTTAGAAAAAGACCCATGGTACCTACTTAGTACCTGTAGGTAAGATCATAATAACAATTACTATTATAATAACGCCAATCATAACCATGAGACCTCCTGACCAGTAAACTCCTCATAATCTTAACATCCACCAGTAACGGTAGCAGAAACTACTCCTTGGTAGTACCTAGGCAGGTAGCTAGAGTCTTAGAGAACGTGATTTGCAGCGGGGCTAACCTACCTACCTACCCTTCCCTACCCTAGTACCTTGCCTACTTATAACTCTGGCGTAAAGTACTCCATAGTATGACAAGATACAGATACAAGTACAGATACAGATCCTGATACCCCGGTTTCGCGATCTATCTCCCATCCAGTCTCTACCATCTACTATTAACCGGGATCGAGCAACAGAGAAACAGATACTAAATACAAGATCCTACCAAAGTCTCCTCGAAGCAGAGAATTAAACCCCCAGAACTATCAAGGAACAAAGAACGGAAGAAAGAGGGGACAGACGCTAATGTCAGGCGTGAATAGTGCATCCGATTCCCGCGCGCGCCCGCCAGTCACTCTTTCATTGACTCCGACCTAGCCATCTATCTACCTTACTAGTACATAATGAGCTAATCGCATCAGGGTCGGTAATGGGAGGGACCTGGAACTGGGAGAAGAGGAGTAAGTAGGGTGGGTACTTGTCTTTGGCTAGTAGCTAAGGTAGAAGAGGGGATGGGATGGGATGGGAGGGGAAAAGGAATGGATGAATGGGTCGGACTAATTGACTAACCAACTAACTAGCTAACTAACTAAACAACTGAGTGTCGCGACCCCCGGTCCGTCCTATCCTCGTGTGGGTGGTATCTATCTAGTATCTAGTGTAGTATGTATCTAAGTACTTAGTGGCTCCCGGGGGCGGGCCGAATTCCCTTCCCTTCCGTTTCCTTTACCCTTTTTGACGTATAGGATCATCCCTGGGGTGTTATCTGTATGACATTGGGGCCGAAAGGAAAGACAGAGGGAAGGAGGGGAGGGGGGATCCCAGCGCCATGGATCCGCACAATGTCCGAATTATTGTGGCTGCAGGTTTTCTTTGTTTTCTTTGTTTTCGATCCCGCCGCGCGGCGGCGGCACCCTTTGGCGGGCTGTTCGGTTTGGCGTGCATGGATTACGCCTCGATCAGGATTGGAGCGCCGCCACGGTTGTTGTTGTTGTTGTTGCTGGTGGTGGTGGTGATGGTGATGGTGATGGTCGAAAGAAGCAATGAGGGTGAGACAGACAGGAAGGCAGAGGTGATAAGGCAAGGCAGGCAGGCAGGCAGGGCGTTGGGCCATGGTTTGTTCCATGTGGTCCACCGTCGCATCCAAGGATAGATACTTATCCTCGATCCGCCTGCAGTTCGCTTACAGGTTGAGGGTCAGGCCGTGTCAGGTTTCAGAGGAACCACACCCCCCCAACTAGAGGACGATCTCCCGTCTGACTCGACCACCTTGCGCGCAAAGGCTGTGTTCTTCCAAGCAAGCAGGCAGGCAGACAGGTAAGGCAAAGCCACCCAAAACAAGAGGGAAGGAGTCGCCGAGTTCCCTGCGCATCCCTGTCAGGGTCGGTCCACTGGACCCCCAGCCGGTTATGCCTAGAACACTTGCTTTCTAGGCCTAGTCGGCCTGAGATTTGGTTGGGGGACTGCGGCCTTCTTCCGACACCACCAGGCTCGGCGCCGAATGGCTATGAGATAAGACACAAGAGGCAATACGTAAATACCAACTACTGCGCGGGAGCGTTGATCATATGCTGCTATTCTCACTGGGAAGGGTTGCTGCCGATGGTCATGCTACAACCGCGTAATGCAAGGAAGAGAGAGCACCGTGGCTGAATACATGCGGGGATGCCATCCTGCCAGCTCTGCCAGCTCGCCCGATGATCAAGCTTTGTTCTTGTCCCTCGAACTTCCTGTCCCCGGCAGCTATGGCGAGGGAGGCTGGTCACCCAACCTCAGCTGCAGAATTAAGAGCAGCCTCATTCCCATTGATCGCCCGGGTCGTCGAACCATATGGACAGAGTGTGGTTTAATCACGCACTGTCGGTTGATCCCAGATGGTGGCTTCACTTAGTAGGGCTCGCCGGTGGCATCCCGGCTTGCTCGCCCGCTGCAACTGCGGCGGCTGCTACGGCAGCAGCATTACTGGAGCCCGCACTTGCAACGTTGCTCGCATGCGCCAGCAGAAACTTACAACAGGTCAAGGTGTATTTGCAGGCACGCGTCCAGGTCTCGTCGTTCTGGTTGAAGCCAAGCTTGATGCTGGCATCGCCGATCTTATCGCGCTTGATTTCATACGGGAGCTTCAGGCCGGGCACCGTGGTATGGGCGTGACCCCGGCGACTTGAGGGAGCCGGCGCTGGTGTGCCCTCCACAAACTCGGCTAGTTGGCGTAGACATTCCAGAAACGCCACCATTCCTGCATCAAACCGGCGGTGAAGCCAGGGGAGATTTAATGGCAGCTCGCCGGAAGAGAACAGGTCAAGAGTGGTGATCTTGGGCGTTGCGGTTGAGATGGCGTTTGCTCCACTCAGCGCTGACTGAGCCGGGGATGGTCGAGACTGTTCGATCTTCTCAATCCTAGACATGGACCCCAGGGGCTTAATTTGATACCCTTGAAAGTGGAAACCTAACTTCTCGGCGATAGTTGCCAAAAGGAGGGCCGTCTGGCCCCAAGCAGCATTAATCTCGGGCCAGTCGACCGAGGGGTTGGCCAATCGACCAAGCCGCAGTCCGTTGATTGTTCCAAAGTAACCGTCGTGACCGATACAGAAGGCGTCGTTGTACACATTGGTCCTTTGTAGTCGTTCAAGCTGACGGGAATCATGGTCGTATTTCATATTCAACGCATCGCGTTCGTTTTGGAAGTCTGAGAGCGTCAAGGTAAAGGCGTTGCGATCGCGCCAGAACTTCTCTTCTTCAATATCCAATAGGCGAGCCTCTTCCTCCAGCCCGGCAATTTCCTCATCCAATGCCGCCTTCTCTTGTTCCAACGCAAGGAGCTCTTCGAAGGCAGCCTTCTCCGCGTCTAAAGTCTCCTTCAGCGATTTTTGGGCGGCCTCGAGTTCCTCATGTGTCGGCACCGAGGTGTTCAGATTTCGCAAGAATGAAATGTATGCGTCCCGCTCTTTGGTTGCATCGACCAGCCGTTGTTGCAACCCATCCACCAGCATCTCCGTGCATTCGGTACAGATGGGATGGTCGATGTCGGAGCGCGCGGAGATGATGTCAAATAGCCGGCTTGTTCGTTCGACTTGATCGGCGAACGATGCCTCGTCCGACCCTCGATCATTAGTCTGGGTGCTAACCGGCGGTTTACTCTTCGATGGGCTTTCGCCGTTGGTCCCGGAGACTCCGTGCGGCGGTCCCACTTGAGATTCTGTGAGCATAACGAAGGACATATTGCCACTGTCACCCCGTCCCATTCTCGGAGGATTTGTCGGGTTACTACCCGCCTGGCGGGGAGCTGGGATCGATCTTCGATATACTGGGGATGTAGCATGCTTGGAGGCCCGTTCGTAGAGCTCTCGTCTTTCCTGAGGATAATGAGGTCGCGCTGACGTATTACTGCCATGGTCTGGGATGGATTTACCGGTCGACCCTGGAGCGTTTCACGAGGCATGGTCAGCTCCGGAGTGGTTCCGGCAGGATAGATAAGGTGAGGTAACCTACCGATCAGCAAGTCGAAGGCGGCGGGGTTGAGCGACTCGAGAGAGCCATCCAGCTTCAAGGGAGTCCGACACTTCTGGCAATACATGGTCGCAGAGAGCGGGAATTAAACTCTCATGCATTCTGGTGGGGAGGAGAAGAGCTGTTTGTCTGGCGGAGTTGCGGACGGAGGAGCTGGTTGTCCGGTAGGGGATTTCCTTCACGAGACGTCATGCGGCAACCCGTGCGCGGCGCGCGTTTTGGCGTCTTTCTCACCAGCGGGAGATCCCCGACCAGACTGAATTGTTCCAATTCACTCAATGCTGCTCCAGACACTTGGAGCCCCAAGGCCATTGATTTGAACTCAAAGGTATGTATTGTCGGTGCTGGTCTCTTCTACCAGAGCCTGTTCCAGGATCAGCAAGTGTTCAACAGGCAGTGAAAGCTCTAGCCTGCCCTCCGTGTTACTATACCACTCCCCGCGATCTTTCCGATCTGTCTATTTCTTCTGATTTTATGTTTCTTCCGTTTCTGTCGATCTATGGGTTTATACAATACTGACTACAAGTAGCAAGAGCCTCAACAGGGTAATGTCACGACCGTGATACGTACGACCTTCGCCCAGTGCTCCGTTTCGCACAACCGGTACTTCAACTACTCATCGCTGTAACTATTTTTGGGTGTCCCACCTATCTACGCCTCGCCGAAGCAATGGAGAGACCTACCAAGAGACCGCGAATATCTATGGGGACAGAACCAGAGGGGGAAATGGACGACATCGACATCCACGAAGCGCGTGCCCAGAATGACCTCCGTCTGAAGTCGATCTTCGAGGGCATTTTTGAAAAATACGGCAAGGACTTTACAGACATCGGCGACGAAATCGATTTACAAACCGGAAAGATAGTCGTGGACAATGGCCACATCGAGGCCATGGAGGGTGAAGACGATACCGGCGAGCAGAGTGGTTGGCTGTTCGAGGCGGGCTTGTCTGCACCCTCAAACCCGGAAGCAGATGATGTTACATTGGGCGGTTCTGCCCAGCAGCTCGATGCAGAAATCGGCGGTGATGCTGCAGGAGATGACGGCACACCATCTCAGCATCCACCGGCTTCGATTCCATCGTCAACGGGGCTGGCCCCAGACCAGTCATGGGAGGCCATGACGAACGAAGCAGCCAATGACGACCCGGACACTAACGACGATAGGTCTAGTGCGGATTCGTTGCTGGACTCTGCATTGTGCGTCCAGAATAACCTGGATGGCTCTCGGGGCCGCAAGGCGATGGCTGATGCTCCAGGCAAGCCTGCGACCGCAAAAGCAAATCCTGCGGCTGAAGCATCCGCCCAATCCAAGGGGGTCAAATTCAGTGAGGCGGTGGAGGCAATCTGGCGCGTTCCTGAAATTAGTGGGGATTTCGCTACACCGGCATGGAACAAGTCACGTCCTGCGCCTGCGCTCAATCTTGGACGCTCGCCATCCCCACCGGGAACAGGGTCTCTTTGGGCACTGCCTTGGTCGTCCCGCCGGAGCGCCGGACCGAAACGCGCAAAGAAACTCCAGACCCCTCCGCAGGGGAGGAAGTGCCAGTCCAGCCCCGTCGTGTGCGACTGGTCCTTTGCGGAAACGCCTGACGGAGATGAATCCGACGACCCGTTGCAGGAAGACTACGAGCCTTCGCCAACGCCCAAACGGGGTATCGAAATCCGAGGCAAGCGCTCGGAATCACATACCCCGAGTCGTACGAAAGACAGATGCGAGTCTTGCCAGCAGTACTTTGTCCATTCCGATTACGTCTCCCACCTGAAAGACATCCTATCCAAGCCTGCCGATGGCCAGCATGATCAGGCAGAGGTCCGAAGAAAGCTGTCAGTCATGACCGATTCTCGGGTTTCCAAGACGCAGCCAGAAGGGACCACCACCTCCGCCAACACGTCCGCCAAAAAAGGTGCCATTTCTTCGGTAAAGACCACGAATGCGCCGGTGGAGAACCTCCCAGCGGATAATGATACGACGCCTACGAAAAAACGTGTCAGGACGTACATGGGTCCGGATGAGGCAAGGTTGATTGTTAGAATGAGGCAAGTACAGGGGAAGAAGTGGAACGATGTCCTCGACCAGCTTCCACAGAAAAGCTTGAGCCAACTCCTCCAGTGGAATAAAAGCCACTGGAGTGATCGCCGAGCGAACCCGCCTCCGTTGTCCAAGCCATGGACCAAACCGGAGCGGGAACAGCTGGATCAAATCAAAGACCAACGGGGGCTTTCATGGGCCACAATCCGTGCAGAGTTGCCCGGGCGCCCGCTCGCGGAGATCGAATTCGAACTATTGCAACGCTGGGTTGGCGAAGATGGCTCTCACAAAGAAGCAGATGATTCGACGGCCACCTCGACAGGCAAGGACGAATCATGAAGCGGGATCGTGACACCCGAGTCAGAGTTCGATCCTTGCGTGCAGCCAGCCAGTCAGTGGGGACGATCGCCTCGAGCACGAATGTCGCCAGATCCCCGCCACGACCCACTATGGAAATCTGGAGTGACAGGAGGACGCGGACAGTCGCACGGTTCTAGCGCGACTGGGAGCCACCGCCAGGGTTCGTCCGGGTAAAGCCGAGAGGATCCCAGGCAGCCGGTTTCAGCGGCAACGGGCATATCCTGGCCGCCATGTCAGACACTAGCTTCACCTTCAGCCATAGCGGGAATAGCATGCTTGGGCCTTGTCGCCCGTCCAGGGGTCTCCCCGGTCCCATCATTGGTCTCTCCTTTACCTGTCTTTCTTCCCCCGACAACCCCATGCCGCCCGCAACGAACCGTAGCTTCTATTGATCGTCCTCCGTGGCGTTCAGAACATCCTCCAACTTTGTATCGACAGCGCCACCAACATCGCCAGCCTTGGCCCAGAATCTGGAGAGATGTCTCGATCCGGAGTCAGACAGAACCGTGACAATCCGGTGCCCGGGGCCAAGCTTCAGTGCCGTCTTCACAGCCGCGAAACCTGGGTGATAAAAGATCAGCATGGTTGACGCGACAAAAGAACCTCGAGAGCACTTACAGTTCACGGCACTGCTACTGCCAACGAAGATGCCGTCCTTCTCGACAAGCCACCTGGCCATCGCCAAAGCCTGAGCGTCCGTCACCCTTTCCGCGTCATTGACCAGCTCCTTGCCCGCCTCGAAATTCGCCGTCACACGGTTGATCCCAATTCCTTCGACAATAGTATCGACCTGTCTGCGTCTCCTAGTGCCCTCCTTCTCCTTGTAATCGAACATGACTCCGAACCGGACCCGATTGTACAGCCCACTTCCCTGGGGGTCCGCCAGCACCACATGGAGGTTGGGGATTTTTGGCTTCAGGAAGAGCGCCACGCCAGAGATAGTTCCTCCAGTGCCAGCACCCGCCACGAAAGCGTCCAGTTTCCCATTGCACTGCGCATAGATCTCTGGACCCGTGCCGCTGTAATGGGCCCGCCAGTTCGACTCGTTCTCGAATTGGTCGGCAAAGAAACCCCTTCCGTCCGTGGTCGAAGCGGTTTGCGCTTGAGCCAGAGCTCGCGCACGGTTGACGAAATTGTCTTTTTCGACGATTGGCGCGGGCGGGACACGGTCCACGATGGCGCCGAGTTTCAGGAGGAGATTGGACTTTTCGATCGCTTGGTCGGACGGCATACAGCTGGGATTGTCAACATATGAAGCGCATCTGATCTAGGTAGGCTACGGATACGAACATGTGCGCGAGATAGCCTTTCGCTCGGGCTAAGCTGGCCAGGGATATTCCCGTCGAACCAGAAGTACCTTCGTAGATTGTGTCGCCTGAGTGAGGTTTCAAAAGACCGTGCTCTTCGGCCTGTAGGATGTGAGAGGTGATTCAGTGCATTGAATGGGACTGCGTACTATTTGGATCATGCTCAGCGCGACGCGGTCCTTGGAGCTTTGGCCGGCTCCGTTGAGGAACTGCACTATCGTTAGGTGTATTCCATAATGAAGAGCAGCATTGACATCTGGAAAGTCGCCAAATGGGACGTACTTCGGCTTTGCCCAGAATCTCACAGCCCGTCGCATCGGACAATGACTTGATTCGAAACAATGGCGTGTTCCCAATGCAGCCCTCAATGCCTTCTACAATAGCAGGGGGGCCTGGTCTGGCGCTTAGAACCTCTTCCGGACGGTCACTGGAGGTTGTTGCAGACGTCGACTGCGTGTTAGTTTCATAGTAGTCTCGGATGCGCCGCTCCAATTCCGGATAGACGAGGTCCTTGAACCCCAGAGTGAGGAGGATACCAGCCACGAAGGCAGTGCTGATGTAGATGCGCGAGTGGTCATCCATGCTGCAGTGACCGAGTGGAAGACAGCCAGAAGAGCTGGGAGAGGCTCATCTACGTCAGGACGAGTCGGGGAGACACCGGAGAAAAAGCTCGGGCCACCCAGCAGCTCCGCCAATGGATTTCGTCGATGCGCGGATGAATTACCTGACCTCTCTCCTCTTTACTCTCCCCCTCCCCGGCTGCTGCTGTTGCTCGCCGCCAATTCCAGCTCATGGACTCGCCCGTCCTCAGCCAGCTGTTCCGGCAGCTGTTTCAACATCCGGCCTGTCGGTCCTTGCGGGCCTCGTCTGCCCTGTCGGGGCGCCGACCGGGTTGCGTGCGCCTGTCCACCCCATCCCGGCAACAATGTCGGTCGTTTTTCGGGCGACGCCAGGGGAATAAGAAGTCGTTGGATCCTGGCGTGGTGTGGAATCAACGGAATCAGTTGGATAGAGATCTTCAGGAGGAGTTCCAGACTCATCCGCTGGTGACGGCGAAAGAGCTCCGCAATCATCGCGAGCGGCCGCGACAGGTGAAGATGCTGACGAGAGAATTCATCGACGGTAAGAGACCGATGGATCGTGAGATTGACTGTCGCTGATGGGAATTGCCTTGCTATAGATAGTTTGTACAATAACAACTACGGTTACTTCTCGAAACACGCCACCATCTTTAGTCCCGGAGACCCGTTCTATTTCAACGAGATCGAGGACGGACCGGCGTTTCATCGCATGCTCGGGGAACGCTACGAGGAGTTCGAGGACCGGCTGGATGAAGTCAACCCAGATATTTCTCGTCAGCTGTGGCATACGCCCACGGAGCTTTTCCGACCCTACTACGGAGAGACCATCGCCCGGTACCTGGTGTCGAACTATAAGTTGACGCTGTACCCCTACCACGACCTGATCATATATGAAATGGGTGCGGGAAATGGAACGATGATGAGGAACATTTTGGATTACATTCGCGACACCGATCATGAGGTCTACCAGCGGACCAAGTTCAAGATTATTGAGATTTCGCCGGCGCTGGCATCGCTTCAGATGAAGAACTTAAACGAGTCGCTGGATGCGGCTGGCCACCAGGACCATGTGGAGATTATCAACCGCTCGATCTTCGACTGGGATACCTACGTTCACTCGCCGTGCTTCTTCCTGGCGCTAGAGGTGTTCGATAACTTTTCCCATGATGCCATCCGCTACGACCTGAAGACGGAGCTGCCGCAGCAGGGCGGCGTGTTGATTGACTCCAATGGCGAATTCCATGAATACTACAATACGCAGCTGGACCCGGTGGCTGCTCGCTTCATGCGCGTGCGCCAGGCTGCGGCGCGGCGGAAGTTCCGCTCGCCGATCCCGCCCAAGTACAAGAGGTTATTCCGCAATCAGGAGTACTCGCCGCCGGAGTATATTCCCACCCGACTGATGCAGTTCTTCGACATCCTGAACACCTACTTCCCGGGACACCGTCTGGTGTCCAGTGACTTTAACATTCTCCCCGATGCCGTGCCTGGTGTTAATGCGCCCGTGGTGCAGACGCGGTACAAGAGACGGACCGTTCCAGTGACGACGCCATTTGTAGGTCCCCTCTGATGATGCTGCTGGCCGGATACTGACTGTGCATTAGGTCCACCAAGGGTACTTTGATATCTTCTTCCCGACCGACTTCAACACGACCGAAGACATCTATCGGGCCATCACGGGCAAGCTGACGCAGGTGATGAGCCACGAGGACTTTATGCGCCGGTGGGCGTACATCGAGGACACGGAGACGAAGAACGGGGAGAACCCGCTGTTGAGCTGGTATAAGAACGCCAGCATGTTGATTACGGTGTAGCGCGTTGCCTGTACGATAGTCTTGAATATCCAGTGATGATTGAGTTCTCTGATTGCTGCTCGTGTTTGCTGCTCGTGTTTGTCCCGGCCGTAGCTGGACCTCGGCGCCTGATCGAGCCGGTTGGTTGGCGGGCCTGTCATCCGACCTCCATCCTCTGCTGCTTCTTCCATCAACCATTAGCCATTATGTCTTCCACCGTGAGGGGAACGGCACCAATCCAGTCAGCTTCCCCTCCCGTCCCCGCAGATACAAAGCTAATCCGGCTCCTTAAGTTTGACCGATAGACCGGATAGACGACCAGTAGCCTGATTGGCACACGACGCATATCATCTTATCTTCACCCCTGGTTCATCAACAAGATAAAACCTGAATCGACGGCCTGTAGGACGCCGGCTACGTATCCGCTATAAGTCCGGGTCATTGTGCCACTGTACGGCGAACAATCCGTAACCATCCTTCATCCTCACTCAGTACCACCTTACAACCCAAGAACCATGACGATCCCAACTTGGAAACCGACCGTCCTCAAGAAACGCGCCGCTCAGTTGGCTGCCATTCCGCACGGCTGGCGTCTCCCAGAGTCCATTCTCGCCAATCCGCCACTCAATTCCCTTGATGCTATCCGCACTTGCGGCATCCTCAGTGAGGAGGAACTGAGATGGACGGAGATAGATGACAGTACCGTGCTGCTGGCCATGCTGGCGACCCGGGAGATCACTTCCGTTCAACTCACGACGGCGTTTTGTAAGCGCGCGGCCGTTGCGCAGCAGCTGACCAAGTGTCTGACGGAGATTTTCTTCGAGCGGGCGCTGGTGCGGGCGAAGGAATTGGATGATATGCTGGAGGAGACGGGCACGGTGACGGGGCCGTTGCATGGGTTGCCGGTTTCGATTAAGGATCGGTTCGATGTCGAGGGGCTTGATACTACTGTTGGTTTGTTGCATCGTCTTCCTACACTACTCGGCTGGTATGATAGCTAACGGGATGCAGGCTGGGTAGGATTAGTAGGCAAACCAGCCAAGAGCAACAGCAGTATCGCCAATTCACTCCAGTCAATGGGCGCCGTGCTGTACGTGAAGACGAACGTACCGCAGTCTCTGATGGTAACAACCACTGCAACACACATCAGGAATCACGCTAATCAAGTCAGATGTCCGATTCCTACAACCACGTCTTCGGCCAATCCATCAACGCCTTCAACAACCAGCTCATCTCCGGCGGGAGTTCCGGCGGCGAAGGCGCCCTCATTGGCAGCGGCGGCAGCGTCCTAGGGATCGGAACAGATATCGGAGGCTCGATTCGCATCCCATCCAACCTGCAGGGCTTGTACTCGATTTGTCCCACGACAGGCCGAGTCCCATGGAACTGCTCTTTGTAAGGCCTCCCCATACTCAACTTCCAGCCAACAACTAACACTCCCCCTCCAGCCTACACCAGCACTACCTCGTCCCTCCCGTGGCAGGGCCTATGGCCCGGAGCCTCTCCACAATCGAACACTTCATGCAATCCCTCCTCGACTCAGAACCCTGGACCATCGACCCCCGCTGTATCCCCATCCCCTGGCGAAAGGACCTCGCCGCGAAACCCACCCGGAAACTCCGCCTAGGAATCATCTACGACGACGGAGTCGTCAAACCCCAACCCCCGATTACCAGGGCAATGCGCGAAGTCGCCCAGAAACTGCAAGACGCTGGCCATGAAGGTTCGCCCCCTCCCCATCCCTCTTACATTAGTACAATCCCAATTGCAACTCCTTTAACTAACTGTCCAGTCTTCGAATGGGACACCACCCTCCACAGCACCGGCACCAACCTCTGGACCAAAGCTATCCTCGCCGACGGCGGCCAACACTGTCGTCACCTATGCGATATTGTCGGCGAGCCCTTAATCGAAGGGATGATCGTAGGGACTGAGAAAGACGAACTATCCCTCCCAGAACGCGAAGAGGTATCATACCCTCCTCCCATCCCATCCCCAACCCCAACCCATACCACCCACCCTAACAAAATAATAATAATAATAATAATAATAATAATAATAATAGCTCGAACAAACCATCCAAACCTACCAATCCACCTTCCTCAGCGCCTGGCACATAACCCACATCGACGCCCTCCTCATGCCCGTAACCCCCTGGGTCAACTACCGCCCCAAATCCTGGGTTCTCAGTTCCCAATGGCTGGGCTACACGGCTCTCTGGAACCTGCTCAATTATGCGGCGATCACGGTGCCGGTTACCAAGGTGGATCGGGTTCTTGATATGCCTGGGGAGGATTGGGTGGGGTATCTGCCGAGGAATGACGCGGATCGGTTTAATTGGGGGCAGTGTATGTTTATTCCTTTTTTTCTTTTTGGGGTTGGGATGGGTTGTAAGGAATGGAATGAATGGCTAATGTGTGGGGTGTAGATGATGTCGATTTGGTCCAGGATATGCCGATTACGGTACAGATTGTGGGGGGCAGGTTTGGAGAGGAGAAGGCTGTTGCGGTGGGGAAGGTTTTGGAGGATGTACTTGGTAGGTAGGTGGGCGGTTCGTATAGGACCAGTATCAAAGTTGGGACGTGGGATAGGATGGTAGTTACATATCTACAGAGAGGTATTTCATTATGCATATTGATTGCTGTTTGTCGGAATGGTGATTCACATGTAGGTGCATACATACTCAGATTCCAATTCTATGGCGATTGACCTACAACTTCGCCTCCGTATTCCCCTGCCACGCGAATCCAATCTTCTTCCCAATGCCCGGCTCCACGATCACATTCACCACGGTGACCGTATCACTCTGGAAGCCCTCTCTCGTAGCAATCTCCAGCTCCTGCTCCGTGCGCACGAAATACCCCTTCCCGCCACACATCGTCGCCAGCATCTCATACCGTGTCTCATACAGCAGACTCGTCGAGCGGAGACCCTTCTTCCCGTCGGCGGACTTGGTATCGTTCAGGGCCGTCTCATGCTGCAAGGTCTTCCAGGCGTCTTCGGTGGTCGTGTCACCGTGGTAAATGCCCGAGTTATTGATCACGTAGATCAGCGCGGGGATGCGATAGCGCGCGAGGGTTTCGATCTCCATGGCGCTGAATCCGAAGGCGCTGTCGCCTTCGAGGGCGATGATTTTCTTGGGCGGGGAGCCCGGGAGGGCGTTGAAGGCTTCGTGGGCTGCCACGATGTAGCCGAGGCCGACGCCCATGGTGGCGTAGGTGCCGGCGTCGAGGCGCTGGCGGGGGTGGTGGAGTGGGAAGATGGAGCGGGAGATGTCCATGGTGTTGGCGCCTTCGGAGACGTAGACGATGTTGCCGTCCTCCAGGGGGGTTAAGGTGTTCAGGGTCGATTTGATGATGTGGTAGGCGCGCTGGTATGTCAGTGGGGAGTTTGGTGGAGTGGGTAGCAGAGCGGCCTTTTGGGCTTTGTCTTCGTTCTTTTTGGCCGAGGTGGCTAGGATGGAGGTGAAGTTGTCGTTGGCGGAGGACGAAGGGGAGTATCTCCAGTTGGCGAGAGAGGAGAGTAGCTGGTCGACGACTAGACTGATGTCCCCCAGGATGCCGAGCTCGGCCGTGCCTGCGTTGCGGCCAATTTCCTCGGCGGAGATGTCCACCTGGATGATCTTTGCGGTGGATGACCATTTCGGCGCCTCGCCGTAGTGGAGGATCCAGTTGAGACGTGCACCAAGGACCAGGACGACGTCGGCGTTCTTCAGGGCCGCGCTGCGTGCGCTGGATGCGTTCAACGGATGCGAGTCCGGCACCACGCCCTTGCCCATTGGGGTGGGCAGGAAAGGGATCTGGGTCTGCTCCACCAGCTGGTTGATGCCCGGTTCTGCGCGCGCGTATGCGGCGCCCTTTCCGATCACCAGCAACGGGGAGCGAGCGGTCCGGAGCAACTGTGCGGCCTTCAGGATCAAGGCCGGGTCTCCACTGGCTCTCGGGGGGGACGGGACCCGTAGGGTTTCCGGCTGAGGCAGACGATAGCCGGGGGAGGATTTGCCCTGGATGATATCGGCGGGGAGGTCGACAAAGGTCGGGCCTGGACGCCCGTACCAGCAGGTTCGGTAGGCATTCTTGAGGGCGCCGGGGATGAAGTCGAGGGTGGAGGCGCGGACGGCGAGCTTGGTGTGGGGGGTGAGGAGCGAGATGGCGTCCAATTCCTGAAAGGCGCCTTTGGTGATGCCTGTGGTCTCCGCGGAGCCGGCGAGGACGAGCAGAGGGAAGTTGTTCGCGGAGGCGTTTCCAATCTGGACGAGGAAGAGCAGGTCAGTTAGCATGACAGCCAAGAGGCGCCTAGCGGTGTGAGGAGAACGGAGGAGCTTACGCCGGCCAGGGCGTGGAGAACCCCGGGCCCTCCAACAACCAGGCACACGCCCGGTCGCCCTGTCATGTACCCATAGACACTGGCCGCATAGCCACACGCCTGTTCGTTGCGAAAGGCCACGAATCGAATGCCCAGGTTGATGGCCTCTTCGGCGATCTCCACCACGGGGATGCCAACAATCCCGAAGATGACCGTCACGCCCAGATCGCGCAGCGTGCGGGCGATCAGTTGAGCGCCGGTGATGGTAGTCATTGTGATTAGTGGCAGCTAGCAAGAAGATTGCGAGACTGACTCCGTTGTACAGTCCTGGCTTGCTATGGTTGGGAGGAGGCAGAGGGCCGAGGTACATTCGCGGGTGACGCAACGGATGGTCTGCCCGAGGCAGCCATGTTTTACTCGAAAAACAACAACAACATTCGCATTTACGAAGTATAGAATATAGAATACGCCACTCTCCGATGAGGACCCAGTCCGCAAATATATGGTATCCAACATACAACTAGATAGCTCAGCATCCAGGCTGAGCCTTAACCACGCTTCTAGAACTCAAACTCCTTCCGGAACACATTCACATCCATGCCAGCCACCACCTGGTCGGCCAGATCCCGCCGTCCCATCTGGCTAAACACCCGCCGCAACGTGTCATACAGATTCGTGCTCTGGTTCTGACTGATATTAACCATCCGGTTGATCTGCTCATTGTCGACGCCGTCGCCACCCATAATTTCGCGCGCCCGCTCAATACCCTCCTGCTCCACCACCCGGTGCATGGACAGCGCTCCCAGCAGGTGTTGCGCGGCCTCCGGGTAACACCCGATGTTGATGCACGACACCCCCAGGTTGTAACGCGCCCGGACAAAGTTGGGGTTGATGTTCAATGCCTGCTCGTAGGCCTCGATCGCCTCCTCGGACCGACCCGAGTTGGCCAGCGTAGCACCAAGTCGGTTCCACAGCAGGTGGAGCTGCTCCTGTTGGTTCGAGGTGCCCGATTCCGTCGACGCCAGCGCGGCAGAGAAGCAGTCAACCGCCTTGTCGTACTCCTCCGCGCAGTAGAAGAGCACGCCCAGGCCGACCTGGACATCAGGGTCCATTTGCTCGCCCGAGGGTGACAGCTGAGCCGCCTGGATAAAGAGGTCGGTTACGCGGTCGTGCAGTAGCTGCCGATCTGTAAATCCCAAGTCGGCATCCGAGGAAAGATCCTTGGGGTCGATAATCTGAGGATACTTGACGGAGAGCCACCGCTCGAGGGTGCGGTAGGCCGTCGAGTCATAGCCCTCGTTGGTGTAAGACACAGCCAGGCCCATCAGCGCATCCAAGCTGTTGGCGTCGATCTTCAGGGCCTGCTCCAGCGCTCGGATAGCCGGCAATTCCTTCTCATTCTGAGCCTGGGCTGATCCCAGCATGGTCCAGGCCTGGACATGTTGCGGGTCTTTCTGAACCGCCGCCTCAAAAGCCAAGGCAGCCAGCGAGAGATTGCCACCCTCACGCATGATCTTCACACCCTCCTCGAACGGATTGGTCACGTTCCGGAACACGTTCTCCTCTTCAAACATGTAGTCACCTAGTTGGGGGTTACGGAAGCGAGTATTGAGCGTGTCGAAACCCTCCCAATCACCCATATCGCCCGCGTGGAAGTTCTCGTGAACGTCGAATAAGTTGTCTCCCTCTTCGGCCAATTTCCTGTTCGTTGCGGTCTCAGCTTGGACCCTCTCCCACACGCTTTCAAAAGCACCATAATCTTGATCTTGCGCCGTACTGGTAAGGGGGACTGACCTGTCCAGATCATTCAGCTCCGCCTCCACAGCGGCATTAGCCTCTTCGTCCTCCTTCTGGGTATCCGCCGTCTCCATCTCCGCAAACTGCGCCTCCCAGTTCTCATCGTCCAGTTCGACCATGCGTCCCTTGCCCTTATCCTGCGTAGTCGCTTCCGCCGGCTGCTGCTGCTGCTGCATCGCCATTGGACCAAAAGTCTGCGGCATCATCCCCATCCCACCCATCCCCATATACCCCCCCATCCCCATAGGCCTTTGATAGCCCGCCATCATCGGAGACTGAGACGACGCCACCGAGCCCGCCGTCTGAGGCATCCCAGCCCTACTCTGCTGCTGAAACCGAGCAAACTCAGCGGGGGTAAACCCCGGCGAATTATTCATCATGGGTCCCTGAGGCCCCGCAAAGGCAGCCTCCATCCGGGCATGCTCACCAGCATCAAACTCAGCGGCCCAGCCGGGCGAACCTGTTCGGGGCGGGGTCGTCTGGAACTGATCTAGCTCGCGCCGCAACTGTTCCATCGCAAACGGTTGCGGGGGTGCCCCGGGGAGTTGGCCGGGTTGTTGGGCGAATTCGTCCATCATCTGGATGTATTACCAATCACTCGTTAGCAACACTGGATGGGATGAGTGTCTATCGTGCATGCTTGCTCGCTCGTACCTGATCTTGTCCGCCCATCATGCCGCGGGATCGCATGCCTTCTTGCATGCCTCCTAGGCCCCTCCCTACCAGGCGATCTCGTTGTAAGGACTTATCATCTTGGACGTGCTTGGTGAACTGAGTCAACGGGTTTCCCGCCGTCGAGCACTCGGCGCCACCAAGGAATGACATGTTGTAGTGGGGTCGTAGCGGATTCGTAACGGGTTCGGGTTCGGGTTCAGTTTATCTCATGAATATTCACAGGGGAAGGTCAAGATCTCGGGGATTTGACCGATTCGATGGCAAAGGCGTCCAGGGGAGTTGTGAGGGGAAGCACCGATCGTGGGGTTTCGGAGCCGCTCTGCAGCCGATCGGACAGATACCGAGGCTCCCCGGTAGTCACGTGCATCCCATGCATTCTATTGTGTAAGGCCCCGAGGAATAATGATAAATAGTCTATCTAGAATACAAAACTATAAAAGAAATCGTTCAGGTATAATACATGACAATTTTCCCTCCCGAAAGCCTCTGCCAAACCGGAAAGATATCACCCAGGCCAGCCGTGGTAGACTACTTACTCAGGGTTATTGGCTTTAGCAGCCCTGACGAGCGGCTCAGTCACGCGCCGGTTGGTGCCCTCGCTGAAGTCAATGCGCAGCTTTCTCCCATACGGCATCTTGTTCTCCAAGATGCCAAAGGCCTGCTGGGCACTGGCAACGCTGATGAACTCCGCATGCACGAAACCCCGAGGGTGTCCGGTGTGACGATCCACGGCGACCCGCACATCAATGACATTCTGCACATCCTTGAACAACTCATTGATATCCCGATCGGTCATCTCAAACGGCATGTTCCCGACATACAAGGTCTTCGACGGCGGCCTCTTCTCCCGGTAGGTGTACAGGTTGTTCTGGGCGAATTGCACGGTAACGCGACGTCCCTCGTAGAGGCGCAGATGCATGGCGGCCACGGCGCGGTGAGCCGTATCGGTACAATCGAATTGCACATAGCCGTACCTAATCATGAGATTTTAGTTAGATTGGTGTGTCCGTAAACGTATCCGCCTCGCCCACTCACCCTTTGCTGAGTCCCCGGCTGTCAAACACGACAATCGCCTGCTCGACGGTTCCGTATTTCTCCATGGTCTGGCGCAGATCCTCGGCGGTCACATCGTAGAAGAGATTCCCAATGAAAACCGTCTCCTTCGGGTCCGCAGGCGTCGACAGGAGCCGGGAGCGCTTTCTCCGCTTCGCAGCGATGGCCTCATTGATACTTTCTGCGGAGGGACGTTCCGCTCCGACGAACCGGAATGATGGGGCTCCATCGTGGGATTCCGTCTGGGATTCAGTCTCGGCCGGGGCATCGGTGCTGGCAGGCTCGGATTGGGGTTTGGCTTCGTCGCTGTTCCAGCGGCTCTGGAGAAGCGGCTGTGAGATTCGGAGAGGAACGGTTACGCGAGATGTGAAGGATGGAATCGCTCGGGTTGAGCGCAACGGCGCGGGGGCCGTCAACGACAGAAGCCGACAAGCTGCGCGGAAGGAATACCTGTGTAGGAGTTCATGGTTAGTTGGAACACGAATTCAACCATTCCCTTCAGGTGCCGTGCGATCAACTTACATGTTTCTCTTATCAAAGCGACACCTCCCGGAAAAAAATAATTTTTAAACAAAACAAGGATTTTCGGGGAACTTCACCAGAATCTACTGGGATTCCGCTACTTCGGCGGTTGGCTTGGAAATGGGTTTATCCGAGCCGCATCGGTCACGTGGCTGGCTCTGGCCGGCAATGGAGGTCTGTGGCCGGGCCATTTTGAGTGTACCCCGAGATTCTATATCGGCAAAGATCATGCCTATCATATTAGATGTAGGTAATAGATCCAAAGGAGACTCATAAAATAGCCGCATAAATGATTCAACTACTTTACATCATGTCCGATACAGTGATATCATCCAAGCCCTGACCCATTCAGACACCAACTCCGCAATATATATATACCTTGAAAAGAAGAAGACACGCCTCGTGAGAGGAGATCAGCCAATCGATAAGGAACATCAAAGAGGAACCGCACAAACTTAGCCTCCACACTAACTTTTGCTATTTAACTTTCGTATCATACGTGGCCGAGCTGAGGTCGGCAAGGCATCATGATGCCCCCTGCCCCGAATTACCGTTGGCAGAAAATGTTGTCGCGGCACCTGGGCTGCTGTTCTCATAACCGTTGGCTTCTAGCGAGAAGAGATTCGGGCCACGAGGCAAGCGAATCCTGTCGGCACCACCATTCTGAACCGCTGGCAGCTGCGTAGGCGACAGCGGATTTTGGCCCTGTTGCTGCTGTATGTCTGCAGAGGGCCACCATTGTGACGAAGGCTCCAGCGTCGAGTTCTGAATGTAGGTATCCCAAGCATCCTGATGGCCGGTTAGCCCAGAAGATTTCATATCCAAGAGAACTACATACCCAGTCCAGGTTAAGCTGCATATCAGGCATTTGTCCAAACATCGTGTTAAAAAGTGAAGGTGCTGCGGGCATATCGGCCGTCGTCCCAAACGTCCCCGGTGCTGGTAAAGGTGCCTCTGCCATCTTGAAGGCGATGTCATTGAGGGATTGGTGGCCGGGGTTCATGGGGCTCATCCCGCTGCTGAGAAGGCCGAGAGTCATCGCCGCACTTTGTTTCTCGTCCTGCGGCTCGAATGTCGGCGCGGCAGCAGTGTTTTCAGGGAATCCCAAGTTCAGCTTGGCAAGCATCACCCCTAGAGCTCCTCCAGCTTTCCAAGCCTCCAGTGTCTCGTCTTGCAGTTCCACCCATATCTCCTTGGACCGCTGCAGAGCTGCCAACATTTCCTCTCGTCGTTCTCTACCCCAGGCATAGGAGTCACTGGACGCTCTGCTTGCAGCCTGAAGCCGTTGTCCATTATATAGATCGATGCATATGATGGTCCCGGCAAGGAGATAATCGGTGGAGCAAAGCGAGGTGACTCGGTTGTGTCGACTTCGTAGGCGGCCTGTGGGTCGAGTCTCCGTGTGAAGTAATGACTGATATCGCAACAGCTCCATGGCAGAATCGATACATGTCCTTCTCGAGTACGTAAACCGAGGATTATCACGGGCTCGGACAAGGTATTTTCGATGAAGGACACATTGTGCTTTGTGGTAAACGCTCACCACCTAAACACCGTCAGTACCGGACAGAAGCATCATGAGAGCAACTTACGGCAAACCGTGACAGGATGAGATTTGGCGACTCGAGCGGACAGTCTTCAATCGGACGAACCAGCAAGTGCTCCGGTATCAAATCCCGGGCTCGGCGAAGTTCAGCATCAAGCTCCATGACCTTGTCGTATGATGATGCAGTTTGGAGGGGAGAAGTCGACTCAAGGACACGACCGAAGACAAATGTGAGGCGAGATTTGGCAATGAGGTAAGATATGGGGGTAGGTTCATTTGGCGGACGGGATGGAGGAAGCTCCTGGCAGTTCTCGTCGAAATCGTCGTCATACAGATTCCGGGGAAGATCCGTGTCACTGTCAGCGCTGCGAATCATGCTGGGCAGGCCGATTTGAGAAGAACACAGTAGGTCGGCTTGCCGTACGAATGACCACACTCGACGACGCATTTCACCTTGGAAAGGCGTGATGTTAGGGAACATTTTGGAATCACGGTGATACCCCATCCTCATGGCCAGTCTCGTGATCACGCCCACCAGCACCCAAACGGATACGTCCGCTTCTCGTGTTTGACAGAGGTCGCCGTGAAGGTGGAATATCAAGCTTTCGATCAAGTTTGGATACGACTTGGTGTAGTCTGCCAAGGTAAGGCATTGCGCCACTAGATTCCTAAATGTGCCAGCCATGTCCAAGGACTTGCCCCGGAACTCGGGTGGCTCATCTCCATCCCGATAGTACGATAACATGGCCAGTCGCATCATGGAAAAGAGCATGGCAATCCAGACAGTACAGGTCTGCGAAGGGTCTTCCCAATGTTTGTTATACTAGAACACAGTTAGTACGATGCCTCTCTTCGACGAGGCGCAATCGTCTCTGGCCTACCTGGGCTTGAAAAGTTGGGCCATGGAGAATGTCTGCTCCCCATGTCAGTATTGTCAGACATCATATGCAGGGAAAACGATCGTTGGCTTACGAGTTGAAGGGTCATAGCAGCTGAAATAACGCGCAATCAGTATGTCGGTCGTGTACTTGGACGGAAAAGAAGACATGATTTCCCCTCGGGTCAGAGGTTTCGTAGCCCCAAACAACAATGCAGAGCCAGGAACGTCGGTAGGAAGCTTGGTAGCCTTCAACTTCTCGGCTTGTTCCTCGTACTGTTTCTTGTGTGTCTGGAAGTAATTGCGGACTTCCGCAATCTAGAAAGCATGATCAGCACGTCGACCGAGCTCGCTTGCTGATAAAAACCTACATCATGCATTACTGTCGCCCAATGAGCTTCGCTGAAGTACCATGACTTATTGTTGTCCACCTTCATGATCCCGAACGACTTCGTGACTTGCTCAGTGTCACTCTCCTCCGGGCCATTGGGTGATTCATCCTCTAGGTCTAGATCACCTGTGTGCGGTACCGAACCAGTGCTGCTGCTATTGCCTGATATTGCAGCAAGCGCCGCAGCTGGACCTGCGGTCTGTGATCCATTCGTCATTAACGAGAGAACGAGGCTTTCCAGCCGATCAATCCGGTTCTGCATATCATCTGGCGAGCTTGAAGCAGACTGTTGGGGCGTATTCTTTTTTCGTACATTCGCCTGGGCGTATGAACATGACGCAGCATCGCCTCGCTTGACGCAGTTCTCGCAAGGGTTTGCACGGTTGCATTTCAGCCTGTTCATCAGGGATCAGTAAGCGACCCCGATCCATGATGTCTAGAAGCCTTACTTCCTATGCCGGCAGGGTCCACAAGAGAGAGGCACCCGATTCCTTTTTCTGATAACCCTGAATTGCCCTTCCGGCGAAAATGCGCTAGCACTCGACGAGGTTGTAGACGGAGGTGTGGGAGACATTCTGCAATATGTGGTCGAAACAACCTCGGACCTAGTAGATGGTGATTTCTTATCCTCGCACTTCTATCGCTCGGATGTATAGATGTATGCGTAGAGAACCACAAAGGGACAAGACGGTCTAAGAGTAGACGAACTGCCAAATCTTTGCAGCTTATTACCTCAATTAGCGCAAGTCCCTGTGTCGCAGTGCCGCCCTAAACCACGTTCCAGCGGTTAGGTTGGCGCAACTAGAGGAATGCGATGTATCGACGGCGCGCGACTGCCGGCACAGTCTCGTTGCTGTTCCACCCAGCGAAGCTTGAGCCGACAAACAGCACAAGTCGGCGACGAGGTTGAAGGCGCGTAAATTTCACCCGAGTCGTCCGCACCGCTGAGAGAAGGGACTGGCGGGAGGTGAGGTGCTGAGCACTAAGGAGGGGCGCGATAATGTGGATGCGGTCGGAGCAGCTGGGTGCGATCAAACCACAACCACCTGCGCAGTGTCAAGAGGGATGTCAGGTATGCTGGATAAGCTATTAGGGATGTCTGGCGAGATGAGCGAGAAATGGGGAAGTCGGGTTTGGATAGGATAGCACCTCCACCGAAGGACGACGACGACGTCGTTGGTTTGCTTTGCTTAGTGTTCAAGTTGGCTATCTCCGTTATCACCTTTCAAGGCGGTCAAGGATCTGGGAAAGGCCAGGCTGACGTAAGGCTGGAGGAGGGGAATCGTTTCACTTGAGGGGAGAGCATAGGCGAGGATCAGGTTCCGAAGAAGAAAAGAGACCCGCGATGATTTAGGCCTGCAAAGGACGCGGTTATGTAAGACGGCTATTCCGACTCCTCTTGCGTGAGGCTTGTCTCGCGATCGAGCAGGCTGGACCAGGCCATGATGCATGGTCTTCCGTCCAGGGGTCCGCCCTGAATCCTTGGGCTGGGGACGAGCTGCTCATTTGCTCGGTCGGTCCGAAAGTGGACAACCGGTTGACTCACAGTGTGTGTTCTCCGTACTAATACTTCCTCTGTGGTGACGGGCGACACTGGAATTTTTGGAGGAGTTAAGTAGGAGATAGATTAGGTCCGGACCGGCAGACGACCGAAGCGCCATACTAAGTGCTCACTGCTCCGTACCTCGTAGAGCTGGAGCAACTCTGGAGGGGTCTGACCAAGCACCTCTCTACTCTGAAATTTTCTGTCGCATCTACTCCGTATCTGTCTATACTAGTCGGAAGTGGTTCTGCTGCAGTGGTGAAAGCTAACCGTATCATCCAGATCACATCACGGAGGAACCAATCAGAAGCCCGAACTTACCGATGGAAGTGCTGTGCTGCTCAGCGCTTAGTACTCTGTGTAACATGCTTTGCAAATGAATGACACGGAAGGGAACTCAGCACACTCCACCGGGTAGTTGACAATTCACCAGATGCTGGTGAGGAGTAAACATCACTGTGCCGTGAACGGGCAATGATGGAGGGACCAAAAGGCTGGACCGGCCATTAGGTTACTAACGAACTGGATTGCTGCGGAAATCGAGCGACTTTCCCTTTCTGCTTTAGGTCGAACTTGGCGCCGCTTTTTGCTCACTGAGCGGCCCGGAGCGTGGGAGGAGCACAAAAGTGTGTGTCTTGAGCAATCCCTGAGCGATCCCGGATTAATCCGGGAGTCGACTTAGAGAAGTGACCGTCACCCTGACCGCATGCTTGAGTTTACACAATCTAGTCATGTAACCTAAATAAAATGTGCACTACTAATATCATCTATTTCACTTTCGTCTCGCCGGCGTGCCCGTCATTTTCCTGGTCCTCAAAAAACATTAAGCCCTGTTTTAATGATTATTTCATGTTTAACCCAAACTTCCTAACAGTGATATATTCTTGAGCGCTAATTAGGTCAATCCAAGTTCTTACCATAGTTACTAAAGAGGTTTGCTTAGAGGTCAACGATGCTCTACAGCCACTCTAGACCTATACTTCTCCTATCTACTACTTTTTAGACCTCGTAATATATAACTGCACCAGAGGCCTTGAAACTTGTCTATTCGTAGCATACATGTGATAAGTTACTCTAGAAATACCTAAAAGCTGAATGAGGTTTAGTAGTATAGATAGTATAAGGCCTTTCCACAGGCACACGTTGAATCACTTAATCTACGAATAAAGACTTTCAGTATAGTTTCCATTTCTTCAAGACATGCTGATTTGGAGATGGAATTAAATATTGTATTCTTTTTTGTTACATTATGCTGGAGTCATACAGTATCACTTTCTCAAATATCTTCTAAAGTGCCATAATCACATGTCCTGGCAGGGGAATAGGTGATTACTGTGGGTACCTTTTACTCTCGGTATTAGTATTATGTATAAAATAGCTCAGGTACAACATCTTTAGCTTGAGATAATGAGATAGGTATTTTTTTAGTGGTGTGTATAGCAATAAGTTGGTATCTAGGAAACTTTAAGTTTACAGCCTTAACTGGGAAATCGTATGAGAATGTATCAAGGAATGACCCAGTTAGCTGGTCTATCCAATTTTATCGACTACACTGTAGATGTGCCAGTTTATTCATCTCTAGTTTAAATAACCAAGCACCTCAAAGACCAAGAATGGAGGAAGAGATAGTTAATTGTATTCTTGTTACTCATGAAAATGAAGGCTACTCCTTTCATGTCGCGGGAGAGTGTGAAAGGCAGACTACAGTATTCTGTCATTGAGGCTGAATACAGGGCACATGTAAGGTCGGTTGAATGGATGATATACATGATAGTATAGTCGTGTGATCCGAGAGCCTGTTGTGGAACATATTGTAAGGCGGTAGAAGGGAAAAAGAATTCCACGAATTATCAGTGTTGGAGAACTTTTGGCATATTTTGCACGAAATTTGGAAGCCTATAATCATTCATGTGACTTATCGTACTAGTATGAACCTAAGCATACTAGTATAGTAAAAGAAACAAGGAATAACCATTCTTCGCTTGCAGCGAATAGCAAGCAGAGAAGTAGGGTTGTCTCCTGCCAATGGTCAGCAGTCATGGAAGGAAAACACCAAGTGATTTGGCCGATTAGGGCGGCCGTGCGTTACTGCCAGGTGAGTACCAAAGATTGATGGTAGACATCTCAATGTTTAGTAAAGATAAATTGACAGTTATCAGCTAGAGCTACCAACCCTTGATTAGGTGCCAACAAGATATAAAGGATGTCCAACCACCCATACATGTGATGGCTCAACAAACAACTCTTGATGCGTCGATTGCGTACATCTGACCTTTGTCACAAAGACAAGACATGGTCTAACACTCAAATTTCTTTGCATGAATGTCCATTGTTTGTTATCCATATTTTATATATACCTGTCATGTCATCCGGCTGTTCTCCCTCCAGGCCTATAACTAGATATGTTCCAGCTCAGGTACATTTAGAACGAGACCAGTCTAGGTACGTCGCAACCTTCCTGTCGACATCACGACGAGTCGCATCCTTGGCTGACATCTCAGGCGTAAAATCTTGGGAGAAGTACTCTTGAAGTAATATGTGCTTGTTTCACATATTCCACCAATTTAAAATATACAGCAGCTCGCCACGACACAGACACTTGATTCAAGGCAATACGGGGCGCTTTTGCCTCTGTCCAATCTCGGATAGCCTCGATTCTGGATCATGAGCCCGAGTTCAGACAAGCTGCGATTCACCTTCCGGATGAGTTCCAGTATGGGCAGAGTCCCAGCCATGGGCAGAGTCCCTTTCTCATTCAACAATGCATTTGTGAAGCCGTGGTAGGCAAGTTCACATTCATTTGGAAGTATACATGCATGAAGATGCGACTTTCAATAAGTTGACTAGAAAATCATCTGACGGTGAGGTGAATTTACTGCTTGCTACTGGAGTTGATGTTCCGGTTAGATCCACTGCCTCGACTGGTCTACCGCCTGAGACTGGTCTGACCAGTCCACCGCTCGAGGTTACATACCGCCTGAAATCTTCCTCACCGCCCGAGCTTGGACAAGGCCTGAATTAAATCTATCGCCTGATGGATGACTTCCCCTCAAGGCGGTAAGACTGAAATTCACCGCTAGGTTATATACCATTCATTGGAAACGATACAGCTTCCTTGGTATACATTGTACCGTATCAGCTTCTTCTACGCCACACTGTGGCTCGACTATGACCTTACGTACATCGGCTTGTCGATAACAGACGATAATAGAGTGTATTAGAGTTGGACAATACAGGACAGTACGGCTTTATCAACCAATTAATCCGCCCTCACGAACGACGAACGATTTCTTTTCTGAGAGAGCTCTAATCGTCAGCGCATGGCAAGCGCCTACAGAACTTGAAACCAAATGATATAATCCACCTAAAAGACGACTCAATCCGGACAGAAGGCGCGATTCCATGCAGCGGAGTTCACGAAGTGTGCTAACCCCTTGCTTCCATTTGGTTCCCTGGTCTGACGGTTTTAGTCAAATACTTTCTGGCTACACCAGCCCAGTTGGTTAGGTCTCGCAAGAGTTCGATGCCGGACTTCTAATTTCTACCGGATGCGAACAGGCAGCGACTTAGCTTTCTCGCAAATTCCGAAACAACCATTCGTTATGCAGATTGACTTGGTTCCTAGGCTGCTCGCATGATTGCAATATAAGGGTCATGTCTTTGATTTGTTGCAGCGACTAGAAGCTAGAGGATGTTTCAGTCTTCTTTAAACAGGGACTTAGCAAGGTAAGATGAAGCACTGGCAGTCGTCGTCATGTCAAGCCCTGATGTCGCTGACTTCGTATCACTTTTCAGTCTGCTTTGATTGGAGCGCAAATGACTTGGCATAGAGCGGGGAAAGTTGATGCAACTCTGCCGCCATCATTCATCCTATAGAACTTAATTACCCCCCATGGGCACTCTTCTTGTTCGGTCTCCGATTGTCTTCGTTGAAATAACATCTCACTCCTAGCAATGGGCCCGACCTTGGGAAATAACACTGCCGAAGTACATGCGGTGACCGACCTGGACGATGAACATACACACGATAGCCTTCTGTCTCTACGATGGACCGTTGAGAGCGGCTGGTGGCGCCGATCCAGGTGGGTGCAAGGCAAACGATGTGAAGGATTCACCCCTGATATATGTCTACAGCTATGCAGGGTGTCTCCTGTACAATGTCGGCTCCTTTATGCTCCCTGCGTTGTACAGCACTCTAGTCAAGATCTGGATTGCGAACATTGACTCTACCCTGGTGGTTACAACGGATGTCTATACCTATATCGGCACTGTTGCCGAGGTACTTAACGAAGGTCTTCCTCGTGCCGTCTGGGTGACTATCGCCGATCAAGTTACGCGGTCATACGAGTCTCGTCTAGAACTCGCACATACTCTGGTCGCATTCCAAACAGTCCTCGGTCTGATCATGAGCATAATCCTCACCAGCGCTGCCAAAGCCTTCACGGCCACCTTCATCCCGCGCGAGGCTCGGAAAGCAAGTATTACCTATGTTCAGATTAGTGCATTCTCAGCCCTCAGCTCTGCTATAGAAGTTGCAGTATCCAACGCGACAAGGGCCCTGGACAAGCCCGACGTTCCTCTCGTGATTAGTTCGGTTAAGATTGTCGTGAACATTATCCTGGATCTCCTGATCATTTCCAAGTTTCATGTGGGTGGCTGGTCTCCAAATATTAACATGCAGGCTGCGATTCGTCTGGGCTGTGACATGGTCGCGGCTCTTACTGGCTTAGCATACTTTATCCAGACAATAAACCGGTCCGAAGAACGTCGCAGCTGGCACTGGATTGGAAGATTTCCGACATTTTCTGCCTTCTTAACGCTTCTCAAACCAGGCTTGATCACCTTTGTCGAGTCGGCAGTGCGAAATGCGCTATACCTCTGGTTGGTTGCAGGAATCGTGACTATGTCCGCCGACTATGCTACAGCATGGGGAATATTCACTACAATTCGATGGGGTTTGATTATGGTGCCTGTTCAGGCACTGGAGGCTACGTCTCTCGCTTTTGTGGGGCATTTCTGGGCTATCTTTAAGGAAAATGATACAGAATGTGGGCGTTGGAGAAAACTTGCAAGTAAGTTCCAAGTCATCAAGCAGCTTTAGAGTACAAAACTTATGCTTTGTAGTGGTCACGCGACCGGCTTTTCTCTCTGTTGGTATAGCTTTAGCTATCGAAGTACCCCTCTGCATCCTTCTGGCTACGGTAGGATGCAAACCGTTTGCATACTATCTAAGTCAATCCGAAAGGGTTGCTGAGATCACGGCTCATATGTGGCAGACGATAGACTGGTAAGTTCCCAGTGGCTACTACTGAATTCCTGATTGTCTATCATCACTCATGCATTCAAGGTGTTACATTCTATATGCAATCTCGACCCAGCTGGCCACCATACTTCTGGCCACCCGTCCAATGTGGTATCTCGTGCAGAGTCTCATTTCCAATCTTCTTTACGTCCTTCCTTGGGCAATTGTCTGCCAATTTGCTCACCTTGATCCTCATAATGCTTGGACTTATCATAGCCTCGTTTTTGGAGGAAGCCTGGTATTTACGTTCTCGGAGATTTGTTTAATCATTCTTCTGTGGTTTTGGAGATCTCGATAAAGCTCGCTGGTGCTATACCCTCACCTGTACGAAGAACTTTAGGATCACGTTACCAGTTTTTGTATAATAGCGTAAAGGTATGTCAGTGTAGGTAATTAAACATATCGTACAAGTCAAATATGCTTTAAAGGTGTTCTACACTAATGATACTAATGATCAGCTGTTGGGATGCTATTCCAGTTCCCCACAGGCATAGCACAACTTGATGACTGTGACGTTATTCGACCCATAAGCCATCAATATAATCATATAAGCACTCTTGAAGGCATTCAACATGGAGGAGGAAAAACAGAAACGGGAGGGGTGGCGAAGTACCAGATCATGCATTACATGTGGTAGTTATGTGCAGCGATATTGGTGTCCAGAATTTATCGATGCTATCCGAAGATCCGACCCTCCATCAACAATGAATTACTAGAAACACCCCAAGAGTAGAAACATACCAATCAATATGCGAAACACTGGAGGTATCATTGGCCTGAAAACATAGTCAACATTCTTTAAAAAGAATTGTATCATTGCTTTTTTTCGGATGTCTGGAAACAGTAATAGCAGATTGTAATAACACAGCATCAAACACCTTAAAATCAGGTTCTGTTCAAGAATATACACTTTCTGCATGGACAAAGTGCATTAGAGGTCAATTATAACAGGTGCCGCAAGTTACAAGATGCAACTTAAAGTTCTGGATGACTGCCAGAGATCTATTCAGTGACAGCCAACTCGACTGACACCTATCCCTGTATATTGAGAAGTGCTAAAAGCAGATTTCTGAATAGGATATTCCTTGGCACGACAGAAAATGGATTATTCAAAAGAGAATCTAGAACATAACATCTAGGGAATTACAAACTGGAGAAATCAAGCATCAACCGAAACTAGTTCAAATTATACAACAACCTTAGTCGGGAGATTCTGCAACGCCTTCTGCGACGCCTCCCTTTCATCTAACCTCTTCCAATAAGCCAAAAAGTTCTCTCGGCCCGGTAACAGCATCCACTCCGAGACGTGCATGCTCATCATCTTCATCAGTCCATAGAAGTGCACGTCGGCGGCGGAGAACCGGTCCCCGCACAACCAGGTCTTTCCCTCAAGCTGATCATCCAGCAGGTTCAGCGCCTGGTTGATCGCCACTTTTTGGTTCACCCGCGCCTCCGGCGTGGGGAGTCGGTTGCCCTTGTAGAAGTCCAGCGTGGCGGGATCATTTCGGTACCAGGCGATAACGGGCTGGCAAATCTCCAGGTCCATACGGCGGAGCCACATGCGCGTCTCGGCGCGCTGGGCAGGCGTGTCGCCGAAGAGGGAGACGCCCCCCTGTGCGATCTCGTCGAGGTACTCGCAGATGGCGGTAGTTTCGGTCAGGACAGTGCCGTCGTCGAGTTGTAGTGCGGGGACCTCGCCGCGCGGGTTGATCGCCCGGTAGGCGAGGCGTCGGTTCTGGAGGCTCATGATATCCACCGTTTCGACGTCAAAGGCAAGACCGCCGCGTTCGAGGACGAATAGGCGGACGGCCATGGGGTTGGGTGCTGGGGCGTCGAAGAACTTCATGTTTTCGTTCTTTTATATGACTTTGTGAGATAATGAGTTTGTGAGATAATAATAGCTTTCTTCTTTCCTGTCTGGATTGCGTTGTGTCTAAGCCAGATATGAACGGGGAGAGTCATTATATATGTCTGACTTTGAGGCTTCGAAACAGATATCGAGAATGCAAAGTAAGTTTCGTATAAGTGAGACTTGTTTTCGGAGATAAGAGTGGTCTTAAAGGCCAGAATGCGTAATTACTTACTTGCTTCCGAAGTATTCCGTAGATACATCAATACCTTTTTGTGGATCCAGAGCAACTTCCCGCTTCTGGATTATATACAAGCTTGGCTATATCTAACAGTAGCATCTGTTCAGGCCAGCTATTGAATAGCAGGCACATAACATAAGACTTGGTGGCCTAAAAGCCGATAAGGAAAATAAAAAGTCTCATAACTTTATATTTTCATATTATGTTTACAAGAAAATTTGTGAGGGAGAGTGAAATTGAATCATGATCGAGTGAAAGGGAAGGAAAGTATATAGACAAGAAAGAGTACACAACAAGCAAAGTCTCAGATTCTGGATGCTCTTCACATAATGTAAGAAAGTGTGCGAAAGTTGAAAAAGTTCTGAGAGTAAGAAGGGGGAATCGGCGAGTACATAGTAAACGGAGTTAGGGGAAGGCGCGGTGTTAAACCAAAGGTCCGATAGACGCCCCGCAGTGGGGCTTAAGAATCTGGACTTTTCTGAACCCACCCTCATCTTCGTCCTTCGGTGTTATATGAACTATGTGAGGGAGAGAATATTCACAGAGAATGTTTACCACAGAACGCTGCGTACAGCCTCCTAGTTTTTCCGAGAATCCATCTGACAGCACTGTCGGGTGCCCACGTCAATTGTATACATACAAATATAGAATCTATTCGTCGAAAGGTCATAGTAGAATTTCTTCTCTAAGCATCTTATCTATTGCATCATGGGCTTCAAAGCCCCAGCTCGCATAGCGCTTGCAGCTTCTGTCGGTTATGGTATTGTGTACCTGCACAATCTTACTTACCCATGTCGGAATATGGATTTCACATGGCAGGCCACGCCGGGTCACTCCAAATCCTTTTCTTCGAGGATCTTGAATCCTAGAGATGGTCCTGTAGATGAGGAATCTTACAGTCTCCGGATACCAACACGAGAACTCCCAGCTGGAATTACCGACGAAGAGCTTCTTGCCAGATTCACCAAAGGCGCTTTCGGAGGATGGATCTTTACACCGGAAAGGTGGATTGCTCCTTTGATACAGCGTTGTATCGATGCTGAATGTATGATACTGTATCTGAAGTTTAAATACTGTATTACTGACCTTCAACCTTTTTGAAACAGTGATTTCGGCCATCAAAACCTCTAGTTCAGACCCATCAACGCCTCCTATCTGGAAGTTGGATTCGCTCTCCCGGGATATTCTCCCTCCACTGGGAAGTACCCTTTTCGGACTACTTACCCTATTCGACACTAGTACTTGCACTGAAGATCATCGCATATCTGTCTTTCCGGATTCAATCCATATTCCCCGGCCTAACTTCGCATTCGCTGAGTACGCAGGACGTACCAAATCCCAAGGTCTTGCTGCCTCACATCGCTTCGAGGTCACTCGGGAGTACAAGGACGGGGAAGATAGAGTTAGACTGACCTTCTCTCATATAAGAAGCAACCCCAGGACCGGTGGCAAATCCCTACCGAGCTGGTTCGTGTGGTTTCATGTCTTGTATTCTGGGCTGCTTTTTGCCGACGGAATCAAAGAAATTATGTATACTTAGAACTCGAATACAGAATAGGATTTATTGCGTCTCGATTCGACATTCTAAGAGCACTAAAGTATACTGGTGGTAAACCAAGAATGGACAGATCGCACTGCTAACAATACCCTGCTTGGGAGCCACAATCTCTGTCTTGCAGAGCAGCAAACAAGATACTCAATATAGTTGTCAAAAATTATCATTATCTAGGACTAGAAATGTGTATTTTACAACTTTAAGGATTTCTGTCCTAAGTTCTTTCTATGTCTAGCTTTTTTCATATCCTAGAAAAACTTGTCATTCCAACTCACAATCTTCTATCTTCAAGTATAGCACCTGTATATAATAGAGTACCTGACTGGATGGTTCACTTTAACAGCTTATAACAACTTACCTTAACATACCTCATATTCCCCCATACTTTTATTCTTTTGAGGAATGACAAACAATCCACGCGAAGTCGTATGAAGATCCGCTTCACTCTGCATGTAATTGCAGATGAAAGGTGGTCGTTGCTTTTCAGCAGATTTGGCTATCGCCAATTGACTGGATTTCTGATAGCTGTAGAAAAGTCGTATACCATTCTGATAGCAATTAGCTGAGATATTTCGAAAGACCCAGATACAAAAGCGGTAAGTTGATGATTAATGGGCGTGTACTAATATGTATAGAGTTACCCTCTCCACAATACCTGGGAATTACAGCTAGATTGTTCTGGAAGTTGGTCATGAATCGGAAATTCTTTATGTTACCAGATCTTATTACCAGAAACCTCCTAGCCGAATACAGCCTATTCGTTTCAGCTGGGGGTTCGGTTGTAGTCTTGCATATCCAGGGTAGGCAGGGTAACTATGCAAGGCACAGTACGTAAAGATTTTGGTCTATTACAATTACTTCTTTTCATCTTCGTCAAGCGCCATGCTCAAGTACTTTATAGTGCGAATCGTATTCTTCAATCCCTTTTTGTTAGAGGCAAGGTAGTCTTGAAAGTGCTTGATTTTTTTTTTTTTTTGCTGGCTTTATAGCGCTTTCTGCAACTCTAAATTGTGTTTCTCCAGATCAGCTTGCCTTATCTGAGATAGATGTAGGTCTTGCTTGAGTTTTTCTACTTGTAGTATACCACCCTCAAAAATAAAGGTAGACTCATGATCTGCTGCTACAGCCCAGATTTCGCCTCTTTCAAGCGCTTTCTGTAACTGAATATTTTGTAGGTTTGTATCAGTACCTCAGATTTCGATAAGCGTTAGTCGCGCACGGTTTAGAGAGCCTGTTCTAGTCACGTGGGTTACGGCAGTGAGCAAGCGGGAGCTGCTCAGGATTGCTGACTGAGTGAGCCAAATTGAGCCAGAGCAATCCGGGAGTGACTGGAGTTTCCAGGTGCGTGCTCCGTGTGCAATCCGTGAGTGTCCCAGAGCACACACAGATCGTTCACGTGCTGCCCTCATAAAAGCGGCGGCACCCCAATTGGGTAAGCAAACGGGAGTTGCAGCAAAACAGTTCACTTATACACTAGTAGTAAGTGGTGGGTGGGGGCCCCTCTGTGGCCATCCTGTCAATTGCCAATCCATGGGAACAACAGGCAGCTGTCACCCCCATCAGAAAAGGATAATTCCCGATAGGTGCACCGTTCCTCTTCTTTCCCTTGAGATTTTGTGCAATCTCCATCGATTATTCCTCGGGTGGTGGAAGGGTAGTTTTCGGGACCAACCGTCATTGCCTCTCCAGCTCCAATCGGGAAGTGTCTCTCTCCCCAGCCATCCTGGACGAATTAAAACATGGATCTGTCAGATAAGTGGTCGGGATCTGTCCCCTTCACCGCATGCACCTTCACTGGGCCAACTCAGTCTGCATGGCTCCTTGCGGCACCAACACGGCCTGTCCCGTGAAAGCTCAGACTACTGCCTGAGGTGGGGTGCTTTTTAGTTGTACTAATTTGTCCCCGCTCCCATCCACTCCAACCTTCTTTTTGCTTTCTCTCCATACAACAACACTGCTTCCTTTTCTCTCCACCCAAACTAGCTTCATAACTTCCCACTGACAACAAAACAAAACCATCATGTCCTCTGAAGGTGGCCCTCCGCGGGGACCTGGAAGAGGGGGTAACCGCAGCGGAGGAGGCCGCGGTGGTGGAGGCCGTGGAGGAGGCGGAAGAGGTCGTGGAGGAGGTGATGGTGGAGGAGGCCGTGGAGGAGGCCGTGGTGGTGGTGGCGGCGGTTATGGGGCAGGCAGAGGAGGAGGTGGCTATGGACCCGGTCATGGCCAAGGCCGCGGCTCAACCACCGACCTTCCCTTTCGTCCTCCTCCCGATGGAGGCAATCCTAGAGGTCGGGGTCAGGGAAGAGGTTTTGGTGGGGGCTATGGCGGTGGAGGCAGAGGCGGTGGAGTCCAACCCCAGGTGTTTGCGTAAGTACTAGTGTGTCCATGGCCCATGGCTGTCTGGGGTATCAAACTGACTTTCTGGCATTCTACTGTAGACCCAGTGGAAGTGTCCCCATTCCTAATAGTGAGGTCACGAAGACGGAAAACGCTGTGGCCGCAGCTCTAGCAAAGAAAGGGCCCAAGTCCACTGAATGGCCAGAGCGGCCCGGATTTGGCACGCAAGGAAGAAGCCTCACCTTGTACGCCAATTACTTTGCGCTCACCTCAGTGGGCAACCAGCTATATCGGTATCATCTCGACATTCAAGGCGACGCGGCCGGTAAGAAGCCGGCCGGCAAGAAAGCCCGTCACATTGTGCGCTTGCTTATCGAGGAACATCTCTCGGAGCACCGGAGCCGAGTGGTGACGGATTACATGTCTACCTTGATTACGAACAGTGAGATCCTGCAAGGGAATGAGACTGTGGATTATGATGTTCGCTACCGTGATGAAAACGAAGAGTACCCTGAGCAGCCAAAGGTCTACCGGGTGAAATGTCAGAGCACCGGCACCCTGAGCCCGGGGGAGTTGTTGGATTACTTGACTTCATCGAATGCGGCCGCCATGTTTACGAAAAAGGCAGACGTCCTCCAGGCCATGAACATCATTCTGGGCCATCAACCCAAAAGTGATCCGACCATCTCTTCAGTGGGTGCAAACAAGCATTTTGCCGTCTGCGGGGAGCGTCGCGAGCAGTGGAACTTGGGGAATGGGCTGGAGGCTCTTCGCGGCTTCTTTGTCAGTGTTCGTGCCGCAACCGCGCGTCTGTTGGTCAATGTGCAAGTAAAGTACGTTGCTTGTTACCAAGAAGGTCCGCTGAAACAGGTCATCGAGGCGTATCAACACTTTAACAGGCAGGCCAACACTCCCCGTTTCCTGAAGGGCTTGAGGGTTCGGGTCACCCACATCAACAAAAAGAACAAGCAGGGCCAATTGATTCCGAGAATAAAGCGCATCGCCGGTGTGGCAACCAGGAGGGATGGATCCGCGTTGCCGTATCCCCCTAAAGTGCCCAGGGATGGCGCAGGGCCCGACACGGTGATGTTCTTCCTAGAGAAACCCGTCGAGCCGGGGTCATCGTCGCCATCGTTGCAGCAGACTGCGCGTCCGAGTAAGAAGCAGCCTGCTAAGGCAGGGCCCTTGCCTGCTGGCAAGTATATCAGTGTTGCCGAATTCTTCAAGAATATATACGGAATCAATGTTGACTCCAGAATGCCCGTTGTGAATGTTGGGACCAAAGAGAAGCCCAGTTACTTGCCTGTCGAAGTGTGTCACGTCGAGCCCGGTCAGCAGGCAAATACCAAGCTCTCACCCGAGCAAACCAAAAGCATGCTCGAGTTCGCTGTGCAATCTCCTAAGACCAATGCCGAGTCGATTGTGATGCAGGGAAAGAAAGTGCTGGGTCTGGAAGGGTCCACGAACCCAACCCTTGAGGCATTCGGTATCCGGAATGACCTCCAGTTGATCACCGTACCTGGCCGCGTCCTCCAGGCGCCCAGTGTCCTGTACCGGAATTCGGCAGGCTCGAACCAAACCGAAGCCAAGCTTAATGCAGGCAGTTGGAACATGCAGAATATCAAGTTTTCGTCCCCTTCCAGACTGCCTTCCTGGGCCATGCTGCTGGTTAATTACATGGGCGGCAACCCAATTTATTCGGATCCTACGAAACTCCCTGCTGCCGCCATCACCAAAGCGTTCAACGATGTTGGCGTGCAAGCGCCACCACCAAGTGCTGGCAAGTTGGTTGTGGTCGACAGGAGATCTGAGGACGACATGAAGGCGAAAATAAGTCACATCGTTTCCGACCTCATGGCGACCCACAAGCCCCTACTAATCCTGGTTGTCCTTCCGGCTCAAGACACCGTTCTCTATAACTGCGTTAAGAGGGTCTGTGATCTGGATTATGGCGTTCGCAATGTCAACGTTCTTGCCAAAAACCTGTCGAAAGACCGAGGTCTCCCTCAGTATCTGGCAAATGTCGCCCTGAAGGTCAATCTCAAATTGGGAGGGGTCAACCAGCTCATTGCGCGCACAGAGCTCGGCCTCATTGGCGAGGGTAAGACAATGCTCGTGGGTGTGGATGTGACCCATCCATCCCCTGGTTCCTCGTCCAGCGCCCCCAGCGTTGCCGGCATGGTCGCCTCCATTGATTCGTCTCTTGGTCAATGGCCTGCGGAACTCCGAGTGCAAGCCAGCCGCCAAGAAATGGTGGATGATCTGGATGCAATGCTGAAGGTTCACCTCCACCGCTGGGCCCAGAACAACAAGAACGCCTTCCCGGAGAACATCATCGTGTATCGGGACGGTGTTTCTGAAGGCCAATACGAACTCGTCGTGAAACATGAGCTTAGCCGTCTGAAGGAAGCCTGCCGGCAAACTTACCCAGCCCCCGACACCGCGAAGGGTCTTCCCCGTATCTCCGTCGTGGTGGTAGGGAAACGCCATCACACGCGGTTCTATCCAACCCAAACCAGAGACGCAGACCGCTTCTCCAACCCCCCCAACGGCACGGTTGTTGACCGTGGCGTGACCGAAGCCCGGAACTGGGAGTTCTACCTGCAGGCGCATACTGCCATCAAGGGCACTGCTCGACCGGCGCACTACTTCACCGTCTGGGATGAGATCTTCTGCAAACAGCCTGTGAAGGGCCCCCACAGGAACGCCGCCGATGTCCTGGAAAGCCTAACGCACCATCTGTGCTATCTGTTTGGCAGAGCTACCAAGGCCGTCAGCATCTGCCCTCCCGCCTACTACGCCGACCTGGTGTGCACGCGGGCCCGTTGCTACCTCAGCAACGTCTTCGACCAAGCCGAGACAGCAAGCGTGACCACCACCACCAGCGGCGCCACCGTGGTGGACAGCAAAGCTGTCACCATCCACCAGAACGTGCGCGCCACGATGTTTTACATCTAAGCAGCCACCCAGGTTGGAAGCAAGATCGCTCGTATCATATCGGATATTGTGAAAGTACTCCCCTCCCACTGGTCCCACCAACCGTTCACAGCCAACCAACCATTCAACATTCTTGGTATTTTCTCCATCTTTTTGGGTAACCTCCATGAATGGTTGATTCTTAGTACCTACGCGATTGGATCTATCTTTCGCACTATCTGATGATTTCGAGTTACCTTCCGACCCTCTCCCCCCCCCCAAGATTTTTTTTTTTTTTTTTTTTTTTTTTTTTTTTTTTTTTGAACCACAAAAAAATTCCCTTCTTACATTCCTTGGTTACAACTGACAGACAAAATGATTGTCATATTGATACTTGAGATTGGGTGGTTTGGTGCATGAACGAGTCGAGATGAAATGAGTCCAGTTCGGGTGCGTGAGTGAGATGAGATGAGATGAGACCAGTCTACAGGAGAATTATGTGTGCATGTATTAGATTGTGATCGTATGTCACATACATAGTACCTCATATCTAGGCTAGTTGGTGAATTGAATTGGACTTTTATTGAAAATGGTTTTTTTCGTTGTATGCATGTGTGACTTACGGGGTGGGATATGTGTGTCCGTCCTTGTTGCTGAGTGGATGGGGGTATAGTATAATTGGAGTAATGGGACCAGTAATGTAAGCTCAGATGTCTTTTCTCCTCTGTATGGGATCAAAGACGAAGAGTACAGTAACTCGTGTATTTCACACAAGGTAGAAATGGTAGATAGATAGATGTTTAATACACGGGTGAGTGAATTGGAGACTGAAAGTAGGAAGCAAAAATTAATTACAAGAAGTAGAACACTGAACTAAACTCGGCACGAAGAATACACAGCTGGAAAAAGGTCAATAGAATTAAAACAAGAGCAAGTTGTCATTGATCCGTGCATGCGTGGACTCTGCTATCGTTCACGGCGGGAATAAAAGTATCATATGCAGGCTTTTAGGTACGCTCATCTAGTGGGAATATGAGGGGGGGGCAAGTCTCGTCGTCACGGGATGAATGGAGCAAGGAGCGAATGCTTGACCCCAGTACATTGCTGGTTCGATACTGGTGTCAACGGCACGCTCATCGAATTGGTAGATTATCAATTGTCACCCATTTCCCAGTTGCGCTGGTTCACATACCGCACGGATCGACGCTGAGGGGGCGTCATCTTGACGGGCGGCCTGGGTGACTGATCGTAGTTATCCCACGACGACTCCATGTTCTTGAGGGCCCTCTGCCGGTCACCGGGGACAGGCTTTTGGTTCTCCCGGCTGGCCGCACCCTTCTGTGGCGACTCATCGGTGAGAGAAAAGTGTGTTTCAAATTCCTTCTTACGGTTGGGCCCGTTGTTGACCACCGACAGTGGGGCGTTCTCGTCTCCCTCCTTGTCGTTGAACAGGTGGTTCTTGTAGAGACCCATTCCCTTGTTCTGGTAGGAGCTGATGATGCGGGGGCCGTTCTGGTCCTCCTCCGGCGCGTCTGCCAGTTGGAAGTGAGTTTCGGCGTCAGGACGAGCTTGACCCCCACGGGGTCTGACCGGGGGCGAGGTGAGGTCCGGCTCATCATCGCTCCAGCCAAAGTGACGGATTTCCTCCCCGCGAAGTGGACGCTTAGGCTTCTCCGGTGTCACGAAATCATCAAAATCCCAATGAGGTGCCTGGCGGGATACAGGACGACCGGGTTTCTCATGAACCTCCCGTTGGCTGTTGTCGGCACCCAGCTCGAAGTGGTCGAATCGCTTGGGGTGAGCCCGGTAGGCGATCTGCTCGTGACCTCCCTCAGCGCCCGCCTCATCAGTGTCGAAGATACGGGAGGCCTGGTGGTTCTTGCCTACACCAGCCTTGGCAGTATTCCTGGACCGGGAGGGCGTGCCGGGAGGGTCAATGTCCACGTCACCATGGTCACCGAACAGTTCGCTGTACTCGCGCGGCGGGGGCTTCGCAGATGCCGGAGCACGGGGCGGGCGCACCGGGTCACTCCGGTCCTTACCGGGAGAGAGGAGTTCAAATAGCGAGTCAGCTGCGTGGGGATCCTTGATGTGTTTCTTTCCCGGGGAGGCCTGTTTATTCGGTTCGTTGCCATCCTTCTCGGTATCTGCGGGCAACGAGGATGTAGGGGCAGGACCGTCGTCAGCTGGGCCCGAGGCAATCGAGTTTTTGATCAGGCGAATCTGATCCTTGGGTTCGCGGACCGGCCAGCCGCGACCACGAGAACCGATCACATCGACCTGTTTCAGTAGCGATGCTTGGTCCCAGTAGATTCGGACATTCTGGATCTCATTCTGCGAATTGAAGCGAACGATGTGGACCTGGTCACATGAAAGGGGAGCCTTGTCAGAAGACGTAGGGAAGAGATAGCATTAAGTAAACAGGCGCATACGTACCGTGGGGAAAGTCGCGACGTGGCCGGCCAGGAAGTTATCGTCCAGCGAGGGAAGATACGCCCCGCCGTTTCCAGACACAAATTCGTAGGTGCTCTCAATGTCCAGGCAGATGGAGTTGGCGCTCTCGATGGCATCCAGAACAATCTCCGACTTGGTTTTGATGTTTCTTTGCTGCTTGGTGAAGTGGCTGACCACCGCGGATGCGCCGTCCAGCTTGGTGGTGGTGGTGATATAGATCAACGACACATCGGAGGCCAGGGGCGCCGACCTGGGGTCAGCCAGGAAGCGCCGGTAGACGTCTTTCAAAGACATGGTCGCCTCCAAGTAGGACCAAAATGTCAAAAACGAACGAATGTGAAGGGGAAAGGTTGGGCAAGGGAGAGACACGACAAGGGGATCGTAGAAGAGAGGATGACAACAAGCCGAGGGAAAGAAAGCAAATGAGCAAGCGAAAGAAGGAAGGGGAATCCGCCCGTCGCAGGTGGGCGCGAACCACGGTTGGGGGCGTTGCAGTGCCCGATTAACTCCAGATAAGTGCTGCTGTGGAGGAATGCAGGCAGCATCCAGAGCAAGGGACAATCATAACAACGCCCAGGCTCGACTCGACCAAATCCCAGATTACGTCTATGGACCCTATTCACAGCTACGGTCGCCCTTCAGGACGGTCTGGGGGATTCTTCAGGAAAGATTCGGGTGAATACAGATCCCCTTCACGGCCACTGCAACTGTAATTGCGATTATGGATATCCGTATCCTGCCCAGAGCAACATCCTGGCCACTCGGTGGTGAATCCGACAACCTCCGCTTCACCGCTAAGAATGGGCAATTCAGAGGATTCATGACATGGTTATAATTCATCCGTCAGCCCCTCTGAGGCCCATCCCAATCTCAGGAAATCGCCCTCCACGCTAAGGACTGGGGAAGCCATGCGCACGGCTCCGACGATGGACACACCAGCGTTTCACGATGGGCCACCGGCGCCCGCGTCTCTCCGGCAACTGCTTGGGCTCGGAGGGATTCATTATTCGTGCTGCCTGCCAGTCTGCCACTGCCCGCATCATTCCCTGCACTAACCTCCAGAACGGGCCACGATCGACTCCATACTAGCAGAGAGGACAGAGATCGGCATCTTCTACTATATGTATGGTTTATTATTCTATTTTCAACCCTTTGTCCTGCAAGCCGTTTTCGCATTTTCCGCCCTAGATATACACATATACTTTCCTTTTCGCTGACATGGGTCCGAGGATATCCCCAGTCCTCCCTGTCATTGTTTTCTCTGGTTCATGCAGAGCCTAGTGTAGCAGCAAGCAGACAGCCCCATTCGCCTGCGCGGGCTGCTGCAAAAATGCACGATATCATGTCTTTCGATGATATCCAGGCCCAAGACTCGGCTTTGGGCGCGCTCTCATCATTCTCCCCCATGGGCGCATCTCCTTACGAGGCAGATACCTTTCAACATGGTCGTCTTTGTATGAGTTCAGTAGTAAGGAAAGGTGTCAACGGTCCTCTCGGTCAAGCGGTATCAGTCATTAGGGTAGATGGTGGAGATTGGTGGCTCATCGCATCGCATTACAATGGTCTAATAGGGGAGTGTGCATCAGTAAATCTAGATCACTCAAGGTCACAGCCAAAGACGGCATTGGCTACTCACCCGAGGTAGTCTTCCTTGATTGTTCCAATGGCATTGATCGCCGCAACGTCGGGCTTCACACCAAGGATCTTGAGCCGTAGACTGGTGCCTTTCTCGATGACTTGGTCTGCATGATCCGTGTACTGCGGTGGTACCGTGTTGGGCTCCCACTTGATATCGGAAGGAATGTTCTTTGGCAGCATATTAGCATCCGAGTCCAGGAGGCCCAGCTCAACTCAGTCGACATACTTTCCGTGCAATGAAAACAGACAATGGGCCGGCCAAAGTAAAGATTCCAGTAGGCTTGACAGAGGTCACAATCGCGTCGACCTATAAGTTTGTGGTCAGAATCAGCTGCCACCTTGATTCAACATAACATTCAAAACCTACGGTCTCTCCGCGGAAGGGCTTCCAGATAATTGCCCGGTACTTGATGGTATATTCTGCTTGCCCGCTTCCTGGAAGCACTCGTCCTTCACCAATGTCTACCATGTCCATCACACAGATCACGAAATGGTCACCCGTACAACGTCCTTCCTCCTCCTCGTTTAACCGGTTGATGAGGTATTCGCGCATGTTGGGTCCAAAGTAGGACGGGTGCAAGGTAATCACCTTGATCTCTTCTTTGAGGAAGAACATGTCGCACACTTGTGATCTGTGAAGGTATGGTACAGGAATTCGTTTCAAGAGGCGGGGTGAGGGGATGCGGTTAACGCGACTGATCAGGTTCCGGCCGATATCTTACTGTTTGCCAGAGATTGGATAGAAAGGGTTCGTAATCTCGATCGGCTCGTGTGTGAGGCCAAGGTAAGTCGCTAGGAAACGAATGATGCAATGACTGTATTTGCGACAGAAGGACAAGCGCTCGCCGTCTCTATACTGGATGACAAGATATCCACCACTTAGAGAACCAGAAAACTGCGTTAGCAAATGATATGGAGGCGAGAGCGCACAGCCAGGATAAAGAGCGCAGGAGAGAACAGCCGCAGCAGACAGACCCTGCCTTCGGACAAGATAAGACAGAGGGAGGGACGGCCACCAGATAATTCGACACCACAATCATGGCGGTCATGGATCCTGGTGTCTGATCCGCCCGAGCTGGATGCTCTCACGTGACCGTCTGAAGGGCCCCGACTGCATTACACAGTGATACACAATACCGGGGAGTTTAGGCCGCAACTTGGGCGCACAACCGGTCACGACAAGACACAGCGTGTAATCAATCACAATATCCTCGGCCCTTCTGCTGTTGTTACCTAGGCCGGGATGACGTCTGCACGAGCATGGAGTCAGGAACAAATAAAAATGTCTTATCTCTCCACCTGCTAAACTGGTCGATCAGGCAATATCCTGCGCCAGAAAAAAAAAGAACTAATCTCACATTCTGTGCCTAGTCTTCTTTTGCCCCTCGATTCAGCAGCATCCTTACAAACAAAAGGACACAAGATGGCCTTGAACCTCGAGAAGCAGCTTCTCTTTGTAAGCTCCCTGTCGCTACTCCCGGGACAGACTTGGGGTATTTCGATGCTAATGAGCCTCTCAGTATGGAGCCTACCACAATAATCCAGTATGCCCGCCCCTTGACACCTTTCTCGTGCTAGCGCTAACTTGGCTATTTTTCAGGTCAATATTGCGATTCATATGACATGTGTGCCAATCCTTTTGTTTACGGGAATCGCGCTGGTAGGACTTGGTCCCCCAACACAAACAGCGATGGACTCCTAACCCGATGCGATTCTCCAGGCATCGAACACGCCGGTCCTTTTGGCCCTTCCTGATGCGCTCCAGATTGATAACCTTCCACTCAATCTCGGAACGATCGCTGCCGTTATATACTCCGCATTTTATATCCTTCTAGAACCCGTGGCAGGTGCTCTGGTCGCTCCCCTGATAATCGGCGGTGCAGCCTACGCGAACCACCTCCTGGCCACCTACGGCACCAGCGTTAACTACTGGTTTGCTGGGGTCCATGTAGTGTCCTGGTTGGCCCAGTTTGTCGGCCACGGTGCCTTTGAACGCAGGGCTCCTGCTTTGCTGGACAACCTGGTTCAGGCCCTTCTTCTTGCACCCCTCTTCGTCTGGATGGAAGCCCTTTTCTTCTTTGGCTACCGTCCGGAACTGAAGGCAAGGTACGATGAGAACGTGCGGAAGGAGATCGCCGCTTTCAAGACGCAGAAGGACAAAGCTGGCAAATAAGTGAAATCAGGAATGGCCGAACTTGATGACTTTACTGTGGGTGCATGGCTAAACGGCTGATGCTGCGACCCTTGCTGCAACAGCGTCGGATTTGTCAGAGCCCTTCTTATATGTTGACTGTATGTTTTTGACTGCTGGCTGGAAATTCTCAGCGATTGGGTTAGGAGTCTGTCAGCGCTGCATTATTACTACGACGACAATGGAGCTTTATCAATAGCGAGGTTTTCAGAAATTGGCGAATTATTTGATGTTCTGCAGCTTCAACATGCATCCCGGGTGGATTCGTGATGTAAGCACCAGAGGTACGGAGTAGACAGGGGAAGCGAGGGAGGAATGGAAACGGGAGAGAAAAAGGACTCAGAGCCGAGAATGTTGGCATGTACGGAGCAGATACGGAAGACTATGTACCCGATGGACCAGAAATGACGGGCAGAGGGAAGTTAGTTTTAGTTTGCTGTCGACCGCTCCCAGCCATGGGCAGGTCAACGTCGAGCCGGGATTCCCACCGGGACAACCGGTCAAAGCAGTGAGGTGTCGACGGGCGGGTTGTTGGCAGGGCTCCTGCGGGCGGTTGCTGCGACGAAAATGACCTGAGTAAGCCAGCCAACCAGCAGTATCCGCAGATCCGAGAAAAGAACAAATGAAAAATGGGAGGGCCAGGTGGCCCGGAGAAACACCAAAGAGCGGAGCAACCACCACCGTTCCTCCCCCGGGCAGTAGTAAATTTATTCCAGCGGTCAACGGTGTCATAGGCAATTAGGACATAAAAATAAAAACACCAGAGAACGAAAGAGGGAGCCGATCGGGCGAGAGAGGGGGGGAAATACATCACACCCTGCGTGGACAACTTTCTTGGGGTGGGTGGGCGTCCCGTGAACGCACTAGGGCGGCTTCGGAGGTTGGTGAGGTCTCGGCAAACTAGGATTAGTGGCAGTCCTGAGAATCCTCCCAACCCCGACGACAAAGCTCTCCTTCCATCCATCCACAATCCTTTCTCCTCTTCCTCCCTCCCCCCAATTACATCTCTCCTTCAGAGAAACCACTCTCCCACTCCTCTGAACCTCCATCACAATGTTCAGAAACGCTTTGCGGCAGTCTAGCCGCACCGTCGCGGCCGCCTCTGCCACTGGCAGGATCGCTTCGGTGAGTCCTATCCCTGCCCAGGTCGACCACACCTTCGCCCTTTGGCCGTTTCCATCGAAGAAGTCATCTCAATGATGCTTCCAATCGCCTCTCCATACATCGCAATGCTTGCTGCACCCTTTTGACGCGTTTTCACTGCGTGGTCGTGATGTTGACAAATTTTGCGTACGACTTCAGGCTCGCGCGGCTGTTCCCGGCCCCATCTCTGGTGCCTCCAAGCAGATCCGTTCCTACGCTGCTGAGGCCAAGGCTGCTCCCACTGAGGTCTCTTCCATCCTCGAGCAGAGAATCCGTGGTGTTCAGGAGGAGGCTGGTCTTGCCGAGACTGGACGTGTCCTTTCCGTCGGGTACGTGACGATTTCCCTCGGTTGAAAATTTTTGGCCGCAGCTTCAATATCATCGAAACCATCGAAATATTCGGAATTCCGGCTTCAACCATTCGCTATCGATCGGGAATCATTGACTAATATCAAAATAGTGACGGTATCGCTCGTGTCCATGGCATGACCAACGTCCAGGCTGAGGAGCTGGTCGAGTAGGTGTCCCGTTCCAGATGATCCACTTATGTACCCTTCAATTGACAAATGATCAGGTTCGCCTCTGGTGTCAAGGGTATGTGCATGAACCTCGAGGCCGGCCAGGTCGGTGTCGTGCTTTTCGGTTCCGACCGTCTCGTCAAGGAGGGTGAGACTGTCAAGCGTACCGGAGAGATCGTAAGTAATTCCAATCGGTTACCAGAAGCGCTGGCTTCGAGAGCTATACTAACCATCCACCCAGGTTGATGTCCCCGTCGGTCCTGAGATGCTCGGCCGTGTTGTCGACGCTCTCGGTAACCCCATCGACGGCAAGGGCCCCATCAACACCAAGGCCAAGAGCCGTGCTCAGCTCAAGGCCCCTGGTATCCTGCCCCGTCGCTCCGTCAACCAGCCCGTCCAGACTGGTCTGAAGTGTGTCGACGCCATGGTCCCCATCGGCCGTGGTCAGCGTGAGTTGATCATTGGTGACCGTCAGACCGGTAAGACCGCTGTCGCCCTTGATGCCATGCTGAACCAGAAGCGTTGGAACAACACCTCCGACGAGAGCAAGAAGCTGTACTGTATCTACGTTGCCGTCGGTCAGAAGCGTTCCACCGTCGCTCAGCTCGTCAAGACCCTTGAGGAGAACGACGCCATGAAGTACTCCGTCGTCGTCGCTGCCACTGCTTCCGAGGCTGCTCCCCTGCAGTACCTTGCTCCCTTCACCGGTTGTGCCATGGGTGAGTGGTTCCGTGACAACGGCCGCCACGCCGTCATCATCTACGATGATCTTTCCAAGCAGGCCGTCGCCTACCGTCAGATGTCTCTGCTGCTCCGTCGTCCCCCCGGTCGTGAGGCCTACCCCGGTGACGTTTTCTACCTCCACTCCCGTCTCCTTGAGCGTGCTGCCAAGATGAACGAGAAGCACGGTGGTGGTTCCCTCACTGCCCTCCCCGTCATTGAGACCCAGGGTGGTGATGTGTCCGCTTACATTCCCACCAACGTCATCTCCATCACTGACGGTCAGATCTTCTTGGAGTCTGAGCTGTTCTACAAGGGTATCCGTCCCGCCATTAACGTCGGTCTGTCCGTCTCCCGTGTCGGTTCCGCTGCCCAGGTCAAGGCCATGAAGCAGGTTGCTGGTTCCCTGAAGCTGTTCTTGGCTCAGTACCGTGAGGTTGCTGCCTTCGCCCAGTTCGGTTCCGATCTCGATGCCTCCACCAAGCAGACCCTCAACCGTGGTGAGCGTCTCACCGAGCTGCTCAAGCAGAAGCAGTACTCTCCCATGGCCGTCTCCGACATGGTTCCCCTGATCTACGCCGGTGTCAACGGTCACCTTGACTCCATCCCCGTCGCCAAGATCCTCCAGTGGGAGACTGACTTCCTTGCTCACCTCAAGAGCAACCACCCCGAGATCCAGGAGACCATCGAGAAGGAGGGCCAGGTCAGCAAGGAGCTCGAGGCTCAGCTCAAGGAGATCATCCCCAGCTTCAACAAGTCTTTCAACGCATAGGTGAGCACAGCAATGCTCTTGGGCGCGTAGCCCACTGTGTACGATTTTTATCCTGACTCTATGTGTATAGACAAGATAGCTTGTACAATTTGAACCCACTATTTTATTTTGCTGTTAACCAGAGCTTCGGATCGGCCGAGATATTCTGAGATGTAGTCCACATCTACGCGATGGTATTCCTGGCGGATCTCCCGTAGCTATGGGGCGGGGTAAACCGGTGGGCGCAAGAAAGGCAAAAAAGATACGATTAATATCCTGTACGTTTAGATCATTTCGCGCGACAAGGGAACGGAATTGGGACGGATGGACTGGTTCGGACTGTATTATACCTTCCAGCTGGTCGCTGCTCATGAAACCTTTGTCTACATATATGCAGCCTGAATATGATTTCCTTTGTTCTGTTAAAATCGGGCCCCGAGCGGGTCCTCTGCTGTAGACGCTAGGTCGTCCCCAAGTCCCAACTGACACCTGGGCGGTCATAGCGGTCAGTCTATGAGTCTGGGGTAAGGGGTGAGTGTTCGGCATGAACCCGTGGCATGAGATCCGGATATATATAGAAGCCCTGGGGGGACCATTGCCGAGTGGCGCCCCAGGTTCCTCCGCCGATGCCGTAGGCTCTAGGATCGTGGGTGTCATGATTCTTGTCCAACAGTGACATGGCTCCTCAGCCGATTATACGATGATTACGATCGTGTAGTCAGTACATGTTCTCCAAGGACTCGGCCTGACAGCTTTGCGGGGGTCGTGCCGGGTGAGACGCTGGCAAGCTCGCCGCCTGGAGCGGCAGGGATGGGCCGAATGCGGGCATGCTTTTATCGATAAGCGAGCATAGCCTTTTCCGTCCCAAAATTTCTTCCATGCCCCTCCGCCATAGCCCACCTCCAGTAGAGTATTGACTCACCACTCGGTTGCTTCGATACATTCCCTTTCTGTCGCACAGATGGCTACCACTCATGATTCGGCTCCGGCCTCCTGCAAGGTCATGCTCTCCAAGCATGTCGCCAATGGCCTGATTGCGGAGGTCAAGGAGGGTCTCAAGACCCTGGAGAAGGCGCCTCACTTGGTGGGATTCCTCGCCAACAACGACCCCGCGGCTTTGATGTATGCCCAGTGGACGGAGAAGACTTGTCAGGAAAAGTGAGCATTCTCCCATTTTCACTCTCATTTGCGTCAATTCTGCCCTCTGGTCTTTCAACCTTTGGGGGGGGGGGAGGGTTGCGCATATGACTCAACCTGCGATGTCGGAGCTCCGCGGCGGGCAGTATCGTGGGATGCCACTTCGTAGCTAACGTAGTCTCTTCTCCTTGCACAGTGGGTTCCGCTACTCGCTCCGTGAAGTTGCCCGCGATGATCTCGAGCAAGCCATCCTCGCGGCCAATGCCGACTCCGATGTTGACGGCATCATCGTATACTACCCCATCTTCAACAACCGCCAGGACCAGTACCTGCAGCAGATCGTCGACATAAATAAGGATGTAGAGGGTCTGAGCCACCGCTACATCTTCAACATGTACCAGAACATTCGTTTCCTGGACCCCGAGACCAAGAAGCAGAAGTGCATCCTCCCCTGCACCCCTCTCGCCGTCATCAAGATCCTTGAATACCTCAACATCTACAACACGATATTGCCCTATGGTAACCGCCTCTTCGGCCACACCATCTGTGTCGTGAACCGCTCGGAGGTGGTTGGTCGTCCCCTCGCCGCCCTGTTGGCCAACGACGGTGCTTGTGTGTACAGTGTCGATATCACCGGCGTTCAGAAGTTCACCCGTGGTGAGGGGCTGAAGAAGGGCAGACACGAGGTCGTCGACCTGGAGGGCAAGACCCTGAAGGATGTGGCTCCCTTGTGTGATGTTGTCATCTCCGGTGTTCCTGGAGAGGCATACAAGTTCGACACCAGCCTCCTGAGAGAGGGTGCTGTGTGTGTCAACTTCTCCAGCGAGAAGGTATGTCCTCAGCCGATGCTTCACCCTATTGCAAGACTAACCAAACTATGAACAGAACTTCGGACCCGAGGTGAAGGAGAAGGCCTCCCTCTTTGTTCCTTCTATCGGAAAGGTGACGATCGTTGTCTTGCTCCGCAACTTGCTGGTCAGTGAATCTTCTACATCCCCTTGGGAAATGTTCCACTAACCATCCACTGCAGAGACTCATCCAGAACAGCCGAATGGATGATGTGAAGCCTGCTGCAGCCACCGAGCGCCCGGGAACCCTGGAAGCGGCCTCGTAATTATGTTCTACGACAATCATCCTATAAAACGTGCGACGGGAGACGATATCAAGCAGAGCCAGCCATAGATTTTCTTTCTTCCCCTTCTTCTGTTTTATCACATGAACCTGAGTCATATATTATATGTAACTCGCCTTGCATAAAAAGACAAAAGCTGTCGCGTTTTGGCTAGAACCTACATGGCTCTGGTTATCCTGAGCAATTCAACGCATGAGAAATGACTATATGAACCATCCCGGATACACTGGGTCCTTATGACCCAGTACGAAAACACCCCCTTCAAATTGAACAACAAGGTAGTTTCATTTCAGAGACTGATACAACCTGGGACAAACTCCTAATTCTTTTCCAATCCACACTAATTTCCAGTAAACCACATTGCACCGCAGATCACTTTCTCTTCACATCTTCCGTCTCCTTCACCCCCACCAAACTCGCCACACCCCCAGTCTTCTTCTCCGTCTCCTTCGCCGCAAGCCGAAGAACCTCAATCTCACTAGCCAGCCAATTCCGCAGAGGCTCCGGGTGGAACGTTCCATCTGCGGCGAACCATTTCGTGAACGACGTCTCGATCTCCTTTTCCTGCAACACCTTGCCCTGCGCCGACTTGTACTGAATCTGGAGCTTGTAAAGAGAGGTGTGCTTCTTCACTGACGACCGAATGGAGATCTATTCCACAATACCACGTTAGCACAGCCGATCTCTGCTCATAATATGTGACTTGAAGAACCCTACCGTTTCACCCGACTTGCGCTTCCCCCGGAATACCTCGCCCGCCTCGACAGCCCAGACCCAGTACGTGAGGAGCGAGTTCAGCGTGAAGTAGGTCACCACCGCGGCGATGATCCATGGCGAATGCGTCGACTCCCACTGTAGTTTGCGCTCAGCGTAGAAGCTAAATCCGGCAATCGCGACGGCAGTGTAGCCCAGGAATAGGTGGACGTTGGTCTTGGTGTGGTCTTGGGCGAAGGTGTAGGGTTGGGGGAGGTAGCCCAGGTAAGGTGCGAGGGCGTCGTCCGTTGTAGACTTCAGGTCTGTACGAGTGAACTATCAGTTACCAAGTTCAATATTTCCAACCGTGAGAAACGCGAGTGGTGTATTGCAGATCGAAGATAATAATGTATATCGCGAACGAACTAACCATTGGCCGAGTAAACGGGCACTTTCTGTACCTCTGCGGACGCCATTTGTGAGATTCAGTTAATCACCGAATAAAAGATACCAAGATAATCAGCTCCCCAGTTTCGTAACTCTCAGTAATTGATTATCACCTAAACGTTGTCGAGTTCCAGGAGGGTTTGAGATGGGGAGGAGTTGCGGCGAGCTGTCCCTTTCGCAAGCTAAAGCGGCATGGCATGCGCCAAGGCAAGTCAGCCCCGTCCAACTTCGTGGGGAGCTTCCCATCCGCCGTCTCTTCCCTCTGCCCTCCGGACCGTACTGTCGCAGTTAATTTTAATTCAATCCAGCTCACCATGGCTTTGCAAGGGGTTGAGCAGACGATCCTGAGGGATCCGGCTCTGTTGTGAGTATTCCCGGGAATGTGTTGGGCTTGAAGATATGCTGATGTGAATTGCTACTGCAGTTATTGGATTGTGTTTCCTATCACGATTGTTATGGTATGCGATTTGCCTTATCATGGGTACTTGGTGTTAGGAAAGGTGCTAAATGTATATGTATAGATCCTGACCGGTATCCTCCGTCACTATGCCACCGTCTTGATGAACAACCCCCCCAAGCCTGCCTCGACATTGGCCGAATCCCGCGAACGCCTCGGTCTCATCCGCGGCGTCAACCTACGGAACAATTGCCATGCCGTGCTGTCCAAGGAGTCCTTCGAGATGCGGAAGAACTACCTCGTCTCTGCTTACCAGAGTGGTGCTTTCCTCAAGGACCCTGCGAACCGCGGCCAACCGCCCGCCAACCCGATGACCGACCCTGCCGGCATGGAGGCTATGATGGGCATGATGAAGGGGAATATGATGATGATGATCCCGCAGACGCTGATTATGAGCTGGATTAATGCGTTCTTCTCGGGATTTGTGATTTGTAGGTTATCTTTGGTAATCTGGGGTTGGGAGAAGTGAACTGACAGGTTGTGTGCTAGTGAAATTGCCCTTCCCCCTTACGATTCGGTTCAAGTCGATGCTGCAGTCTGGTGTCATGACCCGGGACTTGGACGTGAGATGGGTGTCCAGTCTTTCGTGGTATTTCTTGAACTTGTTCGGTCTGCAGTCTGTCTTTGGGTTTATTCTCGGCAGTGATAATGGTTAGTTGATTGTGCCTGTGGGCTTAGGCCTGCTTCGTTTGTTGGGTTGTACTAACGGACCTGTTTAGCGGCCAGCCACATGTCTCAGCAGATGGCTTCGATGAACCCTGCTGCTGGGATTAACCCCTTCCAGCCCGGTCAGGATCCCGATAAGCTGTACCAGAACGAGGCTGAGAATTTGGAGGTTATGGAGCACTTTTGCATTCTGGATGGCGTTGAGGAGAGAGTGCTGCGTCACTACGCCGGTAGGAAAAGCTATTAGAATTCCACTCGGGAAAACTGGTCTATGGCTGTTTGCGTTGGGTATTGCTGAAAATATTAGACGAAGTGTGAATGTACACCAATGATATATATTAAGCGCATAAAGGCAATACTAAGAGGAATTACCTCTGCCTCAAGGCCTTGCACAACATCCATCAATCATAAACTCATAACGCGAAACAAAATATATACGCCCAACCTGTCAGGATCACACTGGTATCTAACGATAGTTAATAACCCCATTAAGAATCCACACCTCCCCATTCGAAACCTGCTCCGCAATACTATCCACCTCTACATTCCCCGGTTGAATCTATAACCCATTAGCACTCAATCCACTCAACCCCAAGGACAACTCAGAACTCTTCACTCACATAAATTTTATCTTCGACCCTCTCCCACCTCAACCTATCCCCCGCAAGAGTCCTCCCCTCCTCCCCCTCCCTCCACGGACTCCCAGTTACAACATGCGCCTGCACAAACCTCTCCAAATTCCTCTTCGCCCTCTCCTGCCCCTCATCCCCTTCATACGCGCCCACCTCCCCGAACCGCTCATAATCCTCCGGATTCTCCCACGGCTTGCGCGGCAGCTCCTGGATAGCACTATTCCTCGGCGCCAGGACCGTCACGTTACTGGTTGCATCGTTTAACTTGGACTCAATGGAGTCGAATTGTCGGGTGAGGGAGGCGAAGATGTTGATGAGGCGGTTCTTGGGGAGGACGTCGGAGATGATGGGGTTTTGGTTCTGGTTTTGGTTATTGGAGGACATTTTGTTGCCCATGGGGGGGTTTTGGTGCGAGAGCCACTGCTTTAGGGTGGGTTGGGTGTCTTGGAGATGGAGGTCGTGGCGGAGGTGGGGGGTGGAGAGGAAGGGTCGGGGGAGACGTTTGCGGAGGGGGAAGGGGGGGGTAAGTGCTGTTGAGGGGGTTGTTAGGAGGGTTAGGGTGATGATTAGGATGAGAGTGAGTGCTGCTGTGAGTAGAGGAGGTTGCATTCTGTAGATATGGTAATGTCTATGTAGGTGAGGACTTATGTACTATGTAGTAGATGGATCGGCCGTGTCAGCGGACGGGGATGACGCAACTAGTAGTGTCAGTCAGTGCACGACATCCCACGTGACAGCTATCGATAAGGGCAAATGGGGGCGGGCCACAAACGGCGTCATGTTCCGGTCGCGGAGGGAGGAGCACTTGTCGAATGTGATAGATAGCCCCTCACCACCCCGGAAGTCGACTGTCCCCAAGATGTCGGCGTTGCAGACGTTCCTGCTGGTCGTGGACCATGATAAGCAGGAGGCTAAGCAGATCGCGGAACGAATTGCCCAAGGTATGTTTTCGTTCGTTCGTTCGTTTGCTTGATGTGATGGTATCGGGGTTAACCGCTGTGCTTGGGAAAGATGTGGAGAGCAAGAAGACCACCCTGATTGAGGTCGTGCAGTCGCTGAGCGAATATATCAATGACGAGGATTCGATTTTGCGCGGAAAGGCCGTTTCCTACCTCACGGCGGTGATTAAGGCGCTGCCGCCGAAGTTCTTGTCCAGACAGCAGATTCAGGTCCTTACGACGTTCTTTTGTGATCGGATCGAGGATGGAGGGGCCGTCGCGGGGTTGGAGACTCTGCAGAAGCTGGATCGGTTTAATAAGCCGTTGGCTGAGGAGGTTGCTCTGGCGTGAGTACATGGATTTGGTTGATTGAGTTATGCGTTGTGAGTGGTGCTGGGCTGACTTGTGCAGTGTTTTCGACCGCTTGCAGGAATTACAGTCTCGTTCGCAGTCCCAGAGATTCCAGGTCTATCAACTGTTGAATGAGATGATGATCAATCATCGTGCCGGTGCGTTCCAACCTATACCTCCGACGTTGTCTTCGGGAATTGACCGGTCCAGCTCTTCATGATATGGGCGATGAGTCACTTGTTGGAATAGTGAACCTGATGACGGGCGAGAAGGATCCGCGCAACCTGATGCTGGTGTTCTCGATTCTCAAGGTGGTCATGGTGGAATGGGATATCTCCAACCATGCTGAAGTATGTCTATGCGGCCGAGATCTGGACGTCTGATACTGACTATGGAAGGCATTGTTCGACTCCGTCTACAACTACTTTCCGATTACCTTCAGACCCCCGCCGAATGACCCTTACGGTATCACCGCTCAAGACCTGAAGGATCGCTTGCAGGATTGCATCTCGGCGAACAGCCTGTTTGCTCCGCATGCCTTCCCCTCTCTGCTCGATAAGCTTGACTCGACATCTCCGAATGTCAAGGTATGCACCAGCTAGACTTATCTCTCTTTTGCACGCTGACACAACCCCAGAAAGATGCACTCAACGCCTTGATTGCATGCGTCAAGTTGTACGACCCGAACACCGTGTCCAAGTATTCGATCACGATCTGGGAGACCTTGAAATTCGAGATCCTCAATGCCCAGGAGGAGTTCCTCTCCGAGCTTTCTCTGCAGGTCCTGAGTAGTATTGCGCAGCGACTGTCGGAGGGTATCACAGAGATCTCCGATCAACTACCTCTCGCTGTGTACTTGCAGCCCATTACCAAAGAGTGCAACGAGCAAATACGGGAGCCCCAGCAAAAGCAGGCGAAGCCTGCTCAGCAGATTCTGAGCTCTGTTTCGGCTGCCTCTGCAGCTTCGTTCACCATCATCATACAGACCGTCGTCGCACCGCTGTTGACGATCTACCAGGAAGCCGATGGGATCGCGAAGCAAAGAGCCCTGTTGGATACACTGGGCGTCCTCTTCGACTCCGCTATCCGAGTATTTGGTGATTGGGCATCGCGGGACGCGGAACCCACTCTCGGAAATCCATTGCTCGAGTTCAAGGACCAATTTTCAGACATCTTTGGTCAAGCCCTAATGGGCGTTATCAAAGAGGAGGTTTCATTCCGCACTTCCGCTCTGAAGGGCTTTTTGCGTTTGTCTACCCTGCGCAACTACTTCCAAGACAACGAGATCGGACTGTTCGTACAGTACCTCGACGAGATTCTTCTCAAGGAGGAATCTGTTGGTCGTGATGACCTGAAGAGGGAGGCAATTGCTGCCTTGACAGAAATCTCAAAGTACAAGTCGCGCCTGATCCTGGACATCACCTTCCCTGCTTTTGTGGCCACTCTTCCTGACTCTGATGACGGGTCGGATTCTGGGTATATATCCACCCTGGAGAGTCTCGCACAGATCAGTGTAGAGAAGGATGTCTTCGAGACTCTGGTCCGACGTTTACTCAGCAAATTGAGCATCTTGCTGCAAAAAGAGGAACCCGGCTCCGTGGCCTACCCCAGGGCCATTCTCTCGACGATTCTTTATGTCATGAACCAAAGGAAACTGGATCAAGACCCGAACCTAGAACTCTACTACGACAAGATCGTCGTGGGCCTGTGCCGTAGCGCAGCAGCAGCAGCTTCCGGCAAGGCTACCAATACTATCCTGAACGACGCTACAGTCCTCGATATACTCGGACGGCTGTGCAATGTCATTGTCAAGTCGCTTCCAAAGAGCAAGCAAGAGGAAGTCGCACGGAACACGTTGAGTCTATTCGCCTCAGAAGACGGCTTCCAAGAGGTGACCTCGGCATCATCACCAAGCGACAACCACCGCCGCACAATGATCCTCTCGACATACCTCGCCGCAAGTCTCCCACGAGATCTCAAGACCGAGCCATCCTGCATACCCGACTCGCCCACTCTCATCTCCAACGTTCTCACCCACATCACAACCCTTTGCATCAGCGAGACCGAGCCCGCAACCCAGCTCGCCCTCCTCCGCTACCTCGCTCTCTGGGTCAACAAAATCCTCGAGAAGGAACACCTAGACATTGCAACCGCCATCTTCGACGGCCTCCTTCCTCCCGACGTGCAAGACCCGAAACTGAGCCCCTCCCAAATCAAGACCATCTTCTGGCTGTCTAAGGGCCTTGTCCTCCGTCTCGCCCCCAAGACGTCCCAAATCCTCACCACCCTCCTGAACCTCCTCTCCTCGACCGACGAAGAAACCAGCACCACCGCAGCCCGCGGCTTCGCCCTTCTCCTTCGCGACGACGAAGTCCTCTCCACCGCCAACTTCGCCAACATCCGCCTCCTCTCCAAACAGCGCGTCTTCAGCACCCTCATCCCCCTCATCTCCAGCCGCATCCGCGAAGTCAACATCACCGGCACCTCCTCCTCCACCACCACCCCAACCCCCTCGCACATCAAACCCTCCCACCTAACCGCCCTCTCCGGCATCCTCTCCACCATCCCTCCCACCCTCGTTACCCCCGAACTTCCCACCCTCCTCCCCCTCCTCCTCCAAAGTCTCGACCTCCAAACCGCCTCCTCCCAACCCATCCGCGCCGCCACCCTCGAAACCCTCGCTGTCATCATCCGCGACAACGGCGTCCCCGTGATCGAAGCATGCGGACACGTCCAAAGTCTCGTGACCCGCTTACTCAAGACAGCCGAGCACGCTCCGGCCAGTGGAGCCGTCAATGGGTCGCGTCTGCGCGCCGATGCCCTCAAATGTCTGTTCTTGCTTGCGCAGACGCCCGCGTCGTCGTCAGATGCACCGGCTATCGCGAAGGCGGGGAGACTGTCTCCGCTCTTGCCGGTTAAGAATCAGGTGCTGAGGGCGTTGCGGTTCGTGCTGGATGATCCGAAGAGAGATGTGCGGAAGGCGGCGGTTGATGCGCGGGGGGCGTGGCTGAGGGGTGTGGATGATGCGCCTGATGACCAGGATGAGTGATGGGGAGTATAGTGTGCTTTTTGCTTTGTGTCTTTCATTTTCACGTTACCTACATATTGACGTTGGTTCTGTTGTGATTTCTTTGCAGTAGAACATAAAAAGAGCTGTTGGTCTTCTGGGGCATTACAGGTTGAGACTATTTACGATATTATTGCGATATAGAGACCATGGTTGGGGATCGTGCATGAATTGAGCTTGATTTGAAGGCCCTCCAAGATACTTCCATGATGCTTGCATTTACCCGACGAGTGACAATTTCATTTCCCCTATCAACAGGACCAACTGGCCTGCTTCATCAAATTGAAGGTAGATACACGCAAGAGGAGGAAAAACTGGCGAAACGCAGCACGCCTGGGAACATTCCTGGCAATCTGGAAAAGCTCAATAAGCAATAGACAGTCTTTATTCACCCAAATCTTCCTTGGATATGTCGCATTTATGAAACATCACCAGAACTCCTGTTCAAGCTGATCAAGGGCTGCTGGGCCTGCTATATCGTTTTGCGGGCCAGCGCTACCTATCTCCTTGACACTCTCAATATCCTCGAAGTCGAGGCCCTTCAAAGAGGGGGCAGGCTGCGCCACGAGAGCACCTTCGGTCAGGACGCCAGGCCCCTCGTTCCAGTACCCAACCCCATCTGCTTTCCCAACGACCTTTTTGGTGAGACGGAGGAGGTCCCCAAGTCCACCACACCCAATGGCCGAGGCGACAGGCCCAATTTGTGTACCCGTTGTCGAGGACTCTTGTTTGTCACCCACAAGAGCAGCGTCCCTCCCAAGTAGGTCAGCACTGCACCAGTCTTCCGCACGTTCGCCGACTTCGAGAGTGGCATTACTTTTCAAGATCGATTCGATAGCGGGGCTTATGAGTGACGCTTCGTACCAGAGCCGCCCCTCCCTGATCATCTCTTGTGGCTGCATCGCACGGGCACGGATAGCCTGTCCGTCTGAGATGGTCCCAATGACCAAATCTTGCACCTCCAGAATCTGCAAATAAATGTCCTCAGTGGTTTCGCCCTCCGCAATTGAGTTACCTTGGGCCTCATCCGAAGGGGCTGACATGGACGCATGTACTGCTTGGAGGGGCTGGTCTCTGGCTGATGATCTCACATCGGAAGTACTGTTATTTGAACGGTGGATGCTATTGGAGAGACCCTCGTTGGAGCGAATGAATCTATGCCTAGTCCAACGTTTCAAGAACACCTTCTCGACGGTGACTTTGATTCCGTCCGGGAGGCGGGTAAATATGCACAGTAGCTGTCTGTCTGCAGGTATGCAGAGGTAGTCAACCATGTGTCGAGCGGCTTCTTCAAGTTCCGGATTGGCACCGGGCAGATGTTCGGTAACACGATTAATGGCCACCATTGCATCCCAGGTCTGTCCAGGAAAATGCAGGTTCACACCCCCAAGTGGTGAAATTGGCTGCCTGACTGAATGATTCCCCTGCTCGTCGATTGCAATGACAATCAACTGGCCCGTCTTTGTTCGGCAATGGTATTCATATGATACGTTGTATTCGTCGTATTCTTGCTCGAACAGGCGACGCTTACCTGCTGCTTTGGATGTCTTGAGGTTGACGAGATGGTCGACATCAGCACCAGATGTTGTCAGTCTGCTAATGAACTTGGTCGTGGGTGCCACCAAGCCATTCCGTGGCTGGAAAATCTTGAGCCATTCATTCATAGTGATCACTCGCTCGCTGCACATCTGTGGGATTGTCGGTATTAAGAGCAACCCGATCTGCACTTCTAACGACATTGACCCTGGAAAGGATTCAGCAGCTTCTAGTGTGGGCTTGAGGGCTTCATAAAGCTGCTTGATTTCCTCATTCATGCGATCGCTTGTAGCATCTTCCATGCCCTTGTCTGTTTGGGGGTTCCGCCTCCCTTGGCCCTGACTCACAGGTGTCGCCTTTTTGTCGTCTTTTGGGCCAGGACAGGGCTGAGTTCCTGAAGCCTCGGCAGATGGTTTTTTCGCAGGCTTTACCCAGCCCCAGGCATCTTCGAGCGTCGCCTGTCTCTTGGCTTTGTTCCCAGTCTTGCTCTGCACGATGTTACTCGGCTTGGGTGCCTTGTGTATCATAGTACGGTGAAAGTTTCTGGTCACAACTTCATTTCTGGAGCGTTTCTCCGTTTTGTAGGCCCTTTCAAGCTCCGCGACTTTATCTTGGGACAGGGTTCCCCGTGTCTGTCGCAGGCCCGGTGCAGTATTGTAAGCCTCATCGATAACGAGGGCAGTACCATCATCACTGGTCTTATAAACCCTGCTCAAAGAAGCTAGTCGTTGTGTGTTTTCAGGCATGCTCTCACTACTAGACAAAGTCATTCTTTCATTACCCGAAAGGGACTCCCTGTCTTTGTTGAGAGAAGTAACCCTGTTATAACCGCAAGAGGCCGTTTTGCTATTGCACGAAATGTTCGCTCTGTCAATGCTAGACGAAGTGTTCCTGCCAGCACTGGAAGCTGCCACCTTGTCGCTGTCCAGGAAAGACGCTCTGTCGCTGCCGTAGCCAGAAGAAGCCGCCCTGTGACTGTCTGAAGAAGGCACTCTGTCAAAGCTGGGCGAATCGTTTCCGTCATCAGCAGAGAAAGAAGCTATATCATTACTGGACGAAGTGTCCCTGTCATTGCTAGACGAAATCACTCCTCGGATAGATGCCGAGCTACTGAGCTCCAACGGAATTTTGGGGTCCTCGAAGGTTAGACCAGCGAGATCCAGAGAATTGTTGCTCATGCCCTGGATGACCAAGCCCTCCATACTCGGAGGTGTCAAGTGATCAACGCTGCTAACAACCGGGTTTGCTGGAACCAAAGCAGGATGATAGAAAGAAAGGAGAGGGCGAGTGCTGGCGCTTCCACTTGATACCGGCTCAAGTATGTCAACGAGTGATTTTCGTTTGCTATGCTTCTTTTCGGGTGTCCGCACTTGGTTTGGGTTTGTTCGCCGGCTTTGGAAGTTGCCCCATGTACCCGTAGTAGTCTGAGGGGCACTTCTGTTGATACTATACCTGGTGGTATCAAAAGTCGGAGGTAGACGCACCTTCTCCTCAGTTACCATGGGTTGAGCGTCTCTAGGGTCTCCCTGCAATGGACTCGACAGGCCTCGTGGCGTAGGTGCCTCAACTATCGGGTCTGTCTGCTGGCCTGCAGTATTGGCATTGTAGGTCATCCTCCATTTCCTTCGAGGTTTAGGAGAATCATCTTCAGGTTCAGTTGCTTGGGCTATCACCCGCTCAGGAGTGACAACTGTGGGCTCCGGTGTTTGAAGTACTGCACGCTCAGGAGTGACAACTGTGGGCTCCGGTGTTTGAGTTACTGCACGTTCAGGGGCGACAGCTTTAGGCTCTGGTGCTTGAGTCATCCTCAGTTCAAATTTATTCTCTCCACGCTCGCCGGTTGACATTGGCTGGTCCCTGTCTAATGGGATGGGCCTGCGACCTTTGATACCGGGGGGCCTTTTGGGAGCTGGGACTGAGCTCTGAACAGGTGCTGACTCAATTCGTGGAACATCTTTGGACTCCGCGTCAGTTGCAGAGATAGTTTGCTCCATCTCGACTCCCTGAACAACCCACTGGTTCACTTCATTTGCCTTTTCGGCGGTCAAAAAAGGGTGAGGGGCCGAGAGACTAGAAGCTGTAGCATGAGCCTTCGCTGCAACATGCCCGGCGACTTTGCCCAACGCAAGATATTCATCGCGTTTCCCAATCCCTTGGAAGGTAAAATCGTTCCAGATACGAGAAGTCCCAGGTTCCTCCGTCACATGCGGCGGGTTAAGAAGATTGTTGGATGCCTTGAACACCTGGGCTTCTTCATCAAAGGAAAGGAGGATTGTGACGAACATCTGACCGAGATCCGAGCTCAAGTCCGAGCTCGGATCGGCCAGAATCCGCCCAAGGGCTATGCGATTAAGACTGCTGTAGCTCTGCAGTCGGAGGCGGATGGGGCCACTACCAGGAGTAGCGTTGATATTCGCCACGTTTGGGTTCGCAATAAAGCTCTGTTGCATATGTGAGCAAATAATGAGGCTCCAAGTGAGGCGAAAAACTTACCAGGGGCCTCTCAATCCGAGAGAGTTTTGCCAGAGCATCATCAACATCCTCGGGTGACTTTCCAGTCACTTGGATTCTGCGATCCTCGACAACGGCAATATCAGTGCCCGTCAATCCTGCTATCCGCGTAATAAAATCATGGAAGCGATTCTCTGAAAAGCAACCAACCCCCCCGCTGGGCGACAGCCAGAACTTCGTGACCAGAGCAACCGGATTGGGGATCAACTCCTCATCTGAGTCATCCTCCAGAGCCAAGAGGCCGCCTTCATCGCCCTGATCCGAGCTAGGGTGTTCGTCATCTTGAATGGTAGCAGAGAGATCTAGTTGATTGATTCGAGGCATCTGAGTTTCATCCATTAGTGATGATGTGCTAGTCATAACAGACCGCGAGGACGAGGAAGCGAGGTCCGAACGCACATCCAAGAGGTCCTTGTTCCTCTGACCGTCGATGAACTTCGAGACGGCCTTCGCGATCTGTGATGGGCAGCCTTCAAGGTTACCGTCTACCTCAAGGACCTAGGCACAGGAGTCCGTTAGCATGAAGGAAGGTAAGCTAGGCTGCTAACTCACGTTTTCAGATCTATGGTAGTGACATTCAAGATCAAGTTGAGGATTTGTTTCCCTAAAACGGTCAGAGCTGATGAACAGACAGTGATGTGAAAGATATGGAGTGCGTACTTGATCGTGTCCGTGACCTCCTGAACCTGTGTTGCACTATGTCAATAAGGAGCTCCCGCGCACAGCACAGGCTATCACTCACTCCGATATCTTCGAATGCCCACATTGATGCGAGCGTGACCCGCTGTTTACCCGACATTATGAAAATGGACCTCACACCCGCCAGGGGAAGATGCTATGATCGTGCAAAGTTGAAGCCCCAACTTGGCTGAACAGAGAGAGTGGATGAAGGAAGAGATCTGCTGGCTACAAGCTAGTCGAAGAGATAAGTATCAATAGATGATTCTCGGAGGCTAGAGAGATGAAAAGGAAGGAAGCAGATGAGAGTAAAGAGGAAGGAGGAAGGCGAGGAAGGAGGGATGGTCTGGCAAGAAGGTGGCGGGGCAAAGGGTCGTCAGTTAATTTCTCTGGCGAAAAGACACGGGGAAACGAGAGCCAAGGTGAATGTTTAAGATCAGTAACACTAGCCCCAGCCAGAGGGAATAACCACAGGCCGCGGAACAAACAGACGGCGGGTGTATGCAGAGGAGCCGGGAAGCCCAGTGGACGCCACCAGAAGTCTCTTGGTATCATTGTAACCTGCCGGCTCAATCAATGGACGAGCAAGAGAATAGTGGACTCTAAGTAACCCCCCTGGTTAATGGAGAACAGCTGTGACTGGGCTGCAAGATAATGTGAATTTCCTGATTCAGGGACAATATCAAGGCGGGAGAAGGAGGAGCCAGACCACCGTCACCGTCACCGGAGACCCCCGATCCTTTCACAGTAGAGTTCCGTGACTTTGAAAGATATTTGCATTATTGTATTTTTGCATTTCCAGGCAAAAGCATATCTATAGGGTACAGCCGTTTTGGTCATCTTAATAGTTTAAACACAGGATTGACAAGCAGCGACATGATGGTCTATTCTTCCGGGGTATCGAACAATCCCAAACTCCAGATCTCTTCCAGAGATTTACTGGAGAGTGTGAATATGACAAGAGAGGAAATTGAAAGGAGGGAGGAAGGAATCGAGAAGAAAAGAAAGAGGGGCAAGACAGATCGAAAGGAAAAAGTGAAAAGAGTGCAAAGAAAGGAAAATTACAAGAATGGAAAAAAGTCCCAGGGCTTGAGCCTTACCGTCGTTACCGACCAATGCGCAAATGAAACCAGTATCCTCCGGACTGAAGGCAAAGAGAACGGATAGAGGGGATGAAGGCGAGATTGGACGAGCTAGATCAATGTACCCGCCATTGAACCAAAGCTGCATGGGTAGCCCGAGCTGTTCTGCTCGTCATAGTGTCGCCAGGAACGTCTGTTAGTATCATCATGGGCGAAGATGTTGCATTTATTGGGCGTCCTTGATATCCTCTTTCACCCGAATGGCCCATTTCATCTGCCCCTGAGTTTCCTGCAACGAAGCGAGAGCGGCGTTGATCTTGGCCTCGCCCTCACGGCCGCTTTCAATCAGCGACCTCACCTCTTCGTCCTGTGCTCGCTTATAAGCTTCATAGTTGGCGAAAAGGGCCTCGAACTTCTGTCGGCTTGTCTCAAGCTCACGGTCCTTCTCAGCCATCAATGCGTCCAGGCGCTCCACACGGAGGTCTTTCTCATCACTCCGCTTTTTCAGCGCAACGAAATCATCCCTCAACAACTTGAGTTTCTTCAGGTGCTCCGCCCGCTCCCGTTGCCCGGTCTTTGCCAGCACATCGTATTGCGTTTGAGAATGATGGGAAATTTCCTGCAGCTCGGCGCACTTCCGATTGAAATCATCCCGAGCCTTATCCATCAACTGGGTAGTCTTTCGAGCCTCTCCCTCGATGTTAGATCTCCGGTCTTTCTCGCTTTGAACTTCTGCGCGCAGCTCGTCGATCTTCTTGTCCTTCCGTGAGATGGAGTGCAGGTTGGTCTCGTTCGCCTGTTCGAGATTCCGGAGCCGTTCGGTCATGTTCTGAACCTGGATTTTGTAGGCATCGTTCATCCGCTGAGTTTCCTCGGCCCGCGAGCGGTAGACGCTACAATCGCGAGTCAGGCGCGCAACTTCCTCCTGCAAATTATGGATCACGCGGCCGGACTTCCCTGTTGCTGCGTGGCCGACGGCGGAGGACCATTCGGTTGCCGGAACATCGCTCGTGGTCGGGTTGTGGACGCCGTTCGTCCCGTTCGAGGCGGGGGCAGCTACGGGTTCTATAGCCATGTATCCGGATCAGCTAGGTTTCGAAGATATGCAATGGGAAAATCCTGGGGAATGGAGAGGGTGCGGAGCAAACTTACCGGTCGACGACTCCTCGGCTGCGGATGCCTTCTGTCGCTCCGAGGAGCCAATCTCAAACAGGCCATTGTATTGATGCATATTCAATTGCGTTTCCACATGGGGTAGGCTCACACGAGGGGCTTGTTGGGGATCTGACGTAGGTAGCACAAGCATATTCGGGTCAGCATTTTTCGTTCCTGGCTGAGGGGACTTCTTGACCCGACCGAATCGGGCCATTCCGAGCAGAGCGGATGGGCTTGGAATGCTGATGGGAGGCAATTTGGCCGCAAAGGGCAATGCGACAATGAAGGGAACGGGGCAGGTATCCAAGCAGCGCTACCTACGACTCCCGTAGGGAGGAAGGATGACCACCTGGGAAGCCACTCCGTGAGCGGCTGCAAGGAGCAGCAACTCAATCGGACGAATAGAGCCAATGCCTGCCGGCAACTCTAGCGCAACCTAGAGCCGATAGTGCGCCCGCAGAGTTTGTGATTCCCGGAGTGGAACAGAAAGCGGCTTTGAGTTTGGGAAGTTGGGGGAAATGGCAGGTGATGGGAATGCATGGAAGGGCACGAAATGACACGGAAGAAGGGGAGAAAAAAAGCACATACCACTGAGTGGATCAAGGCTTGATTGCAGGAGATCTGCAGTAGGAATATTATTATTATAAGTAGACTGGTGCTTATTCATCGCCGAGACATGCAAAAAAAAAATTCCCAAAAAATCAAAATATCCGGGGTTGCGGTGGCAGAGAACTGAAATGATGCAGAGAAGAAGCGGCGAAATGCCGAAACAAGCAGACTATGGAAGCATGGGTGTCTCAACGCACCTGGTTTACCCGCCGATCCGCGTAGACTCCAGCACGAACCATTCACTAGGTCGCCAGGGTGAATCTCGCAAGTTGCACCGAGAAAGGGGGGCAATTATATATCAGGCTGCCGATAAGAGAGGGGTACAGGTTGCCAGGCACGAAGAGATGGAGGGGAATGTCGATGGACAGAAACTCAGAACCCAGACGACGAGAAACCGCCCGCTTTTAGATGCAGCCAGAACCGATGGGCAGCAAAGACTGATGCCCATAATTTAGGACCCGCGAATGTGATGTGTCTGCCTGTCACGGCCAGCAAGAATAATAATAGCAAATAGCCGCCACCAGACTGGGCCTGCCGCCACTAACCACGGCCGCTAAACCGGCCTGTTGGTTGGATCCAATGATTATTCCAATCCCCCCTGCTCGCTTCCCCATGGATCATCCACCTGAAACAATCCAGCCTCACTGCAAGTAGTCCCGTTCGCGATGCCTGGCATTAATTGACTGCAGATTGGGCGTCTATCATGACGTAATTCACTCATTGTTTGCTATCGCTGATATTCAAATCTGCCAAACCAGCAGGATCACTCGTTCCTCCCCAGGAGATCATTCCCGACTCCGGGTCTCGCCCGCTCGGCCCAGGGAAAAGCCCCACGACCTATGAAATCGCATGTTATATACAAAGGAAACACCAGGACCACCAAAGGAGCGTCGTGAGACAAAGGAAAAGCCACGTCGAAAGGCTCAATCATGAGATTAAATACGAAGAGAAGTTTGTTCGTTGTGATCAGACATCATTACCAGCATCCCGTGACATAAGCGTGGTCCAGAAAGACCGTTCATGCTGATGCATAATATCATGGTTGTTTTTGTTTTTGCAGCTGTGGATCCAAGCCCCGTCAGATTCAACAAGCCAGATAGAAACCCATAGCCACCATGCCAAGGACAAGATCAAGCGAGATGATTTGGAACGGCGCGCCGCCATTCTGCATTGCCGCGGCCATAGCACTCTTGCTGTTGGTCACATTGGAGTTATCATGGTTGGCGCTAAGAGTGAGATTGGTCGTCGCATTGTTACCAGCAGTAACACTGTTCACTTCATCCCGGGGGGCAGTATCGGTGGGAGTGGGAGTCGGGGTGGTCTGGGTCGCCAGGGTGGTTGTAGTTGGAGCCGTTGTCGTCGCCGCCGAGGCAGTTGAGTTCGAGGCGTTGCCGACGGTGACAAGGCCCGAGTAGTTTACTTCGCCATCCTGTTGAATCTGGAAGGCATAGTCGGCACCTCCCGCCAAAGAGTCATCGGGTGTCCATGTGTAAGCGCCTCCTTGGGCATTTGATGTCAGGACTTGAACAGTATCAAGGTCCTCTGCGGCGCCTTTGCGCAACGTGATCGTGGCAGGCTAGGAGCGTCATCAGCAACCGGTTCATCAAAACAACCACGGGACACCAAGTGGTTCATACAGCATCAGAATCACTGTCCCAGTTCAAGGTGGTAGGGACACCGGTCTCAATGACAGACGGCCATTGTGTGAAAGCCAATGCTGCCTGTGCAATTTTGACTTGGGCCAGACACGCCGACACCGCGAGAATCGACTTTGCGAAGCGCATTGTTGCCACGAATACTGTGTTTGTATTCGAATGGATATCAAGAACCCGGATGTCTGGTTGCAGGTGAGACTCGGTGTTGGTGGAGTTACCCCAGATATTCAGCTAACTTTGTCCTGTATAGTCCCACTAGACCCCCACAAGCCTGAGCTACGCGTCTTCCCGGGTCAGTAATAAGTCACAATAGTCGATACGTACCTTAGTCGGACAGAGATATTCCCCAGGATGTCGACGGAATGGCGCGACTCGTACAAAACAATAACATCCAGAAGACGACGGACATCCGGGCTGGAAGGCAGGCATTTATTTCCCTTTTACTCCGTACCTGTGCCTTGTTTACCGGCTGGTCTAATTGCATGCCAGCAGACAGGCGCGACAAACATGCCGCGCTCGGGCTTTGGCATTCCTAACAGTTTGCTCATGACTGGCGTATGTTCGGATGCAGGAATGTTGTTCAAATAGTACGTCCGGGAGACTACATTCTCCCCGCGCCTTTCCCAAGGGGTAAGACTGTGACAGCCCTTCGCTGTCCTCAACCCTGAAATAGCAAAGGTGTAGCAGGTATATAAGGTTTCTGCCGAACTGCCCCCAAGGCGTCAGAAAGGTCGCTGGGAGGTGGGAACCTTGAACTGAATCGTGCCAAGTATGGGAGTCCCTGAAACATTCAAGTATGGCGTCTTTCCACCCATGTTGTATCGATTAGATTCGCGATTTAGGCACTGTATCGAACGAGCGAGAGACGATCATGGCGCGACTCCGTATACCTGCTAGTAATCCCCATCCCAATGCCATGGTTCCCCAGGTATTGCCCTATATGCCAACTAGGGCACCGCAGGCTACAGGTTACACTATCCTGTCTTGTCATCCACAAAGGGGAATTCTGCTTCGCGTGGTGGGTGGATCTGCAAGGGGCAGGAACCAAGGGGCAAGAAGAAGTGTATAGGGCATAGCATGATGGATCACCATTCATACTTCATAGCTTTCTTCAACCGCGTTACTGACACGATGAGGGGACATTGTCCGGTCGGCTTGGTTTGCGCCTTGAATCCAGGGTTCCACAACTACCTCATGCACGAAGAGCTTATCAGGCACTCTCTGACAATGTCCGATCTCGTATAGGAGAACCCGAGTTCTCGGTTTCCAAAAATATCGAAGCCGGACCCCGGTGGTCTTTCATCCCCGAGGATCGCAACGGTGACACTCGGTCCAGATTGTCGACTACCGAAAGCGGAAATCTTGAAGAGCTTCGTCGATCTCCACGCCGATAACCTACAACCTAAACGGCTTGTCGGGATAGACTAGTCCACGATAAGAGCGTCTTCCATGGCAAGATCCGGATGCATTCAGAGTTCTTTGTCGAAGTTACTGTTGCGTTCACCCTAACGCTTGATGGATAGGCTCGTTCCTTCCCTTGTAGATATGGATCCATCCGCCGGGCAAGAAAAGCAACGGGGAAGAACTCAAATGGAAGAATGCCGACTCGACTCTTTTTTACTTTCACATCTACATTCGCTTCTTCAACCATAAAATCGTAATAATATCGCCGTCTTATTCCTAGCAAATGACATAGACTGTCAAGTCGCTCGTTAACACCACACTCGTTTCAAGGCTTCCTTCATTGTCAGCTATTCGCTACCGACATCACAAATTGAATCATTTCATTTCTTCACACTGGGGGCTTCTTTAATGCTGAATTTTCTCATTGGAATGTTGCAAGCAAACTTGCCTGTTCCGCCCAAACGCAGTGCGCCCTCTTCGCTTGTATGCGAGTCCGAGACAGCACCGTCGAGCACAGGATTATCAGACCACAGCGTGTCGCAGCGGTTCTACCGCTCAGTAGAGTGCGAGAGCCGACATGAGACGGCCGAATTTCCTGACCACACTATAGCCGAATCAGCTGCAGTCCAGCGTCAAATAACTCTCGAGGACACACGAAGAACCGCACTGCATACGCTCTCGCTTTGTCGCAACGTGATTGCTAGCCTCGAAATAACTCGACTCAGCAAATCCCGAACAGGTCTGCATTACTGGCTGGGCTTCTGGGATCGAATCTATGACCGTCCTTTCTCTCGTATACTGTCGTCTCGAGTGACCAGCGCATTGGCCAGAATCGATGCGCTTTTCCGCGCCGTCTCTGGCGACCTTCATCAACTGACACGAAGAATGCAACATGCTGTTACATATGCGACAACGGAGAGAGATATCCTCCATTATCTCGAGCGAATGGAGGATGAAGTCAGTGCACGTCGGAGACGGAGGCGAAAGAAGGCACAGGCCATACTGAATAAACTGCGGGCCACTATTGAGTCGATTCCCGTCAAAGTCACCGATGAGCTCTTTGATGACCTGAAGCGTGGGGTCTTCGCCTTGGACGTGTTCTGTGACTATCACCCAGGGGATCCGGTGGCCGAGGAACATGAGCGCGAGGCATTGCGGCCCACGAGAATGGTAGAGACCTCGCCGTACCTCCAGCCGACACAGCCGTGGCACGGATCTGCGGCTGCAGGTGCGTATATGCCTTCGTCCGCATATACAGATATCAATACAGACTGGTCGGAGTATGTTGGAGACTGGGTGCATACCGAGCATGGTTCTCGCAGCCATTATCCCCATGCACATCATGCACACCATGCAGCACACGCCAGGTAGATCGATTCTGGATCTGGATACCGAACTTCAGTTACGGTCCTGAATAGATTTGATCATCTCCAACAGTGGCCTCTTACCAAGTTCAGGGTGACCCCCAATATTATTGTTTCGATAAATTAGACCGCAAATACTGAGATTCTTTCTTTCAAGAAGGCAGACAACTTTTAATCACCCTGATAACCATCCGTATCCCGCCAAATCTAATTATGTACGCTAAGAAGTGTCAAGTCTAAAAGCACAGCCGTAGAATATATACTCTCTCATCACGAGGCAAAATCCCAGAGTCCTCTGATGAGACTGCCAGGACCCGAATCCTGGCCACCATCCTCTTCCAGCATCCGATCCGTAAATATCCGCCGGGGTATTTGGTATTCCACCACCGGGACCCTCTTGAACGGCTTGTCCTCCGTGCCCAGCTCCGCTTGCAACATACCCTGGTACGTGTAGTCCAGGAAGTCCTCCAGGTTGTAGAACTGCTTGGTGAACTGCTCGGATATGATGCGCGCAATCGCAGCAACATTAGGATGATAGTGGGACTGGAGAGTCTCGATTTCCCATAAACTGCTCTCAATGGCTTTTGTGCGGGTCGGGTCAGGCTCCGTGGCGTCGAAGGGATCATCCATACCCTCTGCTAACAGTTGAGCTTTGGTGTCTTCGTCGCTGATGGTGCGATGCATCATGAAGGCACAGGTGGGGTGTTCTTTCAGGAGGTTGTACATGAAGGGGACGATGGCCACGATGGCAGCGGGGGGTGCGTTGAGGGAGAGGCGGGAGAGGCGTTTCATGAAGCTTGCGATCAGGGCGGCGGGCAAGTGGGTTGAGGCGAGGAAGGTGTTCATCAAGCGGAAGAAGCGGGAGCGGTGCTTGGAGTGGAGCAGGTCGGCGTCGAGGAGCGAGTAGAGCTTTTGGTAGAATTGAGGGTAGTCCAGGTTCTTCTCCTGGATGAGGTAGAAGAGTCCGGAGAGGGCGAGGAGGGAGGTCGCGCCGCCGACGTTGTAGGAATCCGTCAGGAAGTCCATGAGGAGCTCTGGGCGGTTGAACCACGGCTCAATGTTGTGGACCATGATGCGGAGGAGAGTCTTTCGTTGCGATTGGGAAAGGTTGTTCCGCAAGATGGCCAGCCAGGCGTCTTGAGCCCGCTTCTTGTGTGAGTTGACGGAGAGCACTTTCTTGTTCTTCTTGCTGGACTGGGTATAGAAACTTTCGAACTCGTGCTCGGGGCCCGGTACGGAGTCGCAGGCCGATAGGATGGAGATCAGGATGTCGATTGTTTCAGTACTCCGCTCGGTGTCTGCGTAATCACTATTTTGTGTATTAGCGTGTAGTCGAGGGTCTTTTTCTTGAGACTAGGACGTACGCAAGCTGCATGAAAGTGTAGTATCGCACATCCTCGAATTCCTTCGCCTTTTCAATAAAGTCGGAGAGGACCGCTTGCCCATCCTTGGCCTCGACGACAGCTTCGAAGACACCTTTGAACAAACCTGATGACCAGTCCTGGATATCGTCGCCAGAGATGTGTGTAGCACGTTCGTTGATGAGACACAGACATAGGGTCAAGGCGCTGATCTGGTTGATATTAGTATCTCTTGAACATGAGGAGTTGGCAGATACGGACCTGAGAGGAGGAATCGCATTGGCGAATGATAGACAGCAAGAGCTTCTGGTACTCTCGACAACGTTCCTTCAGCCATGCTACAATGATTTTCTCATTCTCTGCGGCCCGGCTCGTCTCCGTCATGTTACCCCCAGCGATCAATCGGCTGAAAACGCGGCAGAGGGCGACCGCAACGGCCATATTGGGCTTCGTCGAGCCATCGACATCGAGCATGGAAATCAAGGTTGCGATATTGTTGTAGTATTTCCGCGACTCGGAAATCTGGTCTTCTAGCTGCTGGATATCGGCCATCGCAACTGCACTGTCGCTCTCGGCGACGGCACGGCGCTTCGACGAGGGCACGCCGCTCGATTTGACATTTTTCCTCTTCTTGGAGGTGGTGGCTGCAACCGTAGGGGCCGGCATGGTGACTAGAGGGCGGAAATCGCGTGGAATCGGGGGCGCTGGACCAGCTGCAGGCGCTGCAGTTCCGACTATGGACCATGAATTTTTGGAGATCCCTCGGTTAGCGGTTTTTCCGCCCACGGCACTAGGCCGGAAGGAGCTAGGGTCTTCCGCACCGTCCCAACCGCCATCCCGACCTCAGTCTCCTCATTTCCGTTCATCCATCACATCCTGTCAAGGTCTTAACTCCGCTACAATGGCTTCGCGTTTGGCTAAGAGCGCCCTTGGTATGCCAAACCAGGCACTTCTCAACACGCTTTATCACCTGGCTATGCTTATTAACCCTCCCTAGGTGCTACCCGGCTCCGCCCGACCCTTCCCACGCGCAATGTCGCTTCCATCACTGCCAGCTTGACCGCGTCTCGCTCGAACTCCAGCGTCCCCACCGAGGACCCCAAGAAGAAGGCTCAGTCCATCATCGATGCTCTCCCCGGCAACTCCCTGGTCTCTAAGACCGCCGTCCTGTCTGCCGCCGCCGGTCTCTCCATCGCCGCCATCAGCAACGAGCTCTATGTTATGAACGAGGAAACCGTTGCTGCTTTCTGCCTTCTCAGCGTCTTCACTGCCGTTGCCAAGTACGGTGGCCCTGCCTACCGTGAGTGGGCTGAGGGTCAGGTCCAGAAGCACAAGGACATCCTGAACGCTGCCCGTGCCGACCACACCAACGCCGTCAAGCAGCGTATGGAGAACGTCCAGGAGCTCTCCAGCGTTGTTGAGCTCACCAAGCAGCTCTTCGCTGTTTCCAAGGTACCCCCAGATCCTCCCAAGAGCCATCTGATCGATGTCTGGTCGAGTTCGCGGACGCAGGGGTGCTAACGGTCGCCAAGGAAACCGCCCAGCTTGAGGCTCAGGCCTACGAGCTCGAGCAGCGCACTGCTCTGGCCACCGAGGCCAAGCAGGTTCTCGACTCCTGGGTTCGCTACGAGGGCCAGGTCAAGCAGCGCCAGCAGCGTGAGCTTGCCGAGAGCGTCATTGGCAAGATCCAGAAGGAGCTCGAGAACCCCAAGGTCCTCCAGCAGATCCTCCAGCAGAGCGTTGCCGATGTTGAGCGTAAGTTGCTGCTGCAGCCTAATTTCTGACTAGACACTTACAATGAGTTTAGGCATCATGTCCTCCAAGGCCCAGTAAATGGACTAGCATGAATAGCCTCGCCGCCAGCCTATGTACAAATTAAAGATCTTTTCTGTTGTCACTAGACATACCAATACCAAAGTGGTCCGTTAAAAGAAAGGTAATGGACAGCTATGTCTAGTGTGCCTGTTCCCATCCCGTAGAGCTCCGAACTCGGCCCTTAGCGAGGTCTGCCACATCTGTAGCTATAGCTTTTACAAAGCTGTAGAATTATGCGATTATCAACGCTCTTCAGTTGGAAGGCTTCAAAGTCTCTCAACTTGAGATTACACGTTTTTCGCTCGTACGCTCTGAATGGAGGATAATGTGACTTTCAGGAGGGCGGGTTGTGCCCTTGATGGGGGCACGTGGAATGCGATTTGATATGATGCCTCCACCGGGCCAACACAGAGCTGGAATACCTGAGGCTGCCCTGCAGAATTGACCGACATCCTCTGCTGAGAAATCCTTTGTTATAACCATCCGCTTCATCTATCTTTATCCTTGTTGGAAACTGTTAAAGGCACCAGCGGCCACAAAGGCGTCGGACATTATTATGATTAATGACCAGGGGCCTTGTGTGGAGCAGCCACAGCGCCCAGCGCCATCAATTTACAACGATCGTCTCGCGGCATCAACCCAATCCGCCAGGGGCCGAGCTGGAGTCTTTATGTGTGACAAGACAAAGATGAAGAAATTGCCGCCGCGGAGGCCAAGACGCAGCCCAAACCACGGTTTGGCTGTGAATTAAGTCCGATAAAAATAACCATGACAGGCAACTCATCATCAAACAAAGTTCAGAGCCTCGACGCAACGCTTGTACCTTGCCACAATCAGACCATAAGGCTGAAGGGTCCAATCCTTTAAGAATCCCACGTTCTGCCAACGGTGTCCGTTCTTATTTACCTTTTTATTCTCATCTCTCTCTTGTCTCCGGGTGAGGCGTCGAGTATCCACTCCCTCCGCGATAAGCCGTTCCGCAACGATGCCGCTCCGCGAGATACTTCATAAGAAGGACGCCTTGAACAACTCGGCGGGCCAATATGACGCCGATGCGATTCCTACGACTTCTGTGAGCACCATTCCTGAAATTACCTTTATCCGGACCGATACCAATACCCACGAAGTCATCCGTCCGCCCGTTTTCGACGGAGATGACGATCAGCCCGACAATCGATATCTAGACCCAGTCCCTCCCTCCCCTTCGCATCGCAAGTCGTTAAACCCATTTCGTCGATCGCGTGCACCCTCAGAGTCGTCGGGGACCAGTTCGCCAACGCGCCCGCGGGGAGAAAGACGGTTAACGCACTTGCTGCATTTGGATCGCTCGGGTTCGCGGAACTCCAGCTCGCCGTCAGTCAATGTGCCGCCGGATCTCCCGCAGATCAACTGTGATAGGGGTGATGAGCAGGACAGGGAGGCACAATGGGAAAAGAGGGCAACGGTGCTGGTGCAGCGCACCCCGCAACTTGGGGCATCGTGTTTGTCGCCTACTTCGCCGACAGGCTTCGGATTGGATGGAGCCCCAGCCAGGTCGCGCAGTTCTAGTCGGAGTGGGGTAAACGGTCCAGGAGAGGATGTAAGCGGTCGGATGTCCCAATGTTATCGCATGGCATCTAATCAGGCCTAGATCAATATCCAAGAGGCGATTCGACTTCACGAAGCTGGAGGTAATATGGGCATCGCGTGGGGAGCGGTGGTGGTCTGTTTGTTCAGTCGCTTACACCTGACGTACAGATCTAGAACGGTCAACCAAGATGTTTGAGCAGTTGGCGGATCCCAACGGTGCCAACAATGCGCTCAGCCAGGTGCTCTATGGACTGGCACTTCGGTGAGCATCAACCGTACCTTTGTGGCCTTCGTTTACGCCCGACTCTTATCGTGGGCTGCACTGATGGGCACTACTGCTATATGATACTGACTGGGGTGGGATATAGACATGGTTGGGGATGCTCGCCAGACCCTGATCGAGCCGTCATGTACCTTTCGGCCGCCGCATCCAATTCGGCATCGATAGAGTCCCAAGCGCTCCAGGCTGGTCTCAAGAAGGGCGGGTCGGCCAAGGGAGAATTAGTCCTAGCCATATACGAACTGGCGAACTGCTTCCGGAATGGCTGGGGCGTCAAGAAAGACGCCATCGCGGCGCGCCAATACTACGAAACAGCGGCCAACCTAGGCGACACGGACGCGATGAACGAGGTTGCTTGGTGCTACCTAGAAGGGTTTGGAGGGAAGAAGGACAAGGTCAGTGCTGATTGCGTAATTATTTCCCCCCTGGAGATTGATGCTCTTGCCATGAACCGCCCTGGTCCTCGGGCATCAATGCTTCAGTCCGCATCACTGTTTGGATCCGGCGGTGCTATCTGATCATCCGGCTGTGCAGTTGACTGACTCGCGACCATCATGTTTTAGTTCACGGCCGCCAAATACTACCGATTGGCCGAGGAGAAAGGGAGCAAATTAGTGGGAAATTCCTGGTACGTTTAACTCCCTTGTTTGATGCCCATTCCTGGACTCTTCATTGCAATGTGACGGGGGTGCCTCTGTTCTCACCTGCAGGCGTTACGCTTGGAGGCCATGGATGCGGATCCATTGATAGGCGCTCGGAGTTTCCGCACCCTGCGCCATGCACACCAGCGTCACGCTCTCCGCCAACCACAGCCTCAAGCCCCCAACCCACGGGATTGAGAATTAGGCTGACATGATCGTGCTTGCCGACAGGATCTGGAAGGACAAGTACAACCCGAAGTGAACCGCCCGGCTGTGTACGGAGTGCCTGGTATAGCTCTACGATCTCACCCGTGCCGTCCATCATCAGATGACGATGGCGTTTTCGACCAAGCTGAAGCAAGGCTAGGAGGATTCTTTCAATTCTTAGCCGATACCTCTTCCACTCATATCCCGGATTGGGGGACACGGACCTCTGATGATTATCCCTGTGCCATTTACCACCCTCACCTACACCCTCGCTACCACCACCACGGAATCATCATGATTACCACCCAAGCCTCCAGCCTCATCTTTCCTCTGAAACCCAATCTGTCATGGTACCAGCGTACTTTTTTTTCCCTTAGCCCGATCCCGATGTCGAAACTACCGTCGTTCCCTTTTTTGTTCCCCCCGCAGCAAATAATAGTTATCTTTATACCCAGACCCACAAAGTACCTTGCATCGAGTAACGTGTACTGCATTGTTTGCAGCATATGTACGTACTACATAGATACAGAGATGGAAATGGATACCTTACTCCATCACATGCATCGTTAGACCAAAACCCTACGTAGGTACTCCGTACAGTAGGTACGTATGCCCAAGATACTACCCGCATCCGAACACTAGTATCCAGGTATGTATTAAGATAATCCAGAAACAGCACATCTTAACTCGCAACTTCTCGTTAATTAACTTTCAGTATGTTTGTATGTTATCTTAGACTAATTAGGATGGGACGAAAAATAGTATTGTATTTATCGATTTAGGGAATATACGCATGCTAGATATACCATGCCATCGCATACCCATAATTGATAATAGATAACAAGGTACCCATCTTGTTATTGAGAATGTAAGTAGGTAGGGAAGGAGCTAATATGAACAAACACTCCATAATACTATAATGATATATCCAGATCCATATCCTTCCCTTTCCGGAATAATAGATATTATGTTGATAAGACAGACATATATCGATATCCACCTAGATTTCGCCCTCTAATCGAAGATGAGCTCATCCAGTTATTCCAACATCCATCCATCCATCCATGCATGTTCACATCCTCGATGACGTCCGTCCATCTTGGTTGACATGTCCTTTTCGGCTTGTTCCGAAGGGATATGACCACTTTATATCCATATCCATATCCATACTTGTATGTAGCCATATATTATCCACCCCCTGGTCAAGAGAGTCTTCATTCCATTCCCACATCCACATCCACGCAGTGCCAATATCAACGCCTCTCAACTACATCCCATTCCTTTCTTTAGACATAGACCGAACCGTGCCCTCTTCCTTATTATCGAGACCGAGACACAATACAACATGATGACAGGTCTTTCACTATCCCCTCCCTAGATACGGATAGCAGGATGAATGGATCGGAGGAAGAAACAACCCTAGAGGTTATCCCAATGAGGGTTAAGAATATACCCCGTAAAAGTGGAGGATACTTTTCATCTGATCCTATCCTATTATATCCTGTGATAGTATCTTGGAGTAGTCTCTAGATGTGTAGTGGATGTATCCGTAGTGGGGTGGGAGTTTCCAGGTAGGGAAGCGAGGATGAAAGTATCGTTGGTTGGTAGACCGCACCAGATGTTGAAGCGATCGGTAAGGTGGGCTTCGGCGGACGTGGACGTGGACTGTGTGTGGATGTATGCTATGCTGTGCTGCTCCTGAGAGTTGTTGACGACCTCATATGATGGTTCAGCCAGCTAGGTTGTATTTTCTGGCGGGTTGGGGTAGAGAGTAAGATGTGAGTGAAGTAACAGTCGTAGGAGGAGTGTATGTGACTGGTAGGGGTACGATTGGGAATGTGCTTTACATATATCGATATCGATCCCTTAAACGCGTTGCTGTGCCGTCAGGTAGGTCCACAGGGTGATTGGTATCGAACATGCTTCTCGTAGTGACTGATGGAATGCCATCGCCATCTGGCCAGCGATTGAAGCAACAAGAACAAATTCTTGTGTTTCTTTTTGAAAAGCCAAGGTTGGCTTGCGGTGAGTAGAGGCAAGCATAGTCATGTCAGGTTATCACTGATGTTTGGATACGCCACATTCAGCTGGGAAAGAAGTCTGTCATGTCCCATGTTGTGATGCTTGGGTACACCATCATGCGGCGGGTTAAGAAGAACAGAACCGACCATCTTGTTCGGCTTCTCACTTGGACATCCGAATGTCTGCATTAAGTCGTTGACGAAACGCGCGAGTGCGTTCTTCCTTGCACATGCTGACGTTCCACGCGAAGGCCGCATCCGACTGCATCACACCAGTGATGCAATGCCAATGGACCTTTTCCTGCATGGAAAAGCGATAGAGAACTTCCTCGTCTTTTCCCATCTCTTGCGAGTAATGGAAGCGGAAGCATCTACAGGGACTTGTAGATACTAAGCAGCTTTCCCTGACATGGATATGGTATGACACCCAGCTGAAAGGTTGTCAGCCATGATGTATTGACGATCTGCTGATCCTGTTCCTGCCCATCGTTCGAGGAATGCTTTGTCGAACACCATGCATCTGTTGAGATTAAGTCGAGAGGTGTGCGCTTTGGCCGAGAATCAGCTCCTTTCTGCATGATGTTGATTTAAGCTCCACCCCGGTAGTGGTCCATCCGGCTGCATGTCGCCCAGGACAGTGGCACTGATCGGACGTTCTTCTGTGCCGATATAGCGGAGCGCCTACCTTGAATGGCGCATTGGAAATGGACTTGGGCCGAAGCCTCACCGCATGTAAGTTGCCGAAAATGTACAACCGACAATGTAAAACACATCATTGATTCGGCTCAGCGCAGTATTCAAGCGGTTTCCCTTCATCAGGGAACCACAGCCACCAGTGATCGTCATGTCAGAGATGCACCCTCCCATCGATCTTTCAAACAATAAGCGGAATGTAGCGTGGAGGAGCAGGACGTAGCTGCAAGGAGGCGAGTCCAACAAAGACACCCAACCCGGACATGAGTCCGATATTCGCCCGTATAGAGCCCGGTCGAAGACTACGGGCAAGTATGTTGCCTGTTTCTATGCCATATGAAACGCCGGGTTTGCCGTGACAGCAGAGTATGCTAGACGTGACATCTTTGTAGTGAGTGTCTCCAGTCAAATGTTCTGGAGAATAGCATCTGGGCATTCCATACCCCATTGATTCCGTATGTCTGTATCCTATCCAACACGAACATATATACCCTGTTGGTAATATGGACCGCCTGGATACAGCCGCATTCTCTCGTCATTGTGACTGTGAGTATGCGTCACGCGTTGTTGTATATAGTGGACCACCATATCCCGTTCCTATTCCCAGCACAGACAACGCTATAGCCCCTAGGCAGTGGAAAGACATATCAGACGTAGCTAAACGCGTCAAAGGTGTTGGCGCAGACTTATAGCTTCCGGTAAAGGAACGACACTGCCCAGCGGAATCGAATGATGAGAGGATTGGAGGAGGCAGTTGAGACAGTGAAAAGTCTCGCGGGCTTGAAACTCCCAAGAACATCGGACAAGAACACAGTATGAAGAGCTTATTGTGCTGCCCATGCTAATCCTGACTTGGGGCAGTTCCCCATGACCTCCAGATGGACTGGCTGGATCGACAAACCAGCCCCGATTCTTCATCTCTCAATTATCAGTGACCGCCTGTTTTCGCTTCTTTTTTGTAGACTGTATAAAGCCGAAGGTGTGCAGCGAGCAAGGGGTTTTCTGATAATGTCCTTCCGGACAGTCGCTTTCCTTCATCTGGTCTCGAGGCACCAGCATATGAACTGGGACTGTAGCGGTCAGTCCAACACCATTAAACACGGCTTGCTGCTTCTGAAAGGCAACGCGCCCTCATTGTGTAGTCTGAAGAGCCAGCGTAGATTGGGACAATCCATCGTGAGACAATCAGAAGCTTATCGCCACTGATGACAACTCCATATTGTATTTGTACTGTAGATATTGACGGGAAGAAAAAGAGTTCCTTGCGGATAAAACCTATGAGCCTCTCATGAGTTTCCAACATGCAGGATGCATCAGGATAGCCATGTTAGAGCCTGAATCCCGATAAAGACCGCAACAGCTTCTGCACAGGTGCATTGTCGGACTTGTCCGGGAATGCAGAGCCAAGACTGACAGCATAGAGGATACTGGACCAGACATATTGTCGTCCTTGCCAGCGCGGTACTTCGTACAGACCGGCAGTATGTGAGTACATCCTGCTGGTCATTGAGCTTGTTGCCGAGCAGAGGGCTTGCGCCGAGTACATGTACGAATCTCCATCAGACCGACATTCCCAACATTTATGGCCGGTGTAGGCGAGGAAGATAAGTGCCTGAGATCGCAGAATTGAGAGGCTAGCTAACGAGGGCTTGTGGGTCAGATGACTGATTACCCATCCGACAGACACCAGATGATGCTGGCGTTCTTCTGCTGGAGTCTGAGAGGGCAAAGTAGGGCATTCTCCTTGACACGAGTAAAGATGCGCGCCACGGTAAAAAGTATACCCTAGAGACAGCTATCAGTACCGGTTATTGCTTCCTAGGACAACTGTAAGGACCCTGATATCGAGGTTCAACAACTTCCCATCAGCTGTCGAAATAAGGATTGCTTCGTCTGGGAAAGGCACCATCTTGAGTCAGGATGAGACTAGATCGTAACTGCGAATCTCGCTGATCAAAGCCCAGCAGACGCAATAAGCTAGAGAAGCTCTTGCGATCCACTTCGATTGAGACTGGTTCTGCGTGCGAGTCTTCAGGCGACGCGCAAAGCACCGAGCAAGAGATGTTATCATTTCCCTTGAGATCGATGCACCGATGATTCAGACCTCTTAGTTTGCCTTGTAAACCGCAAACCTGGGTCGTGGGTATGCCGTGGACATATTCATCAATCTGACTAGCCCTTTAATCAACCGAGCAATCGACTTCCTGTCTTCGGTTTCGTCCTTGGTGTCCTGTGTAAATCGTTTTGATATTCCCCATTAGGCGGCCGATATCCGCGCAAGGAATACCCGAGTCCTTCGAGGATCTTGCAGCCAATGCATCTCGGTGACTGCCTTAATAATTGTCAAGTATTGCACTTGGCTGCTTTGTCTGCAAAGTTTCGACGAGCCATTTCGATGATTGTATAGCGTAGGGCCCGAGGGTTTCTCCCAATACTTGAGGCACCATTTAAACCTCCCGAGATAAGTTCGGTTCCATAAACACGGTAAAAACGGTTGCTAGGATGTCCTTCGCTATAGTTTGCCTCTGACAAACCATCAATTCGACAGCAGTGAGCACAACAACACC